TCCAGTTCGGGCGTCTCCAGCTCTACCATCTCCAGTTCAGGTGTCTCCAGTTCTACCATCTCCAGTTTGGGCGAATCATGTGGCCATCACTAATAAGGCAACTGAAAACCACTGAATGCTCAAATAAGTCACCCGCCTCTCAAATTCGATTCTAGCCCATAAGTTGGAAAAAGCACGTCAAAAATGTGTAAAGGAGTAGGGATACTAAATAGGATGGGCCGGACCACGATTTTGAAAGAAGGCGCCACTGGTGGCCGATGGAGCAGGGATAGAAGAACATCTGTAACGATGCCAATTCTATTTGACCTAACACACAAATAGAGCGCAAAATACGAAGATTCAAAGCTGAAGAGGAAACAAAAAAGATGAAAGCTGCTTCCTGAGATGTTGCATATAAACAAAGGAAACCCTAGTCCCGTGCCCTAGCTCTAGTCCCTATCCGGTAATGAGGTCAAAGGGGACAGCGCCGTCACAACATCCACTTTTCACACACTAAATAACCAGGGAGACTAGGGACCACCATGAGATACAGGAATACATGAAGAGGCAGAAATATGTGGAAGAGAATAGGGACCAATGAAGACCAGGGATAGCCATGACGAAACAGAAATATGTAGAAAGGAATAGAGATGCAGTGAAGACCAGGGACAGCCACGAAGAGGCAGAAATACATGGAAGAGATTCCATGTGGTTGTAGAAGCCCTAACAGGTTCATCTTGGACCTGTTAGGGTTCTTAAATCCACGTGACTCTCTTGCTGACCGCATCGTCGAGCATTCCAGGATCCGTGGTAGCTCGTCCGAGTTCCCGTGGAGCCCTCCGTCGCGTGGTGAGAGGGACGGGTGCCGCTAGACCACTTCGGGTTTAACCGCGAGGAGCATCATGAAATGACGGCAACGCCTAGTAATAATAACCTTATGGAGGGTGTGTCGCCCCAAACCTCTCCAACTCCCAAAGTGAATCCATTGCTTTGCGGCTTCTGCTGTCTGAAAAGAGATAGACACGAAGTCTTCCATACCGCTATTGTGGGCTTTGGCCATCATGTTCCTTGCTTTGCCCAAAATCTCGCAATGTCATCCCGCGAGATCACCTGCACTTCACATTGAATTTAATCTCAGGCGAAACAACAATGCGACCTCTGGATAAACAAAACAATCCCCCGAACAAACCTTTCACTCCATCAATGAGTGCAGCGTTCAACAGGACCGCCAAAGCACCCCTGACTCCTAAGCTAGCTGGATACAATTCCACCCACTCGAACCGCAAATTCCAACATGCCGATGCCCCTATTCCGAACACATCTCGCTCTTCAGAGAATACATCCTATGTGTCAGGAGGACTAAACTCCAATATCACACCCCGTTCGGGGTCAAGGAACTCCCCAAGAGATGCTCTCTCCGCTTCCTCCTCTCCATCAGGCACCCCATCCCACGCTCAGAATTCCATACGCTCTAACGTAGGCCACTCCTCTGAGAACCCCCTAACTCCGCGCGACAATATCGGCCCATCCTCACGATCATCCAGGCCGAAGAGTGTCGTAAATGGCTTACTGCACAGTAACCCGCCGTCTCGACCGGTTTCATCATGCAGCGGTTCTCTTGGAGCCCCTATGTTTTTCCATGCCGATGACGCGCGATCTACAATTTCATCCCACGAAGCGGACCCCAAACAGTCTCACGGGAATATCCAGCCAAATGGACGTTATTTTACGTACGCAAACGGCGTAGCTGAAGGATCTCGCAGCTCTAGTGATCGGAGACCAGGGCCTACAAAAGGCAAAACGCAAAGCGGAGGAGTCCCTACGGCACTCCGGTCACCAATCGCATCACCAAGATTGCAAAATGCGCAGCCGCTCCTCTCCTCGCCCAAAGAACCTACAACGCACCCTCGAGAATCAAAACGATCCAGTTTGCATTCGTCACATCCCCAGGAGCCACCTCTGTTACAAACCCCGCGTTTAAATCCCACATCCCCGGGATCCAGGAGTCATTGTTCACATGTGAAATCTCCGAGTATAGATGGATCTCAATGCTTTCGCCAAACGCGGCCTCATATTACGAGTCCTACAAGTCACCCGATACTGGTAGCCGGTGATCATGGCAATGCTAGCTCTCCGTACCATAGCCCCCTTCCCGATAGCAACAGATCCTCAACATCCGGTGATATTCTACATCCTTTTCCGCGCGTTGGTAGTCCTTCTAAGGAGGATTCAAATAACAATCTTCAGAACGCCAATGAACTGGCAGCCAATGCACGAACGGAGCGGAAAGTTTTGGATCTGGAGATCAGCAATTCTTCTTTACTCGCTATAAATCGGACTTTGGAGAGAGAAATGAGGAAGCAGAACGCAGAACTACGGCGATATCGCCGATTGAGCCGCGCTGGTCGACTTTCCATCACCCCCTCCCATCACCCCGTGTCTGGGGGCGGGCTCTCTATCGTCAGTGAGACCGATAATGGAGCTGGTGACGAATCATTTAATTCGCTCAATTATATCACTTCGGAATCCGAGAATGGCGCTTCTTCCTCCGAAGATGAAACGAGGAGTCCTGATGGGGGCGTTGAGAGTGAAGAGCAACCTCACGCACGGGACGAGAAGCACCTCCTGGACGACCTTGCTAGACATCAACAACTCCTGATAGACAGCCAGAAACTCAGCCAAAGTATAGGAAGGTGCCTAGAATGGACAGAAAGCTTAATTACAGAGGGTAGAAAAGCCCTCGAATATCAAGTTTACATCAGTGATATCGAGATCGGCGGTCGAGTGCTGGCTCATGACGACATCGATGAGGATTGGCAAGGGGGCAAGGCGTTGTTGAGCTCAACTGCAGAAGTGCCTGGGTTTCTAGATGAGCATATCGTCGATGACACTGTTTTGGCGAACTTGCCATTATCGGACGGTGATGTACATGAAGGCTGACAAGGCATCCTATGAAATGAACTCGAAAAATTATACCTTGTTATGCGGCTGCATCAGAGTCCCTTTTTTTTTTCTCCCTCTTTTAATCCTATCCATTCATTTCCACAAACATCTGGATAATTCTCTTTGGCTGTATAAACTCCCCATTGACTCCACTTTTTTGTTGGATATTCCCCATTCATTGGCATATGGCGCACATGCAGGAGAGCATTTTATTTCTTTTTTCCCTCAAAAAAATGGACAGCGGTTGGGCCTCTGGTGTCAGTTTTACCCCATAGTACTGATTATTTGGACCACAGTGGCGTATATTTCTTTTCTATTTCTGAGTGGTTGGGGTGGTGGACTGGACCCTCACAACAGAAGTAGTGAGAGTTCCATGTCTGGCACAGCTTCTTTGTTCCTCTTTTCACATTCTTTACCTTCATATCACCTTTTGTTCTACATGTGTTAATTCTTGCGCATTGTACCATTACATCCACACCTTGCGTCACTACATTGCAGAAACAAGATACCCATAATTGTGCATATCTTTCCTTCCTGTGTCATGCTTGATGAGATTTAGAATGGGATAGAGATCAATTGATTTTCTCGTTGAAATGATGTTCGTCCTTGTTCGCAGTTTGCTATCATGACTTCAGACTTAAAGCCTGCAATTCCACATTACACATGCTGGAAGGACGGTCATGCAGCTTAGTGGTGTCAGGGTTCATACCAGAGCACGAGAAGAAAACTCGAGAAGTGAAGTCGTGAATCATCAGAAAATACCCTTATAAAACCAAAGCAAGCCAAAAATCAGTATCTCTCTATGGTGGGATATGCATAAATGAATTCAACAGTTAAAAAAAAAGAAAAAAGTAGAGCCAATCGGGTTGGAACGCTTTGTCTCATTCTATCATAGAGTTGAAGCATCACGTCCTTATGACGGGGTGGCTTCTGGGTGTGATTCTGGTTTCGCCTTCTTGGGTTCTTTCTTCTTCTCGTTTTTACCCTTCTTCGACATTCCTTCTGCCATCAACTGTTCGAATGCCATATAGTCACCTTCTTCGTCGGGGTCACGTTCGGCCTAATTCAGGGAAAAAGTTAGCATGGGCTAGGCCAAAAGCCAAATTTACGGGAGGAGAATGTGGAGATCAAGTCATAGCATACCTGTTGGAAAATCTTTCCGCAAATAACGAGCGCTTGGGCACGTTCTACACGCTTTTCCAATTTGACGGTTTTGTCATTGAGTATTTGATCACAAACATCACGCAGGACGCTCTGGATCTCGAACTTGCTTCCACGCCACGCAGCTGCTAAAATCTTGCCGGTGACTTTCTTTTCATACTCTGCTCTTTTCTCATCTGTCCAATCGTCGCCCCCTTTCTCTTCCAGCTTTGCCATTTCTTCCATGGTCATTTGTGCGTCAAGAGCAGTGGAGATAGTGGTCCAGGTTTCTTTCGCCAGAGTCCCCTTGTCCTTTAGTCGAGAGAAGAATCCAGAAATACCGAGGAATTTCTGCGATTTGAGGAAAGAAGTGGCTTTCTGGATGTAAGTGGTGCCGATGGCATGGAGGATTTCCAGCCCGAAGGATTCCATCTTGAGATTTTCAACTTCTAATTGAGTCTTCTGTTCGAAGGCATATGTGACGTCTTTGCCCTTGTCTGTCTCGGTCCATATGCTCAGACGATCTACTAGTTTTCTGGCGAGAGTGTCGACACGTTCTTCTCTTTGTTTCTTTCTTTCAGCCTCGAATGCCGCCAGGCGTTCCTTCTGCTCCTTCGTAAGACCGCCCTTCTTCTTTTCTTTCTTCCTGAGTTCCTTTTCTTCCGGACTCAAGCCGGCGGCATCCATCCTCGCGTCCTCCTCTGATTTGTCCATAATTGCTTGCTGACCCCAAACACGTCGGGGAGTGCTGGTTCCCGATCCGGCTTCTGTTGATCTTCCCGGCGCATTGGAGGAAACAGATTCTTTTTCTTTCTCATCGGTGACGTACGGTGGAGCTTGGGAGGTGCTGAGTCCCTGCGACGATTGCGCCTGCGGCGCTTCCTTTTCTTTCTCTTCGTGTATCTTGAGCTTCTCCTCTGCAGATTCAGCCAGATCGTCTTCCTCCATTTCTTGCATAGTAATATCCATTGTGCGTGTCAAATCCTTCATGAGGGATATTTCTCCGATCAAATCCACAAAAGCATCCCCTCCGAAGATCATACTGAAAAATTCGGCCGGATCCTCTGTCAGATATAAAATTAGCGTATTGCACATATTGATTCACAGAGCGTGAGTGCATACCGAATCCGCCTCCGGGTATCGCCTTCTCCTTGCCATATTTGTCGTATTGCTTTCGCAGTTCTTCATCGCTCAATACTTGGTATGCTTCGCCAATCTGAAGTTTTGAACGCGTTAGTGTACGGAGCAGACACGTAAATTAGCAGGGCAATTTACGGCTTGGAACCTCTCGTGAGCCGTCTCGTCATCCGGATTCTTATCTGCGACTCCTGGTCAGCTAGCCCTCCCAAACCCGGTAATAAAAGCGATCAAAACAAACCTGGATGTGTCGTAATGGCTAACTTTCGGTATGCCTTCTTAATCTCAAGTTCAGTGGCCGTGGGTGGCACACCCAAGATATCATAATATGCGGTATCCGCTACCATATTTGCAAGGGTAAGCGTGGGGAACGGATGCGATATAGATCTCTGGGGTCGATATGTGATGCAATGGGGAATTGTCCGTCAGGTGTAAACGAGAAAAAGCCAGATTAAGTAAAGACTGGGGGTTATTAATGAAGATGTAATGGACAATGGAAGAGAAAAGAAGCCGTTTGCAGGCAGCGATATTGGGGAGAAACGGTGGCAGCAAACACCGTCGTCATATGCTCGGCACAGCTGCTCAAAATTTCCTATTCTGCCCGGGGCTGTGATTGGCCAGGGAATATTATTATGTCATCAGAGGGCGGGGCATTTTGCAGGCGGTGTATAGCGGCAGTACCGCTTTTGTTTTGTTTTGTTTCTTGCTGCGCCACAGGGCGAGTGTTCACGTCCGCCGCAGCAGTCACGTGAAAATGCAACTGAGAGCCCCAGCCAACGCGTTTGTCGGTTTGTCGGGGCGTTTTCTGCCATCTACTCCGTACCTTGTGCACCTGTCTTCGGACCCTGCAGAAACATCTGAGCTCAGGACCTCCATTTCTAAGAGGCTCAGCTGTCCCTTAGCTGGCTGAGGCCAGCCTAGCTAGAGCTCATTTTCTACGCTGCCCTTCGAACTACATTGCGTCATTTAGGATTCTTTTGTAGGGCTCGACTCACATCCCATGCACCTCTGTGAACCGCCCTTTTCCCTCCTATGAAGTTGCCTTCCCGCGCAACTATCACTACTGCACCCTCCACGAAACTGCCGAAAGACTGGCTTTGGATTCTCAACAAGATATGTCATAGTAGGTAGCGCTTTACCTGTCCGATATGCACATGGCTTGTTTTCAAATATTTTGCGCTGACTATTAGCATGCGGCCAAGCCGAAATCAGAATCCTGTAACCCTGTCTGATTTTGAAAACTGGAACAATGCGCCTAGTGTCTATACCACGGCCTATATTTTTTTTACATGTAAAGCCTGATCTCATGGCTTTTTTCTTCTGTCTAATTGAGCTTAGCCTCAAGCATCAATTTATGCACTTCGATATCTACTTACAATGAAGGTGTTGATACCCTCTATTGAAGCAATTTGATCAACATCATATCTCTCCTGATCTCTGTCCCTCCATCGAGGAGGCTATGCATTGCGCCAGCAGTTTCCAACTACAGTGAAGCGTCGTTGGGTAGAGTTGTCGTGGACGAGCGAAAGATTCTCGATTCTATAGATGAAACGGAGAACAAAGTCAGATAGACGATGCCAGGCAGGGTCCATATTTGCTGTCCAAACCAAGGTTTTGAGAGCGTGTTCATTCGACGAAAGCCAATGCGGGTGCCAAGGAGAAGATGAGAGAAGCATCTCCGGACTATGTGCTCCAGCATAGGCTTCATGGCGCGGGCCAGATCTCTCTTTAGATAGCCTGTGTAATCGTCTTGTTAGAGCTGCAGGCGTTGGACTAGGCTCTTCTGCCTCCTGTTTTGAGACCGTTTTTCCATTTTGGTCAGCAGTAAATTTAATCAGGGTGCTAATGCATGGGATTCAACTGCATTTTTCTCACATTGACGGGCCATATAATATGTTTCTGGAATTCTGTCTGGCTTTTGATTCATCATAGCTAACATGGCCAAAGCTCCAGTGAAATGTGTTAAACGGCTGGATAACGATGACCAAACGCCAAGATGTGGCTTGGCTTGACTGATAGAGTTTCTGCCAATCAGCGTCTTCCTCACGCGCGGCCGGATTAGTAACAGGGTTCTTCGTACCTGCGCTGAACCGCCCAAACTTGCTCGCTAAATTCTGCTTTCGGGAAACCAAAATTCTTTTCTTCCTCCTCTTCATTTCCTTTCCCTTTCTCTTCCCCCTTCCTTCATCCACAACAACTTTGAGTCTCTCACCATCAATTCACCCTTCACAGTCAATGTCATTAATATTTTGTCTGTGTTGTATTTTTAATGCTGTTGGTTCCTTTATCCATATGTAAATGTCCTCAGTTATGTTCATTTTAGTTTGAATGATTCCCCCTTTCGATCTGTTTTAATCTCGAGGGTAGGCTCCGAGCGAACCTCCTCCATAACCTCATCTCGTGACATATTCTCAATTGCTGCTCTTCTGGAGCCCTGCTGGTCATCATGGTTTCCTTCTCCCAAGCCCTCTATCTTCTCTCACACCCTCAAGAGCTCAGATCAATCATCCAATGGTAGGTATTCACAGCTCGAAATTGGGACACTACTCGCGTACACTGACGCCGCCTAGGAAAGTATGGCATGAGCCTGTCCACTCTAGAAACACAGCAAATGAAACAGAGAGCGAAAAGAAATGTTACCACTTCCTGAAACTCACGAGTCGCAGCTTCAGCGCTGTGATCATGGAGCTACATCCAGAGCTCCTTCTTCCTGTTTGCCTGTTTTACCTTATTCTTCGTGGTCTAGACACCATCGAAGATGATACCTCTATACCTTTCAAAGTTAAGGAGCCACTCCTTCGCAATTTCAAGGACTTCTTAGAGGTCGACGGGTGGACTTTTGATGGCAATCGGCCCGAAGAGAAAGACCGCGAACTGCTGGTTCAGTTCCATAACGTTATCACCGAATTTAAGAAAATAAAGCCCGCCTATAAGGCTATCATCAAGGATATCGCTGATAGAATGGGCAATGGGATGGCTGATTACTGTCGAAAAGCCGAGTTTGAGAATGTAAATGTCAATACTGTGGAAGAATATGATCTTTACTGCTGGTATGTTGCTGGGCTTGTTGGTGAGGGCTTAACAAGACTATTCGTTGAGGCTGGATTTGCCCGGCCTCAGCTCCTCGAGCGTCCGCAGCTTTTCAAATCCATGGGTCTCTTTCTTCAAAAGACCAACATCATCCGCGATGTGCGAGAGGATGAAGACGATAATCGTCGTTTCTGGCCAAAGGAGATTTGGTCAAATCACGTCGATAAGTGGGAGGACCTCTTCAAGCCAGAAAATCGCGAAGCAGCCGTGAATTGTGGTGCAGAGATGATACTGAATGCCCTTGGGCACGTGGACGACTGTCTTTACTACCTGGCAGGATTAAAGGAGCAAAGCGTTTTCAACTTCTGTGCTATTCCCCAGTCCATGGCCATTGGCACTTTAGAGCTATGCTTCCGAAATCCAGCCATGTTTGACCGTAACATCAAAATTACAAAGGGCCAGGCTTGTCGACTGATGTGGCAGTCAACACAAAACGTTCGTGTTATATGTGATGTCTTCCGTCAATACGCTCGAGCAATACACAAAAAGAACACTCCAAAAGACCCGAACTTCCTCAGGGTTAGCATTGCTTGCGGAAAGGTTGGTGAACTTTTCGAATTTAGCATTTATCCTAGTCGTGTTGCTAATTTCTTTCCAGATCGAAAAATTCATCGAATCGATCTTCCCGACTCAATCCTTAGAAGATGCCAATCGGAGAGTAAGTAACAAGAAGAGTGCTGAAGATGCGAAAAGGGCTGCCGAGGCAGCTGAAGCCACACGGGATACTATCTTCATTGTTGTTTCACTCGTGGGTGTACTGGTTGTTGTCTCTTCCCTCATGGTACGTCTTGAGTCCGCAGGCCTATCATGATATGTATCGTGCACTAATTCGCATTATGCAGTTTGGCGTCGCTTGGATGATGGGTGCACGGTTTGACTTAGCCTTCCAGGAACTTAAGAAAGGCAACTTTCGTCCTTCGCAACAAACCTTGCGACATGGCGAGCTTTAATCTCCTTCATGCCAAGATGTTGATACATCTTGTCAAGACATACACTTCTTCGATTCTTTCGGTGCCATTGTCTGGCCGATATTATGGTATTAATCTTAATTTTCCCGCTACCCTTCCATACAGACATATTCAATTCGTTGTACGTTTGTTGCTAATAATCCAACGATTTGCAACCCGTGCTATGCACAACGCGCAACACCTTTTCCTAGTAAAATTTTTTTTTTTTTTTTTTTGTGCCAACGAACCAGCACTGATGTCAAATTGCAATCCGGCCTTTTCTCAATGGTTGTGGTTGTGCCGAAGACGTGCTAAGAGCAATGCTGTTGCATAGAAATGTGACCAGCCAATCCAGACGTACTGGATGTCCGTCCCACTGCTACCAATTGTTTTGGCTGCAGAATGGCGTGTATCTATTGAATATCTGGAAACATCTTTTTCTCTGGCACTGCTGTTATAGGGTAGGATCGGATTGGGCATCCAGCTGCCGATGATACCTTGCATGCAGTTGGTAAACATCAATCTTAGAAATTTATCTGGCCTTGAAGCAGTCTCTCCTTATGCTCCTTTCAATGTGTTGATTCTCCGCCTCCATGTGTGTTAATTTAGGATTTACGCGAAACATGTAACGTTGCCTTATGGGCGCCACTGGGCGTCCAGGCGTAGAGGAGCCGTTGACAAAGAATGTCAGTCGAGTTTCAGTGTGGAATTCCCGGCCGTGAGGTGGGGATCCCTGCCCCGAAAGTTAACCAGGCTGCTGATGTTTGGCTGCGATCACGTCCCTCCAGCCCGGAAGCGCGGTTTATATTGACGACTTCTAGTTGTAAAATACAGCCCCATATTCGGTATCGGAGTTCCACCGCCACATCACATCGCGCACCTCTGTGTATTCCGGATTTGTGGCTTTCATTTCGATAGCAGTAGGTGCACTACATCTCGGAGATGGTGTTGGATGCTGCTAGAGAGCCAAGGTAAGTAAGAACTTGATTTTCGTGGCTTCATGACTAGCATTTTCCCGAACACTTAGTAGATTGTTCCATGAAGAGGTCGCGTCTGGTTGCAATTGGGCACGGACGCTGATACAGGTACAGTACAATACGACTAATGCCGGTGGCGCCAAGAAGGTCGGCATGGCAGGAGAATTTACGCTGACCAGCCCAAAGTCAGCAAAGCTCCGATCGCCCCAACTCCGGTCGAGGAAGCATCCGCCGTCGGCCTGATATCCCGCTCACTTTCTGCTCCCAAGCCTCTTGTTTCCATAGTATCCGTTTAATCAGTTCTATTGTTGAAAACTCGGGGACAAAGCGTATCCGTATGAGTGAGGTTTCTGTGCCGCAGCCGGCGCCGCCTACTACAACTGCCCCTGCTGCTGCCGTGCATAATAATGTCCCTACCACGGGGAAGGCTGGCGAAAGCCCGCCGCGTCTTCGAGCAGCGTCCGCCTGTGTTGCGTGCAATAAAAAGAAGGTAGATGATTTTCGATGTCATTCTCTTGCTAATTTACCATTTAATGGAAATTTTTGACCTCGTTGGGCGCTGATTCGATGGTATTTTCGGGCAGATACGGTGCATATACCCCGAAGGAGGTTCACAGTGTCTAAACTGTGCGAGGAACCACTGGACTTGCTCGTGAGTTCTCTTATCTCTTGCCCCCTAATTTAATGTTGAAATTTTGGGTCTGACATCCTTTTTCCTGTAGTCCCCGCGAGCGAAAACGCAAACGTCGCAAGATAGCTGCCGAACGTGAGGATGCCGTCTCGGGATCGAGAGCAACCACAAAAGTGGAAGTAAGGCAGGAGACTCCTAGCCTTGGGCCTCTGCGACGACCAAACTGGGACTCTGGCCATCTGCCATGGGATCAGCGGCGCTCGGTTGTTGCTGATGGACACCCTTCTCATCAATCGGAATCGTCGGCCGGTGCAGGTGCATCGGCTCACAATCAAACCCCTCCAACCTCTGCTGCTCAGGAATCGGAAGGATCGACATTGTATCCAAACGCAGCCTCATCAGGGTTCGCTCGACCGTCACAGCCAGCGCAAGACTCTCGTGCTTACGGTCCAAGTACTCCGAACTCGACGTACCTGGGTCGCTATGAGTATATTCGCGGGGAGGTTCCGGTCAATGAGGATCGAGCAAAGGCATACCCGGCCGTTGCGACAGAATCTCTTACCGAAGAAGATCTCAGAATTCTTCATCTGCAGCACGCATTCGATCTTCCACCACGGGCCGTCCGGGAGGGGCTCATAGACACCTTCATGAAGCGATGTTCGCCATGGATGCCCATCGTAGAACGGAGCTGGCTCACAGAGCGCACCGGCCATCAACCATCCATTTTATTGCTTCAGGCTGTCTTTCTCGCTGCAAGTAGAGTCTCCTCAGCGCCAGCTGTCACTGCTTACGCTTCGTCGAACGAATTTTATCGGCGAGCAAGAGCACTGTTTTGGTCTGGCTATGAGAAGAACACGATCACTGTCATCACCGCCGTGTGTATCCTGCATTGGTATAACCCCGAGGGTCCGGAACACGTATCTATTAATACGAGTGGCTTCTGGAATCGGATCGGGGTTGGCCTAGCTTATCAAATTGGGCTGCATAGAGAACCACCGCCGGGCCGAGATGCCCCCCTGCGTAGGAGGCTGTGGTGGACCCTATATGTAAGTATTGTATTTACTAATTTTGAGATTGGGATTAAGCTCGCGCTTATCTTATATGCTAAGCTCAAGTGCCTAACTGCCGATTACAGGCCCGAGACTGCTTAATATCTGCAGGACATGGTCGTCCTCGCGCTATTAATCCGGATGACAGTGAAGTCAAACCTTTAACCCCGGAAGACTTCTATGGCTGCAGTTCAAATGGACAGCTTTTCATCGTATATGTGGAAATTTCAGCCCTCCTTGGGGACCTCACGCAATGCTACTGTCGACGTAGTTTATCTCGTCAGAAGCGAGTAAATATTGAAAATGCACTTTACCGATGGACTCGAGAATTACCGGAGTCCCTTCGCCTATTCCGAAGATACAGCCCAACCGAGGGTGCACCTGCCCATAGGCTTGTACTGATGCCCTACAACTTTGAAGCTCGTCAGCTTCATGTCCCGTATTTTATCACCCTCGCGATCCTTTATCGACCAATCTCACCATCGAACCTCCCGTCAGCAGCTGCCATCCTTGCGTCGTCTTTCATTGCCGGCATATTTGAAGACTTTTTAGCACGCGATGAGATTCGATTTCTCGGCCCAATTTTCACTTTCTATCTCCTGGCGGCTGGAGTCGGTCTTATGTCGTGCTTCCCATACCCGCATCTCTGGGAGAGGGCGGAGCAGGACCTCCGCATCATTTATAATTCCCAAAAGGAACTCGCGAAGCGATGGCCCTCTGCCATCGGTAGCTTGAAGGCCATGCAGAGCATCCTTGATGAGGCGCCGAAAGTTGCCAGACCGCCAGATCGACCACAGCCAACTCCACTAACCCCCGACCAGCAGGCATGTTTCAGTGGTTTCGGAACAGACTTGTGTCGTCTTGGTGACGTTATGTTAGCGAATTACCCACACGAGATGGTGGAATCTGGTCGCCCAGAAGACGATCAATATGCCCGGACTGTTTCAGACATGATGACGGCGGGTATCCTGGCGGAGTTGAAAACACCGATGGACGCTGCTGCTGCGCTAGAAGAGTACCTCCCGTTAGCGACAGTGATTGACCACAATACGCAAGTGGCCATGGGAGGTGAAGCAACTGAAATAACCGATGAGATGTTGTATAATCAGTATGAAGGAATTGGGAACTGGCTCTTAAGAGACTGGGATTGGAACACTGACGTCGCATGGTGACGGAACGGACGTCGGTATATTCACGACCTGAGCCCAACACCCCGGCAGTGCACGGGCCATCTCGGCTCGTATGACTAATCCGCCAAGATCCCGATCACGTGGTATATCGGCACTTCTCCACCCCGGTTCTTCGGCTCTTCGCTTGGTTCGGGCCGTGGGTGTGTTTTGGCTGCAGCAACACGAGCTATCCCAGATGTTCCACCAAGAGGCATGTAGCTTATGCGGGAACGAGTTGCATTGTTTATTCGCCCCGCTACCCCGTGAGCTCCCATACTTTGGTCCTTTTGAGGACTGTGTTCAACATCAACATATTCTATCATTAATTCCTCGCGCCCGCTAGTCCAACCGCAATAATCAATAATGGCAGATATTCCTAAGTTCCGCAATCTGAGCCTTACCCGACATGGCAATGTCTTCGTCATCACGATGCAAAAACCGCCAGAGAATAGGCTAAATTCCTGGTATTGTCAGGAAATTATCAGGGCGTTCCGCACAGTTCAGCGGATTCTGGGACCAGATTCCGAAGGAGCGGTAATCACAAGAGGCAGTGATGCCAAATTCTGGTGTACTGTATGATTATCAGGCGTTGTACCCAGAATCGAACACTAATGTTGCCTCTGTGAATCTCCAGGGCCTTGACTTGGATGAGCAAGATGAGAATCCCTTTGCAAATACCGACGGCTTCTATCCTGTACGTTCCGTGTCATAAATGAGTCAAACTTGTCGTCTTCTTGACATCTACTGATGGGTCAAAGATGCTCTACACGATCCTTGACTTCCCGTATCCAACTATCGCCCTCTTAACCGGTCACACCTTTGGCGGTGCCTGCCCTTTTGCGCTTTGCCATGACTACCGTGTCATGAATTCCAAACGAGGCTTCATCTCCATGCCTCCGGTGAATCTGGGTCTGCATTTTGACGGCATTGGGGCCCTGCCACGTTTGAAGCTCGGCCCGAAGGTTGCGCGAAAGATGTTGCTCGAAGCACATCGGTGGACGGGCAAGGAGGCTCTCCAGGATGGCATTGTGGATGCGATTGCGGAACCGGAGCAGATGTTTGATGTTTCCATGGACTTGGCGCAGAAGTGGGCGCCAAAGGCGAAGATGGGGTGAGTGTCTTTCCTAGAACGTTGACCCTGAAGATTTACTTGCTAATGACTGTGCGTCGTTTTGTAGGGTGTATGGTACTTTGCGGGCTGAACTGTGGGGAGAGGCAATTAAAAAGTTTCAGCGGATAAGTTATGTGCACAGTCGGGAGACAAGCACAGCGGCAAAAGTCAAGATTTGATGTAGTGGGATAAGTCCGAAACAAACTTCCACATCTAATAAGAACAGTACAGTGCAATTTTCTCACCAAAATTATAACATACTAGTAACAATCCATCTCGGGTGCGGGTCTTGTATTTCTATTTATTCGCTGGTGAAAGTTCCTTGGAAAGTTTGAGGACTTATGCCACTGTGGTAGACTTGACTTCGAGCTGTGGCAAGCATTATCTTGAATTGAGGCTCTACTCTCCGACCTATCTTGACTGATGAAGAATAGTTTATCACATTCTCTCAACTGAGCCAGCAAAAAGTACTTCTAGAGGCCAGAACTCCTTGATGCACAAGTTGCTAATTCATCGACTATGACAACAGTTTCGCTCTAACTGACGATATGTGACAGGAGGAAAGCGTCCGATCACAATTTTCCTTGAGCCTGCCGGCCTGACTTCTCCCACACCTGCACCATCACATCATTCCTATAATTATCAGTGAAAAAACTTGGCCCTAATACCTTCTTCACCACTTTCCCTGTCGCACTCTTCGGCAGCTCTCCCTCCACAACTCTTAAAATCGTAGGCATCTTGTATCCGGCAAGCCTGCTCCTCAAATCCCTTCTCAAGTCATAAATAGTTAATTTCTTCCCCGCATTTCCATTACCTCTGCATCGGTATATCTTCTGATCATCTCGCAATGTCACCGCCGCAGCGATACGCTGACCATATTCGTCATCATCCACACCGACGACCATGACTTCACCAATGTACGGCAACGAGAGAACTTCTCGCTCAATATCCAAAGCAGAAATTTTATACCCGCCAGACTTTAAGATATCGATGGATGACCGTCCCATGATAAAATAGTTTCTTCCTTCGCGACGGGCTATATCGCCCGTCTTAAAGAATCCTTCCGCATCATGTGCCGCGGCTGTAGCGGTAGGATCATGCAAATATTTCGCAAACATCCAAGGACTCTTCACCAAGATCTCACCTTCATCCCCGTTAGAGAGTTTGATGGTGACGCCGGGAGCAAGATGGCCAACACTCCCCGCTGGTACATCCTCACAATCCAAAGGTGTCCTAAAGATCGCTCCTGCTTCCGTCGAGCCGTATCTCGTCAAAATCCGACTGTTTCCACCGAGAACCCCGCTCCAGAAGTTCTGCACGGGCTCTGGCAGCGCCGATGTGCCACAGAGTAAGATTCTCAACGACCTGGCGCCCTTGATGTACATATTCACCTCCTGCTCGGGAAGAAACGCCAGTTTCTGTTCGTAGTACCGCATCATGCGCATATATATGGTCGGAACGCCGGAAAATACGCTCACGCCGCCCTGTTTCCATCGCTCCCATAGCCATGGGATATCCACACCACCACTGCGGAATTCAACGCACGCACCCGCGAAGATGTAAGGAAGGAAATTAATCCCTACACCCGTGGCGTGATGCACTGGCAACACGTGCAAGATTACGTCTAACTCGGTGATATTGAAGTGGCTGTTTATTTCTTCCGAACAATCATGCAAGAATGCACGTTTCATCACTGCACCTTTGGGGGGTCCAGTGGTGCCGGAGGTGAAAATCACAACGGCAGGGGCGTTGTCATCCAGGTACCGGCCGGTTGAGAGGCAAATTTCTTCCGGTGCGAGCGGAACGGGCTGAAAGGATGTCGCGATGGCTATGCAGCAAACGTCTAGGGTTTTCTCGGCCTTGATATGCTGGCTCAGTGAATCACCGAGGTTTCGACCGGCGGCGGAAGCAAGGACGGCAACACAGCGAGCTTTAAGCACAAAGTATGACGCCTCGCGGACGGGGAGGAGCAGAGCTAATTTGAGTTCTTGTTAGCATCTCCTCTCCATGCCGACCCGGATCTCCATATGGACACACGGTCTCTAGGGGAGTAAGTCTAACATACTGATTGGCACCACCGCCGCTCCCAGCGCAACAATAGCCACAAATCCAACGGCATACTCGTAGCCTCCAGCGGCCAGCAATCCCACATACACTTCCTTACCCTCTTTCAAGTCCCTCGCCGCCTTCTCTCCTAAGCTTGCGCGTAGCGTATTTCTCAACGCAAGAACATCGGTGAGAAATTGGGTGTACGTCTTCTCAAATCCAAGATTCACATCCCGGACAGCCAGACGAGGCGGCTTGCGGTGCGCATGGCGGACCAGGCGTGAAAAGAAAGGTGATAAGGGGAGGATTGTATCTCCTTCGTGCGGAGGAATGAAAGATGTTCGGTCGAACTCCATGTCGGTGTACCTTGTCCGGAGGCGGAAACCACCTCCGATTGAACGGTATTCTTCCTTGGTCTAATCAGCCTCTTGGCACGCACACAACAGGCTACGCGGTCACTTAAAATTCAGTGTCAATATAGGGTATCTTGTGAAGGGCACAATTCACCAACGCCCGTTCATGGTTTGTTTCTCGGCGATATAAGTAAAGCCGTCCTCTCTGAGAGCGACTATGGCCTGCATCATCCGGTTCCCACCTTGTCTATGGGTGCCCGCGCTGATAAACGCTCGCTCTTCTCGCTGTAGGCCATCGCTAGGGTAGCCGGACTCGGCAGTTCGGTACTTGTTCCTAGGCCTAGACAGGGCACCGGGCACCTCGTGCTGCATTTGCCGAGTAACTTTTCACTTCGGAAGTCCCGAATGTTCTCGGCATTCCGGAGATTATGTAAGAAGGGCCTCGGGAAGTTTATTAGGCGGGCGGCCCGCTGTTTGGTGGAGCGGAATTTCAGACTTCAGAGTCGATCAGGATTTTCTTTGCTATTTTGGGAACAAAATTGGAAGGGGAATTATTCCCGGCATTCGGATGCCATCTAAGCCCCAGTAGCCCAATGGTAGGGCGTCAGACTTCTAATCTGAAGGTTGGCGGTTCGAGCCCGCCCTGGGGTGGGCATATCTTCAAAAAATAATTTTTTGATTCAAATTTCCTCCGATTTCTTTTTTTGCAGCTATTACACAGTTCAATGCTTTCAGTGAATCCACGCCGAAATGGAGAAAGGCGAAGTGAAAGAGATCGAAAAGAGATGGCTCGCTAATCAGTACAACAGAGTGGTATATTAGGGTAAAATCAAGGTTGGATCAGAAGACGGAAAGGGAAAATGCATATGAAAAGGGGGGGGCCAGAAAACGTATAGCGGTATCTAGATGGGTAGGCTGGTTTTTCTAAGACTTTGATTTATCAGCAATGAACTCGTATGCGCTCGCTTTCATACTGCGAGGTCTACTTCGGGGAAATGCTCCCGTTCCCGTATGTGAATTGATGCCGTACTCGGGGAGGATCCCATCATCTAAAACTTCAAACTGGATCATCGGACGAGTCGCGTGAAGGGTTTCCAAAATCTCCTCGCTCCATAATCCTGTACAGGTGTTACCAACCAACTGGTAGTACGGATTGAGGAGTCCCCATATTGAGTCGAGGTCAATGTACCGGATTCTCATGAACTGTATGGCGGTTAGAGAATCGAGGGACTTGGCGGCGGCAATGATCAAATTCTCAAAAGAATTGATAAATGTCATATTGGTGATTCCAGAATGGTCAAGGGCAAATTTGAGGTTACCCTCCAACTTGGATTGCTCGCAACAACAAGCTTTTACAACCAAATCGATCGCTTTCAGCCTTGATCTTCTCTCGCTTTTTATCGTGGCAGCCCGTGCAACGTTAAATAAAGTGGAGCAAACCTTCCCCGTGAAGGTCAGTGATTCAAGCTGAGGGACAATATCTCCAAGGAGCCGGCACAGATGGCGCTCCACCTGGCACGCGCCCAACCATCGAGCCTGGGAATTGGTCTTGCTGCAAAATCCCTCAAGACTGATATTTAGTCGGCTGAGTCCTCGCGGGAAGGTTGTCAGAATTTTCGATATTGTGGCTTGCGCCTCTCGTTTCGGTTTGGCATAAGTGCAGTTCCATTCGCGTATATTAGGTAGGGCAGAAACAATGTTGCACCAATGGTCATATTCTCGCATGATATTCCATGCACCTCTCATGATAAATGTTTGAATATTGGGTAGGACCTCCAAACGTTGCTCATATGTCGAATCACTGCAGAAGTGCTTGATCATTGGAGGCTTCTTGCAATGACCACCTTCCAACGTGAGCATCTTGGCGTCGGGAAAGAAGCATGCGACATGATAGAAGATCTGCTGTAGGGTGGCATTGCGATTGGCGAACCTGAAATTGTGATTTGTACGACCATGTTCTATCCCATCAGTAACGCTCTGCAGCAATGCAATAGAGTCAGCGGGCGTTAGACTTTCTCCAGCATTGATTTCTCGGCGGCCTGGCTGCAAGGCATGTGGTCTGGGCAGTCGGTCCCCCCAGACAGGAACCCAAATCTCAATATGGCGAACGTAGGGACCGAGATGTGGGTGGGAGCTGAACCACTCAGCGCTTTCCTGAAGGCCATCGGTTGTACCTTTGACTTGAACTAGACGGAGTCAGTTTGCGAAAGTGAAACACCACGAGATTATCAACTAAAAAGCACTGACTGTGTCGATATATTCGTTCTTGTACAAGAGGCCTCCAAGAACGAGAAACCAAGGCAAGGTCAGATAGAGCCTTTCTTCGCGGGTGTCGTAGGGTCTTGCTCCAGCTAGACGCAGTGGATGATGCCGGAGTAACCGAGGCGAGCGCAGCGCCCCTCACGCCAAACAAATGATCCAAGACGGCTTCATGGATCTCGGTCGGCAAGTCTTCAAACTGTAGCGGTGTGTGCTGCAGGTCCGACATCTCCAACTCGACTGAAATAGGTTGTGAAGCAAAAGAATTTGACGATATTTCAAACGACTGAGATGATTGAAATGTGGTGCATGGCTTTGAGGGATGGTGGTCAAGCGGTGTAGGGGTAGAAGGAAGAGAGGGAGGGGGTTTGGAAAGAGGGTCGATGGTGATCAAATGAGAGGGCGGGACGGCGGAGAGCATCATTTCAGCTTGCTAGTGCGTTGCGCATATATGGAAAGGTCACCGAAGGCAAACAATCGGTATCGCAGGAAGCAAGAGAATCTGTGATATTCCTAGCTGTTTCCATCGACTATTAGCAGATGGCCCGAGCTCTCACGATCAATTTCCTGATTGAGAATAAAATTTGGAATATTCATTTCGGGCAGAGCATCAACCGCAGCTCTCTGTCCCGCGGTCAGGACTTACACTACACCCTTTAAGACAAAAAGGAGCAAAGTCTGGTTAATCAGGAAATTAGCGGGTATGGGAGATGATGTGAAAGTGCGGCAAGCAGAGACTCGTATGCCAATTTTAACGAGGAACGTGCTGGGGTATCTTGACGACCAGGCGGGTGCGAGACAAAAGAAGACAAACGGGGAAATGAAGAGGCAGAGAGCTGGAGAAAGGACAGCGAAAGAAACAAAGGGGCCGCCAAAAATGCAGATTTCACAGGACAAGTGAGCGAGTCAAAATCGGCACCAGTCAATGACGAGGACGCGGAGAAAGGGGGTGTGGTGAAGTGACGATGATGATGTGACGGTCAACGATGATGCTGAGAAGGCTGTGAGGGGAGGCTTGGCGGCCAGATTCTGCTGCCCAGCTGCTATCCTGCCGCCCAATAGTGGCACATGGCGACCGTGACTGCTGATTGGCTGACATCATTATAACTCATCTCGCCAGACCGAATATTAGCACTGTCGTGATCACTCGACGACATTAATCGGACGTGCAGGATAGGCTGGCCGAAAGGAGTCGACAAGCCGCACCAGCAGACATTATTCCATTAGCCTATCCCGCAGATGTTCCCCTACCTTACACCCACATCGCTCCGAGAAATGCCAGGCAGTCTTTGCTCAACGGTACCATGCTTTTGAACAACATCCCCCGTAAGTGCGCCGGGCGGTTGAAGCAAGGGTTGAATGTTCAATTAAACCTGGCTGCAGGGGTCTGGGGTTCCGGAACAGGGCGCCACCCCAACCACGCGCCTTTCAGGGGTTACGTGCCAGGCGTTTAATTGTGATAAGCTTTCGGAAAGCCAAGAACAAACTGAACGGTAAGATGGCCGAGCGGTCCAAGGCGCCAGGTTAAGGTCCTGGTAGGGGAAACCCTGCGTGAGTTCGAATCTCACTCTTATCAATATTTCTTTTTTTGGTGTTTTCTCATTTCTTCACATGAAGAGCAAAAATTTTCTCGGTCAAGCGTGGTGTTTTTGCAGTTGGGTTCGGAGGAAAATGGGGATGCTGCTGAGCATGCCACGCAAGGTCATGGTCTATTGGGTCCCTGCCGGATGATCTGCCACACAAAACCAATCTTCTTTCTTATTATTTTCCCGATCGGTATGAAATCGTGCCTTCGACAATCCAATCCCTACACTCTTACTTATTTCGAGACAGGTGAACCTGCATATCTCTTCAAGATACAACAGAGATAGTGGTTTGCCAGCATCTTGGGCTATAGGAGTGGCACAGGCTACAATGTACTGTACATATTGTCCGGCCCCTCCACAAATGCCGAAAGAGTTCAGCAGGTCGCGACAGGTGAGGGAGGCGCTGACAACTACTTCACACATTCAAGATCCTTTCCTTCCCCGTGCGAATAGGGTAGATAGGTACAGCAAGTAAGTCCCAGCTTCCAACCACTTGTAAAAAGCTCCATCACAATTTGAACCACCCGGAGACAGCCGCCAGTTGCCGCAAGACTTGCATCCGAACGACCCCAGACTGTAAAGACCTAAAGACTAGACTTTCAAATGCTGTTAAGAACTCCTGCACAACAGCAGACTGGCAACATGGAGTCTGAATCAATTTCATACAGATTCAGAAGGCCAAGCACAACCTCGGCACAGTATACAAGATAAAGCTGGAGGGAAGTTTTATTCTGATGGAAACAGGGAATTGACTATAACCTAAGAAGGTAGAGCACCCTTTCAATTGGACTAGGACCACGCGCACCATCACAGGAATTATGCACCACTGCTATCTATTCTATGACAGTGGTTTCCATTAATCCTTCTTTTGTGATTTTGGTGCTGGCCTTGGTTTCATGGTTAATGTAGGGACGATACATCCCCACATCAGACACAATGATGCCGAGGATCCATACATTAATAGTGAAAAATACCAGGCAGGAGACAAACAAACCCGGCATAAATGTGGATATACCCAAAAATTCCAACCTGAACCCTTGCTGAAGCCAAAGAGCCTAGGATTGGAGAGTGAGTTTGTGCTTCACAACATCAGACACTGGAATTAGCTCTCATCACATACCTGCGCGGCAGTCCAGAGTGCTGCAGAAGTAGCTCCGAGGATAGGATGTGCTATCAACGAAGAATATGGGAGGTATAGCGGTAGGAATATAATGTACCACAGGAAATACTTTTTTTTTCAATTAAAATCAGCGGAATCTTCTCTCACAGCCATTGGATGAGAGAACAAAATAGAGCCTACCTGGCTAGTGCACACTTTGTTGAACGCAACGAATGCAAACGTTTGGGCAAGCATGCTTCCAGCAAGGTCCTTCTTTGCCAGCACAAGCGGAATCAGAATAGCAGACAGACTGAGTTGTGGAATGAATGCGAGCGACTCGAAATTATTCCCGGGAATGCCCTTGGCGGTGTTTGAAGATGATAGATACAGCAACATGTTGTATGGCGAAAAGTTGTGCCGGTGGTCCACGCGAGTGAGATGGTGTAAAAACGTATGTTGCAAAAATGGGAACCCGTAAATCATATACATCGCGACATTCAATGCTGTAAACACGCCCAAAGCCACCAACGTGAGGGTAATTCGTTCAACAGTAGCGAACCGCAAATCCCAGGCAATCAAGTTAGGGTTTTTGCTTGAATCTTTGTTCACCCTTTCAGACTGCTCTGGGTTATCCAGATACCAGATAATTGCCGGCCCATAAATGAACGGATAAATCTTAAAATGCACTCCCAATCCAAGCAGACATCCTGCTAGGATTATTCTCCTTTGCAAAACCGCCCACAGCAGTGCGATAACCATCACTCCCAACAGGCCTTCCGAGCTGCCCCTTGTACTGATCGTCGCCACCATAGGATTCAGCAACCATATACTGGCGTACTTTAATGCCCGCGTCACATCCATGGCTTGCTGATTCTTCATAATCAACACCTGGACGATCAACCAGCCCGCTACAATATCCGCAAATGCAAATAATGCCTTGCCAAACGAGAACCATAGGCTACCCAGCGGTCCAGATCCCGCCCATGCAGTTGGCATAAGCAACCACGCGAGCAACGGCGTATACCTGTACGTAGCTCTGTCATACGGCGATTTGCCTCTTAACACAAACCTGGCAGCGTCGGTGAAGACGTAGTAATCGATATCTGTGTATTTCATGGCAGAATGGGCGTCTTGATAGAGCCCGTAGAACAACAGGGCTACGCGCAGTATGATTGCGGCAGTGAACACCCGAGATGGGGAGGCAAAAAATGACGAAGATGATGCCATGACAGCAACCGCCTTCTCCAGATATAATGTCTCAAATTTATGATGGCCTCTCAACCGAACAGGAAACGTCCCTCAAACCATGAAAAGTTTCTAGTTGCTGTTGTCTCTCTATTGCTCCCGAGCGATGGATCGTAACAGAGGTCTCAAGGTGCTGCGACAACAAATCACAGGGTCAGCTCTGACTGGACATCATACCCAGTAAAACCAGGGTAAATGTATGAGAAGGACTGAATCAAAGATAAGCGAGAACCGTGCAATTGAACAATGTACAATGCGAACTTGATCTGTTGGCTTGGAAGTTGGAACGTCGTTGTGTTTGGTGGATGACTAAGCACACCGAAGGGGATCACCCTTTTCCTCAGGGGCTAACCACGTAAGTACACATACAGAGAATGCACTGATGACGACAAAGTTATGCAGGCTGTCCTTTGGGTGTCCAGTATTCACTGCCAGCTATCCACTACGTGAGATGTCAGAATATTGAGAGTATACATAGCATCCGTCATCGCATAGCGTGACTACACTGAATTTTGACTGAAGTCAAAATCTATCGCCTTTTACAAGATATCACGGAATGAATCATTTCTCAGCTTGTAGCTCGACGGCAGCCACATATTATATACCGCTTAACTAAAACCGTACAATATTCGGAGTCTCTAATCCGGTATCATACACTCCAGCCCTTTCTCCAACCGCGGGAGGTTCATGATCAAGAGGCTTAAGGTACTGTTGACCCTGGCCAAACATCCCCACAGCGGGGGGTTGTTGAGTATAAAAATCCTCTTGGACGCTCGACCAGATGTTATTATCCCCCCATGTAATATAATCCAACATTTGCTGCGGTGATGGCTGTATATATGGTGCAATATTCTGGTAACTAGGGAACGCAGCATTGCTAAGGACGGCTGTTTGGTCCATAGTGTGAATAGAAGGCGCGGTGTTTGATGTTTCCGATGAAGCGGTGGCAGACTGATCACTCATGCCGGCTGTGTGGGTGTCGCTTCCAGATGTACAGCTGCCGACGCTGGTGTGGCGTGGTCGCTGGCTAGTTTCTAGGATTCGAGAGACTACCTCCAACGTTCTCTTGGCAGTTGGACTCCAGTTCTCCAAGCGCTCAAGGGCAACAATCGCCGTTTCAACTTGGTTTCTGCAGCTATCCGACGTTGCGTGCGCATGGGTGGCGGTTCCATCAGCAATAAAAAGCCCAAGGAGCGGAACTAGTGTGGCTTGGAAGAGGAGCCAAACAGCATTCCATCCTGTCATTTGGTTCAAGCGAGTAGTTGAAGCGACATCCCGAATTGTTTCATTAGCGACCATCCTGCATCTTTCAATAGCATATCTCTCTTCTGTTCTGAGTGCAACATAGGGGATACGACGCATCGCGTAGCTTAGCAAGACAGGACGATGAAGAAGAATACGCTGGCTTTGATACCGCCATCGCATCACGGTTCGCGTTGTAGAAACCGGATCTGCACTGGGTTCATGATCCTTTAGGAGCGGAGGAAGATTGTCATACCATTCGACCAACTGATTATCGAGACTGACCATTTCTTGATAGCTGACAATCGGAGAAGCTGCAAGAGCGTCTCCCACCTGAGTAGCTATTTTGCAAAACCGAGTGTTTTCTACTAAGGAAAGCGCATAAAAGGCAAGTTCCTAGCACATTTCGTCAGAATCGAGACCAGTCCTGCAAACAAAGAAGATCCATATACCTTGTTTCCATGGTTATGTGGGAGTTTGGCTGTAATTCCAGGGCCCCACCGTCCCATACTTGGTCTACCCAACGTCATATAGCCCCAAGTGTCAAGGCAGAAGAGAGACCACCAGATCCTTCTTCGTAAATCGACAGAGAATTTTCTTTGGCTGTTTTGACTAGCAGCTTCCTGATTTCCAATGAATTCTTTATGCAGACCTAGAACAGTGGCCATACGCAGAGCAACTGCCATAAGAGAATGTGCAAGGTTGGGTTGGCTCATATAATGTAAGTAATGGCCTCCCATTAAGGCAAGGGTCTGGATGGTCTCTAAATGCGGATTCCCAAGGGTATCCAAACTCAAATAGTGTCTAGCTTTTAGATAGTAGGACTCGTGGGATGTATCATCGGCCGTGTATGCAGCAATACTTCCAAGTGCAAAAACAATATTTTGGAGTGCTAGCCAACGCGGATCGGACCTTTTACGAACCAGGACAGTTTCGCGGAATAAGTGCTCATCCAGCAATGGAGCGAAGGAGTGGAAGTATGCGAAGTACGCGTTGGTAAGCTCCATGGGATTTACTTCCAGATGCCCAGCCGTGGAAGGTGGGGGCTGCAAGGACCAAGAGCAGTTATCCGGGAGAGGTTGCTTCTCCCGTTTTGGGAGGGGTTGCGGATCGGGAGCCCTGGAGAAATGCTGAGAGCTCTCGGGATCAATCCACATTATTACCCGCATAACAGCATTCACCGAAGATATCCCCAAGTATGTTGAGGGCCGTTTTGTTGATAAGGACAACGCGTTGACATCGTCGGACACAGCGGCGACGAGATCTGGGCTCCGGCATGTACGACTCTCGGTGGAATCATCGGGCATTGTCTGGAGGGATTCCAGGTTTTCATCTTCTGGGGGGAGAGGGAGGACATGGTTATCGACAGACGGTGGGGGCTTGGACACGGGAACAGGAAGAATTTCGGACTGCGGTTGGGTTCTCGAGGCCAGCTCTAGAAGGCGTTCGCGGGGGAGGTTGGAGAGAGATTGCAAAGGAATGGACGGAAAGAGTTTCTCAAACACGACTCGATACTCCTCGACGGTGGAAGATAGCTTTTCGACATGCCTATTGATATTGAGTGATCTATATCAGGACATGGTGGAGAGCAGCCGGTAGCGACGAGTCACAGGAGACCACGATCAAGGTCAAAAAGAAAATCAATTATTACAGAAGAGGGGTTGGAGAAATACCCAAGAGCATGACATTCCCCGGTGGTTATGATCGCCGTACCAAGACTTCAGCGAGAATGAACGAATGAAAACAGGAAGTGGATACCTTCTGGACGGGCGAGGATCCGAGTAATGACACAGATCAGTCTTTTTATACCACTGGCACGCCTCGCACGGCTGCTCTCCATCGCAGCGAATCTTGCGGCGTCGACATTGTTCGCAGGCACGCACCGTCGAGGATCTTTTTCCGCTCTTGCCACGGCCCTCGCGGCTCTGACTCCGGGCCTTATCGGGATTCTCGAATCCTTCGAAAATATGGAACATGGATGCGATCAGGACTCGACCGCTCTGGGCGGAGTGATTAACAGGGACGAAGATGGGCAAGGCGCCGGGGTGAAGGGAGTAGTATCCATAGACTTTAAAGTGCTTGAAAGGATTGCGAAAGAGCTAACCACAAAGCGGCCTCATGGAAGTAGCCAAGGTTGTCGCCACTAGTCAAGCCTTCCAGCAGCCCTTCATCCTCCCTCCATGCCGCTGCGTGATAATGAAATAATACTAACTAACTACACTAGCACCAAGCCATCCTGATTTTAGACCCAATCGACAAGGTCTTGGGATTTTGCTTGGGTCCGGAGCATGGGCGCGGATAATATGCTGCTCGACTACGATGATGAACTTGACTCATTATTAGCCCTGAGTTACCGCCTTTTCTTCTCTGCCTCCACTCCCTTGAACTCCCCGGAGGACGACTCCGCCCTCCTCGTCGTCGGTTATGCTGAAGTGCTTATCCAATCTGCGATCCATGACGCCTCCCGCAATTTCCTTTCTCCGGCTCCGGATAAATCACGTGACTTTCGGATAAATAGATCCCGACGGCGGACGGCGCATCAGCCGGAGCGCAAAGATCAATGGACCTCGTAAAGGTCACGTGATGCTGACTAAAGAGGTCGAACCTTAAGTACTATAAATACCATACGTGTACCTCTGCTGTTTAAATTTTCAAATTATTTACAGTTTTCTTCACATACATTAATTGATTGGGAATTGATTGTCAATTGATTAGAAAACGGTTTCTAATCAATTGACAACCGATTAGTAGCCGCTTGCCAACCAATTATGGAATAACCTACCTTTGCCTTACAGCAGTCCTTTACCCGGCAGAAGACCCCATAGTGCAGAACAACAGACCCCAGCATCTGTATAATCAGCTATTAACTGATTGGTAACTGATTAGCAAATGCTTGTGTTACTCACTGTTGTGTACTCAGGCAGGACAATGTCTCCACTGGCAACACCCTCAAGATACCATTGGTAGTAGGCCTATCAATTCAATCATTTTTTAATCAATTTTCATCAGATTCCATCAAAATAACACATTTAACAGCTAAATCTACTCACATTATCGCGTAAATGAGCCATCTTCGCCAAAAAGGGCCGGGGGGGACTGCTTGGGAAATGCTTGGTAAGGGTAAGAAAAAAATCTTACGTGACTTGTTTTCAAGAGGTGCGCTCTGCTTAATAAACATCACGTGACCTTTTCGAGGTCCACGCTGGCTTACATAAGAGGTCCGGGTGATCTGTGTCCTGCCTGACGAACTGGCTTGTTGGAACGCCAAGGTAACTACTCCGTATGGAGTACGGGAGTACTCCGTACTCCGTAGTTAATAACTCACCAGTCTCTATCTTGGCATGACGAACGGCTGGCGACCTTCCCAAACCACACAGCTACGACCCGGCAGCCCGTCGTGCTTACAACGATGGCAGGCAACAAGCGGTCGTGGGAAGGGAATTTGATCCAGAGACCACAGAACGACAAAGATATGGCGGATACTGAACAAACCTCTCCGGTTCAATCCTTGTTTATGTACTTCCGGAACGAGTTGGATGAGCACCACGACCGCCGGGAGCGAATCATCAAGGTGTCGCGCGACGTCACGGCATTGAGCAAGAAGATGTACGTAGTCCGAAATTTACTGATTAAATCTAGCTACGGAGTTACTGATCATTTAAATGTAGCATCTTCTCCTTACACAGGTAGAAATCCCGATCGCGCCAAGCGACGAAATACACCCATACCTTTCGTCCAAAGCAGAGCCAGTTATTGACGCACTCTCCCCAGAATTCGAAACCTAAACACTCCAATCCCAAAATCCATCGCCAAGGAAAATGCCGACCGTTTCTCTCAGATTGACACCCTTTTCAAATCCATAGCCGCTGATGTCTCCGGCCTCAATGCCTGGCGATACCAACACCAGACAACCTGGGGGGTGCAGGAATACATCGAAGCCCTCTCCTTCCAACACTATATCGAAAAGCAGCGACTAATCACCCTCGAGGAAGTAAGAAGTTCTCTGCCGCCAGAGATTCTGGTTACGGAGTCGGATTATGTGTTGGGATTGTTTGATTTGACGGGAGAACTGATGAGATTTGCCATCACGGCGATGAGCATGGGAGGGACCCGTCCGCGGGATACGTTGGCGAGTGCAAATGTTGATGGGCCGAGTGATGTGTGCGGGTCGGGTACGTCGGTGGAAGGAATCATGGTTGATCTACGGGAGCTGCGGGCGATGTTTGAGAAGCTGAATGTTCCGCGAAATCATTCCTTGATGAAGGATTTGAGTAAGAAGATGGAAGTTATGCAGGCGAGCGTGGAGAAGGTTGAGAAGGCTGCATACGGTTTGCTGGTTCGCGGGAAAGAGCGGCCTCAGGGTTGGATGCCGGATCTCTCGTCGAGTTCGGCGCCGGTGGAGAGTTATTGATAATTGGGCTGTCGGTGGGCGAGTGTTCTGGGTTGGCTGGTTTTACGATATTCTTACGGAGGACTGCTATGGATGTCCTATGAATGTTAATGTAATGGGCCGAAAATGATATCAGATCCACATGTCGAATATCGTCTAATTCCTTCAGGTCATCAATCCATAATAATAATTATCGCAGAAGCATGAACCAAAGTCATCTCAACCTATCCCCATTGCCATATATTCTGTTTCCGTAGCGAAACCATTACCAGGGTCAAAAAGAATCCTCCAAAAAGAACGCCCCAACACATACAAGAGCCAATTGACACCAGTTAATTCAAACACTTGCACCTCATCACACCTTCCTCGGATCCTCGTCCTCATCCAAAATCCCGGATTTAATCAAGTCCTCTGGCTTTGGCCGGTTTTGGATCTTGTGCTCCAACGAGTCCGCCACCATATGTCTTTCCAATTCTTTGGCATGGGCCTGCAGGGCCGGAGCGGCGGTGGAGGATGGAAGGATGTTGCCTACAAAGGGCGTTATTAGCAGTGCATAAGATATATGTTATGTATGTACTAAGTCATCTAGGATGACTAGGGTGGTGGTGGCGGTGGGCGCACGTTCGATAAGAGTATCTCTATCCGGTCTCTTTTCTAGATGCCGCTTGAGGCTGTCCATGGCGCGATGGCGAGCGAGTTCGTGCTGTGCAGCTTGGAGCGATCTAAATATTCGGGTCCCATACAGGGGATGTGCTTAGCATTCAGGTGCCGCTTTTGTTTGTAAAGGGGCTACTTCTGTGCAGTACGAACGGCTGACGTACGGTGCAGCGTTTGTGTCCAGCAGGATATGTCTGTCCTTGAGCTCCTGGGGGTTCGGACGGCGCTGGAGATATTTCTCCAGCGAGTTGCGCCGCTCTAGGGTCGGCGAAATAGGAGACTCGTCGACAAGCGGGGAGTCAGTCATGGTGCGGCAGCTCGATATAGAGGACGTTCGGAGCGAAAATACGACAGGGGTTACTGGCAGTTATGATGAAGTAGATTGCCCCTTACGGCGATAATTTCTATAAATACGGTGTACAGAGAGAAGGCGAGGTACAGATCGTGTTTTATAGCTTGGATGAATTGAGGGTTGTTTATGCACACGCCACTTTACGGCGATGAATGATGATGCCCGTTGATGGTCATGTTGCCCCGCTCCGGTTGCCCTGTGACGCCTAGAGCCTGCGGGGCGACCGGCCGCGCCCTGTGCTTGTGGCAGGGGTGCTCGCCCAGGCAACGAGCAGTCCTACAAAAAAAAGAAAAAGAGGTACCCCGTACGGAGTACTCCGTATTCCGTAAAAATAAAACATAAATGAAACACTCAAACTAAGAGCATCCCACGCGCACAGCATGTCACTTGCAATGCTGTTTAACATCAAAGAGTGAGTCATCCAGGCTGTGCTCTGAGGAAGTTCCAATAGTTAAGCAAATAGGAATCGATATTGACTTGATTCTCTGATCACCTTTTTACGCTACAAGATCACTTGAATACAGATCTTTTGTTCCAACATATGTACTCCGTCTGGGGTACTCCATAATCTGTTTTTATTTGATGCGCACGAGCTTGCAAAGGGCTCCGCAAAGACATCCCGTCGATAAATGGATATACAGTCCCAGCCTGCTGAATCCTTTTCTTCAGACACCTTAACACTCCGTATTGGTGTACTTTCTCAGGGACCCAAGCGGGGCCAGTGAGCTCAATGAGAGCCGTGTGTGTATCCGTCACTTCAGCTAGCAAATGAAAAAGGGGACCAAAAAAAAAATCTCTAGGCTTGCTGGATCTAGGCTTACATTGGAAGAGCTTGTGAAACTCCGACTTCGATGCCCAATCCTATCTAGCCTACTACAGAGTGGACGTCGGCTGACATGTTTGAAATTCCCGTGATTTACTCCTTTTGATGTGAACTGACCCGTGTCGCTGTTGGTATGGTCCCTGAAGTTCTTTTGATCGATTAACCCTGCCTCGGAGCCTCTCTTGGCCAGGCTCCCCCAAGTGCAAAAAAGATGATCCTTTCACCAGAGAGGATTCCTTAAGCAAGCTCACCGCCTGAAAGACCAATGTGGGCCTAGATAAGGCATGATTTTGTCCAGTCGTTTTATCGTCTTCCAGCAGCTTGATGGAAGTTGCCTTGATACAAACAAATAATATTATTGGTGACCAATCCCATCGATGATGGACACGAGGAGAAACTCGACGCTACGGGTGCTGTGAGCAGTTGGCAGCTGAGCAGCTGATTAGCGGTTGAATAAATACCCCGCACTTTGAGCCCCTCATATATAAGGCCTCCCGCGCGGAATCTCCAACATCCGTCATACATTCGCATAGCTGTCGCTTGGAACACTAATACCACTTATTAAATTTACCCAATAATAAAACCTACTATTCAACAAGCTCCTCCAGCAATGGCCACAAACAGTCAACTTACCATCAACCAAGGCCACAGCAGCTGCCCTGCTTGCGGTGCCGGCATTTCGGGTGATTCGAAGACCTGCAATTCTTGTGGAAAAGTATGCCGTTCCTCGGTTTATTTGCTTCTCCTTATATTCCTCTTCCGCCTAAATTGAGCTTCCATAGTGCTAATATGTGATTTGTCCGCTCAGACTTGCCCGAATTAAGACATCGAACGACCCAGCGATTCCCATACCGAAAGGACGATTTACCGTAGCGCAATGTTCGTAGATATGGAAGCCTATCCGGCTTCTTTCTATAGGGAAGGATGGGACGATGGTCGATGAATTTAGGGAGCCAACGCCCAGTTGAAGCAAGTTGTCAGCCAGTGATTTCGAGCTCAGGAAATACGATGTGGGGGCGCAGCTCATTGTTGGTATTCCATTGCAGTGCTGCTAGAGTAGGACCCTGACCAGCTATTCAGTGAAGAGCGGCAGTAGTATTTATGCGAAGTCACAAACTATTTCATATTTAAGTATGCTAATACCTTTAATACACCATTTTCCTTTGGGAATGGCGAAAGTGAAGATCATGTCGAGAAGTTCTCTTGATAGCTTGAAGAACATCGAAGCCGAGGGTGCATCTTCCGATTCGATTTGCAGCTGCTCATTGCTTTTAGCTTATAAGCAAAAGCTACCCCGAGAACCTTTTTGAGCAAGTACTCACTTTTGAGACTACTATGATTCTTGATGCTTCACTTGCAGTAGTTTAGAATAACATAGGGAATCTAAACTCACAGTAAACACTGGCAGCAAGGCTGTAAATCACCAACATTCCTTGTACGTTTCACAATAACTGTATGCTTATTGAATGTTATCCCCTGTAATCCGAGTCAGTCGCACAGATTAGGCTGCTATGTGATTGTTAACACATTCTGGGACCACCATCACCTTTTTTAGAGTGTCTAGATCTGGAAGACCCAACACTGTTCCATTCTCTTTGAAAGTTGTTGCCTTCCTATGTTCCATGAGCTCTACAAGCCTTCTTGCACGGGGGATTCCTAGAAAGAGGAGTGAGGCATACATTTGATATTCCATATATTGCCATCTGAACAGGTCATCTAAATGCCATAACATGACGAGTTGTAGGTGAGATATGTAGATTTTTAAGGTCGAGAAAGTATCCTAAGACATGGTCAGATTGACAGCAAGATGCAATATCTTTGAGGGGAAAGGTCAAGGATCAGCTGTTCCTTAACCCAAGCATACTCTATTAGCTGAAAAAATTCATTCATCAGTAGTTACTTGATTCTGAGTGGGGGAACATCTGTTCAATGATCAGTCAATTCTAGCTTTCACACTGTTTCCCCTATATTTCAGGAGGTGCAGCTAAATGCATTCTACCAGAGAGACAAACAAAAATGTTAAGTGAGAATAAATAATAGTAGTCAAATTGTCAGGATTGTCAGCTAGTTAGATAGGCCCGCCACCAATCCAAGGCTTTGTCAAAGAGTACTTACAATAAAATGAGTGTCCTTTAAAAGGTATTCCAGCAACAAGACGCCTTCCCAAGCTCCCAGTCACCTCTATCTGTAGCTGACATTATCCCCCCTTCTCTCTCTCACACGCACACCACTCAAATTTCTGTGTGCGATGTAACTGTGGCAGTGAGGCGGTCTATTTAGGACGACTTCTTCACAGGGGTATCGTGCTATAAAGCCACATTAGTATTGCTCAAGTCAGGTAAGTGATTTCAACTTCGTTGGTGTATAGGTTTGGATATGTACGCACAAATCTCGGGCAGTTATAGGGGCTGACAGGACCCTTGCAATAGTCTGGCATACCAAAATGACAGCACTCGCCCAATAATGGTTCAACGACAAATCCATTATGTGGATTGAGACGAGGAATGTCGCCCTCAAGGTCTTCGCAGTAGCCACAGAAAGTGAAGCCATACTCGGGGATGTTTTCAGAGACTTTGAGGTCATCACGAATTTGACAGGAAGATCTGGGGAGTGGAATTCACACATCATCACCTTGATCAGTAGGGATGGCCATGGTGCCAACCATGAACAGAGCAGTCGCGGTGAAGATGGAGAGGAACTCCACGCTTGCGGTCAGAAAGAAGTCTTAACAGACGCGTGGGAAGAGAGATTTGAGCTCAAGAGATCAACTGAAGTGTGGCTTGAAAAACTTCCTATCTGGTTGTGGGCGAGAAGGGCACCTTTATATAACTTCACGAAAATCGTGTTAGATATCAAAATCAGGGAGCACCTGCCTCCCCATGATAAGTGAAATGTATCGCCCGCAACCTTTGTCAGTTAAGATATCTCCTTGGCAATGGCCTGACTTTAGTTAGATCAGGCCGGGAAATCATTCAGAAAGCCATGTCATGTCCAGATGTCCAAACTTGAGGCCAATTGCAAGCAGACGTGTTTTGCTGCTGGGGGTAGGGCTGCGAAATTTCCGGAATGTTGTTCCCCCTTTCCATCAATAGGAAGGGCATTTAGCCCTCTGACCATGAATATCACTATTCACTGTTATCTGGTTGCAGATTGCTCTGCAGGAATCCTGGATTGGGGGTCTTTGGCATGCCTTGTATAAACTTGTCTTTCTGTCCGTGACTATGCGGATGTCACCTCTCCCAGAGGGGTTCAATGGAATGCTGTTTGGACCGTAGAGAGCAATAGATTAGGCTGCAGAAATATTGGAAAGCATCTCCCTTCCTCTTGTGAAGCGAAGTCAATATCCCTGTGCTCTCTGGGCCATGACTAGAATAGGCAGAGGTAGTGATATAGGATTTGAGGCCTTCATTTAGCCTGCATTCTTAACATCTGTAACCTGGGCAACAATGGATCCTGAGATGCAGGATGGAGAACAAGCGGAGCATTTCTAATCCAGGACTACTGTATTGGTTTAAGGCTCGATCAGCGAAGAGAAAGCCATCAACATGTAAGAGGTTACCTTGAATAAAAAATCCATGGGCTATACTGGATGCTTCTGGAGCAAGAGGAACAATTCCCCAGCCTGGGCTTGTTCAGATCGACAACGCCACGAACATGGCAATATGGGATTTGGTCCACAGATAGGGTATCAGTGGCTCCAGCAAGCTGACGACCAGAGCTTTTCCACAACCTGGCCATGGAATCTTCATTTCTGGAACTTCCTTCCAACCAAACAAGAGCTCGCGACCCTCCATGGCTAACCGGAAAGCCCTGGTAGCGGATGATGATGATCGCATAGGATGAAAGTGTGCCGACACAAGAGATAAGGAATCAGGATTGCACCAATCAAACAAAGCAATCCCCAAATCAAGGCAGCCCTCTTTTCCATGCGTATCCTGGCGAGGACGAACTAGGAGCGACTTGTACCCGACCACCAGGAGTCGTTCCATCCGAACATCCAGAAAACAACAGCGGCGCCAAGTGGTGCCGTCCTGTCAGTACAACATGCGTCATGGGATGACAGATCACTAACTAACATAGCAGCACAGGAGGGAGACCCATAAGGGTGGATGCTTGCAAGTGTGACATGTAGTTGTCGGGGAACCCTCAAATCGACGCAAGAATCATGATAAGAGACTTGTGGGATGAAGCCATATCTGGGGTAGCTAGGGATAAGACATGGCTACCATTGCATCCATTGCATTCAGAACATGAGCACTTCAGCTCACCTTGGTTGCCATTTGGTCCTGATCACCAAATCAACTTCTCTCTCTCCATCTGTGAGAATTCAAGAATCTCTTCTTTTTGTCTCTTTTTGCCCCCCTTTTGTATTATTTTTCCTTCTACATGCTGTCATCTGTAGAGAACATTACCTTCCCTCAAAATGTCAAAAATATATGGAGCGATTCTGTGTGCCTGCTGTCTATACATCTGGCTTTTGCACTGATCACTATTGATGATTCCAAGGGCATGGAGGGTGCCTTTTTGGCGCATCCTGAAACATTTCCTTCTTGGCCTTGCTATCTGCATGGACAGATAATCACGCACGTGTCGGTTGGTAGAGGTTGTTCAACAGTGTCTGAAGAAGCTTGAATAACACTTTAGAGCTTATTGGAACCAGGGATCTCTCTCTATAAGCAGTTCAGGTGAAATCTTTGGGGCTGTTATAGGTGCAAGAAAGTCTAGTCATTTGCAAATCAACACTCAGAGATTCAGATAAGTGAGAGAGATTCAGTGTCAAAGCACCAGTCTTGACAATACTCACCTACATGTGAGGTTAGAAAAGGTTAGGGATACTAACATAGTCTTAGCTCATATCTCCTTTTATAATTGGAATAGGGGAACCAGAGCTAGAAGCAAGATATGTTGGAAAACAGAAAACGGGCAGCAAGTTCAACTGAAGTGGGTCGAGATGCTTAATTGACATATCTACCTTCAGGGTTGCCACTTCTGTTCTGAACAAGACCATTGAATGCATCAGGCGCCCATGGTTCAATAAACTGTGATGGAAGAGCCTGTCAACAGGCTACCCATTGCCTCCCCCAGAAGGTTATGTGTGCTGAGGTGTCCTATGTTTTCTGGCGAGGTTTTTTGCTAAGATTCTGACTGAAATGGTGGAGTGGCCATGTCTCAAGGCTAACTAGCCCGCTAAACAAGAACCACAAATACCTTTCAATTCAGGCGCCCTAACTCGCTCTCAATCCTCTGGTCAGCTGGAGACTAACTAGCGGATAGAGACCAGCGTGCTTCGTACGGTGAAAGGTGTGTACTTTCTTTCATTGAATGGAGAGCAGGACGCGCTGTGCCAAACCCAGGTAAGCTTTGTGCCCACAAACTCTCAATTCATAGATCTGCCCAAGGAGGTCCCCAAGCTTGTGTGAGTTAGCGCAAGCTGGCCAGAAGTATCAATCCAAAAATAATTGAAGCATTGGCTTAGCAACGGATAGACTATCTCACCATTGTTCCGAGTGAACTCGGCTCTAAGACTGAATTTCGAGATACGAGGAGAATAAAGCTATTGACGTGTGGACCGACTTAATTTCCGTTTCGGCTCGGCAAGGTGAGGATCACGTGCACAACAATGTTAAGGAGAGTCGGCCCGAACTTTGCAGAGTCGGCTTCGGTCGTCAAGCTGTAAACCCTTGAGAAGAATTTTCACACCCTTTACAGAGTAACAACTTTTAATATTGACATCGCTATTATAACAGGTTGATTCATAATTACAGCCTTGTAGTAAATCAACAAGACATGCAAGCCTTTCCAATATCATACATATCAGGCAATCCAATAAGGAACTAATCCATCAAGGAAATGCCTCGATTATAAGGGGTTCGAACAATAACCATTCGCACACAGGCGACAAAGGCAGTCCAAGAGTCCAGATATCCTTTTAAACAAGTTAAGATCTCGTAGGCCCCAGCCAAGGCCCACACGGATTGCGTACAAAAAATGGTCATACCGAAAATAACTTTCAACTCAAAACTGCATCAAATCATCTCGTCCTTCCCCTAGTATTCACGGATTTATATCTCCATCCTGTCGTGTGGTCAAAGTTAATTTTACAGGCCGGGCCCCGAAGAATGGAAATGCGACCAAGCCTGACAGACAAAAGTGGTGCTTTGATTATGCCCCCTCGTTGTCACCAACTCTGATCGTTCCTTCGTTGCCAATTCCGTTGGACCAGAAGCCATCAATACTAAGAGTGCTATATCAGGGGTTAGCATTCCTGAATATTTTAAAATGTCAGTGCAAAGCTTACATGGACTGCATGCTATCATGGGAAACAAGGAGCCAGTATCCGAACACTCCCTGTGACAAAATATCAAGGATCGCATAGATGATAATCTCGGCGTCGACGCTCATCCGGCGTGTATTGGATGATGCAGCCCATATGCTGATCAAAATTGCCAGGTTAGTACAGCATAAAATTGTTAAAGAAAAGGGAACAACTTACATTGGATAGATTAGGAGCAGAACGAGGAAGTATCCCGCAATCGAGGAGTAAAACGCCCTGGTCTGATTGTCCTTTGCCAATGTTGCCCTGCGTCCATGGAATCCAGTATGATATACGACAGTGAGATATGACAAGCATGAAATCGTGAACCACGCCCATCTTGTACCATGTTCGCTAAAGACACTGATTAGCCCAGTAACGAACATGGTAATATTAGCAGCGACCGAAATGAGAAGGCTAGCTCCATTCATCCCCGCCAACAGGGCCAAGTTGATAAGGATAATAGTAAACGTTAGGCCCCAGTTGAGCCAGCGAACCCAGAAGACCTGGCGGTAGACTTCCTCCACTGTGGCAGGCGCATTCTTGTGTTCCTGGCGAATGCTAGCAACATTATAGCCAATACCCTCTCCCGTGGCCATAGCGAAATAGGCAAGGAAGGAGATGGTTGTTACGAGGGATGTTAGGACATGGAAAAGCCGTTTTTGCTGAATGATATTAGCCTTCCGACTGATGCCGGAATCACGGGTCTGTGTCCTTTCCTACTTACCACTACTACTCTGGCACCCAGAATATAGAAGATCAAAGAGGAGACGAGCATTAAGATTGCCACGACCCTACCGTCAATCAGTGAGTATAGCTCTAGGGCTCAGCGATCATCTCTCATAACACATACCATAGTGCTCTTCGTCCTGTATTTCCAAGCTCCTGAAAGATAGGAGGCTTTCCAAGTGTAGGAATATGCGGAGCATCCATCATTCCAGGGGCCTTGAACATGTTTTGAACAGAGTCGAAATTGAAAAAGAGGCTTGAATCAGATCTAGCGGATAACAAGTAGATCCAAATGACAGCTGAAGAAATATTCTATCCAGAAGCCTGTCGAAAACGCGACGCACTTTCTCACGCACTCCGTTCTCCAGATAACTCACTGAAGAATGGCGCTCAACCTAGCATATATACATAAACACGCGCAGATGGCGAAACCAGCTGCCCCTCTTGCAGAGCTGGCCCAACGCCCCCCAGGAAGTAAGTCGTCATCGGTTTGCCAACTCGCATGCTTCAGTCCAATCGGGCACGGTGAAGAGAGACGGTTGGCTTTCTTGAAACCCTGGAATTGTTGGAAGACCTTCAGGCTTAACTCCGGTGGCTTGGCTGACGAAAGAGGTACAAAAAGGTCAACCAGCAAACAATTGAAGCTTGAGATTAGAATTGGAAGCGTGATTGGTACTTCACCGTAGAGGAGGCGAAAACTCCTCGTCGGTTGACTGTTAGGGCTGAGTTGAGCAGTGACATAACAATCACCATTGGCGTTGTTGGACAAGATGCAGGTTACCAACGGTTGTGGACCAAACTTCGCTGCTCCGCCAAGGTCTCTTGGCTGTTGATATCAGTTGGATCGTCATAATCCATCGAAGAGCAATGCCCGCACGGTGTAAATAAAGAGATGATGTGCTCCAATATGGCCTAAATCGATCTATCGTACATCGTATGGGGATATCATCCAATATCTACTCTCAAAATACATGTATACAGTGCATCAACGAGAGAAACTGCTCGCAGCCTCTGAGGCTTCTGAGGTATTCGAAGCCTCACTACTATTCGGCTCCAATTCGTGAACAACATCTTCACATCTCTGACATAGCGCATCTTCCGCCATCGACTCAGGAACAAGGTACCTCCAACATCTTGCACACTTTCCTTCCACAGGGGTATATATCCACGCCTTTCCCATCTCGCCACTGGGTAATTCGAACTGCCCTTCGTAGCTCCATTCTGCGTTTTCCACTTCGTGCGGCACTTCACTACCGCTTCCCAAGGTAACAGAAGACACAACAAAAAAGTCGGCTAACTCGGCAGTGCCAAGTTCCTGGAACACGCTAACGGAGTCGGGGACGTTCAGATGGACATACGATTGAAGAGAAGAGCCCATTTGTTTTTTAACTCGGGCAGTTTCCTGCATCATTTTTACGGCCGCATTGGCAGCCGCTATTGCTGGATAGCTCTTTTCTAGGAACAAATTTCCCCATTTTGGATCGGGGGGAACCATAATACGGCGGAGAGGGTGGTCGACAGCGGACTTGATAACATCAGGGGTGTGTTCCCATGACTCTTCGACAAGGAGCGGGACAAGCGGTCCTAGAATGCTTTGAAGATGTGAGTATATGTGGAAAATGGTGGTTTGCGCTGCTCGTCTGCTTAGACCGTCGGTCGAGTCTGCATATAACCGGTCTTTTATCGACTCAATGTAGAAAGCAGAAAAGTCGGCATTGGCCCAACGGTTAATGGCAGTCACTGCCTTGAAAAACTCTAGATTTGAGAATGCTTCCTGGCAAGCGAGGACAAGGGATCGCAATTGCGATAAAGCAATTTTGTCGGTTGCACGTAGGGATTCATACGGAATTTGATTCTTCGGATCAAAGTCTTGAAGCGCACCAAGAATGAGTCTGAAGGTCACTCGATATTTGTGAAGACTTCCGTTGGTAGCCTTGAGTATTGGTTGCCCGATAACCACATCTTTTGTGTAGTCGCTCCCAGCAACCCATAATCGCAAAGCATCTGGTCCAAGAGCATCGTAAACCGGTGCAGTTGGCTTCTCCTTGGCACCTTTGGCCTTCTTAATTTTCAACGGGGGAAGAAGGGTTCCATTCATGATTTCGTGCGGATGAACGATATTTCCAATGGACTTGCTCATTTTACGGCCTGCATGGTCGAGAGTGAATCCATGGGTGACAAGGGTCTTAAATGGTGCCTTAAAGTGACCTTTTGAACCCTTCGCCAACTGATGCGCAATATGTGTCAACAAGCTTGATTGGAACCATCCACGATGCTGATCTGTCCCTTCAAGGTACATATCAGATCTGGTAGATTCAACGCCATCGTTCTCTTTCATCTGGGTCCAGCTCGTCCCGCTGTCAAACCATACGTCCATAGTATCTGTTCCTCTAGCGTAACCCGGGCCAGCGGGATCACGAAGAGAAGGCGGTATCCAAGCAATATCGTGTTCATTATCTGTCCACCAAGCATCAATCCCTCGCTGTTTGATGACATCCATAATATGAGTGACGCTTTCTCTCGTTAAAACAGCTTCACCAGTTCCCCTATGGTAAAGGGCGGGAATAGGAACTCCCCAAGCTCGCTGCCTGGAGATACACCACTCAGTTCTGTTCTTCACAAAAGCCTCCAATCTAGCCTTACCAGACTGAGGGACAAAACGAACATTCAGTAGAGCACTAACCGCTTGCTGACGGATGTCTCCCACATCAGCAAACCATTGCTCTGTCGCGCGAATGATAACTGGCAGCTTGGAGCGCCAATCGTACGGATATTTATGTTTGTATTTATGCTTGTGAAGCAGTCGGCCCTCCTCTTCCAGATATTTGACGACAGCTTTGTTGCCTTCATTTAAAACGTGTTTACCACTCAGCATGGAAGGGCTGGAAGGCATGGCGGCATCAGTGAACCGGCCCTCTCCATCGACAGGAGCTGAGGCTGAAAGTCCATGTTCTAGACACACTTCGTAATCCTCCATACCATGTCCAGGGGCACAATGGACCAAACCAGAGCCAGATTCATCTGTGACGAAGTCCCCTGCAATTATTGGCTGACATGATCCATCTGTATCTTTAAAAAGTGGCCGATACGTACTCGATAACAAGCTGGTACCCGCAACAGACATAAGTACTTTGAGGCTTTCTTCAAGGAGGTGTTCAACATATTCTCGCCGCGATTCCGCGATCAGGAGCTTTCCATGCCTCTCAGACTGGACAATGATGTAGTTAAGGTCCTTGCTGACAGCAATCGCTGCATTCGCTGGTAGTGTCCAGGGTGTTGTCGTCCAAATGACCGCATATATCTCATCTCCAGAAGCCAGGGGGTGCTCTCTTATTTCCGTCGGCATGGTCGCAAGCGGAAATTTCACAAGGGCAGCATGCGACACATGATCATCGCGATATTCTAACTCCGCCTCCGCCAACGCTGTTCCTGTCGAAGGAGACCAATAAACGGGCTTATACCTCCGATAAATCAGCCCCTTATCCACCATCTCAAGGAACACCTCCAACTGCCTCATTTCAAATTCCTTGTCCATTGTTTTCCAGTGGTTTTCCCAATCGCCCATGACTCCCCACTCTCGGAAGCCCTTCATCTGCTTCACTACCGTCTCCTCGGCCAATTGTCGTGCAATCGCGCGGATATTAGCCGGGCCCAAGTCCTTCCCCACCTGATTTTTGGAATTCAGGGCTTTCAATTCGATGGGCAAACCATGGCAATCCCAGCCTGGAATGTATTCCACCCTCTTGCCCTTTGCCAGCTGAACTCTGCAGATAATGTCCTTCAATATTTTATTCAGCGCATGTCCGATATGTAAATCGCCGTTCGCGTAGGGTGGGCCATCGTGGAGCACGAATTGAGCGGAATCCGCGGGTCGCTGGCGACGCTGCCAGGCATACAAGTCATCGGTGCATCGCTGGAGATATTTTGCCTGTTGAGCGGCGGCAATGCGGGCCGGAAAAGTTGACTTGGGGAGTTTGAGCGTCGATGACCAGGATCGAGCGAGAGATCGTGACAAGTCAGACATGCTCCGTCCAGCTATTGCATAGTCGCTGTTGATAAGAGGTCAAGGCCGGTTGGAGTAATTTGAAGCTGGGTAGCTTTGCATCGATTGTGCAATCGACAGTTACGCGGAATTACGGACGCCAGTACGCAGTAACTACGGCAAGGAACCCGCAACTTCAGCGCTCACAATGCCGAGCATCTTTCAACGCTGTACGGAGTAATTTTTTTGAGAAGCTCCGGAATGCCAAGCCTGATCCACCCATTAAAGCCACTTCTGTCCTCAAGCAGTTTAGTTTAACACAATTGATTACGTATGAAGATCGATGGCTAAACCAAATACAGACTAGTCTATGAGCCACAAGGTGGCTTGTAGGCCTGTCAGATGTCAACGGACGATCCGGTCTTTTTTTGGCCGCTTCGTAGCATCAACTGCTCGTGACGACACCCGGAAATACTCGCCTGATTCGCCTGGAGGGTGGACATACTCAGGTGGACGTTTGAGTCCAATGGCTACACCTGATTGATGTAAAGGGAGTCTCCACTCTTTATGAATCGAATCAGGATTGGAGGGAGAGAAAGCCGCTTGGCTTAGCTCTGAGCAATGAAGAGGAATATGATGAAGGAATAGAAAGTGAATACAAAGGCGTTAAGATGGAATTGAATAGCCAATAAAGAGGGCCGAATTACCTCATATGCCACTTTTGTTCACCTCGCCAGATTGCACGCCGGAATGGTTACACCGCAGGTAATTTATGGGGGTGCAGGGATAAACGATGGAGTAGCACCTTCAACTCAAACCATTGCTGAAGCAGAGAAACTCCGTATCTCAGCTATAAAATGTGATCACTTATAATAAAGTTACACACATACTGCACCATCTTCTCTAATCAGACCAAGTGAGAAGTGGGTATTGTCGCTCTAAACTATCCCAGTTGTCCACTCCACCTTTGAACGCCAGCGTAAATCTAGTAAATCGTCAAGCAGCTAACAGATTCGTTCTTCAAAACTTCAAAAAGAGACCCCGGAAACCCATATATCTCCGTGTTACCAAGCGCATTGGCATCGCCAAGAGCGGGTTGATCCCCCTGTCTATTCCCGATGCTCTCTTCCCAACCCCCGAGGAGTTCGATGCTGCTGCCGGGGCTGTCGCCCCAGCCACGATTAAGCACCATGCCCCTCTGAAAGGCGGCCTCTTCTGAAGGATTCGAGTAGAAGCCATTCCAGAGTTTCTTAAGCCTCTCCGATACTACACTATAGGGTGTTTCTGAATTCAGAGAATCGTCACCGTTAATATTTAGCACCCAGCGACTCCGCCTATGCCGGTTAAATGGGTAGGAACCAGGAATGTTCCCATGTAGAATTAGTTTAGTGGCGGTGAGTTGCGATGGGTTTCCCACCGAAAGTGGTTTTGTACTCGAAGAACCCGGGAACGGCGGTCCAGACGCGGTTGGTTGAGATATGAATACGTCAAATCCGTGGTTAAAATAGTTATAAAAGCATTCACCGGCCACGGATGAGGGGTTCCGCTCCGAAGATGATGAAGAGTCTTCATCAGAATCCTCTATGGCACTTGTGTCAGGCGTATGGTCAAAATCCACGGGGTCAATAGGGCCATGGCGGGGCGAAGGACTGGTACCGAGACTGGGAGAGTTGTTCGAGGGCCTCCCACCGTGGATTCGAATCCGACGGTCGCTTTTTCGGTAAATCGCATCGGGTGGGCCCAACTCTGCGATTAAATCTTGCGGCGTGGTCTCAGATAAGGTAATCCAGAAAGGTGCACTAGCTTTCCGAACAAGCTCAATTCTACCTCCTCCATGAACCGTGACAAGCTCAATCTCATCGGCAAGGTATTCCTTATTCTTCCCAGCAAGTGCAGTCAACCTAGGGTAGATTGGCTGGCGTGTAAACAGGTCTGATCGGGCAGCTGCCCACGAATCCCCGAGAAATACCGCCATGGACTGTGCGGGGGATGCAGCTGAAGATGCCATCAAAGAAAGGCTGTCACGTTTGGTGGTCCAGGATGAGTGTAAGACGGAAAACGAAAACGCAACCCCAGGATACGATAGGATGCAAGTTCCATGGGTTCCGTTTGCAGAGGGGGGGATGTACTCTCCAGGATATGTTACCCCAAACAGCCGGTTAATATGGCGGAATTTTGGCCCGGCCTGTTGGACCCCGTCGGATTTGCTCAGTTTAGGGAAGTCCGTGTTCTCATAGGAGAGGGAGATCTTTGTGAAATCCAACACCTCGATCAACCGCAGCCTTTGATCTGGACCATCGAACCGCAGCCGTAGGCCATTTTCGGGAAGACATATCAGAATAGGCTCATAAACAGGATTCGAGGAAGAGTAGACCAGATTAATAGTCGGGTACGATTGCGGGTGCCCTTTGAGGCGGGTTAGGATGTTATGTAATGACGCTCCGAGAGCTACAAAGAGACCAAAGTCAGTAAAGCCTGGGCGTCCATTCAACCAGTCAAGTTCCTATACAGTTATAAAACTAGAAACGTACTTAAGAAGCCGATCCCACGACCTGGGATAACCTGCGCGGGGAAGGTACTTGGAGATGTCGTCATGGTGTACGATGGCTCTCAGGCACGAGAGAGTTCATCCTAAGGATGATGTTCAAAGAACCCAGTTGCTCTCTCTTAAATAATCATGAAGTGTCAACGTATATATAACAAAGGCAACCAAGAAGATAGATGTCGGCGGCAAACCAACCGAGAGACGGAGGACGGAAGGGCGAGGAGAGGCCGTGACGCCAGCAGGCCGCCAGCGCAGGGCATCGCGCCAAGAGAGCCGTTATCTTATCAGCGCAGGTGGCCACGGCGCTTCATGTGACCTGCGTCATGGTCCTGCTGACATAATAGTACGTAGACTTTATTTGGGATCCTGGGCCAATCATGTCGACTTGCGGCAATTTGTTTATCTTTTGCTCTTTTGGGACTTCTTATCTCATCTCCTTGCGGTCGCCTCGCATCACAGCCGACAGATTCGTGGCGTCTTGCTAACTATCTTCCTCCCAGCTTCCTATCCAACCCGCTTATTAGGATATTAATACATGAGTAGCATTACTCCGTATCGCTGGGACTTCCACAATGGCCGGGACTACGCGGTCGCAAACCGCCAGAGATCCCAAAACGCGGGCTCCCCCTGCACGAGTACCACTCCGCGCACCGACAAAAAAGCGGTTATCGACAATCCAAGACAGAGCTGGGACGCCAGCGAGACCTATCCGACCTTCAGTACCTAACTCAGTACGTACAAACACGTCGCCCGGAACACAACCCAGTGCTGGATTAAAGCGGAAAGATCGGGAATTCGAACATGAAGTGCCTGGGGACACAAATATCCATGTGGTCGTTCGTTGTCGAGGGAGAAATAATAGGGAAGTTAAAGAAAACAGTGGCGTTATCGTCTCTACAGAGGGAATCAAGGGTTCCACCCTCGAGCTCTCGATGGGCCCCAATGCAATGGCAAACAAGACCTACAACTTCGATAAGGTTTTCTCTCCTGCGGCAGACCAAGCCATCTTGTTTGAGGAAGTAGTTGTGCCGATTCTCAACGAGGTATGTTCTCTAGCCCCTAATCGGACAAACATATGGGTACTGAGCCAGTGTGCTCCAGATGCTCGCAGGGTATAACTGTACTATTTTTGCATACGGACAAACCGGAACGGGAAAGACGTATACGATGTCTGGTGATATGACCGATACGCTTGGACTGTTGTCCGATGCTGCTGGTATAATTCCTCGTGTTCTCTATGCGCTGTTCAAGAGACTCGAAGAGACAGAAAATTCGGTAAAATGTTCCTTTATTGAACTATATAACGAGGATCTTCGAGACTTGCTTTCACCGGAGGATAATTCAAAACTAAAGATATACGAAGATGGAGCTAAGAAAGGACACAATGGCACCATGGTACAGGGAATGGGAGAATCCTATATTCACTCAGCGTCAGACGGTATCAGACTACTCCAAGAAGGCAGCCATCGTCGCCAGGTAGCGGCCACAAAATGTAACGATCTCAGCTCTCGAAGTCATACCGTGTTTACTATTACGGCTTATATCAAAAGATCCACCGACAAAGGCGAAGAATTTGTTAGCAGCGGAAAGCTGAACCTCGTGGATTTGGCTGGAAGTGAAAATATTCAACGAAGCGGCGCAGAAAACAAACGAGCAGCCGAAGCCGGGTTGATAAACAAGAGCTTACTTACTTTGGGTAGAGTAATCAATGCCCTGGTGGATAAAAGTCCACACATCCCATACAGGTCAGCGGTCCAGAACCTCGACTTAAATAAGTTAAAGCTTACTTTACTATAGGGAATCGAAACTTACCCGACTGCTCCAAGATTCGTTAGGTGGCAGAACGAAAACGTGTATCATTGCCACAATATCAACCTCTCGCAGCAACCTTGAAGAGACAATATCCACATTAGATTATGCGTTTAGGGCAAAGAATATTCGAAATAAGCCCCAAATAAACTCTACCATGTCCAAGAAGACATTATTCCGCGAATTCACTTCTGAGATAGAGAAGCTAAAGAGTGAACTGATTGCCACCAGGCTACGGAACGGTGTTTATCTTTCAGCAAGCTCATACGAAGAAATGACAGTGGAAAGTGAATCGCGTCGTATTTTAACAGAAGAGCAAAGGGCAAAAATTGAGAGCATGGAGGCGAATCTGAAAAATAAAGTCCAAGAACTGTTTACACTCACGAGTAACTTCAATACATTGAAAAGAAACAATGAAGCTACTCAAACAATGCTGGATGAAACGCAAGATATTCTGCAGAAAACTGAGATTGTACTTCGAAATACCGAGCAGAGTCTGGAGGAGGAAGCCATGTTACGGGAGGCCCACGAGACCACCGAGCTCGAACTTCACGAAATCGGAACTGACCTTATATCGCAGCTGGAACAGTCGGCTTCAGACGTTGATGGTCTTCATTCTAAGTTACGGCGACGCTCCCAGCTTCATCATCTTAATAAAGACACGTGGGAATCTTCAACCAGCCAGATGTTGGATATCGCAAAAGTTGTTGATGATCGAATGGCTGCCTTCCAGTCAGAACACCATTCCCGCCTTGAAGCACTCTCGTCACGGGTGGAGAGCTATGTTTCTGAGGAGGTAAAAATGATTGCCCTGGATCGCTCCCTCATAGACAAATCGGATACATCCCTGCAAGCCATCGAAGACGATGCGAAAATGAGGATGTTGTCGAATCGAGATGAGATGAATGACACCCTTGAAGAGATAAAGGAATTGAGGGAAGATGTTCAGGAGAAGGTCGGGGAGGGTCTAAATGGCCTGTCTTCTGCTGCAGCGCGTATTTCGGGCGAAGTAATTCACGAACTTCAGCTGTTTGAGGGAGAGGTAAGTGAGCATCAATCGATCCTGCGAAGCATAAGTGCTGACGATCGCAGTTTCGTGAAATGTATCAGAATTTAAATGACGACTTTACCGCCGTGTTTGGATCACTTGTGCATCATCTTCAAGCCCAGAAAGAATACGTGAGTGATATTCGCCGGGAGTTACAGGAAGCAAATCAAAGGGCATTGCAAGCAAGCGAAGAAGCCGCATCTACGCTTGAGATGATGCTTGATGAAGAGAAACAAAACTCCGAAAGAGAGCGGGCCGAGCTCATGTCGCAGATTCAGGCTCTTTTGAACTCATCCGCGGAGAGACAGGCCTCCAGGTTGAGAAAGAACGTCAGTGGTGTTAGAACCAACATGAAAGATTCGCGATCGGCACTGCAGCAAGCCAATGTCGCATATGGAAGAGAGATGGACAGCTGGGGTGAGAAGGATAGTCGGCTAATGGACGAAGTACTGACCTCGGAGAAGGACTTGAAATCGAAGCTGGCCAATACCATAGATGTATGTGCATGGCTAATTGTATATCTGGGACAAGTAGTACTGATCTGAAGATAGGCATTCGCAACGAGACACTCCGCTATCGAGGACTGCACTACCGCCGTGCATGCAGAAACTGTGCGAATCGTCGACGAGCAGAAAGAGGATATGCGAGCACAAATGCAAGCGCTTGATGAGTTTGTGGCGCGTGCACGATCCCAGAATGATGACCATCATAACTCAAATCTTGAGACATTAAATAACTTTGCGTTGAATGTTCGGGGGGCACATGGTGAAGTGCGCACACATCTGGAGCAACTAGAATCGAGGGCGGATGAGTTCCTTCGCGCAGTCGACGATGAACATCAGGACATGGAGAGAGTTGTTTCGAACCTCAAGCCGCAAGTAAGGCAACCCCTTGCTGAACTTCAGAGTAACATCGAGAATACGCAAATGGCGGAGTACAGACCTACCGGAGATACCCCGGAGAAAGCTCAGTACAACTTTGCTGTTAAGCTACCGAGAACCGAGGCGCATGATAGGCTTATTCGGAGACTACGGGGAGTGAAGAGTCCCGTGAAGAGTCCCATGAAGAGTCCCATGAAACGGACACCGTTGCCTCTTGCACCGCTGACATCTCCTTTGGGATCTCGGCCGTCATCTCCGAGCAAAGGGTTAGTTTATCAAGATGAAGATGGGTTGGTGGAATCCCCAAACAAGCCATCTTCTACGTTCTCCGGATTGAAGGAGATTGATGTTAATATTTCTCGTCCGCCGATTAGCAGTGTGACGTCTGAAAGTGCCCTCGTAGCGGAATCGGATGTCGACGGCTCTTGCAAAGAGATACAGCCTCCTCCATCGAAGAGACGACTTTCGGCGACCCTTGCGGCGAAGGCGAATTTGATGGGAGATAGGAGGATGATTCCGAGAAAGGTGACGAGGAGAAATGCCACGACGATCGGGCCTGGCGCGGCACTGGAGGGGAGAGAGAATCTTTTGCCATCGGCTTTGGGAAGTGGATTATCGCCTGTGAGGAGGGTACGTAGTGGGCCTCAGGGATAGAATACAGCAGTCCAGGGTGTGGTTTGTGTTGATTTTCCTGGAAAGGCTATGGACATTGTGGGTAAAAGAACGAGGAGCTGGTATCTTGTGGTTGGCGTTCATGGCACGATCGTGTCCGTTCCTTTTGAATTAATAATTTGGTTGGCTCCGGGGATACCCTACTGTTGTTTTCTTCTAGTATTAATGTGTAGTTTTATTATCGGCGTATTTAGATATAAGGGTTAATGCTATGATTAGAGAAATCGTCCAGCAATTCCCTTCTCAAATCGAAATTAATCGATATCAGCTCTAAGACGGTTAATTATATTACACGTAGTTAGCTATTCACCTCGACAGGTTCAAACGCTCGGGGCTCAAACAGATGTGAGAAAGTTCTGCCAAATCTACATCCCGATCAGCTTCGAGAAGGAAAGGAGGTTAATCCTAGGCGCCCGACGCCCACATATAGTAGCTTAATAAGTCCCAGAAAAAAGCGCGCAAGGGTCGGTGAAGGCCAGCTTGCTCTCGACGATTCATTACTCTTCGTTTTGTCTCCCCTCATGCTCTACTTGTGCCGGCGCACCGTATCCACTCGCCTCGACAACCTTCCTCAGCTCCCCCATCCGCTTTTCAAACAGCTCTACCATCTGGTCCAGGGTCTGTTGGCCGGTAGCCACGGAAGAATTACCCTGCAATGCGGATCGGTGTCTCGATTCGGTGGTGGTGGCGGCAGCGGCAGCGGCAGCAGCATTAGCATTATTATTGTTCACCATTCCCGGTGAGCCAGCTGTGCCTTCGACCCTGAGCATGACGGGGAAAGGTGCGGAGTCTGGAGATGTTGTTTGGGTTATGGGAGCGGGAATGAGGGAGGAGTCGAAGGTTGGGGTTGGGGTGAGGTGGGTGGATAGGACTTGCCAGGTGGGAGAGAGAGAGCGGGCGGAGGTTATCTTGTAGTGGGAGGGCAGGGGGAACGGGTGCTGTTGGTGCTGTTGTTGTTGATGCTGCTGCTGCTGCGGGATGTGGATGGGACTGGGGCCGGAGGAGGGAGATGACGTCGGCGCGGGATCGGCGGGGTGAGAGGCAGAGTGAGGATCGGAGGGCAGGATGGCAGTGGAGGAAGCTGTTGGCTCGACGTCGAGGATTATAATGTGCTCTTGCGCCTCTGGGATGGGCGGTGGGAGCTTTCCGGTGTATAGGTGGGAGGCGGAGGAGGAGAGCTCGATTTCTTCGGCAACGGCTTTCTTCTTGCCCTTGCCCGAGGGATCCTGGGCTGATCTTCCTTTGGATGGCGGATGCGGTGGCCGCTGCTGCTGATCTAGCGACCGCAGCGCCGCTTCGGTGATCAGACTGGTGTCATCGTCAGAAAAGACGTAGTGCACGGTTGGGTGGTAGAATTTCGAGGTGTTTGCGTCTTCGATCAAAGTGAAAAAGGGCCGGAACGAAGTTAGAGTAGCATCTTGTGCTGAATGAGATGGTTCATATTCCTGATGGATCTGTTCCTGCCCATGGTCTTGTTGCTGGTCTGGAGAACTAGTTACGGCTTCGTCTGAGACCTCGTTGCTGACAGCCGACGGTCTGCTGTTTGTGGTTGCTGGCCTGGGCATTGACGATTGCGAGGCGGCATGTTGCTTTGCAAAGCTCATGTCTGCCGGTCTCTGCGACTCCGGTCACTTGCCTCCAGACTGGTGTGCTTTCAGGTTTAACTCGCTGTTCCCCCGATGACCAGAATAAGAGCATTTGGTGGTTGTGTAGATAAATACCTGGCTTGCTGTCGACGATAGTGGTAGTGGAACGCAGCCTGAGTGGCTCTTTGTGTTCACATAAATTTGCTGCTACGAGTCTACGTAAATTCCGAGAACGAACAAAACTAGCGACGGAGAGAGTAAAAAAAAGAAAAAGACTCAAATGGAACGGTAGTTATATCTGCACGGGGTATCATAGTTCAATATTCAGCAAACACCTCGACTCGTCCTTCAGTGCACTCGAATCATGCGCCGTCCTGCTTCCACTCAAATTCTAGAAGAGCCAGTAAGCCTGTAGCCGCAAGCAGATCAGCAGAGTAAAAGCTCCTTACTTTGTCTACACATGGGGCAGAGCTGCTTAGAGGATTCTTGCCCGATCCAAGTCAGGAGACAGTGCTAGACCCCGTTCATTAGTCGCTAGAGAACATGGACATCGGGGAAACCATATACCATATGGAATGAATGTCCGCATTTCCCAGTCACTGTAGTTATTCGTATGCGATAAGCTTCGGTCACATAAAAGGAAAGCCAATGCCACGGCGAAAGGGCAGTGGGATGGATAGATGTATGTACTTACGGAGCGTGCAATCATCGCCGGGATACTTGCAGGTCGGACAGGTGCCGTCGAACTGCACTCGACAGATGCCGCAGACATCTTCCTCAGGTATGTCCCAGCGCCATGTGGCCACTGCGTTCCATTGCTTGATCGTGACCTTCATGGCAGCTCCAGCGTCCAACACTGCTTTTTCGCTGAAACAGATCCCAGACTATCTCTTGGCGCGAGGGTCGGAAAAGAAGCTTTTCTGCGGACAAGCTCGGTGCTGGCTAGTGGGAATTAGTCGGCGTATTGCTGCGCGTTGAATGGCTCGTCGGCGATGGACACCTTGCTGGCTCTTGGGCGTGCAGCGTCAAATAGAGTTGACTCTGGCCGTTTGATCAGGGTAGTCTATGATGCCATGATCACCTGTCCTCATGATTTCCATTCAGAGACGCAAGGATCAATAGGGTTCTATCGGCGACGGTGAATAGTTGGGAGAAGAGAGACGACCAAACAGAGTTGCACCAGCAGCATCGTGTCTACCCACCAGAAAACCCCCGCGCGTGCATGCAAACTCCCTGCTGAATAAACCAGCCATAGTCAACAGAGTAGTACTCCCATACATACTTCTCCTCTTCTCTCCTCTTCTTTCTTTCGTGATGTAAGAATCAGCCAAGATCCAAAGATCAAAGGGCCCCCAATTCCCTCCCAACAATGGCTTGTGTGGCTCTTCGACCTGTTATTTTCTCACAAGGCGCCCTTCCGCACCTTAGGTTCTCCGCCGCCGCCGTCGCCAGCCCGCTCCTCCACGCGAGACACCAACATCGCTCCACCTCCATTCTGTCATCCTACCTCGTCACGCCTAAGGAATTGAACGATGGTCTGAAGAAGAATGCGCGAACCAAAATCTCCACTTCGCCCCGGGTGATCCCCCTGTGTGCCGCGTGGTTCATGCCGAACGACCCAGAAGGCCGCACCGGGATCGAGTCGTTCAAGAAGAAGCGGATCCCCCAGGCGCGATACTTTGACATAGACGACGTCAAGGATCCTAACTCGCCGTATCCCCATATGTTACCGACGAAGGAGCGATTCGCGGAGGCAATGCAGTCACTAGGTATTCGCCGCGACGACGAGGTTGTGGTCTACGACACAGAGGAACTGGGCTTGATGAGTGCACCACGGGTAGGCTGGACGTTGAGATACTTTGGGCATCCCAATGTTCGCATTCTCAACAATTTTAGGTTGTGGGTTCGTGATGGGTATCCCACGGAGTCCGGTGAAATTACCCAGGAGGAGAGATCTAACTACCAGGTGGACGCTTACAATCCGGAGATGGTGGTTGACTTTGCAGAGATGAAACAGATTGGCGAGGATTACGGAAAGGAGGGCGCAGACAGCGTGCAGGTCCTTGACGCCCGGCCCGCCGGTCGCTGGGCGGGAAAAAGCCCTGAACCTCGCCCGGAGTTGTCTTCTGGGCATATGCCGGGTTCTGTAAACGTGCCTTTCGTGGAGCTGCTGGACCCTGAGACGAAGACTTTGTTGCCGGAGGCGGAATTGCGCAAGGTGCTCGAGTCAAAGGGAGTTGATCCCTCGAGGTCTATCATTTCGAGCTGTGGTTCGGGAGTGACGGCGGCAGTCATCGACCTTGCGCTGCACGAAGCTGGATACGGGAATGCGGAATCCCGACGGCTATATGATGGAAGCTGGTCGTAAGTGTCTCTTGCCCATCTTGAGAATAGCCGTTTGCTGACTGGCGAGCAGGGAGTGGGCAGCTCGGGTTTCCGAGTCCAGTGGATTGATTCGCAAAGAGCAATAGCCAGACATTTTTGACACCAATGTCTTTATAGTTTTCCTCCTTATTTTTCCCCCTCTTTCTTTTTTTTTTCTTTCTTTTTTTTTCTTTCCCCGCGTGGTATGTTTCGCGTCTGGAGGGAAAAGGCCCAATATCCATAGGTAGATGCTCTTTTTGCGGTACATTGCAGCAGCTGTCCTTTGATGACTGTTTGCCGATGAATGCTTTTTTTTTTGACATGTGACGACAATGGACAATGTATTACTTCCGAGCGTATTTGTCTTTATAAGAGCAACGAAATTGCAATGAAAGAAGCGTCCTTAAGCATCATATATCATCCGCTTGATCCTCTCCTCCATCGCCGCCGTCACCAAGCACGAACACGCATCGCTTAGTCAGCACTCCCCTCCTCCGCCAAACGATCTGAAGCAATCAGATCATAGCGCCAACTTACACACCTCTCAACGAAGCCTGAATCCTGCTCGCCGTCACAGACCTCGCCCGCCGCCTCGATAGAACACTCATTGGCGCTCTCCATTGCGGTTTTGCTTCCACAGCTTGCCCTGTGCCAGCTCGGTTTCACTCGCAGATCCAAAAATGCTTAACACAACCGTCTGCAGTGATCCCGTCCATTACTGTGAGTTCATCACTAAACTTAACCTTCGCTTCGATGTTTGCCAATGACTTGTATGCCTGGATGATGGTGCTCAATCTTTCGTCACTTTCCGTCAACTTTTAACATATCCTGTCGATTCTGCAAAGAAAAGAAAAAAAAATTATTATTACACACCCACACCCATACACGCACATGATATATATTTCGGCGAGCTATTGTTTATCTAACGATATGCAGCCCATACGTTCGCACAGGCTCCTTGATAGTTCTGCTTGACATCTACATCCTCGGGAAATCTTAGCGGGCGAATACTCCCACCTCTCCGTCGCGCACGTATCTACTTTCCCTTATCTCACCATGTCCGTCGGTCGCAAGGTTTTTCATTGTGTGGTGGATGATACCGCCTTAGCCGCCAGTGTTGGCGATATCAAAAAATGGACTTCGCAGGGTGCCATCACCCTCATCGTACCTCTCTATAGTAGGTGTCTATAACGTCTCTTCCCTTTGTTCGGCCGCTTCTTTTAAGAATACCCTCCGGCTGATATGTTGTAGCTCTTGAACGTCTTCGCGCCCTTAGAAAGGCTCCATCCCAGACCGGTGCAAATGCCCGCGAATCGGTTCGTTTCCTCGATCGTGTCACTTCCGGTAAGCATAGTATTCCAGCATCCAAAGTTGCGCTCCAAGGGCCAATGGAACAGTTTGATACTTGGGAAGAAGCGGAGAAATACCTTTTGCCGGAGTTCAAGGAGGAGGTTGTCGACAGTTGTCGCGCCTCGGGCCCTGCTGCCCCAGCTCACGCGACTACCGTCGAACCAGAGCAGAAACATGTCGGGGACAATGGACCTAGAATTGTCGGGAATATCGACGATCTCAACGAGATGTCTCAGATGCTACTTAGCAAGCTGAATTTTAAGAAAAATGTAGATACTATATCTGCACTTTCTGCCGGAACTCCGAGCCCTCCTGCATCTCCAACGACTGCCAGTTCGCATCCAAGTCCGGAATATGCTGCTCGTCAGCCTGGAGGATCCCAAGAAAATGAAAACAATCCGGTCGGGGAAGACGACGAAAGCGAACCTGTATTCGTGAACCCGATTGTTCCGGAAGACATTAAACCTCTCTTGAATGCTATTCTTTGGAGACTCCATGCTCACCCAGACGCTGCTACTGCCACATCTAGTTGCATTCTCGTTACACATAACCGTCACACTCAGAGCTGGGCCCAGAAGTTTGGTATTACGGTCAAAACCATTCCGCAGCTCCGAACTTCTATAATCTATGAAGAAAAGGAATTCAAGAATCATTGCAAGTATCTGGAAAAGAACTCTACCACCGAACCGAAGCCCCTTCTCTCCTACGATGACGAAAGTGACGAAGATGTCCTTGTGTTTGTGCCACGTGGCCAGGCAAAGACTGCGGCTATGGGGCCTAGTGGGCGAACCAGCAGCAGTGCTTCACCTGCTATTCACCGAATTGCAAACGGCAATGTCAATGGGGGCACCAGACTCAAAGGCAATTCGGCTTCGGATCCGCAGGTCGAAGTTCCTTCTGTTCCAATCGATCCTGACTCCTTTAACCGCAATTTTGGAGTCACGAAGCAGCAAGGTATCGTCAATCCGAATACCACTAACAGCATTAATCGCGGGCCGCCTGGCCATCTTCCTCGACCTGGCGGTCCTGGTCGCCGTGGAGCTCCACGAGGTGGCATGTTCCGAGGCACCGGTCGAGGCCGCGGAAAGCTCTGGGTTCCTTGATTCAATGCAGATTTCCGGTAACCTTTCTTACCATGATGGGTTGTTGGAAAGTGGCATGTTTATTTTAATCATCGAGAACTCTTCCACGATCACATACCATCAGGGCGGGGGTCAACGACGACAATGTCTCAACCGCCAGATGTTGAAATCTCGATCCGATTTCCTCGAACATCCCCAAGGATAGGATGTTCATTTCCCCCCTTTTTTCTCGAAATCGCGAACCAAGGTGACGTTTTAAGGCATTTTGCGGCGCATAGCAATGCATATATGTGACTTTCGCGAAAAAGAAAACACACGACGACGCCCACTCTATCGAAAATCGAAACAGTAAGGCATCACTTCTCGACTTCACGTTGCGTTTCCAAGTTTTCCGCGCGCGTTCTTTTAGGGATGGGACCACGGATGAAGCTCGTGACGATGTGTTCGACAACCCAATTTTCATTTCTTTGCAACATTCGGGTCTCTTTAATCCGGTGCGGTGAAAAGAGCTAAAGTGACTTGAAGCAGTGGCTAGCCACACTCGATCGAAGTTCTTATTTTATTTTTATTTTGTTTTGCTACTGCATATGCTGTTTGATGGTGCTTTTTGTAGAAATACATATTTGGGTTGTTGTTAGTTGTGAAGACAACTTAGGAGGGGCTAATATGGGTGGTGGAAATCAACATGCATCAAGTCACGATTCGTTCAGTGCCCTTCAGCTTTTCCCTTCTGCTGTTGTCCCTCAACATAACTAATCTGCACTTGAACATTGGACCTCAGTGAATGCTTGGCATGAACCTCTTCCCTTCACATATTCCTTCAGAATATTCAAAATAGTCTCCACCCTCAACATGAGTTCTATCATCTAAACGTTCTCCATCATCCCTATCCCTGCTGAATGCTGTTGAACCCTTAATGTGTTTGTAAGTTAACATGGAATTCCTAAGCTTTCTACCCTAGGTCTTCAATGCTTTTGTTTTGAAGAGACCATTCGATAGTGCGTATCAAGCCTACAGAAGCAAGTCAAACCGTCAAAGCTCAGCCGCTGTGGGCCCTCAATAAGTCCACGGAGACGAAAAACCCATGAAAATGGTGACCGTCTTAGGGCAACGTACGACAGAGGATAGATTGTAGTTGAACATGGATAACTAATACCATCGTTAACCACATCTTTACACTCTTCCAGGGAACATTCTACAAGTTCAGGAAATGTAGGTAGTGCATTCCATGCCCTATTATCTTCTTGTGAGCTGCATAATATCTCCAAATTGTTTACATGCCATGTTAGCATGCTTACGATCAATAGCAAGCCTGATATCGTCTCACCCAAGACCACTCTATTTCCATTGGCCATCGGCACTAATTGCTTGAGATTAAAGAGCGTGTTTTGCGGTGTGGTCCTTGCCACCATAAAAGGCTTAGACATTAAAGAAGTACATTATTATTAAATGCATATTGGTCATTCCTCTCCCAGATCCTTGATGTACTGTCTGGTGACACCTTAAGCTGGAAAATTCCCAGCCCCATTTTCTTTCCCCTATACTTTACTTCCTGTTTCTTGTTTGCACTTAAAGAAATGCGGGCCCAGACGGGTCGCTTGCGTGCTTTCCGGGGGCCAATGGAGCTTCTCTTATGGTATGGTTGAGCTTGGGGTGTGATGTAATTCCAACGTGGAAAAACGTGAGTGATAGTTTATACCAAGCGGGCATCTTCCCAGCCCTGTATCTGCTTGATTACAATCAGCATATCTGTTGTTTCTTCTGTTCATTGGTATAGCTGTTTGAGTTTATATGAAACCGGAAGACATCGCCATCATAGCAGGAAGTCGACCGTTCAAAAAAAGGTATATAGCTGCGCAGTAGTTATGTGCACATAGCGGGCTTTCTTTTCCTCATTATGCTATGGGGCATCATGGCAATCACACTGTTTCCTCGAAACATATCCATACTGATAATTATTGAGACCGGTTTCCGTTTTGCTCCTTGATGGTGAAACCCTGGAGTGGTGGCTGGTATGGCTAAGGTATTATAGAGGCTTTCTACGTATCTCCTTGTAGTATGGAATATGCCAAGGGATATCATAGTGGTCATGGAGGGCTGGTATGTTTTTGTGATGAAATCCTGATGGAGGCCGGCCTGATTGAACCCCAAAGCGCACGAAAGCCTTGAGAAAAAAAGTGAAGCTTGCAGGGATGAAGGAGCCAGAGTGAGGATGAGGATGAGCCTATATAGCCTTTTAGTAGTGTGCGAGTAAAGGTGAAAAAGGGAGGCAATTGTCAATGATAAATTTGCAGTATTATTGACTGAGGCAGGTGAAATTCCTTCTTGGGAAGATCCACTCCCTAGCATCAGTAGTTAATGTACAGGCATAATTGGCTGCGGGGAGCGTTGATGTCCATAAGAATCAATGGCTCCCGACATTAAAATAACTAGACAAACATCCACAATCTGAAGTGAAGAGAGAAGCAAAGAAAGGTTTAGAAAAGTCGAGGACGAAAGCGCCGAAGCTTGAAGAAAAGGGGATGGCTGAGTCAGCAGACCTATAGCGGCGACGGCTTATTTCTTCTGGGTAAAGCGACGACCTCCAATATTCAGCAGCGCGCCCACCCGGCGGGTAGTCGATGGAGCGGTAGAAGAAGATGTCTCCGCGTCGTTGAGCTGGTTGAAACTCTTCTTTCTCAGCGTGCTGGAGTTGTGGGTTGGTTTCGGTGCAGCCCCCTCGCATGGGTCGTCTGCAGGGGCCGTATCCTTGCCCTTGTTCCCTCCTTTGTTGTCACTGTTCTTAGTCGCTTTTGTCTTTCTTGAGCCCAAGTCGATGAGCTTAATTTCCCCAGGCCGGACTTGTCTTGCCCACATTGCTTCTGGGATGTTGTCGTCTCGAGGCCAGGAAACGATGACGTGTTCGCTCATCCGGACAGGAAGAGCGAACCCGGCGTCAACGCAGTGGTCCTTGAAATCGATGCTGCGAAGGCGGTGTGGGTTGAACCAAAGGAAGAACGGGTCAGAGTCGACCACAAAGCCCATCAGCGTCAGTTTGACCACCGACAGCTTGTCAGGAACGGCACCCAGAGCTGCGGCGGCTTCCCTTGCGTTTCCAATTGCATGCTTGTCGAGGTATTCTCCAAACCCCACGCGTCTCTTCAATTCACCTCGACCATCCTTGCCACTATCAATTGTAAAATAATAGTTAGGCCTTTACGGTATACACCACAGCAGATTGCCAGATCATCTGCTGGCATTTTTTTCATCTTTTCACTTACTAGTAAAGGCCACGAACTGTAACCGCAGTTCGTGGAAACCATTTCCCTCTAATCTTTGGCCAGCTTCCGCAGAACGTGTGCCGGATGCACGGCTCAAGTGCCATCTCTAAGTACAAGTCCTCCAAACCTGGATTGAGCCAAACGGTCTGCCAGATGTGGCGTTGATATGACCGGAGCATGCCAGTCAACTTGAGGCTGCGCAGGGAGCGAAAGTTAGAAAGTGGTGCGAGCTCTTCCACCGGCATGATGTCAGGACGAAACGGATTCTCCTTTCTAGTGGACCAGAATAAATCGAGGCTAAGCTGCTCACGCTCCGTGTCCAAATGGCGCCATGTAGTGCCTCCACGGAAAGACATGATCGGTTTAGCTGATCCATCAGCGTAGCACGCGTCATCTCGGAATATTTCGCTGCTGTTGTTTGCTGCTTGATTGCTCGAAGACTGCTGCAACAGGCCATATCCACTACCACCAATAGACGCGGCGCGATTGCGTGTGTTTCGCCCAAAGTCGAAGATGCGACTGATCTCCGCACTATTGAAGCGCAGAGAGAAACGGCTATCACTCATACTGAGGGGACGTTTCTTGAAAACGCTCCGACGTAACGCGTCTGGAATCGAGGCAGAAGTTGCTGACGAGACTGGTCGACTAGGAAGAGGAGTATACGGTCTCCTGAATAGCGCTATTCCCCATGTGAGCTCATCCGCACATGTAACAGAATTCTCTGGATCACACTTCTGTGATTGTATGTTGTTTTCTGGTTGAACTCACCCTGCTGTTTCTCAGAGGTGTTCACTATCTCGTCATCACTGTCCAGTGCCTTGGAGCACTGGAGAAAAGATGCCTTGTTTCCATAGCAAGACATCTTTATGATCCAGCTCTCGGCGTCAGCTTGCGTTTGGCCTGTTTGGCTCACACTATACCAGATTCTGGTGTGTGGTTTGCAAGAAATGATGTCGTCGCCGAGAAGGAAACGGAAGAGGGTTTCTGTGATGATAGTATTCCATGAAGGACGAAGATAACAGCTGTGTTGCTAGGGAGAAAGTTGCCAGAAAACTTGTGTTATTTACTGAGAGAACCAGGCAGAACTGGTGGAATGTCCCTTCAATCAGGTTGGGTATCAAGAAAGAGGCCTTCTCAAAGCTGTGCGAGTCATGGGCTCTGCAACAATTCTTTTGTCTTTGTGTTCATTCTTCTTCTAGGATATCTTTTTTTTTTTTTGCGGCCAGACTGTTCGAGTGAATCAAGGTAGGAGTTCTGAGAAATCCTACAGGAAACAGCAACAGTATCATGAATCGGAAAGGGTCGAGGAAGCTCGGTACATTGTCTACAATATATGAGAGCTCCCCTAGCAAGGGTTGAGCTTGATTGTTAGCTGTTGGGACAATCCCTTCTTTGTGGTAGTATTTTTCCTTTCTGCAAACTGCGCCCCTTGCAGCCTCTACCATGTACGTCGGTTTGTTTTGAATGCGGTCGGTTTGAAAGCCCGGTCCCTCCACTAAAAATAAGTATGCCGTGCAACTAAGTTGGACTTCTCGAAGGACAGTGTTCGGTGTTTGTCAAATTCGCGGAGAGGAGGTCTTCAGCCGGAATGAATTTTTCGCCCCCAAAGTCCTCCCCCAATGTTGAGCTTGTCATCCAGGGTTACAGCTTACAAAAACGCGTCGGGCGGGCCGCCCCTCAAATACGCGGGGATTTGGACAAATGGGGATGATCACATTGCAGTTTACGAACGCCTATGGTAACCCTGCACGTCAGTCCCCCGGATCTGCGAACCGGGTTCAAGACTCTGCCTCACGTAGGGGAAATGGGGGTTTGTGCCCCTTTTGAAACACAGAATACGAGATACTACATAAAGATTCTACTGGCGCCACACGGAGTGTTGCAGGCATTATTTAAGAGGATCATTCTTCCCAGTCTTGACTCTGTGCGTACTCCTGGTATTGAAATCTAGCCGGCGATCTTCATATCTCAAGGACATAACATTGCCACTGGCAAAAACCAATCGATCACGGGCTTTCAGCAACTGTTTAAACATCCTATGTGCTCACGTCAAAGCCTAAGAGCTATCGTGGGCTGAGAATGGCGGAACTGTGCAAATTGGTCGATAAACGGGTTTCTTTTTTCAATGATTCTCTAAGTTTTCACCTGGTTATACGGTGCTGTCAACCGAAAAGAATGAGCCACCTGCATCCGATGCAGCGATACTCATAACCAACATGACTGGGTTTTCCCAGCACCGGTTTTCAAAATCATCTCAAATTGGAATCGTTTCACATTCGCATAAGACTCCTTTCGACCTAGCTAGAAAGAAAAAACGGCAGAAAAAGAGACAGAATTAAAATAAACATCTTTTTAGTATCTCTTTCCCTCTCTGAGGACATCGCCGAATTCTTCAAGCGGGCTTCTGATCAACTTGGTCTCCTTCCACAAGTTGGGGGTCAAGAAACCGTATGTGTTGGCCACAGCGACGAAGGTAGCCTTCAATGTGTTCTCAAGGGTCTTGGTAGATCCGGAGGAAGATGTGTAAATGTCCTGGACACCAGCCAACTGGAGTAGACGCTTGACGGCGGGGGACGCGACGAGACCAGTACCACGCGGAGCAGGGATCAACTAGTTATATACGTTAGTATACCGAATATTCAATAGCCACATTAATCGCAATCGCAAATCAGACGTACTCGAACAGTGACGGAACCACACTTTCCGCTCTCCTTGGTTGGCAGCGAGTGTGGGTCACCGAGGTTGGAACCCCAGTAACCTCTGCGGACAGGAAGGACGCTGAGCTTGGCGATGATGATAGCGGCGCGGATAGCAGTTGCGACTTCCTTGGATGTTTTGATACCGAGACCGACGTGGCCTTCGGAGTCTCCAATGACGACGATAGCCTTGAAGCGGGTTCGCTGACCGGCACGGGTCTGTTTCTGGACGGGTTTGATCTATATCAAGGCATATAGATTAGCACCGATTCAACGTGGCTCCCTGCATCACCTCCCAATATCACAATTCCTCCCACAGTATCGAGTTCGCATAGGTCGCACATCATCGGTCGCGAACTCGGGAAGTATAGATCGGTGTATGTACCTTCATAACCTCATCCTTCAGCTTGGGCAAGAAGAAATCAACAATCTGGTATTCCTTGATTGGCAAGCTGTGCAGATAGATCTGTTCCATGCTGGTGATCTTTCCGGCCTTGACGAGACGGCCGAGCTTAGTGACTGGTTGCCATTCCTTCTCCTCGCTCTTGGGTCCACGACGTCCACGGCGTCCACGGCCACGGCCACGGTCGCCGCGCGAACCAAAGCCTCCACGGGCACCTCCACGGGGAGCGTCAGCCATATTCGATTATGCGGATTGGTGGGTAGGAGAGGGACGATGAGGTCGAAAGGAACGGGGCGTGGTTGTTGTCGGCTGGGTTGGAGCTTGTCGTCGTTTCGACCTTCAGTTCGAAAATTGCCCGCCTTTCTTTGGTGATGCGCAGTTTGGGGGAGTGGTGGTGCATTACGTAAGTCTAGGCTAAGCGAGGGTGACTGGAAAGCCCTGATATCAAACCCTAAGCCCTAAAAGCATCCGAATATAGGAAAGTTTAAGTGGTGATACGGTTAAAGGAGCGTGTCGATAATCGCCGCTTCTTCGCAAAGTGGGAACGATCGGCGTGATACACGCCAGACGCGAAACGGTCACTTGAGCATCTTGGACTCACCCAGCCCAGAGACGGTCTAGCCTTCTGCGCCATTAAAGTCCCCTGACCTGGAAACAATGGCTTAATTGAGAATTTCCATTCTCAGTATCAGTCTCTCTAAAGACAAATTGAATCAAAGATGCTGCGCTGGTAAGCTGCATTCTTCCCAGGTACACCCCGGCATACGTCCTAACTTTGCTCCGCCCAGGTATCAAGCTCGATTAGCCCGAAGTCCATTGCTCACGCAGGCCGTTGGAAGCGCGGTGAGTCTGTGTTATGCACATAAGATGGCGATCATAAAGAATGTTCCTTTATTTCTAACTTCATCCCTGTGATTGATACAGGTACTTTTCGGAGCCGGAGACGCCCTAGCACAGCAACTTGTCGACCGAGTCGGCATTGAAAATCATAACTATGCCCGAACAGGTCGAATGGTGCTCTACGGTGGTGGTATGCGCGATCTTTTGCCTCTCAGACAATCCTCAGAGCCTAATTGCTTCGTTTAACAGCCATCTTTGGCCCTGCAGCCGTGACTTGGTACAAATTCCTTGTACGAAATGTAGCTCTCAAGAGCCGCACACTCACGTTGGTTGCCAGAGTGTGCAGCGACCAGCTCCTGTTCACTCCGACACACCTCTTCGCTTTCCTGTCTTCGATGTCCGTATTGGAGGGCAATGACCCCGTCGAGAAGCTACGAACCAGCTTCCTGCCAGCATACAAAGCGAACCTGATGCTGTGGCCGTGGGTGCAAGGGGTAAACTTTGCACTCGTACCACTCGAACATCGAGTACTGGTTGTCAACGTTGTAAGCTTGGGTGAGTTCAAGTCCAGAGCTATGCGCCAAGGCCTCAGTCTAACTCTCGAACAGGATGGAATTGCGTCCTCAGCCTCATCAATAACAAGAAACAGCCGCAGACACTCTAAGAACATCCGAAGTACGGACTCCAATATCATTTCTCCCACCACCCCTTGATCGAAGACACATTCGGCATAGATTCATAGACACCAAAGCCACGACGCCCCGGTAGGAGACGGGGTATACTGCTCAACATCCTTCATAGACATAGATTGCTTCCTCCACGGCACACGCCAGTAATTTGTATTAATAATAGACAGTTTTTTCAGAATATGACTTTTGTTGCCTCCAACCTCTCTCCCCGGATTCTCTTTGATTACTAAGCAGATTCATAGCAAACATGGCAAACATAGGATTAGTTAAGCTGAGCTATCTCACCGGCTCCAGACCTCCCGCTTTGGAGGGAAAAAAATCATTTCGCTTGCTGACCCCGAGCTGTTCAAGACTCAAAGAAAACGCGAAAATTCTCATTATTAGCCGACCTCCTGCCTGGAGCAGAGATCCCCCCAATATTCCGCCTAACTTTCTCGTAATCCTCTTTCCCTAGTGAATACGAACCTGCGAAGTGGCAAGGATCTCTCGCCTCGAGCCTTCCTACGCTTCCTCTCCACTATTAATACAGCATTGTCGCTATCAACCCTGATTCACTCTCCGAGACTTGCTTAACGTATTCTAGGAGTTTCTACTCCATCCGCGCATCGATATACCTAGTTTTTCTCCATATTACCGACCCAAAGGAACACACACAGACTGAGAGGATGGCTGCCGCAGTCGCAGGAAATGTTGTTGCTCCTGTAGCAGATGAGAACATCCCTCCAAATGGAGTGGAATCTGAGATTAAGAAGGATGAAGAGATCACAGTTTTCCACGACCCAAATAATTTCAATGTGAAGCATCCCCTTATGAATGAGTGGACACTCTGGTTCACCAAACCACCAAGTGGCAAGGTATGAGTTGAATCCTCGAAAGCTTTTGATTACTTGTGGATAACAGCTGATTTTGCTCTTTTCATTCTCGTTAGGGTGATAACTGGAACGATCTTTTGAAGGAGGTTGTAACATTTAACTCTGTCGAGGAATTCTGGGGAGTCTATGTGAGCCTTTCCACACCCCATCGCATGTCTCCGGGTGGAATTGCTTATTATCCCATTAGAACAACATAACACCAACCTCCGAACTTGGTCTAAAAGCCGATTACCACCTTTTCAAGAAGGGCGTCCGACCAGAATGGGAGGACCAGCAGAACAAGCATGGCGGCAAATGGTCTTTTCAGTTCAAAGATAAGCGCAGTGTCCCTATCGATGAACTTTGGCTCCACTCTCAACTTGCCGCTATTGGCGAGACGCTTGAGAACGATGGCGACAACGAAGTTATGGGTGTTGTGGTGAATGTGCGCAAAGGCTTCTACCGTATTGGTCTTTGGACAAGAACTGTTGGCAAGTTAATTCCGGGTTCTGATGGTCGTTCCGCTGAGAAGAGTCAAGAAATTTTGAAGGCAATTGGACGACGATTCAAGGAGGTATTGAGATTGAAAGACACAGATCAGTTGGAATTTTCTGGCCATACCGATAGCGCCCAATCGGGAAGTACGAGAGCCAAAGCGAAGTTTGTGGTTTGAAAGGAGATTAATATCAAGTTTAAAGATTCCAAGGGGAGAACTGGAAAGAAAGGGTTGATTTCTGGGCGCTTCATTATGCTTTTTCTGTTCATTGACCACCGTTATGACATACGGGACACAGAGTTTACCCAGGGATGAGTTATGTTATCTAACGATGCGAAATATTGGGGTCTCGCAGATATGCCGACTCCGCTCATAGTTCATCTATTTTAATTTTCTCCTCAAGATTCCCAAGTCCCGTAGCGGTCCTTCAACGGCTTCTCCACAGCGAAGCCAGTCTTTTGGCATGCGTCGGTCTTCGCTCTATTAACCTCTCCAAAATGTAAGCGCCTACCCGGCGCATATCATAATAATATACAGTCTAACTTGGTAACTTGGAGACCGCAGGTAGCACCCGGTTACCAGTATCAATGGACAACCAATGATCACAACTTGTCTCCAAACACTTGCTTCACAAGTACTTTCTTATTGATTTTCCCCATCGCATTTCGCGGCAACCCACCATCCAATACTCGCATCTCCTGTGGTATCTTGTACGGAGCCAACTTATCTTTCAGCGCACGGCGCATATCGAGAGCGCTGAACTTTTTCTCTTTCTTGCCGCCATTTGCGCCGCTGAATAATGAAGAGGTGGGATTGAGGACAAGGATGGCAGCAACCTTCTGACCCCATTGTTCAGACGGAAGGCCAACAACAGCAGCCTCGGCGATTTGAGGTCTAGATTGCGGTTAGCAATAGCTTCCTTAAGGTATCGAGGACTGAGGGAAAAATAAAAAGCTTGAGGTCTGTTAAGACATGGGTAGGAACTTCTTACAGAGAAAGTAGCTCCCTTTCAACTTCCAAAGCGCTAACTTTCTCTCCTCCGGTCTTGATGATATCCACACTCTTCCGCCCTTGGATGAAGTACATTGGCCCGCGAGCCCAGGCCCGGGAACTCTTGCCAGATCCCTGGACAGTGCGCCTGATAGCCACGTCTCCGGTTTTAAACCATTGCCCCTTTCCGTCAGGATCGGGGACGAATTCCTCACTCGTGGCTTTCTCATTTCGCCAGTATTCTTTAAATATCGTCGGGCCACGGAGCTGGATTTCGCCTACCCTCACGCGACCGTCTTGATCGATTTCTTCTCCTGGCTGGATGACTTCATTGGTGTCTGTGTCAACTAGCCTGGCTTGCACGGACGGTAGCGGCCATCCAACGCTTCCATCTACGCGGTCCGCGAAATCTAAGCTGCAGCTTAGTGCCATGCCGACTTCGGTCATCCCGTAGCGCTCAAGGAGGACATTGCCGCCGCTGAGGTTTGTCCAGGCGGATTTTGTGGGTGTAGGCAGGGCTGCCGAACCGGAGATGTTTAGCCGGAGATGTCGAGGCGATATGGCGACTTTGGCAGCCTCCTGGGTTTCCGGTGGGAGAGTGGCATGGGTAGAGAGAAGGCGGTTATAGATGGTGGGTACAGCGGTAAAAAACGTTATTGGAGCAGTGTTGCCGGCTTGGGATCCGCATTGGGATCGTAGAAATGACGCGGCGAATCTGTTCCAGACGGCAGTAGGGTTAAAGGGAAACATAAACTCGATAGACGATCCAGCAAGAAGCGGCGCCAAGATTGCGTTCACCGTGCCGTGAATGTGATGCAGTGGAAGGAGATGAAGCAGTCGGTCTCGAGGAGAATACTCCCAAGCTTCCACCAGTGATTGTGTTTGCGCCATGAGCGCGGATTGTGGAAGAAGAACACCTTTCTAAGATCCAATTAGCTCAGATGACCATCTTTGAGGGGCCGTAGCTATCCACTGTACCGGCCTGTTCGTCGTCCCCGAAGTATAAAGCATCATTCCGCCATTCTGGCTTCGATTCTCGAACTGTAACTCCGAAACGGTGCCTCCTCCAACATTTATCTTGTCAATAATTTCCACAACTGGAACGTTCTCCAAGTCGCCTTCAATAGTGTCCTTCGCTTTTGAAGCGTATTTCCCCGTCGCCAACAGTATACCCGCCTGCGAATTGTCCAGGATGTATCTCAATTCCCCTACCGGAAAAGCAGGAGAAAGTGGAAGCGCAATTCCATCCAAAGCGAGAACAGAGAGCAGCGTCACTGTCCGTCCATTCCATCAAACCGTCAGCCATTGCGCCCTTTTCACTTGGCTAACCGGTAAGGCAAAACAATACCCACGTAGTCATAGCTATTCTCCGCCAGAAACGCTACAGGGCGTCCTTGCACGCCTCCCACCGCGGGATTCCGTCCTGCGATCTGCAATAACTTCTCCTGCGCTCGGAGGGTATCCCCGAGGAGGTTTCCATAGTTGAAAGTCCGGCCCGAAACACTATGGACGATCGAGGTAGATTTTGGGTCGTGAGACGCCAGGGCCCGAAATAGAGGAAGGTCCGGTAGCGTCGAAAGTTCTCGCCGGGTTCGAGGAGTGGGAACGCGGATCGAAGTCGCGGAATAAAGAATTGACCTTAATTGCGATTGGCGGCAGCGTGCCACGAGAGGACCGGGGTAGCTCAGCATGGTAGAGGGTAGGTTGTCGGAAGGAAAGAGGTTCGGGCTATAAAGTCATGCTGAATATTACGTCCAACCTGCTGAGGTTTTGAGACGAAACAAGAAAGAAAAAGAAAAAAAAAAAAAAAAAAAAAAAAAAAAAAGGCCCTATCGTTGGAGGCGATGCCAGAAGAAAAGCGTATGCGTCGCCGGCATTGAAAAGCGCAAACTAAAAATTCCACTGCCAAGTCAAGCGCCGAACCTCCGCTGCTCCACCCGCGACAGTTGAAAGAAGCTCTTGCATAACAACAAGACCAACCTTCATCTCTCCGCTCGCTCTCCTCCCAGCCATTCCAATACCTCCACCATCGCACGATCCTTAACTCCAATGCTCCGCCCTCTTTCGCTCCTCCGTCAGCATCGTCTGTCGCTCCTCCGCTCTGTCTGCAGCATGTCCGCTCCGCCCGCAGGTTCCGCCGCCCCAACACCCTCAAACACGCCGATGGAAGACGCAATCCGAGCAAAGGTACGATAAAACCCACCATTCCATAGACAGAACCATTTCGGATAGTAAGACAATACTAACCCGCCCGCCCTCCCTTTTTTCCCCCGCAGATCCAAGCAGCCCTTTTACCCACCACCCTCACGATCCGCAACGACTCACACAAACACGCTCACCACGCTCCGATGCGCGGGGTGACTTCCAAAGAAACGCATTTCAAGTACACACCCTTCCCCACAGCTAGGCCATTCTGTGCTCCCGGCAGGAGAACGATTGGGGGTAAATTTTTGTGCTAATTTTGCCTATTTCGCGCCGGCTCCAGTGTGACGATAGTTTCCTCCGCGTTCGCATCTAAACCGCAACCTGCGCGGCACAGGATGGTGTATAGTTTGCTAAAGGATGAAATGGCGCAAGAGGGAGGGATACATGCGCTGCAATTGAGGACGAAGACGCCTGAGGAAGAGGCGAGAGAAACTAGGCCAACGACTTAGTAGTGAAAAGGGGTGGCGCCGGGGCTAGTCGGGGAAACAACGACAGCACTCCAGGGCGAATGAAATATTTATGGATGGGATCATAGCGAACTCGAAGCCTGATATATGGAAGCTGGCGTGAAATGAGCCGTTTTTGGATATCATGGCAATGTCGGTGTTGCTGTCATATGTATAATTTGACGATGACATGTTTTGTATAGATCACACGTCTCATGATAGAAATGAACCCGTCTCTACGGAGCTCCTGGGGTCCCTATTCCTCCTCAGTCCATACCATTGCAAGTAGCCACATAAGGAGTGTGACGAACCCAAACAGAATTTGGAACTAATTCGATTAGGACACTATGAACAATGCGCCATAACCCGTCCCAGAACAGCGAAAAAAACAAAAAAAAAAAAACCAATTTTAATACAATCAAAAGGATGCATGAGAATGCGCAGAATAGGCAGGCGGCAGCAAGGATTATAAAGTAGTAAAAGGAAATGCAAACCCCAACAGGCAAAAGGCTCATAAGCCAAAGGTACCTATGCATCTGGAAAGACAACGGGGGAACCATGAATGAAACGAGTGCGAGAGCTGAACCGACGATCCCGGTTCAGAGGACGGCCAATAAGGAAAACATGAACAAAAGAGCGTGGTTGATGACGGGTAACATTATAATCTATTGCAAAGGACGGTGCGGGGGTATAAATGGGGAAGTGGGGAGGAATACCCAGGGGTGGGTTGGGGGGTTAAAGTCGGGATTCCCGGTGTCGCAGAGGCCTTCAGAAAATACAGATATCCATGGCGTTAAACCAATCCCTTTTCAAAACAACTCATAAAAAGAACACAGAATGCCAAATATGTGCGTATAGACGGAGACACCGACGGCCGTGTATATTTTACTATTTTTTGGTGACGACAACCGCAACCACAACCACAACCACGATGATGATGATGATGAGAACTGTTGCAAATTAGTAACCGACCTCAGAGCTCCAAAAGTGTCCGAGTACTTACGACAAATGAGGAGACACCACCACTTCTTCCGGTTGCGGGCGCGAGCCTTCTCGATAGCTCCACCAATTTCCTCGTTAGCTTTGGTCACATTGGCGAAAACTTCCTCTCCCGCCTCGTCGATCTGAGTAACAGCTGCCTCTTGCTGGACAACCAGAGCATCAAGGTCCTGGAACATTTGGGCCAATTCAACAAAGTCTCTTTCAATCTTTTGAATCTCCTCGTGTCTGGCCCGCACCATTTGCGACACTTTCTGCGCATCCCCTCGTCTATCGCTTTGGATCAACTAAGTGGAGAATTAGCACCATGCGAGACCCCCAAAAAAAAAAAAAAAAAAGAAAAGGAAAAGAAAAGAAAAGACAAAATCAAGCGATAACAACTGCGATAGACTTACAGCTTGACTGAAAATTTGCTGGTTTGAAGTGTCCCGAACGGCCTCCTGGACCTCTTCTTCCGTCGCATCAGGTCTCACTATTCTGTACTGTCTGGCCATCTGGGTCTCAGACTCCTTCCTGAATGACTGTTGAACTTGCTGGTATTGTTCGACAGCCGCCTTCAATCTCCGTTCCACTTTTCCGATTTGTGGGGCATTGCGCGGGGAGCCAGCATCAGGCATTCGTTTGATGGTCTTCATACGTTCAATGAGATTGCGGTAAAGGTTCTTTGTCTGGGTAGCCAGCTCATCTGCCTCGGCTCGAATTGCATTCTCCCGTACGGGGTCGACGTCACTGAGCAGGCGCCTATGTAATGTATCGATTTGCCCGATATAACTCTCAACAGTGTTGACACCATTATCGATGTCTCTGCACTGGTCTAAGATAGCATTGGGGTTGGGAGCACTGGGTTGACCGTAGCCAGGGTTTGCTGGCATAGGGCTCATCTCTACACCATGATATTAGAAAACCATACATCTAGGAGATTGGTCATGGTCGAGAACATGACATAGCACTTTCTGCATACCATAGTTTGATTGGCTCTCATAGCCTCCCTGGTTGTATGTATCTTGCCGTGCTGTGTAAGGGTCGTATTGGCCGTAGCCATAGCCGTCGTTATAGCCTGGTCGCTAGAACAAGCCAAGATTAGTACATAACTAGATCTAAATGTACCAATTCCACGACCGGAAGGCCTGGATGACGAGCATAAGAGCATGTTGGAGCGCATCCTCTGTCCCAGGACAATGGACTTACACTCATGGTGTCGCCGAATGTATGGTGGAAGGAAAAGGTATGGTCTGGACTGGGCTGGTCTTGGCTGTTATATCGAGAGGATGCTGACGCGAAGAAAACGAACTCAATCAAAAGTGATAAGAGTTCTTGAAATTAAAAGACGTAATGAGACCGATCGTGTCGTCAAAGGCTAGAGAGGGCGGACAAAGAGACGCGGGAGGAGAAGCGAGTGAGAGCCGGAGCTGACGAAAAGGAGAAAAGAAAGGTAGAAAGAAAGAAAGAGGAGGGGGAATTGAAGATGGAAACAAACCCCGATCGAGGTGAGTTGTAGCCTATTCCTCAATGACGAGTAGAAATAAAGGCTGGCGAAGGAAGAACAAGTAGCAGAAAAGAAGAAGAAGAAGAGAGACGTTGGCAGGAGATGGGTTGACAGGCGGGCGGTGGATGAACAAGACGGGGAGTTCGAGATGGAGGGTGGAAAAGGAGATTTCGCAAAGTTACTAGTGTCACGCTGGGCGCCGAGCTGACAGGCCCATTACGCGGCGAAACCGCAGCGAAAAATTACACCAATACGGAGCACCTCCTCCTTCAAGTTGATTTCAGAGCGCCCGATCAGGTTTAGTTGCCAAGTGAAACGGGGGCCGAGTGGATCCGACGGCGCAGGATCTGACTGCCCGCTAGCCATATTTGGACTAGCGCCGCGCGAGGTATAGGGCTGTGCGCTGCGATTACCTAAGCGAAGCCTCTGCGCGGCTCCCAAGAAAACTCTTTCGGCGCTTTTTGTTCCACGCAGCAGGCGTCGCAGCAGGAATCGTCAAACGCCCCGGGCTGCATCATTCTGCGCGAGGAGTGTCAACGCTGCCTCCAACCGCATTGACGCAAGCCGTGAAGGCATGTGCAATATGTGGAATCAGGGTCGCCAGCCAAACCATAGATGTTCCCTCGTGTGGACTGTTCCTGGAACTGCTCGCTGGGATCGAGAACCCCGTAGCCGACATCTTCTCTGGTCCTGTGGTTCGCGGTGGGGTCGAAAAAATCTCAATCAGCACAACCTCTGGAGCTCACAAAACGCCTTCACCGATCTTGCCTCTCCGCCGTTGGCCAGCGCGTTCCCCCCCGTGTGGGACCGGCCAATGAGGCTCTAGCGGGCTCTGAGCCTCAAAGGCGAACTCACTTAGAAATGTTCTGTGGGGTAACGAGCGGTCAGCCGATGCCCCAATCACCACCATACCTGCAGGCTCTTTTGGCGCCCACGATCTGAAAATAGCTGCCGTCCATGCAGGCCACCAGACTCTCGCCCAAGGCCAGAAAAGGTTTTCGCTTCATGTTTGACATGCAACCGCGCGATGCCTAAATATAACCTTGTTTCAACCTCCATATACGGCTTGAAAGGATTGGAGAGGATGGGTGAGGTGAGTGGCACCTGTTACCTCCTCAGGCCACAAGGATCCCCGCTGTGGGAAAACTGAACTCTCCAGCAGTGCCTTGACAGGCGGTCATTGTTTGCCTACTGAGGGCAATGCTTTCATGAAGGTGCAGCAGAAAAGCTTAAATCCAATTCTGTTGATCACAGCTTAATCCATTTTATCTGTATCTCAACTACATTCCCATCAACGCCAATAAATAAATCATCACTCGTTATTAGTATGAAGATGGAGCGCTTGCCTGCCCTCACCGCTATAATCGAGACCAGCCGAACCAATAAAAATCAAAGGTCAATGTTAGGAGGGGAAAAAAAAAATATATGAAGGAAAAGAAAAGAAAAAGGGTGCACCGCACAGTAAATCTTCGAAATTCTGCTTTAATCTTCTCGCACCAACACCTGGACAACCGCGTCACTATCGGGAACAGGCAAGAAGTAATCCTTCTTGGGCACCACATCCCTCATCGTTGTCTCAAAGAGTTCCATCCTTCCCCCAAATCTCCTGATTAGACTTGAGATTATGAGGTATAATTCGGCATATGCGAGGCTATACGTATTCGAATACCACATCAGCTATCACTTTCAGCCGATTCGAATGTGCTATGTCTGTTGTGAAGGGGGAAAAGGGGGAGAAAAAGAGAGCGTACTTGATACCGATACATTGCCGCGAGCCCTTAGAGAAAGTCATTAGATACGGATCTAGATGTCTATGTCGTTTCCCATCCTGATCAAGCCATCGCTCAGGAATAAATTTGCTTGAATCAGGAAAGATTTCGGGATTATGATGGATCAAGTACGATGTCATCCCCACGGGAGTACCGGCAGGAATCACATGCTTGATGTGATTTTCCTGATCGGATGCTGGTTCAAATATCAGTGGTTCATAGGGTGAGATGCGCTGGGAGCGGGAAATCACGCCATAGGACAGCCGTAGACCCTCTGCGACGACCGCGCTGTGAACTTGGAAAGTCAGCTTCCCCCTTCAGGCATAAAAAGCAACCGGGATCACTTATCAAATATGGAAGATTCTCCAAAGTTGTTACCGATGGGAGGATAGATGGGTCAGGAATAGCCTCTTCAAGCTCTTTGCGCAACTTCTCTAGAACCGCCGGATGGGCCAGGATATAGAAGGTTATCACGGAGAGCGCTGTGGAATCGATTAGGAGACCCGGTCTCGGCAAATATATAAGGGCGAGTTGCAATTAACTTACACCATCCAACTGTCTCGGTGCCAGCACCGACGATAAGCTGCCCTTCCTGTTTGAGACGTGTAAAGGTCTTTTCCTGTGGTGGAAGACTTCCCGTGAGAAGTTCATGAAAAATCGTATTATGGCCTTTCTCGTTCCCGTTGCTAACACCATCCATGACATCCTTCACCTGCTTCGATATTTCCTACCAGTTATATCAGTATGTACCCCAAGCTGACCCTGAATCAATTGATGCGCTGTTCGTACCATTTGAAACTCCATAGCTGCAGCAAGGTTCGCATCTAACACCCTAAGGACAGATCTGTGATATCATTGTTAGGCGAGATCATGCAGAGCACTTGGTCCCGAATTGACGCACATAGGTATCATATTAGAAATACTGCGAATCCATGGGAATTGCTTTGAATGCGTTGCCACCATCAAGCCTTTAACTAGGGTCACGCGGAAATTCCTTTGGAAGTACGGGTTGGAGGGACACACGAAATTCGTGCAAGTTCCAAACGCATATTCCGTCGCAACGTCGCTAGTAATTGCACTATACGCATCGGACAAGGAGACAGGCCTGCCAGAGCCTGCAGTTGCCTGGATTAGGGAACATAGGGTGTCGATTTTTTTGGTGATTAGAGGCTCAAGCTGCGTGACAGAAGCCTTTGAGAAGAATCGTCTTAACGCAGAACGTCGGAGGCGGTGGTGGTAGTGATCCGCAGTTCCGAAAAGACTCTATATTTAAGGCACAAATTGGTATCTCGATCGAATCGAGGGCGTCATCAAATACTCACCTTCGGAAGCCTGTTTTGAAGATTTAGCTGATATACGACGTAAGCTCGGACCAACAGGGGGCAAGATGACGAACCCAAATTGTGATGCATAAAACACATATTTGTCTCTCCTTTTCCCGCCGCCAGCGTAAAGGGTGTCGATGAAAGCAGGATCATTGATATGAAGCTCATGTGGGCTAATACGAACGATGGGGCCTAGAGTTCGAACCAGCCTCAATCAGCGGCAGAGTATCTCCACAATTTTGCTCGTAAGGGACGGACCGTATCTCTCGTGCATGCGCTGGATCTCGAATGTATACTGGCCGCCCCTGATTCCATCATGATAATACTCGTACCAGAGCGTCAAGGCCGCCAGTTTTGGTCCGGGGAATTTAGCAAGAGGATGGAGAAACAGCCTGTAGACAGAGAGGCCAGACAGAGCAAAAACCACAAGTAGACACAGCACCGCGAAAGGATGCTGTGGAATAAACTGCACGATCTCAGCCAGGAGTGCCATTTTCAGGACTCTGGAGACCACCAGAAATCGGCGAGCATTGAAAGTAAAGGATTGTGTCGCATGATGGGAGACGTTGCATCCTAAGTACTTTTTTACGATGAAGCTGCAAAATGCACTGGTGACTGTGTCTTCTCTCCGTCCGGCTATATTGAGGGTGAATTAGCCTTCCAATCCCTGCGTCAACGTGGGGACGGGGAAACCTAAGCCGTCGGCGCGAAAAGAGACTCGGGCCATTTCGGTGGAAGGTTCTGTCTCCGTGCTGGCAACATCATCTTATTTGACTCCAGGCCACTGGTAGTTAGCTCGTAGTTAGCCCACATGCATCCTAATTTGGCCAGGGCCTTTTTCCCTTTTTTTTTCTTTTTTTTTCCCCTCCCACGAGCCACGATCTCAGCTTCCTGGTCTATCATTGTCCGCTAGCAGTGGTTGAATCACTCCGTCTTTGTCTGTATGTTGTCTCAGAGGGAGAGAGACAGGGAGAGGGCGGGGAGGGAGAAAGAAAGGGACAAATCAATGTGAAAGCCCAGCACCAACAAGGAGGGCAGGTTAACTTCTCGTGAACTAATGCCGGCCCCCTGGAGACAAGCCGGGGTGACTTGTCTCGTCTAAATCCTGCGTAACTTGCAGCTATCCGGCTCCGCGGTTTCCGCTGCACCAATTAATGGAGAGAGCCGTCGCTTAAAAGCATTGCATCTGTCCAGATGCATCTCGCGTCTACGAATGAAACACACCCACATTCTCCTGGAGATACATAACGCATATTTCTCCGTTCACTTGCAGGTACCCGGGATCTTGGATTGAGAAATCTCTTCGGGACAATCTTAACAGCTCAACTCCGGCGCCACACCGCGCGCCCCAACTAGGACGACCAGCGGGGAATTCCAGAGCAACGACTGGCGAATCTTTAAGAGCTCAGAAGCCAAACACGCGCAGCAGATGGTCGGGATAGCCTTTTTTCTTTAGAATCCCCGACTGTTGCTCAAAGGCACCAACAAAGAAGTTGTTGACTGAGAATGGTGAGACGCGGACAATGAAAGACTCGCTTGACCTTTAAAATGACGGAGCCCGTGGCCCCCAGCGTCCCGATGGATACCGCGACTTGTCGTGTCACTGCTCTGCGTATGCTATGTGTACTCCGTACACACGATCACCACTTTTAGAGATTTCGCCGAATTAGAGAAGATGGAACAAGCGGGGAGAGAGAAGTATACGCGCTCCTAGTCCAACTCCTACTTATTCCTACGCATAGGTCAATTCCATGTGAGTTAACATCACTTGTTCAGGACTCCTATCCCAGCCGACAAATAAGGATCTCGGTGAGTGTGGTTCATCCGGGACAAATGCCTGCATGCGCCTAGTCAAAGGCCACCAGGTCCGATACAAACTGGTGGTCCCAGGCAACCTGTGAATGCGAAGGTGGCCATTGATAGATAGGTACGCATTGCAGGGTCACGGTCGAGGTCTAGAGGTGGTGAAGCAAGAGACTGCAGACGTGTGCGATCGCCGACCCCTTAAACGCCTCAATTTATGTGATTGACGCTGTGTGAGTTTCTTATTCCTGACATGTCGCATCTCTAAATGAGATGGCAAATTTTTGATAAGGGACAATGATCCAATGGAGTAGAAAAGCTCTTCTCCATCCTCGGAAGTATGCAGGACGTTTTCATCGAGATTTATCCGAGTTAGCCCAAAAGCAAATCCGCCCCCCTGGTGGCCACAGCTGATGATGCTGAGGGCAAGTTATACTCGACAAAGCCTCGGGAGCACTGCCGTCAAGTGCATGTACGGCTATGCTTGCCTGGAGTTCGAAATTCCATACCAGCCGTTACCTCTGTTATGAACATCGAGCCACCTCCCGCAGGCCATTTACACCCACCCCTTAGGAATATTAAGCCTGGCAATATGAAATATCTATGTTGTCTTTCCGCTATGTATAATGGGGGAACTGCAACAATAAAAATACACTCCTCTTTGTTAAAAGTCAAACCCAGCTCGCCAATCTCAATGTGTCTATAGCCCCAGAATATGCTTGCTCAAAGAACCACCAATGCCCAACATGCTTAATCTCCCTTCTTCCCCCATCGCCGAGTTTCGTCGCCATTTTCCCAATCACGTTCCACATATCCCAGCCGTTTCTTAACTTCAACGATGGTATGAGTATCTCCTGTGTTCTTGCCAAGGTTGTCGCTTAATTTCACAGCCGGCCTGCCTCCAGCGCTGGACACCTTGATTACGATATTGAGTGGTACAGACTTCCTACCATCCGACAAATTTGTGAAATCATCTGTGGCGCAAACGAGATGTTCAGCAACCGGACCGCGGGGCAGCCCAAAATGGGAAAAAAGCTTTGAACTTACTTGTGAGGAAAGTCCCGACTCCAAACACGGGACGAAATCCGGCTTCTTCCGCAATGACTTTGTAATCCAAGCACAGCTGGATGTTCAAAGAATCAGAGAAAACAAGGGTCTTCTTATCCTTGATTCCCTGCTTGTCATAAAAGTCTCTCAGCATTTTGACAAAATATACTGGGTCACCCGAATCTTGGCGTATGCCAGTGAAAACCTCTGCGTACGTTTTCGCAGGCTCGCGGCCGCCGAATTCGATCGGAGCAGCAATTGGCGGCTGTGTTTCGGCCAAACCACCAGTTCCACCTAGGTTCCCTTCTGATGACGGGAGCGTACTGTCCGGACCTTCAGCGGCAGCCGTGTACACGGGTATCCGCTTGCTAAAGGCATCTAGGAATACAGGTGTCCCGAACGTATCGGTTAAAGCGACCCCGAGAACCTAGCATTTGCGCCAATTTTGATTGTGTCAGAAAAAAAAATCAAGGGTTCAGGTGGCTGGCATGACGAGTTGATCGACTCACCCCTTCGCCAAAACAGCCAAGCCAATATCTCAGTGCAAGCTCATTTGCATTTTCATAGTTATCAGTGATGGCAGCTATCCCCATGTACCATTCATGGGCAACGGTGCCAACTGGTTGCACACCACACTTCATGGCAAAATGAACGTTGCTGGTTCCGGAGAATGATCCTGTCCATCCTTCTTCGCGGCTTTTCTCCGCAGCCCGACACAGTCCGCGCATCACCAGATCTTGGGTATGGTAATCTCGTCTTCTTCTGGTTCCAAACTCGGAAAACGTGCATTCCTGCTCAAGTAACGCGCAACCTTTCCGGAAAGCTTTCTCTTCCTGTTGATGATAATCCCAATCTCGATCACACCATTTGAAGTATGCCTCACTCGTTATCGCAAGGAGCGGAATTTCGTAGAGGATGGTCTCAACCCAAAGGCCCTTGACGGACATTGTGACATCCCCAATGTCCGAATCGGCTCCGGTGTCATTAAGAGGCACGAAGTCAACATGCACTTGCTCCGATGGCCTGAAGCAAAAGGTGGATAGGTATCTCAAGTACGCAGGGTTGAAGTATGAACAGTTTGCCTTGAGAAATTCGAGCTCCTCGGGTGTCAGCGAGATATTTGAAAGTTCTATCACGGACAGTCTACATTAGCTTCTCTACTTCAGTTGGGAACATTCCCCAAATTCGAACAGGCACTCCAAAAGACTCACTATCTATTTGCGCCTTTAGCCACCTGAACGCCTCTCTTGTAAACTTCATGTCCTTAGTCCGGTTCGTGTAGGCATAGGTGACCTCTGGCAAGCATGTGAGTCATGGTGGGTTCTTGCTAAATTGCAAATTATAGGATAAAATCATAAAGGAAGAGAAAATGATATACCAGAATCAGGAAAGTATTTGAGAATGGCACATTGCATCGTTAATTTGTATAAATCTGTGTCAAGCAGCGAGAATATCCCCTCTGGGGGAGGGTGCCGCTCATCGGTTCCCATCTTTAAAGCTAGGGCGAGCTCCTAGCGCGACTGATGGCGATTGGACTACTAAAAATTAGAGCTGAGCTGAGGCCGGAAGAATACGCTGCGCGTCCAGAAAGCTAGGACGCTCTTTCAGAAAACTGTCAGGAATTTTGTCGAGAGAGTTGAAACCCCGCCGGCACAATTGCAATGGAGAATCTCCCCCACATCCGGTGTCGCAGGCGGGTATCATGACATCGGAGCAGACGCCGCCTGTTGTTTGCTCTGTTTGCAGCCGATGGTGGCTGGTGCGGGCGGCGTCCTGGCAAAGCCATTCGAACGACTCGTACGGTCTTTGGGTCGGCTGGAGTGAAGAACACAGCACAGATGGCGCCCATCCGACGATACCTACGGATCAGCAAGCACTCGGTGCTGGAGTGTCGGATTTACCTGGAGAACCCCTCCGATTCTCGCTGGCTGCTGGATCCACGCGACCCCGTTCTTCCACGCGTGTTCAAGAGCATCCGACCCCTAGTGCTCCCCAAACTCCGCGAAGAAAACGAAAGAGCCAGAGCAAAGAAGAAAAGCAAACCGGTCAAGGACGTCCTGGTCGAAGGTGTGCCTTCGAGTCCTCACTAAATGTGTGCATGTGCGCGTGCTGACAAACTTTACAGATGATTTCCAAGTGTCGATATTTCTCAGAGAAACTGGCACTCGTCACTCAATAACAACCCGACGTAAAACGTTTGGGGATGGCGGCAGGATTAGCAGCAAGTCTAACAAGTTAACGGGAAACAGTGACGATCCGATTCATATCCCGGACGACAGCGAACAACCAGTGCACCCTCTACTAGTCGAAGAGGAAGACTCCCCTGTCAACCTACACGATATCCCTGAAGCTCAACCTGACGACGTGGGGTCCGAACAGCCTGTACGTCGTCGCCGGCGGCAACGCCGGGCTATGGCGGCCGCGGAGGACGAGGATGGAGCGCCCATGCGCCCGTCAAAACGAGCGAGAGCTGAAACACCGACAGAGGCCATTCCGCATGATGAGAAGAAGCTGGCAATGACCACGACCTACGAAGGTTTCGATATTTGGGGCTGGATATTATGCCTTCTCGTTTCACGTCGAGACAGAACCAAGGCTGCACCGGCTAGTGGCGAGTCGTCGAATCAAGCTCTGATGGAGGAGTGGATTTGTACCCAGGCACCTCAGGAGTACGATGAGGGATGATGGAGGAATGAGCTCAGAAAGCCAAGAAGCGATCACACTTCCAACATCATCAGCCCTTCCGCTGATCGCACCGAGCATCTCTACGTCAACCGGGCCGGTGGTTGTCCAGTAGCAATCCCAGGAAACGATCGCCTGACACGTTTAGCAATAATCCGATGACGCCCCGACGTCGTCTGCATGTCGGCAAACCTGGTCTCCACGCTCCATTTTACCGAGTCACCGCACGCCGAGAACAGCTTTGTTATAACAGGGATTCAGCGTAAACAGGCGCCCCTGGTTATCACGCTAACAATCTTTCCCAGCCTTGAGCATCAATATCTCACCGCTTAATCCCAATAGACTTTCGTGAGGCTCATAATTGGTAACAACCCCGTCTTATTGGGGCAACTCTATCCCGAAGTCACCGTCTTTTGCTTCTCAAGATTCCAGGTGAATTATAATATTTTAAATCAGGGAAAGGTGAAGGTTAGCCAAGATGCATAATCAAGCCTTTTCTCAGTCTCAAACATGCTCGTTGGCTAGCAGGGATACAGGCTAGGCATGCCTCTACTGAGGGAGAACAGCACGAGAGGAAAGGATTGTGACATATCTAGGGAGTAGATAGGCCTGATGATCCTAGCATCACGAAGCTGTACTTTTCCTAACGTAAGGGAATTCGGGATGTCACAATGCTGATAGGCTAATATCCCACCGCACTCACCGTTGAGGCTTCCACGTTGTTTTGTAGCGTGTCCAACACGTGCAACAGCTGTTTTGGTTTCCAATGTTTCGGGTTGTGAATCTGCTAATTATCCATGTCAACCCATCAATTACTGGTTAGAGTATGGTGTTTGGCGGCCAACAAGGAATGGTAAAACAGACCCCGGCTGCCATGCTATATATATCAATACGATACCATGCGCTTCTCGCTTGAATTGGGGGACGGGGCGGCGGCATTTGCACCCCTCGTCTCCAGCATCTCCGACAAAGAGAAGACATGATGGCGGGGGCCCAATGGACCGCATAAATCTTCGCAAGGAATCGTCAAACCGCGTTAGTAATGTGGCGCCAAAATACGATACAGAGCCCGCATCGTTCAGAGTACTCCGTAGAGAAACAGTTTTCAGAGCATGTAACTGTCTGACGTCTTCCAATGGGTTCATTTCCATGTAGCCGAAGTTGTTTATGCGAACGAGCGGGGTGTCGCACCTCCATTTCTTCAAAATCGTCTCGCCCTCACGGACACCCCCCGGTATGGAGGTACTGTGCAGAGTGATCCCCTTTGCGAGATCACACCACCCTCAAGATCTCGGGCGACCCGTGGATCTGCCGAGAGCACGAGTCGCTTATTATCCCTTAGATTTGGCGGCATGGACCGCTCCCTAATGCACGCCGCTGATAGCGTCGCGACCAGAACACTTAGCGCATAGACAGAAGATGCCTGGCCGTGGCCGACCCCTCATGACCAGCACGCATGAGTGATGTGAAAAGAGGGCTTCTCCGCACGACGCTCCTGCTTGTTAGCCGAAACGGATAAAACTCAATCATCGAAGCACAGGTCCAGCTACTCCTTGGGGGGGGGAGGGAAAGCGAAGAAACAAGCAACGCTCGGACTTGGATGAAGCAGCGGTAGCCGCGTTTTCCCACTTTATCCCGTCTCGAGTGGCCGAGCCCAGATTCCAAAGGATGGCGCTCATAGCAACCAATAGTCAAGCCGCTCGAGCTTTTTGCGCGTGGCTTTCGCGGGAGTTGGCTTTAGCTGCTGCTTTGGCTCTCCTAATTGGGCCGTCTGTACTCCGTACTCTGTCGAGAGTCCATACATTCACCCGAGTGAAGTGCTTGGACGCCTGCCGCCCTGGATGGGCCCGCTTGGATCGCCCTTCAGATCGACAGGCCCTGCTCGATTAAACTACCCGGAGAAAAGCCTCCACGCGCTGCATCCTTTCACTCGAGCAACTCCTCCCGAGGGACAAATAGCATTCTCACCTCCAATCAGGTGCTGGGCAGCCTTTTCCTGGTCGGGACTAGACAACAAGGCCTGAGCATCCCTTGCGATCTCAAATGCAAGTGATATTTTCAACCAAGATCCTTGGGACACGGACGTGGCGCTGATCCCAACCCGGCTATACCTACAAATAGCAACATTTTATCCCCTCTCTCGTACCTTAACCTTTCCTCGGTACGATAGGGCGAGGGATGCGAGTTTCTGCGGACCGCAGCCGGGAACTAAAACTCCATAAATTTCTTTTGCACTGGGGGAAAAAAAAAAATAAAAATTATACAAATAAAAATAAAAAATAAAAATAAAAATATTTTCACGGCTGAACCAAGAATCGAGGCAATGCACGCCGCCATTGCCGGCGCTAAGATTATTATGTATCTGCTACGGAGTACGGAGTACTCCGTGCAAAACCAGGGAATTTGAACGAAACACTTTGCTTTATTGACTTTTACCTCCGAGGCTGAACTGGAGCGGACGGCCCTCTCGTGAAAACTCAATTCGTCTCCTCCGAGCTTCCCGGACTCAAACGTTTATCCAGACCATATTACATCACGGAGTACTCCGTAGTTTAACTTGAACGGTTTGAACCAAAATGAATAAATAAATAAAAATACATAAAAATACCTGATCCAAACTCCGCGGTCGTTGATCCTTGCTCGGAAGGGAGCCTGTTTTTCCCCGAAGGAAAGAAAAGCACAGTCAAAGTTTTTATCCTCCAACAGTTTTCAGAAAAGGCGGCCCCTTCCGCGACATTTTACGAGCGCCGAGTGAGGAGGAAGTTCACGATGGAGTCCAGTCTTGGGTCAGACACCACGTTTTTTGCGGGTCCCTCTCCGAAGCACATTCTTCAAGGACGGATCCACACTCGCCCTCCGATTCACGAAGGGTGATTTGTTAACAAGCGGTTTATGCATGCATCGCATGACCTTGACGCCACAGCCTGCCTGCTTGGCCCCGGGTATCCGCGTCATATCGAGCCTGCAAGGGACAGAAAGGAGTAACAATATCCAGCTTCGTACGGGTTGCAGAGGAAGAGCTTCTGATCTGCAGAACATGACTCCGTCAACTCCAAGGAACGCTTTCCCACATGATGATGCATGAATTATTAAAAAAAAAAGAAAAAGGGAAAGAAAAAGAAAAAGGCATCGCGAAAGCTGGTAGACACACAACAATGAGAGTATTTCCGCCGTGGCGACAAACATGTGGGCCACGCATTTCTGTGAGCCAAGCGATCACATTCATGTGGACGTCTCGGTTGAGAGAAGTCCACATGGGCCGTACGGAACTATCCGTTTTAACTATTCCGTATTATTCGATGTCATTCCTTTTGATTTTTACGGGCCTAAGTATGAAAGTTGAGCCAAGAGGGAGGCAAAAAAAAAGAAAAAAAAAAGGAAAAGGAATCTCGAGGCAATGAGGGCATCAGAAGTAATGTGGTCCGATGAGGGTAGCAACACAGCGTCGTTACGATGTCCAACACCTCCCAGCAAATAAGCTCGTCTTCCTGACTCTGGGCGTCGTGGAACCTGAAACGGCTCTCGGTCAAACGGGCGAGTTTTGCAACCACACGCCGGTGCGAGCTTGAGTCACAGGAGAGAGGCGATCATGACCTCATTTCCCTCCTGGCACAGCCGGTGGTGTGGGATCCCAGCATTATTGAACTTTTTTTTTTTTTTTTTAATTGAAGCGCCAAAGGCTTCATTTATCTTTGGTTCGATGTTGGATTTCAGAGTGAGTCGAGATGGATAGGTCCGGCAGGGGGATGTATGGGCAGCGGATCTGCCCAGCAAACATGCTACCAAACAGGGATATAATGAAAAGGCGGAGTGCATGTCCTCCATAGATTTAGCCATGGTGGACTGGTGAATTATGCCGAAGGCACACAAGAGAGAGCATAATGGGTTCCTTGAAGAGTTAGGTTAATGCGGCTCACTTGCAAATTACATCACTGACAGGGACTCCGCGGATGGTCACTGGTTGATTGAGGATTTCTTTTGCGTCGCGCCCACTGTGACAGACAATCACAGACAGAAAGTTGCCGCTGTCCGACAGCCATCAGAAAGACAACAAGCAGAAAACTCTAGGGTAGGGAGCAAAAAAAGGAAAAAAAAAAAAAGGAAAAAAGCATCAAAGACAGACTCCATAACTCAGTCAACCCACAAAATTGGTCCGAGCCTGCGCCACCCCTATGCGAAAAGGCCAGGGGCAGCGGGGACCTTTTAACGGCCGCGTCTTAATTTTTTTTTAAGATTATGCATAGTCCTACCGTCATTCGCCAGAATGCTTCTTGACCAGCGGGTCAAAATGGAAATCCCCATCATCTCAGCCAACCAGATCTTTGCTAATGAGTCCTCAATGCAAAATGAATGGCCTCTTTTTTTTTTTTTTTTTCTGGAACAAAATGGAGTCCCAATGTAAAAAGAGGCTACCGACGTCTCCGCTCACAAGAGCGTGGGAGAGATGAAAAGCCCTAAGGAAGGGCCGTTTGGGCCATCCCTTTGTCGTCTGTCTGCAAAATCTGTAGCCTGCAGTGATGATCGCGAACATCAATGTCAAGTTGAACGGCGCGGAAAGGGTTAGAAATTTCTTTTTTCTTTTTTTCTTTTTTATTTCTTTTTATTTTTATTTTTGATCTGTCTGCTGAAAGAACGACAGACCAATTTTGCATCACATCCACCACGTTTGTTTCCCAAAAGTCTAACCCCTGCATCAGACTAGTTTAGTGAGACAGGGGTCAGCCAACGAGGATCAGCCTCGTGATCCCTTAAGATGCCTAGTGGACAAGATGGAGAAGATGATTCATCGATACTGTCTTGCGCCAACCAAACTCGGTGGTTTTGAGTTTGATACCGAGTAGGAGAAGGTCATCGCAGGCTGCTCGAAGGCGAAAAATCTGTCTGCTGCACGGACTGGTGAAAGGAGAGTATATTCTGCAACTTCTATCCGGAGTAGACCAGCGCGAATTTCCGGCAAGTGTACGGGGAGAGAAGGCTGCCAGCCGATGTATATCTCAAACACCTCTTTTCTTTTTTTTTTTTTTTTTTATATAACTTGATACGAAAACGGAGGAATGAACATGGACGACCGGGCAGGGCCGTCCCGGAAGAAAGTCCATGGATCGAATCCTTGCCACATCTAGCTCTGTGCAAGTTCTAAGGCTTGAGGAGGGGGATTGCTGTTACACAGGCAAAACAGAAAGAGATGAGTTCACTTTGGTTTCGATATAGCTACCTCGACAGACGTTGCCATGGATTAGAGCGGGGACAAGGAGAGAGAGAGAAGAAGGGGGGCACAATGAAGAGGGGGGGAAAAGCCGGTGTGAACATCGCACAAGAGACGTCTGTGTCCAGGACGCAAATACGAGACAAGGGAATGAATAACGTAGCAAGAAGAGGGCACGAGGAGGATCAGCCAGAAACAACTTCGGCGTCAGCGCAGAGACGGCCTGAGCAAAAGACCTCACGACCAGGGTGTGGGGCCCATGTGACGAAATCGACGATTAAGCCTATTATTGCTGCTGTTACTGTTACCTGCTGTTGCTGCGGAGAGGGGAGATACGACGGCGAGCGCGAAAAGAAAGAAGAGTGAATCCATGCCGCTAATCCGGCGGCGTCGCCTTTCCCAGAATTCGGGCTTTAAGCCCTGGGATGGCTTGCACGGGCGCCAGACTAAGTGGGCTTTTTTGGGAATCGGATCCCTTCCCCCCTCCCACCGTGCAAGGAGAGCAATTAGAAAGTGGATGACGAACCAGGAGCAAAAAAGGCTGTGAAACAAGTTGTTATTATTCTTTTTCTTTTTCTTTGTATTTTTTATTTTTTTTTAAATTTTTTAAATTTTCATTTTATTTTATTTTTTTTTTTAACCTTTTTCGTTCCGCATTATTGTGCTTATTATGAGCCCTACTGATGATGCCTACATGCATACCCAGGCAGTCATAGCGGTGGAGCCGTAATTTATAAATCTTATATATCTCGCCAGCTTCCTCGCCCTTCGGCTTTTCTTTCTCTCACCCTTCCTCAAGCAAAAAGCTCCCTGTCAGTTCTCCTTGATACTGTTATTCACGCTTCCCCTTAGCAATCCGATCCGGACGTCAGAGCCATATCTTCACGCCCACGTAGCTATAACCACCTTATTTACCACTTGTCCCACGACAAATCACTGCTACGGCACGATCGAGCTTCTCTAGCAGCTGTCCACGACCACCAGCCTTCACAACAATGCCTTCCTACGCATCGTCCCAATACCCTCCTTGCCCCGGCCCACCACCGAAGGGCCCTCTTCCTCCAATCCCGAAATAAAAGCATGCGGGCAGACGATGTTTTGACGTCCCATTTCGCCCAATTATGTCTCGGTTTACGACAAGCAGCACTTCTTTCTCGCATTATTCGTCTTATGTCAATCAAAAACGGCAGCTGGCTGCCTCGCATGGTTCTGAAAAGACCCCCCGCTGTCTTCTTTGATACCCTGTTTATTATCTTGATCTTTGCGCTTTTTTGTTTTTCTCCCCCACCTTTGAGATCTTTCGGGCGGAATCAAAATCTGCAGCACCAAAAAGTCGGTTACACACACATGTGCAAGCAAAATTTCATCTTCTTTCCCCTTACAAACTGCCTCCTCTTTCACCTCGTGCAGAAGAGCAGTGCGGAGGAGCTATTTCGGCAACGTACCGATACATCACACGACCTCGTTTGAGGATATCACGTCAGCACGGACATGGCGTACAGAGAGCGTCGAGGAAAACCGGGAGGGAGAAAGGGGGAAAGAAAAAAAATAATTTAAACAAAAAGAAAAAAAAAGAAAATTCTCGTTCCGCGTTCAACACCCTGTCGATGGCATTATCGCTTATCTTGTATTATCCACCTCGAAGGGGTGATATGTCCATTGGCGGCGGGGCAAACCACCGTCAGGTACCACATGGAATCATATGATCAGCAATTAATCCCTGCGGGTGCATCTCGGCCTTGACCTGCACTAGTCCGATGTTTTCACACCTCTGGATTTGCTACTGCAAAGCAAAAAGCCATGGAGCTCTCGGGTCCGTTGGACGAACAGCTCCCAGCTCCCTGTCAAAAAGAAAAGTTTCTCCCGGGATGCGGTTTTCGTTGCATGTAACACCCTGGCTCCAAGCGACAAGTTCGGGCGGTTATGCAGTTGGTTCTATGTTCACACACGGCAGCCCCCCGTCATCATCATCATCCCCATCCATGCTACACAGGAGGGGGAAAAAAACAGAAAGAAAAGACAAGAGAACACGCAGGCGCAAAAGCCGGCGTCTGATGATTCTAAATCGGGTGATCCGCCTTGCACTGCCCTTGCTCACTACGCGACGCCACTTCCGCGACCCTGCTTCCGCTAAATCCTTGTCCCGCACCTAGCCTTGGCCGGCCGCCATGCATCCTGCTCCAGCTTTTCGATCCCAACGCCAGAGAAAACCCGCCCACCTCTACCCCACTCTCCCGAGCGCGGCCAGCAGTTCAACTGCGCTCGCCTGCGTCTTTCCGGCTGTGCGTGCATCCAAGAGCCCATCCCCCCAAGCGCAGGCCCAGACCATAGTAGATGAACGCAGTGGGTCACATGGACCTGGGGGGGGGATCTCGCCGCTGAATCCCTCTTTTTCCCGCATTGACCTCTTCGCGCTTCATGCGACTACTCCGCGCTCCGTTCCTCGCTTGATTTGTGAGCTTGTTGTTGTCGACTTTTCTTGCATTTGGCTGCTTCCGCAAAGAGAATCCCAGACCTACCCTTGGAGGAGAATTATATACCGATGTTTTTAATGCATGATACATGGGACACCTTCCTTCTTCGGTCTTCGCTCAACTTTTTCTATTTTTTCTTTTTTTTTTTTCATCCAGTTTCGGTGCCTTCTTGCTCGTGTCTTAATTGGTATCATTTGCCTTTTCACATTTTTCCCATGAATTCGTAATGTTGAGTGAAAATAAGGGCCTGGAATTTCTGCTGTCTGCTTTTTCAAAATTCTTCAGTTTTGATTGCAGTTACCTTGTTACCTCTTTTCATGTTTACCTTTTTTTTTTTCCTTATCTCGATGCTGCTGCTGTTATTTGTTATTTCTCCTTTTTTTTTTCCCCCTGTTCAAGAGATGAGGGGATGGAGGTCATATAATGTTAATGTAATAGGCCCATATATGCATATGGTTTAACGCAGTATGAAGCAATCAATAGAGGGAGAACCACCTATCATCATAACCATAGATTTTCTATTCTAATACGGAGTACAGTGTTTTCCAATGCATGAGCGGTAATTGATCCATGCCCCTGGGCGGTAAACTGTCCATTGCATATGATCTGCGGTTGCCGATCTCTTCCCCTTAACTCCGGCCATTCATAAAGGAGAAATGATTCCCGCCCAGCATTTCTCCCCCCCCCCCGGGAAGGCTATCCGCTTGTGATCCGTGTGCAAGCTGTTTTCAGGGGAGCTACAAAGCTCATGGGGAAGGTGATCCCTCCCCGGGCGATACATGAAGATATTTAATTTGTATGTCCTCCCTTGTCTCTGTTCGGGGATGTTCCGCCCGAGAGTTGCAGAAAATTTACGGCCCTTCGGGGGATTGCTCGGTTGAACATTTCGGCCGAGCGCAAATTGATTCGGGCATAATATCCTGCAGGCTTCACTGAGGGGGAAACCACGGTATTCTCTAGAGTCGATTAATGAATTTTGCTTACCGGCTTTGCCTTGGGAGAATTTCAGGATGAAAATTGCTTGGCAGTCGATGGGGTCTAAGGGCGGAAGTAAACTGATCTAGCTAGCCCGATTTTACTGAGAAAAAGGGATCGATCGGGATCTGGCGTGGTCTTTAGCCGGGATACCGAATGGTATCATCTGCGATCGATTGAGTCGACATTTCTTGAGATAAGCTCATACCAGACAACAGTCCCGTAGGTTAGCTAGTTGAAGTGTGGTGCTAACAACACCAACGTTGCGAGTTCCCCTCAATGGGACCATAATCATCTTACACCCTTTTTTTGGTAGATTCTTAGACTAATATTTATTCCACATCTTTTCATTTTTTTTCTCAATGTGGTGTCCCGGAATGCATGGGCAATCAACGGAATGCTCTTCTCATCGCCAGATTGGATGTTGCTGTTCCCTAGTGCCTCACGTGACACAAGGCTTGATTCCATTGAACAACCAAAGAATTTCGCAGCGCGAGAAAGAAGCTACATCTCTTGATAGATTGGTCTTTTGAGACCCCGCAAATCATTTCATATGTGTCTGTCTGTGCTACTGTGGTTATACTGAGGTTATTCCCTTTGTGTCTGTCACTTGATTGTGTTCTCACGTCCTGATCCAAAGAACAAACCTAGCTGGAAAGCAACAAGATGGTGTTGGAGCTCCATACTTGGGGTCCGGCTTTCGGATTGCCTTCAATTGACGCCCAGTGCCTTGCCACCATCGCTTATTTTGCTCTCGCGCTGCCTACAAATGGCTCACCAGAATGGGTGCTGGTTCCAGACAGTGATCCGAAGATAGTGCCTACAAGTATGTGCCGATTGTCGTCACGATCTTATATCAGCTTGCAGAGAGAGGAATGGCCATGCTGACCGCAATGCAGATGAACTCCCTGCGGTATGGACGGGCTCAAGGTGGATTAGCGGGTTTCGAAATATCGTGGCATTTTTGAAGCAATATTCCGATGGAGAATGGGACCTGGATCGGTGGATGGGACCTGGCGAGCAGGCGGATTGTGTTGCGTATGCTTTTGCCTCCCAATATCACATTCACCCCAGCCATTCACATCACTACTGGTGGATTGTGCATATGCTGATACGGAAATCGCCTTGCAGGTTTTCATCTTTCCTCGAACTTCATGGCCAGTCGCTTATCGATCTCTCTCTCTACGTGTCGAGCGACAACTACACTTCTGTTACATCTCCTGCGTACGGGACTCTTCTCCAGTGGCCCAATCAATGGATTATCCCTCCCCAAGTGAGATCGCAGGCTAAAGCGAGGACGGAGCACCTGGGGCTATCGTCGTTGGATTTGGATGCTGTTGAAGAGGAACGGCAACAAGGAAGAGATATTAACTCGGTGGCCGCTGGTCAGATACCAAAGAGCCTAGCAACGAGGCCGCGTCAAACCGTAAGCGGCCTCCTGGGCAAGCCATCACAGAAGTCCCGGATCCGGCTGGAAGGCCTGACGGCATCGTTTGTGGAACCGCTGCAGGAGATGTTAGAAAAGAAAGGGTATCTCCTTTCTGACAATATACCATCGAGCTTGGATTGCCTGGCCTTGGGATATCTGTCGCTGGCTATGGTTCCAGAGTTACCGTTTCCCTGGCTGAAAGACGACATCCAGGCGCAGGCACCGCGCCTGGGCGCATATGTGAAGAAACTCGGTGGCAGATGCTTTGGAGGCTCGGTAGACGCGGCTGCAGTGCTCTCTGGTATTCAAGCCGGAACTGGCTCACGGCTACCGTGGCAGATCCCCGAGAGAATCAGCCTAGGAGGTATTGGGCTGCGCATATTCGAGGGGATCGCAGACTCGATTCCGGTGGTAAAAGATATCCGTCTCAGCAGGCGACTGAAGCAGATGGGCCAGGATAAATCACTCGAGTCGGAGGAAGTACTGGCACTCGCTGACGGCTATAAACGCGAAGCCTTGACGTCTGCAGCGACCGTGGCCTTGGGACTGGGGATGTTCATGGTCTACCTCTTCACGGCCGGGCCCTTACAGGTGAGCTTCGGAACGGAAGATGATCATTCCAGTTCGTCAGCGGAGAACGAAGAAGCCGGCGGTGATGATGGCGAGGAAAAGGGCGAAAAGGGTTCATCCGGGAAGCCGTTCGACCTGGGGGAGGTTGGCTCCATGCTGGGACTGTGATGCTTTTTCTGATGTTCAAAGTATGCCTTTTTATATTCTCTTCATCCCAGTGGTCTTCACAAGCAACCCTTGATTTTCTCCTGCCTCCTCCTCCTCCTCCTCCTAGTCGCCGGTCCCTCCAGCGCGACAAACGAACACGTCTCACCACTTGAACTGGCCAACCACGGTCCATAGCGAGACAGAACCAAAAAAAAGAAAAAGAAAAAGAAAAAGAAAGAAAAAATTACAATCAAATCAAATCAAGGGGAAAAAAAAAAAAAAAGTACCCGTCGGCCGCGCTTGCCAGCCAGAAAGCGGGATGCAGTGATGAAGACGGCAAGCAAGCAGGCCAATCAGAGAAGGAGTGCCCCTCGTTCTTTCTTAGCAATTTTCCCCCAAGGTCCCCCGCGATTTTTTATTCTACGCGCTCTGGTTGGCGGAAGCTGGAGATTTTTTTCAACACCTCCTGGCCAATGAGCAGCCGAGAAAATGGTCACTCCCAAGGTCCTCACCTCATCTTTCTACTGTTTTTTTTTGAGTTCGCCCAAAACGCTCTCTTGTCGTCTACGACATCGCAGGCCCGCTACCAAGGTCCTCCCTCTGCCGCTGTCTGCGGTTCCCCCACACGCCCCGAAAACCCTTCTCCCGCTCAGAAATCTCTACAGTACTTAAGCCCACCGCCCGCCTTTTGCCTGGCATCTCCCTGCAAAGCTCCGCGACCCCCCCGCCATTATCGATTTTGGAAACCGCCCTGCGCATCGTCTCCCGTTAGGCTCGAGACCCTGCTCGTTCCCTCTGTTCCCCTCTGACGACTATTGGCCGCACTGGCGTGGTGGTGTAAAAAGAAAATACCGCGCCCACGAGGGATATACGAGGACGCCATCCCGGAGACTTCAGCACACCCTTGTTGCTGGCAATTTTCGGTCCACGAGACGATTGGGCGGCCGCTGCGCTATCCTCATTGCGCCAGCACACACCCACCCTTTCCCACGTTTTTCCTCCCCCCTCAAGCTCACCCAAGCGACACGCGATAGAGCTTATCGTCACTAGTGGAATCCTGTCAGCTGTCAAAGTTGTTGCGGGGAAGCTGCTGTTGAGGAGCTCGATTGGTCCTGCAGTTGTCTCAAGTTCATCGCTCGGATAATTCTCACCATTGTGAAGGAATCATATTCCCTGCTATCCCTCCACTTTTTAACGTCAAAGCTCCATTTTTCCCGTCCGAAAGTAGTTATAGACAAGCGGTGGAAACCCCACAAGTGGTCACTTCTTGTGATATTTACACTTTTTTTCTTTTTTTTCTTTTTTTTTTCTTTTTTGCACGAAAAAGTTGGCGGAGTCGCCATCCCTTGGTCCCCCTCATATTTGCTTTTCCATTGTGCAGATATATACTCTGCCCCTTGTCACGCACCACCTCCTTTTCAATTTGATAATTCCTGCGCTACTTCTTTTTGGACACTGGCGGTTCACCCCCCTCAATACAGAATAATCAATCCTTTCCAGCTCTCTGAACGTTTCTCGAGAGTCGCTCCAAGACCATGGATCATCTCTTGACACTCGCTAGCCGCCAGGAACAACCCAGTGAACCAGCTCCTGCCTGCGATACTGGCAATGAATTCGATGGCCATCTGGGCCTGCGCGTCTCTGCTGTATTTGTGATCTTGGCGGGCTCCCTATTAGGGGCTCTCCTCCCCGTCCTTGTTCGACAGGATCCACACTCGCGTCACAACAGCAGAAAACCTCGTGTGCCGTCCTGGGTGTTCTTTGTCGCAAAGTTCTTTGGTTCTGGTGTCATCGTGGCCACATCGTTTATTCACTTACTGGCTCCTGCCCATGAGGCCCTTAGCAACCCATGTCTTACCGGCCCGATCACGGAGTATCCGTGGGTTGAAGGGATCATGTTGATAACCGTTATACTTCTGTTCTTCCTCGAGCTCATGGTCATCCGGTACGCACATTTCGGCCATGGCCATCATGACGAGTCTCCAGGAGATCGTCAGACCGAGGCTGGCGTAGTTTCCCGGGCCGAAAAGAACCCCAGGGCTCACCGCCCAGGACCAGATCACCTAGATCACTCACACGACCACCCCTCCGACGCTGGCTCCGACCCCTTCGATGGCGCCCACACGGCTCTAATCGAGGACTACAGTGCTCAGCTTACATCAGTCTTCATCCTCGAGTTCGGCATCATCTTCCACTCCATTTTCATCGGCCTCACTCTCGCCGTCGCCGGTGAAGAATTCAAAACTCTCTACGTGGTCCTCCTCTTCCACCAAACTTTCGAAGGCCTCGGTCTTGGGTCCAGGCTCGCAACCATTCCATGGCCGCACTCGAAACGATTCACTCCATATCTTCTCGCGCTCGCATTTGGCCTGTCTACTCCAATCGCTATCGCCATCGGACTAGGCGTGCGCAACAGCTACCCACCGGAAGGCCGTACCACATTGATCGTCAACGGCGTTTTCGATTCCATCTCTGCGGGTATCCTGGTTTACACCTCGCTGGTGGAATTAATGGCGCATGAATTCATGTTCAGCACTTCGATGCGGCGAGCGCCGATCCGCACTGTCCTCGCCGCCTTCGGACTGTTGTGTCTAGGTGCGGCGTTGATGGCTTTATTGGGAAAATGGGCGTGAAAAGAAAAAGTTCCTCGGCGTTATTATGGTTTTCTTATATGATTTACTTGGGGGTTCATGAGTGGCCAAAATGAATATATAGTATATACCCTTGCATTATCAGGTGTATGGCAATATTGGTGGGATTTAAATTGTCCCTTTTTGGCAAACCTGAATTGGTTGTTTTTTGCCTTTTTTTTTTTTTTTTTTTAATTCTTGTTTCTAAATTTGCCTTGCTATTTTGATTTCAAAAGTGTGGGGGGAATTTCGAAGTGTCAGAACTATATATACATCTAATAGTCCAAGTATGTTGGCACAAATGGTAAAATTATATGCGAGCTACATACAATGAAATATCGTTTCTGCCTCCTACCAACGTCCCTTATTTCTCCCCCCTTCTTTCTCCCTCTCACACACACGTAGTCATCTATACTGCGTTGTTTTGGCTCTTTTCATACGCTTCTAGGCCCAGCAAAAGACAACGCGACGTACGACGAAATGAGCCCTAGATTTGATCGATAGATAGGTATGTCTGCTTGCGCCCAGCGTTTACACAGATCACCCTACGGAGTACACTTCTCATGACGCAGTCGCAGCAACAAATCAAGCATTACCTGAGGCCATCGCCTGACAGTTTATTTAGAATACGGTTACCTGGCGCCAATAAAATAAAATAAAATAAATGCTGGATCATTGGTCATTAGAGGGTAATAGGGACGATCTGTATGAGGTGGACGGGAGGTGTAAGTATAATACGTCTGTCATGCATCATCGAGAGAAAATTATCTAGGCGCCCATGGAGGACACGTCATAGAAAAGAGCTAAACATGGTTGCGCTCGACGCACTCTGGGGTGCTTTAGCGCCCGGCCCCCCCATGACAAGATTCAAATAAGTCTTCGGGTTCCATGAGATGCTGATCAGCTGCCTGACGTTTTGAAATTTCGATTCACGCAGTGTCCAGGCCGCTGGGGGAGTAAGTTCCAGAAGTCCTTTCCAGCTGTGTGGCGGAAATGTCAAGCAAAGAACCTTGTACTCCGTCAATCGAATAGCTTCCCAAAGTTCCAAACCAGTACAGCACCAGTAGTCACGGTACGAGTGACTTTGGGAATTATGTACGGCCTGTCTACCAGTAACAATATGACAAGTGTACTTGGCCTGACGCGGCAATGGGCATTGTTCAACCTGCAACGGTTGAACTGGCATAGTTAATGCTCCCCCATCCATACATACATTCCGGATCTGCTGTGATCCCAAGATGAGATAGCAAAACGGATAACGAAGTTGCAAAACCAGATCTATTATTACTACCACCCGAAAGACCTTCAATAACGCAGGCAAGACTGTCGGCATGTCTCTGCTTTACTTGGAGAAATAGTTCTCGCTAACAATATTTCTGTAGCCCTTCCGCGGACGCCTTCCTCTCGGCGTCTCCACCCTCGGCGCTTACTGACTTTTGAGGCGCTCCTTATGTTATCATAGCCAAAGCCCGTCCGGCCCGCAGCCGCAGGATCGTGAGCTGAGATGTCATGTTTCCGTTGGCGCCACGGAATAGTCTGGGAAAACGGGCGGGCCAGATAGAAATCAGATGTCGAACCCCATACCGGAGTGCGGACTACCCCAGATCCAACTATGGAGGACATGCGTGTAGCGCCGCCCTCTGTATATAAAAGGTGCTACTGGTTGTTTAGCGAGTATGGATTTTTTATTTTTTTTCTTCCTCAGCCAGACGGCCCTCCTCCCGCAATTCGAAGGGTTTTATTCATACCCTCCTTGGTCGTATGTATACCATCTGGGTCTAAGGAATCAGCGTGTCCAACATGGCATATTCTACCACCGATCGAAGGCGCGTATACCTAGCCTGCAGAGCCATATTTTCGGGACAGAATGCTCAAGTTCGTAAAGCCAAGAAAGTTCGAGAGATCGTGGAGAAGCGGCAAGCCACCATTCCCCTCGTTAAAGACTTCGGGATTGCAAAAGTCGTTGAGATTTTACGTCTCTTGCTCGAAAACGGGGTCTTTCAGTCGGACCTGAAGGCCAAGGTGGAATTTCCAGAGCTTTTTCATTCCTTCCCAGACCGCGATGCGCAGCGTACGGTGACAGAAAAGTGTGCGGCACAGTCGGTGGCAGAGGCTCTCGACGAAATCATGTCTATGGGCGGGCCTGCAGACAAACAGGATAATGCTGGTGGTATCGAGGACAGGGAATTGATTCCGCCTGCCGTTAAGCCATTGCCTGCCTTCGAAGAATTGAAACCGGCGGCTGAAGAAGATTATCCGCCGTCCCTCTACCCGTCGTATTTTCCGTACAAAGCCCAACACAACATTCTCACTATCGTCCAGAGCACTCTCGAAGATTGCTGCTTTGAGTTTGCCAAAAAATGGATCCCGTCTGTGCTCGACAGCAACGGGTGGGATTGCGCAGAGGCCGTTGAGCTCACGAAGTGGACGAGTATCTTGCATTCGCACTCGAACAATCTTTCGCCCAGCGCTCTTCAAATCACCGGGCCCCCTTTGCGCGATATCCTCAGCTCAGCGCATCGAATCCGGCACACAGCTGTCCATCGGCTTCCAACGACAGCGCGAGGGATTAGCCAACTGGTTGAGACTGCCGTGAAGTACACCGAAACCCTACAGGACTCCGTCCGCAGCCTACAGCTGGATGAACTCCATAATGAGATCGATAGCAAGATCAAAGCCATGGAAATGAACAAGAATGCCCTTGAAGATACCGTCTGCCAAGAGCTCGACATCATCCGTCAGAAACGAGAAGAGCTTGACAGGAAGGAGGCATATCTCATTGAAAAGATGAAAAAGGACGACCGTGAGAATAAGGCTTTGATAGGCTCGCTGCTGGAAGATTCAATCAGGAGAATTTTCAGTGAAAACGAGCCGCAGGCCACTATGGAAGATGACGAGGACAATGCGGGCTCTAGGTCAAACGATGAAGCAAACGGTTATGGTTGGTGAAGCATCCAAGGCCTTGGATATGTGGCGCCCCGGGGAAGCTGCACACACATTCATGGTATCTCGGATTAGGATGGGTTAAGCTAACATCGTACCATAGCATTCCAATCTGCTGCTCTCGGTTCAGGTCCCGCCCAATTGTCCGAATGCCGCATGTCCCCAGGGGAAAATGCTGATATGCCAAATCCAATTGAAATTATTGAATAATGCGCTTTATCTTTTACAGGAGTTAAAGCCCAAGCACTCAGCTCCCAGGTCATAGTAATTTGCATATGGATGATGGCGCTGATAAATATGCTCAGGCCTGATTAAAGGGATGGAGGGATTGGTTAGAGATTGATTAGGGTTTAGGGGCAGGTCCTGTAGGGCTGACGGGGTTTAGTTAACATTTCCATAATTTCAAAGGAGGGTCGTGAGAGTTAGTTATCCTAATCAACAAGCAAAGTGAAAAGCCACAGCAACCTTGCTCTTATCCCAACAAGCCAACCAGATCTTATCCGACAACGCCAGGATGGCGTCTAAGCCAATCAACATCGTCGGGTCTCACACTTTGTGACAAACCAGCAGATCAATAAGAAGCAGGCATAGATATATATATATATATACTCATGTGCCTTTTTCTCTATCATATGCTATCTTCGTCGATGGATAATGATTGTATTCAGATGGATCTGTGGGGCTATCTTGAGCTAACTATACAATGATGTTCGGGCCATCTTCAGGGAAATACCTCGAAGTCCTCTCAGCTTCACCTGAACAGTGCAGGCCACTTGGATCTATGTACGCGGGCTCAAACTGGATGCTCCACAAGATACTATCAAGATAGCTCATTGGTACTACAGTAGCTATGTCATATGCCACTTATTTTTTTATTGGGCTATTATCTGCCCTCCTGGATTATACATTAGCTGTGTGAAGCAGTTGCGCATAATCCAATAATTTCCGCTGCTGGCATCATCTGCTGTTATATAGGGATATCGCGGTATAACAACTAGATTGAATTGAGAACAGATAGCAATGATAATGAAAGCATACCTGTTTCCAATCTCATAACTTATAAGGAAGCGATCTTTGCGCCAAAGAACCAGAGATCGGGTCACATCTGTGCCTGGGATTGTAACTGCATGAAAAGTCATTTTTTGGACTATTGAGACAATTTTTACTGTGCTACTCCATTGAAAGTCAGACAGATTCTTGACAACCTGAAAAGGGTTTATAGTATGGGTGATTATCAATAGAGGAAGAGCAATGTCGACTTTATATTGGATGACTAGCATCCCCACGCATAGGCACTCTATGCTTTTCTAAAGTGCCTGAATCAAGAGTATCATGTATCACATACCTTTTAAAGGGGTCGAAAGAAAATCCAGGTTGCTTTTGTTAATTTGAGCATAAACAAACAAAACAGACCAATGTTATCCTATCCTCCTGTGAGCAAGCATTGCCCTGGCAGCGAGAAGATAGGAAATAGAAAAACTCCAGAACCACTTTTGTGAACAAGAAAAGTGTGACTTTGATAGTGAAAATAGTAGGAAATAGGCAGGTTCCAGAAGGCCTAGAAGATCAGGTATCATTGTTTAAGGGATGAAGATTGTGAGAGTCATTAACATTTCATAGAACTGTAACCTTCATAGAGCATTGCACCCGATAGTATATACACAACCATAACTCTTTATATAAAATATGGAGGCAAAATCCTTTCTCAAGGTTTTCAAAGCATGTATTTAGAGTGCAGACTTGCCACTTTTAGCAATACTCCGTCGAGTCCTCCTTGGAGATTTAAATTTTAATTCCGGGAACGGTATTGGCTCGCAGAGGTCTTCAAGCATATTGTCTCCAACATTGTTATTTAATCCCCATTTGTTGCTTTGTTCGTCAAACTGGTACGGCATCGATGCCGCCCAACTGGAATATTTTCGAATAACCTTGCCAGCATGTTCCGAGCTGGTTTTGAACCACTCTCTATGTGACCGATCGCAACCTTTACACTTGACTTTTAATCGAACCTCTTTCAACTCTGTTTGGACTAGCTTCTCAACCCTGTAAGCGTGTTTAACAAAGATATCTTCACGCCAAAGCTCCTTGACCTCATGCTGGCATTGTTTGCCCCATTTTTGTAATCTGGAGGAAACATCATCGCTAACACCAATTTTAACCAAACCAAAGTTGCCAGTGGACCAGTAGATATAGATATGTTTTGAATCCAAGTCCCGGCATGAGAGGGGCGCTTCAAGCTCCTGTCTGATAGCTTCTTTTATCGAAAGTAATCTAACAGCCTCGGGCTGATAAGGTAAAAAGGTTCCCAGATTATACTGCAGACCAAGAGTGCTCTTGCCCATGGCCTTTGAAGGTGTTTCTTGGCTGAAGTCTTCGGCCTCAGCTTTCGCCCGTTGATCCTGGTCTTCCCGCAGCTTGTTGATCTCGGTATCGCTGTTCTTGCAAATCTCTTCGAACCAGGGTTCCACGAGATCCAAGAGACAATCCCTAATAGGCCCAAGCCCATTGTCTCGTTTCCTTTCCAACTCGGTCATTTGGCCATCTAGTGCTAGCAGCTCCTTCACTCCTGTCTTTGCATGCGTTTGCGAACACATCAACATTTTGACAATGCTCTCAAGCTTGGGATAAATATCCTTCCAATCGCTTTGGACATTGAGACTAGCAAGGCCTTTAAGAATATCTGTCGCCTCGTTGCTTAGATCTTTGTGCTTGTTTTTACATCGTCTTCCCTGTTTCGTGAGCGAGATGCAAAACTCTGAACTCTCCAGGATCCTAGCACGAACAGCAGTGGGTAATATTGTGGCAAGTCTTGACTCGTTAAAGGGCATCTTTTGCAGAAAATGGGCCGCGTCCTCGATGGACTCGTTCTTGTTAGGACTTTTTTGACCACCGACAGGTTTCGCTGCTTTCAAATTTACGGCCATGTCGGAGATTTCTGTTTGCATGGCCGAGAAATCAAAAGGGGAACTCGGGCTGGGTTTAGTGGATGCCTTGGACGGCGTCTGTCTCCTCGGGGTGACTGGATAATGGTGTTCAGCAAACAATAATTACACCCGTTGGTGTATTGACATACCCGGGAATGATCCTGCATCACTATCTCCTAATCTGGCTGCAAACGAGAATTCCATCCCCCCAGCATTGATGCGAGACGAGCATATCCTCTCTTCGGCCTGGCCATCCTGAGATAGCCCTGATTTCAGGAGAGTTTCCAGCCTGGGACGAGGTTCTTGCAAAATTTGCCGGAAATCCGATTGCAAGATATTGCGATATATATCGTCAAGCTCGTGCCGCCTTGTATCGTGGTTGTTCATATTTGTGTGTCTCCCGGCGCAAGTGGTAACACTCTCCATGTCCGCTAACCCGGATGTTGATCCATCTGGTGCGAGATCTGTGCCATGCTCATTTTCATTGGGATGGTGCATGTTCTAAGTTGCAGGCCTGAAAATGAAATGATCAAATAGACTTGAGGAATGGTGGTTGAGCCCTGACGAGATTGGGAAACAGGAGATAGGGTCTTGAACAGGAGAACATCGCAAGTTGCAGCCCCATTATCATATCCAACTCATCGGTAATGTTTAGGGTCCTATGGCCATTTTTCCCTGCCCAGTAACCCCTTGGGCCTCTGACCCCAGGCTCGTAAAATACTCAGCCGCACACGCGATAGGTTACAGCCTGATGAGCCCTTGCAGTACCTGATGCGGCGCAGTGGGCCACAAGGACAGATAGTCACGGCACCCTTGGAAAATGTAGCCTACACCAGACCAGCATGTCTCTCAGCGAGTCCATTCGAAAGTTGCAAGGCTTGGCACACGGGGCGCGACAATAGGACAGGGTATGAGCCAGAAGAGCCGACCAGCATGCATTGGAATCCCAGAGGGCTGGACCAATGAGCCAGCGCCTATCGGGCTCAGGCACTTCACAAAGAGATGAGGAGTGGTAGAAAACTAGCATGCTCAGGTGAAGGGTTTAAAAACGCCCGGGATGAACGTAGAGAGCAGCGACAGCGAAAGACGAGGGGAAAAAAAAAAAAAAAAAAAAAAGGAAAAGAAAACATACAACAGCCGGGATTCGCTGGTGGTCACCCACCCAACTACTAGCCGGCCGGCAAGTGAGTTAAGTACGGCTGAGCGGACGGGAAGCCCTGTTTTGCACTTCCTATGGTCGTATGTGCTTATAATATATGATAACTTCTACTTGAGGTCTGCCAAAATTGATCCACAAAAAAGCTGGGTGTTGCTCCCAGAGCAAGGGGCAAAAAACATACAACAGCCGGGATTCGCTGGTGGTCACCCACCCAACTACTAGCCGGCCGGCAAGTGGTTTAAGTACGGCTGAGCGGACGGGAAGCCCTGTTTTCCACTTCCTATGGTCGTATGTACCTATTATATATCAAACTGATAACCTGAATACAACAAGAGACGTGGCCAAAGAAGAATTCGAGCTCTGACTTCCTACCTTGAGGCTTGGTCTTGAAAGTGATCTCGAGCGGTAGGTCGCGGACAATTACTAAAATGCAGTAAACTCTCTTGATCAGAAGAGTCCACTTCCCGTGAGTCATTGAAATCCTGTTTCTTTCCAACCAGTCACTCTTAATAGCGAGCCGATAAGACTAGTCTTCACTGCGGTAGTCGAAAGTTTCGAAGTGGAAGTCGGCAGCCACTGCGTCCTCATATACGGCGTGAGAAGTCCTGTGCCTGAAGCTCCCACATGGAAGAATGAGGAACCATCTTCCATCTTAATCAGGATGAGCTGAAACAAACCCGTCTTGCCAGACAAGTCATCAATAGGTAGTTCAACAGACTATGAGCCATAGTAAGTAGGTGCCACTATGTCTTAGAGATTAGGGGGTTTCTGGTAAGTGGCCGCTTCTACCAAATATCATACTCGATACAGGAAGGGATCCACGTTGTCGCCACGTTGTCATCACCATGATCAAAGAGGGATCGTATAACTTGTCAAAAACTGTAGCGACATCTTGATGGGTTTTTGGGGCATCGAGGATGTTGACAGCAACAAACTGGACGCTATGACATAACCCAGCTCTTACTTCATGAGCTATCTCAAAGGTAACAGTGGTGTTCCCAGTGGAGTCAGTGGGTGTAAAGGCAACATTCGAATCGAGAGGAGATATAGCCAAACACTCGATGTTTATTTCCTTAGTCAAGTTATATTTTCCCTGAAGGATGCTGGTGGTGTTGGATGGTGTCAGCGGACAGTGAAGAGGCTACCCTTCACATAGAGAAGTGGTAGAATTGTGTGGCCAAAAAGCAAAGTTTTCGTTTTCAACGGTGTTCATTGTTGTGAGAAGTCACAGGAAAAGGCCGGCAGCGTTGGGAGCACTGAAAGCACGGACCAACCACAATTCGAATGAAGACGCCTAACTTTCAGTTGAGTGAGGGGAGGATGCATCAGGCCGGCGGGTAGACATCGCAGATACATATATCGATCCAGCAACTGTAGTGCCTGGAACAATGGGTATAGAAGCGCGAATATGGGCCGTATGAAGGACTTCGAGACAGCTATTCGTCCTGCCACTTCTTTGAAACTGGCTGTCGGATGACAAGCAAGTAGTTATCTCAGAGGTTCCTTGGTGAACACGCATCATCATCATTGATACCCCGAACCTCTGTACTCGTATTCGACTCCGCCATCGACGCAGGTACCAGAAAATGCTAGTGGTTTGTTTAGAGCAAATCTTCCTCGTCATGCAAAACTAGAGTACCTGGAATGGTGGGTGCGTTCTTCCATTGACACCCGCTGCGGTACTGCTGGCCCACTTGCATTAATATGGTGACCTCGTTGGACATGCAGCTTACGTTGATGCTTTTCAGTATATTCACGGGAGCACAACTAGCGACGTCTTTTCGATATTAAAGGTGAATATCCCGACTCTAGACGTATACGCCATCAGGACTCATTTAGGCTGAGAGTCAGAAAGCCACATTAATCGTACAATCATTAATATGTCGCAATCCTGATCATGAATTATTTTTTTTTCTCTGGCCTCGCTGCCATCTGATACATTGGAACAGAACTAAGCTCTTGTTGTGGTTCACTGTCTATGTACCGCCGCGTATAAGGATTATTGGCAATAACTGATCGTATATACGCGTCAGTGACGAATCAACCTTCCTCGCGATCTACCAAGAAGCAGAATGATTGTAAAACCGAGGATCAATCCGGCAGCAATACAGCCCACTGCTCCCCAAAGCATGACCTTTGTCACTCTATTGTTAAGTGGTCTTCTGCCGGCGTTCCCTAGGAGAGTATAAGCTTCAAGCCGAATTGATGCATGTTTCCGGACGAGGCAAATTACCAGGCCCTCCGCTTTAATTTCCTCCTGTGGGATTAGGCGACCCTGGACCTCTCGTTGGGCCGCCATCACGCCGACTCGGGACCACATTAGGACGGACAGGATCCGGCGGTAAACCGTCGTCGTGAACATTAATATTATAGTGAAGTATCCCGAACGAGCACTTGTTTGCCCGTCACGAGTTGTAATAACGTAGTCGCAGCCACTTAGCGGAGCAACTGGGAGGCTCGGAGACCCCTTTGCTCTGAGAACGGCGTCGTCACGACTGCGCCATTTATTGTTGTTGATGTTCTCTATAGAGCCGCGCATTAGCCATCCGCTTTTTGGTAATTTTTGCAGACGGAGATCGCGGCAACTCAGATGGCTCTAATCTGAAAAATGAAACGCAGACGAGTCCCAGTGCGGTTCTTGTCTGCACATACGTGTAATGACGTGGACTGTAGTTAAATTTTGGGGGAATCCCTTTCGAACTTCGAGCTTAACTCGTTCTGTATCAGGCGCTTCCCATCGAATCTCGACATCGAGACCGATCGTAAATCTATCACCATGGCTTGATGAGAGAACCTTGAAGCCATCGGCACGATTGAATAATGAGAAGCAGGTGCTGTGGAGGTCCAGAGGACAACGGCGACGTAAAATCTATTCATTGGGACACCAAACCCATCAACATTTGAAATAAAGCTGCAAACCTGATGTCGGTTTGGACGTTCAAGGAGAGAACAAATTCTCCACTTTATGTTTGACGGCCATCTTGCACTTATCTAAATTTGGATCCGCCAGTGGAGATCTAGATGCTTCACACGGTCTTGCAGCGGCATTCCTAGCAAGTCTACCTGATTCAGGAGGCCAACTGGATTGCCAGGCACATGGACCCTGTTCTGATGACCGTCACCTCGACCGTCACCTCCGCTTGCCCAATGCTCCTGGGGCTGAATCATCTGTGCTTCTGATATCGGTTGAGTCCTTCAACGAAACTTCCTCTGAGGACACATGTTTAGGGGGGCGTTCCAAGAGCTCATTGTCGCTTCGCTTCGCAATTGCGATGGGATGGGATGCCTTGATAGCGATGAGGTTGAGATCGAGGGATTTCGGATATTTAGTTTGTCCGAGTAGAGGCGATGCGCTTACTTCTTTAGGTTAGTTAGTCTATATTAAGGCGGACTATCAATGTTCCGCTTCAACTTCCGCCACCTGGGGTTCCTGCAAACGGGGCAAGTCGCTGCGAGCGTAATTCACCTCAGGTGGTCGGTGATAGCTGGGTCGAGTCGCGACGCGGCCCTTACTTGCAACTAAGTATCTGAGATGGGCTGGATTGGATTCGGGGCTTTACTTGTCTCCGCTTCGTACATACTGTACAAACACCCTCCATATTCCTGGGATTTTGGACCATGGCGCTGTTCAGAGCATCGCAACGCTCCCCTGACGCCCGCACTCCCAGCAGCCAGACAGATACCCGAGACCGATATCGAGCCCGAGCCCAAGCCGCAAAACGAGCCATGTCTGTCTCTTTGGCAACTAGAGATGAACACTACAGAGCGGAGTTTATCTTCAGATGACGTTGGACCTAACGACGCTACCCCCAAGGTGTCTGCAATTTCGACCCCGCCCATGTTGGATATACCTATATTGAATCTGGATGAAACTTCCATAGGGCCTAAAACCCCAGATATTTTGGCCCAAGTGGCGTCCTATCCGATTCCAACGGCATCGGGATCTCCACGCGCACCAGAGATACGCCCGCCGCCATCCATAAGCCCCTCTATATCCATGCCACCTCCTCCACCGCCTCAGAACCTTTCCGCTCCAGTGAAGCCTGCCGGCCTCATGCCTCCTCCACCCCGACCATCTTCCCGCGTCCCACTCCGCCCCCCACCCTCCGCCGCATCATCTCTTCGAGCCCCTCCTTCATGCACTCCGGCGGGCAGCAAGCTATCCAGCAGCACACTTTCACCTCTAGGCCTTCCAGGCAAACCGCAAAGATCTTCGCGGCAAGTCATGCTTGAGCCGGGACATTCCCCCTTAGATTGGGCGGCCCTAACTGCGGATCCGCGAAACAACCTTCGCGGCAAGCACCTTCCTCCGGGTCTGATCCGGGTGACACCGTCAATGTTAAAATTGCACAATGGACGGAAGGGATATGACGCGTGGACATCTTACCAAGGAAAGGTATATAATATCACTCCATATCTGCCGTTCCATCCTGGCGGAAAAGGGGAGCTTTTGAGGGGTGCAGGAAAGGACTCGGCCAAGCTCTTTCTGGAAGTACACCCATGGGTTAATTGGGATGGGATGCTGGGAGAATGCATGGTGGGCATTTTGGTTAGTGAGCATGAGCCTGAAGAACGCACAGGATCATTAGATGAAATGGACTGATATGGCCTGAATTTTCTTGCGCCCGGCCCTGCTGTGGTTTGTTACATAGAATGTGTTGTGATACCCGGACAATTCAATTTGCCCACTTGTTTCCGTGATACGTCTGTAAATGATATAGTTACAATATTGTCAATTGCCATATCTATTCTGGGTATGGGTCTGCCATCCATTGCAGCAGATCTCCATGCATCAAAGCGAAGCCATTACGGAATCCATAAAGTCATTAATATAGAGCTCAAAGTTCATCCTTTTTTACACCCTCAATCTCCATCAACTCAGTCTCAAAAATAAGCGTCGATCCAGCCGGAATCGGTCCCATGGCCCGATTTCCGTACCCCAGCTCCGGAGGAATAGTTAACTTTCTCTTGTCCCCAACGCACATGCCGATAAGGCCCTGGTCCCAGCTATAGTAAACACAGTGTACGATTAGCGATTGACTCATAAAGCGCTTGGAATATAGCATTCCTTTCTTTAAGCTATGCTAGTGAAGAACGTTATATGCGACCACCTACCCCTGAATAACCATGCCTGTTCCCACCATAAAGCTCAACGGAGACCCGCGATCATAGCTAGCATCGAATTGTTTGCCGCTCTCCGCAAGGGTGCCGCGGTAATGCACCTTAATGGAGTCGCCGCTGAGGGTGCGTCGCTCACAATCCACGGTGTGTATCTTTTCAATTTTCAGCCCATTGGGGAGCTCCTCGGTGGTAGTCGCAGCAACAAGAGAGGAGAGGGAGAGCGAGACAGAGAGGACCGAAAAGAGGGACGGGAGATGCATGGTTGCTGGTAATTATCCCTGGTTGAATTTTGAGCTTTCTGATTGTTTTGTTGTGGTTTTAAGATTGGGGAGATTGAGACGGCCGAGACGTCTTTTGCTGCGTGCCGGCAGGTTTGTTTAAGCTTATCTGTTAAGTTCGGCGGTTGGCTGAACCCTCTACGTCGCGAGACAACGGACTATTTTAGCACTTTGTAGCTCCTGGAGGGTCTGAATTTCCCTGAAATAGATCATTATTCATGAATCTATCCTCAATCAACTCTAGCCTGGCAAGCCAATTATCTCCACAAACCTCCTCATTACTGGTCAAGGGCATCAGTCTCTTCTTGCAACGACATTCTCGGCTCTTTTAATAAGACACTTGTCGAGTATGAAGCTGCTTCAACATACCCCCACAATAAAGCTTACCCGGAGGATAACGTTGCTATTTACAGGTATTTCTGCGAGCTACACTGCTTGCATCTTCACTGCGGCGGTGTTTTGCAGTAAGAATTTCCAGCTCACATTGTAGAAAATCCGGGATTCGATTGGCTAAACAATGTCAGGATAAAGGCAAAAGATTGCTGTATGCCCAAGGCTTCACGCTTCTTAGTATAGCAATAATCCCTTGTTTTCCGATAGTGTGACGGTTGAGCAAGATTTCTTGAGAATCAATGGTCGAGACCCTCCCCGTCTGACTCTACAGGTGGGAGATCTTTGATCTCGCAGGGCCCGTTGAAGGTGGGAGTATCACTCAGCTCAGGAATGCTTTGTCTGCGCTTTCCTCTGTCAAGTTTATTCCAAGATCACCGCTCCTCTGCCGTCACTAGGTACCCCTAATATCCTGAATGGAACACAGTTTGACGCAGCCCTGGTGTTCAAACCCCCCACACCCTCTTTCTCTCCGACATCGATATTACCGTCTTCCATCTTGATATACCCAGAGTCAGTTTTAATTCCGCACGTAGGCCAGATTACAGCCACGAGGGAGCGGACAACGCATAGAAAGAAAGCTTACAGACGCCCACAAAGTGTGCTGTAGTCACTCTCAGTCGTCCACGAATGTTGGCCTCCTGAACCAGGTGGTCTTCAGTCATATTCCAGCATTCTTTTCGGTTCCTCCTTCTGGTACCGGCGAGCCTCGGCCAAGTTCAGAGGCTTCCTGCGAGTACCTAGGAGTTCCCTTCTTCTCCTTACAATTCCTCCATCATCGTTGCTATGGATCCCAGGATCCACAGGGCTATAACCCAACCTGAGAAATATTCAGAGGAACAAAACACAAGAAAGAACCAAAAAATTAAAAGAATCTTAAGATCCATAACTGAATCAATGTTAGCAGCTCGCCTAGTTTCCGCATGGGAGGTCGAAGAGAATAGGACAATATCCTGCCTTATGGGGCTTCGGGAATCTGCCAGGTTAGGATTGAATGTAGTTCACAGTGTTCCAGGCATAAGTGCATACCTGTAGCAAACAGAGGCTTGAAAAAGTTCATCCATTTTATTTGAAGGAAAAAAGGTTGGAGATCTGTTTTTTGGAATAAGGAAACTAGTTTGCTTAGTTTAATATCTACTGGCAAAATGCTTTTTCGTGAGCATGTGCTTTGTCATGGTTTTGTCACGCTGAGGCCGTGATGACAACATAGGAATATCAAGCCCATTTAACAGAAATGTTAACAAAATCTTAACTTTTGTATGTCTACATAAATGTTTTATATACACAGCAATGGATTGTCTCCTATGATAAATACCTTGATTACTGGCTGGCCCATTGCAAACTGAATACCCTTTCTCCACCCCGGGAAAGCGCAACTTCTACGCTCCCATCGGCATTTCTAATTGTTTTAGGGATGGTCTCGCCTTTCCTTTCAAGTACAATCCTTGAGGCACTCTTATCAGCTTCGGGTAGCTTGTAAAACTTCCTCCCATATCGACTCAGGAAATTTTCAAGCCGCTCTTGAGTGACATCGCTTTCACTGATGATACCTGTCTCGATCGCATCTTCCAGGGCCTTGAGGACATACTGAGTTGCGAAGGATTGGGTGTAAACACCAGCCGCTGGTGTCGCTCCCTGCTTGGAACTGGTTGGATGTGGAGCGCTGTCACTCCCGCTGCGCAGATGGTATTAGCTTGTGGCCATGCCCGAGCATCTTATGGCTCTAAACTTACAAGAAGAATTTTGGATCACCGCTGCATGTGGCTTTCAGCAAAGCGTTTCGGTCTTCGGGGGTTTTTGCAATAGGCTTGCAGAAAGCAAGTGGATTGACGGTGTCATCGATTGTCAGATAAAGATGATGAGCAGTGATGGTTGCTACGTGATTTGTCAGTACTTGGACAGTGTCTGCCATTCGCAGGGATTATGGATGCGTACCCGCAACTGACGGTCCGCAGGAGCGAACAGCCTCTACGGCCGCAGCTGTAGAGCAATGTTCCAAAATAATTCTCAGGTTCGGGAAGTGCTCGTGTATTCTCTTCAACGTGGGCAAGAATGCTTCTTCAGCGTTCATCACATTGACATCGGGGACCTCTCCGTGGATATTGAGTACGAGGTCATGTTTCTCCATGGCTTCGAACACAGGGAAAAAGTCATCTAAGTTTGCTACTCCAGAAGCGGAGTTTGTCGTGACACCTAGTGATGAGCGTCAGTCATGTGTGGACGCCTGAGTCAAATACCGGACACGGTTCCAAACAGGGATTCCTAGGTTATACCTTGAGGATACACCTTCACACCAGCAATACCGGCGGAAGCGGCTTCCACAATGACCTCAGGAGTGATTGAGGGGTAAGGCTCAACACCATCAGCTTTGACATATCAACGAAATCGTAGAGAGATAGCAACTTATATGGAGATATAAAGACATAAGATAGTTCACATTCGGCTCAATGGCCTGTAAACGATTCTGGTACTCCAAAGCATGCTTGACTGTGGTAATTGGAGGGACCAGGTTTGGCTGCAAAATGCGTGAGCTCCTGTGTGGAATAGATATATAAGTAATTTCTCCAGCGCTCACCATAACGAATACGGTATCAACACCTCCCTTTCGGATTTGAGGCGTGATCAGTTCCATCATTGGCCCATCACGCAGATGGACATGCATATCCGCTGTTGGAGGGAGCTCCAGGCGGCTGACTTCCTTGAGACGCATCTTGCCCGAAAAGGATCGGAATGGCTGGCAGTTGAACTGTAAAGGTCTCTTTGGAAATAGGCTTGTATACAGGTATCTAGAAGTTCTTTCCAGCGAAAGACGGGGGCATGACATCTCGATTATACGTATAGACGGGCCGAAAATGATAGCCCTCGTTATAATGACATCCCACTTCGGAAAAAGTTCCCCTCCACCGGATAAACTTCTCTCCTCCGAAATCCACTGCCCGTTAGATACCCAGTACCACATTTTGTAGAATCGCAATTCCCAGCCACCCCAGACAACACAAGTCTCAGGAAGGCAGAGAGATGACTGGCATCAGATTACTCTGAAAATATAGCAATTTCATAGAGATGCAAATGGCAGTCAAATGCGGATATCATTACGGGGTACAGAGTTTTTAAAGTTTTTTCTCCCTTCACATCACGAAGAAATTAGCTATCTTCGCATACCCTCCACCAAGAGTCTTGTCTATTCTCGCCATTAAACGCAATGGCTTTCCAAGCCTGGAAAACTTCCCTTTCAAGGTCTATACTGCGCCCTCTCGACGAGTAGCACTACCGAGGACCTCGAAGCCTGAACCACTCTCACCGCCGGATTGTGATGCATGAAATTAACAATGATGCCCAGGGAGCGTGAATACTCTCACTTTTGAGAGGTCTATGGAGCAAAGCGTGTTATTACAACGTAGCTATGCTTTCATGCAACCTGTTGTGCTCCCCAACAGTCCTGCGTTATCGACTTTTTTGCTGAGAACTCAAGCGGGCTGTGGGCTGGCACACAAACTACATACATGAGGCGATGAATGTCGCTTCAAGAGCACCCTTCCTCAAGCCAAAAGGCACGTTGTATGTTCTCGATGGGCCGGAACGACGTGGGGCCGGCGGCCTTTGCAAGGCGGGCTCAATCAATCCGGGACACTGAGCAGCAGTGGAAATGGGTTGGTGCCGTTTCAGTCGACAGCGGGAGCAGCTCGACCAGTCTCAAATCATGGCTAACAGCGATCATGCGCCCCAGCGTCCTCACCGCCAGAAAAGGGAACAATACTGCATCCGAGGGCCGTTCGGACACCTGGCACACCCAGGAATTGCTTATGTAACCTTCCACGACGGTCTAGGCTCGATATCGACTAACGCGCCTCATCAGCGCCCGAATCACGTGCCTTAGCTACTCGAGGGCGGTGCCGTGGCCCAGCCTCGTTCGGTGGCTGTGGGGTGAAATCGATTTTGCTGCGGAACCTTGTGTTCGTCCGCAACATGATTAGAGAGTATGTATCAGCGTGTTAGGGCTCGTCGACACTCTGTTCTCCCCTTGTCTGGCGCTGAAACTGCCTGAGGCCGTCAGGCGAGAATGACATAAGGGCAACCGGCCAATCATTCGCCGCGCCTTCGTGAGCGACAGGGCGGGGGGTCTTCCAGCCAATCGCCCGCCTGCAGTGTGCGGGAGGCAGACGCTAGTCCCGATTCGGGCGCCCTACCCCCTCTGACCCAACCTCCCCCTTGAACCTCCAACCATTCATCATCACCATCACAACCTTGCTCTCTGCTGCTGTCATCATTCTATGCTTGCTTTCTTTCACCCTTGAGTGAATTGCCACCTGGTGCCTGGCATCGGTCACACAGACAAAGATCGCTCCATCCTGATTGGAGAAAATGCAGTGAACATCTTCCCAACCACCAAACTTCCTGCCTTCGCTCTTGTACGCCCAGTTGGCATCCACTTCACCTTTCTATCCAACCCGAAGGGCCTCTACAGCGAGCTATCGAATAAAAATTCTCATTTTCAATTTTGTCTCCCTTCCAGTTCCCTTCGGCCCTTCCCCTTTCAGCTTAACCGCACAAAAAATTAGGTGGGCAGTCCGCTCGGCCGTTCGAGACCCCCGCAGCACTTGTTCCAATTGTTCAAGATGCTGTGTCGTTTCTAGAACTCTTTTCTGCCTAACTGTGCCTTGCCCTGTCCTACTCGCGTGGCCGATGAAATCATTGTCGTAAACACCTTGCCTCAAAGTTTCGACGGAGAAACGCTTTGTCATCTTCCTCCTTCTACTTGATGCCTTGCAATCCTCTCCTTTCTGCTTGGCTGCCTGGCTCTTTTTCGTCCCATCCCTCCCGCTTTCCAGACTTTTCGGCGACTTGCGAAAAGAATTTCGCAATTAGCTGCTCTGTTGCTCTCCTTCTACCACTTTTTTGGGTGATTGCTTGCCTGGCTAGACATACCTTGGTTAAGGCAACATAGCACTCTGTTCGACCGGAGGATCAACCTTTCCTTGGTCCTCTCCCTGCGTTTCTATATTCTGCACTTTTCCTTTCTGTCTCCCTTGTCTATCGTACGCAACATAAAAAGGAAGACATACCCCTCCGTCTTCCTTTATCTGCATTTCATTCAAACTCTTTGACTTGCTACAACACGAGTTTACCCGTTGACTCTACTACGCTTTCGATCACAACAGCATTTAATCGAAAGTTTGCATCGCATTCCCGTCTTACTCTTGATATTGCTTTGCCCTACCAGCTACCACCTGGTACTTCAACATCTTCTTGCAGGTGTTTCCACCTACATAGCTACGCATTTTCTTTTGATCACTCATCCGCCATCATCACCATGCCTCACACTTATTCCTCGAGCACTTCTCAAAGAAGTATATCAAGCGGGCTCAGCTCTTCATACTCCCGCAATTCAGAAGGTATGTTTTACTCAATAGTGGTGTTGAACCCAAGTTTCTGCTGGTTGTCGCGTCCTTGCATTCAACGGCCAAGACATTTTTAAACGCATACTAATTCGAGCTATGGGTTCTCGCAGGCAAGAGTCACACCTCAAAACCTCAGACATCGAAACCCCTCATTCACAACAGCGGAGGCCGCAGCTCAGACGAGAAGAGGCGTTCAGACTGGGATGGCGGCAGATGGAAATAATCGATCAATTTCCTATGTATCAGCAGAAGCCTCGAGTCGAAGCATTCCTCCGTGATGCCTTAAAGAGGCGGACGCAACCTCATCCAACTACAGCTTCGCTTTCGCTTCAACAAACAACCACAGCACAAGAAGTGAGGCGAGAAGCATCCACATTGAGGCGCATGATGTGTAATACGGAGGCATTGATACCCTTTTTTTTCGTCGATGGTCACTTTCCGGAATGCAACATCCGTGTTTCCTGTCTACAGTCGAGAAGATTCTTTAAACAACTTTATGCGCCTGTATCGCTATTACGGATACCCACAGTTGTGCGATCAGAGCACGAATTAGTCAATCCCTGTCATTGGACTTGTATACTATATCGAAATTCTGCGTGACTTCCTCCGCCACATCTCCTCCCACCTAACTAATGACAAAATCATCTCGGACGGGGCGTGGCGGGCGACGACAACCTTTTCCCCCAAAAGTCGGAATACAGATAATTCCATTGGTCGAAGTTCCTAACGGCCATGGCATACCACGAGGCTGTCAGGCGGTGCAGGCTTTGTGTATTTCCTTTTTTTTCTCCCTCCCTTGTTCAGTTTTTGATTTTGTACAACAGCCATCATACAAGCGGATTGTATATTATTAAGCTATTGTTGATTTTTAACTTTTTGATAAGTCAATGAATTTCTTGTTTTTGACCAGGTGAACTCTTGAACCTTTTGAAATTTGACTCTTACCTTGCATTAATTGTTCTCGAAAGCACTCAGCCTTGTGAAAGCTTGTTTCGCAGCCATTACACCCTGTACAGGATACTTTGTTCGGCGCTCCCGTGATTTCAGGCTGCTACCTACTGGAAAATTGCCACAGAGCAAACAGCTGCAAAGGCATAGGAATTTGACATGTTCGCAGTGACAAACCTGATCGCGGGGTCAGCTTCGTGCATCTGACTTGTTTCAGCTCTTCAAGCACCCCATGAAACTCAACAAAACAGTTTCAGAATACAAAAAACTTGCGGCTAACCCTAAGTACGTAACCCTCACATCACCCCAAGCTCCAGACCTGTTGACAAAATATCCCTACATTTAAAACCACACCCCCCCCTCCCCACAAACCAAACAACACACCAAAACCAATTTCGGAGAATTACCACTATATTTAGTCTCCCTAAAACACCATTCTTAATCAGATACCTCAGAAATCAGCAGCCTGACACCCTTGCTATCCATCTTGACAGGCGGATTGAAGAAATCGTGTTTGTATTTCACGTCGGTGATGTCGGTTTCGTACAATTCGAACTCAAAGCGGCGGAAGACGGTTCCAAATGCGTAATTTAACTCTGCCCATGCAAGGCTATGCATAGGGCTAGCTTAGCGTTTCTCGTTTTGAGAGATGATAAGAGCATAGCCTGCTAGGATGAACCAGAAAAGCATTTTAGGGGGTCAGTGAAAAAGGTACTTCAGCCCCAAGCAAGCTCTCGTCCCCCGCCGAATGCAACAGGGTATCGTTCTAGGGGAGTTCCATCTGATGTTTTGGGATTATCCAGCCACCGCTCAGGGATGAATGAGTGCGAATCGGGGAAAATGGCCCCATCGTGATGAACGTCTACAATCGACATGGTGATGGTGGTACTCGCGGGAATAGTCCATTTCCCATTCTGCAAAGGCTTGTCGTGAGGACGAGGGTTTCGTCCTGAGAGGCTATATGACAGACGAAGGGATTCTTGGATGCATGTTTTCATATATGGCAACTTCTCCAGCTCCAGCAGGCTTGGGATAACATTCTTGTCTGGGAATGCATCTGCAAGCTCCTTGTGAAGACGCTGGTAAATATGCGGAGTGTTCCCTATATGAAAGTGCCAACATCAAGGGTATATGCTGTTGTTCCTACACCAGCCGCTACTACAATCTGGGTTTCATCGAGGAGACGTTGCTGTGATTTCTCCTCTGGCGGAAGGGAGCTTCGGAGAATTTCGTGAAATATTGTAGGATGGAGCTTAACTTTATTAACGGCTTCTTCTCCCCGAATAGTTTGGCCGATCAGATCCCAATGATCCTTTTATAGATTGTTCAGCGCACACTAGAATGTTAGCCAGCAAGGGGCAGGGCGACTCACCCGCCTTAGCGTCAGCAAACTTGCTGGATCGGGTTGAATCTTTTCGACAAACCAGTCGGGCAGTGAATTAACCAACTGCTATTCCGTCAGTTCGTTGAAGTGAATCCCAAGGCCCATTATATATATACGCACAGGAAGGAACCACGAGAACTGGGAAGCAAGATGGGCAGACGAGCCCATCACCATCAATGCATCATGAAATGATCCGAAGTTCGGATTTTCAAGATTCCTGTAGGAAAAGCCAAAGAAATATTCCATAATTATATCGCCGGTATAAGCAGAGTGAGCCACGGTGATGGCCAACGGCTTTGATTTAGTGGCATACTCGGCTACCCTTTTACATAGCAACGCAACATACTCGCGGACGACGGGTTCAAGGACTAGGATAGCTCGTCTCGAAAACCTGTGGGAGATGATTAGGGAAGTTGTTCGCAAATAGATTTGAATCGAAGCCGCTCTAACATAGGATTCGAGGCCCCGCGACGCCGGCGGTGGGTTGCGCTATCGATGGTTGAAAATGCGGCAGCCTCAGTTCCGAAAATTTTGTTTCACCCTGGCTTGCTGACCCTTGGGTTCTTCGCATACATCTGGTCATAGAACTGGGCCTCTCTGATATGTACCTCGTCCGGGGTCACCCGAACGATTGGGCTTGTAACGAAGATTAGCTGGATGTTCATGCCGCCTCCTGGGAAGGGTATACAATTGGTAGCACGCCGAATTTGTCGTGCAACTCGTCAACCCTGAATGAGTACTGCCCAACCTTTACTATCTCGTAGTACGCCTCGTACCATCTTGTGAGCGCACCGAGCTTTGGACCTGGGAACATGGCCAGTGGACTGAAATACAGGCGATAGACCGCCAGCGAGACAAGGTACAGAATCCATATAGCCAATGCGGCTGCAATGGCTCCTTCGCGGTGCGTCTCTGAGAAACTGTGATACCAATGTTGCAGAGCCATGGGTAAGCTTTGGCATGGGAGGAGAACCTCAAGAGCACTCGATTTCCGCACTTGAACGGCGGGCAACTTGCCGAACTTTGTATGCCCAGGAAGCATCCCCGTCTACACACATGGGGGCGCGAGGCCGGTCGAGCTGGTGGGGCTGTTAGCGCGTGCTGTTCGGCTCGGTGCGCCGCTAGGCTCGCGCCGGCGACGCGGATGCATGTGGGCTTTTCCGTTGACGTTTACCTGTCATGTCGACTCGACGGGGCTCGGACCCGCACCCGTGTCACATTTAACATTTAAAGCCGTTGGGGCGTCCCCCAGCGTGTTGGCACTTTAGCCTGGCCTGCCCCATATTTTCTAGTTGTCAAAGAACCTCTTCTTCAGCCACCCGAGTTTGCAGCCATGACGAGCAATCCAGAAAAATTCTCCGGTGCTCCCAATCCCCCGAACCAAGCCAGTCCTGACCCAGCAAGCGCTCCTAATAACCCAGAAGAACACCAGCCCTTGGAGGTGGATGACATTACCTCCGACACAGACTCTACCTTCAGCGACAGGAGTTCAACCGCGCAGAGTGCATCTATAACATCTTCGATCTTGAACTATGAGTACTCAAATGGTCGAAGGTATCACGGGTACCAAAGAGGGAGCTATGTCCTCCCCAATGACGAAAAGGAACAGGATCGATTAGACCTGTTACATCACATCTTTCTTCTCTTGCTTGATGGTAAATTAATTCGCGCTCCTATCTCTGATCCTCAAAGAGTACTGGACGTCGGGACGGGAACTGGATTATGGGCCATCGACTTCGCGGACGAATACCCTTCAGCACAGATCATAGGCACAGACCTAAGCCCCATACAGCCAAGCTGGATCCCGCCCAACGTCAAGTTTTACGTGGATGACGCTGAGAACGAGTGGGTGTACGGTCCCGACGAAGCATTTGATTTTATTTATTCAAGGAACATGGCTGGTGGCATCAAAGACTGGGACAGATACATTGGCCAGGCCTTCCAGCATACAAAGCCTGGAGGGTGGCTTGAGTTGATCGAATTCGAAGCGCTAGTGACCTCGGACGATGATTCGAAGGACCGGGTGCCTTTTGTAGACCAGTTCCAGACTAAATGCAACGAAGCGGCGGCGAAATTCGGGAAGAAGATAGACCAGGCCCCGAATCACAAGCAGCGAGTGATCAACGCCGGGTACGTCGATGTTCGCAGTGATGTGTTCAAGGTACGTAACAACCCATGCAATATTTCCTCCTCCCGCTCCGCCTGACGACTTGTTTCTGATGCTGATTTACAATCCACAGGTTCCCATAGGCACTTGGCCCAAGGACAAGAAGCTCAAAGAAGTAGGTCGGTACTTCGTGGAGCATATGATGATGGGCGTCGAGGCGTATTCACTGGGGTTCTTGGGAAAGGTGCTGGGATGGAGTAAGGACGAGTGCCGCGTTCTGATATCGAAGACAAACGCGGAGCTTCGAGACCGAAAAAATAATTTATATGTTCGATTGCATATTGTCTACGGTAGGAAACCGAGCGCGTGAGTGTGATATGACGATTGGATGACTGGCAAGGCGACCATTATTTTTACCTTCTCACTCTTGGACATGAGGCTTGGGTCCGGTTCTTGTCAGATTTTCCCAGATAAATGCTCCTTACGCGATAATATTTTTTATTTCGCAATGATTCTCCCTCATTACATGCCTACTTTGGAGGGATCTCAGCTGAAGAGGCGATTCCTTGATATTTTATTGGTTATATTGGAAGACAGAGTTGACTTCCCCGGCTAGGTTTTTTGGCCAATTTCATACGGTTTCTTGCCCAGTCTCAAGTCTGCTTTTCTCTTCCCTTCAAAGCTGGCTTCACCAGCATTCAGCAATGCAATTGATGGGTAGATGGAGATGGAGTATAGGATACCTCTATTAAGTTTAGTAAGCTATATATGCACCTTAGCTACCTAGTCAAAGAGCTGAATAGCTTTGTTTTTCTTTCACTTGCAATGGCCGCCAAAAGAGAAGGGAAAGGAAAGAAAAGAAAAGAAATAAGGCACTGAGGATGCAAGAAAAAGTGGTTCGCTGTATGAGCAATTATGTATCAAACACCTTTCGAACCTTTTAAAAAATCGTCCCATTTGCAGCTTGCATACCGGTCGTGTCGGCGGCCCTTTTTTTTTTCTTTTCTTTTTTTTTTTTTTTTCAATGCCCGCCAACCACCTGCCATCGATAGACATCCCTCTTCGTCTTAATGCACCAGCCGTCTTCTGCACCCAACACTTGGCAGTCACGCTATTCATTTATTCCGACCTTGGGACGGCTGTTCGTGAGAATCCACGACGCTTCTCGCCGCCGTTCCACCACCGAAAAGGCGCCACATTACAAAAACCCGCCCCCTAGACGGTCAAATGCTGCCGTGACCTTCGGGAAACATCGAGGCTGCGCTTTGCCCGCGAACTCTTTTGACCCGGCGATCTGCGCTGAAACACCGGAGAGCATCCGCGTGATATTAAATCCGGGAGAAAATACGGAAGCCGCAAATGCATCTTCAAGTGTTCACGCACTTTTCTCGCCGCACAACGAATCACAAGGAGGGTCGAGTACTCCTGATTGTGATATGGTTTGCATGTCATCACCACGCTGGAAGAAACTGGTGCTAATTTGGGAAGCTCGGCGCCGTTGGCGAGAGGTCCGCTTTTTTTCTTTAGCGCATAGCGGACGTGGAGACCGAACGGCGACGCCAACTCCGCTGCGAGTGGGGTAAGCCGCACCTGAAGATAGCTGCCACCAGCCGGTGTCTTGGTCGTGGTCAAGCGCATTGAAGGCCGGGATAGGACGGAGTGTTGCTGCTGCGTGAATTAAATCATCAACCTTCTCTTGTGTGAAGAAGAAAAAAAAGAAAGAACACAAAGGGAGATCCTCACTGACTCGCCAGAAAACAACAGGCCAAGCATTACATAGGAGGAAACAGGGCATATTTTGGAGACATTTACTCCGTACCTTGATGTTGCAAATGTGCGCCTATGGATGTCCCTGCTTGTGCAAGGAGGTTCTCTTTTGCACTTTTCTGTAGCTCCCTTGACCTACTCCACTGTTCCCTCAACAGTTCTTGAAAGAATAAAAAAGCTGGGACATGTTTCAGGATTGCAGCGCATGATGTTTTTGTCAAAAATTAATTAACTGCCACAAGTCAATACTGGCTGTGCTGGTGTATTGTCGTGCACGGGTCATTGTACAAAGATGCTGGTCCATTCCAGCACGAGAGGTAAGTGAAGGGCAAAAAAAGGTCAAAAAAGGACCAAAAAAACACCAAAAGGTATGGAGCAAGGAAGAAATAGGAAGGACATCCATGGCTGCACGTTGTAATAGCCAATGCGAGACATAATTAAGCTAAACAAATAATATCAAATAATAAGACAGACTAGAAAGGCATAGGAACATATCCAAAGATGGTCATGAAAAAGGTATATGTCCAATAGAGCATCTTTCAAAGAAGACAGGGAGGGAAGAAACCAAAAGCTGTGCAACATCGCCAACATCCCTAGTCAGAATGGTATGTATAAACTTTTTTTCATTCTAAATGCATTACATCGGAAGGCCATTCATTGGGGACTTTTCTGTCTGCTCAAAGACAAAATTTTCCAGTTTCTGCGTCATGCGCGCACAGAAACTATCCACATACGTCGTCCAGTAGTGCGCGACGATGTAGACCAGAACAAACCACGTCGGAATACTGATTGCAAAATTCAGGCCCGATCCCCTAGGGAGGAAAGGCGAGTGCTCCATCTCACCTTTGTCGTTCTTCCATTCTTTCCATGGCTGACCGGATATTCCGTAGATCATCCAAACGAGCACGGTACGGAGGAGTGTGCCGTGGGTGAGGTAGACGGCGAAACTGTTGCGTCCCAGCCAGAGGAAGAAAGGTTTTGAGAGCAGAGCTTTTGTGGACGGAGAGAGATAGATTGATAAAATGACTAAGTCGACTCCCAGAGCCGTGTACCGTTTGCCCAGGTTGGTCTCACGAGGGAATATGTATTTTGACAGCTGGAGGAGGAAGTTGGACCAGCCACACCATTCGGCATGATGCGTTGGGTAGGAGGCGACGAAGAGACCGATCGAGGCGAGGACAAGGCAGACAATCATACGGGTCCAGCGGCGAGAAGAAATGAAAGATTGCGTAGGTTGATGGTTGGCCATGTCGGACAGGAACATTCCAAGGTAAAACTGCTGGCCAAAAGTTTCTACGCGATTTAAGAAAAAGGTCGAGACGTCAGCTTTGATAGAGAAATACGGGTGAAAAATGATCAACACCGGCGGCCTTACCTGTGTCTGCAGCAGGATTTTGCCAGAAATACATATACATTCCGACATACACCAGCATGCGATATCGATATTGTACATACATCGTGGCAACCAAGGTGACGTAGACCATCATGGAGCCCTTGAGCAGCGGCAACAATGCCCACTGATGGTCATCATAGTCCATATGGCCATTTGTCCAAGTAGCGAGGAATACCCGGAACAGTCTCTTAACCTCATGAAGAAACGACGGGTTGACGCTGACGCTGGAAAATCGTAACCAACCCGAATCACACCTTCTGCCGACCGTAAACGCCCCGAACTGCGCTATTGTCCAAGACAGAACGAGAGCGATGGTAGCGGGCATTATTAGTCGAATCGGTCGGCGGAAGGCACTTTTCGCAATGGAAGAAAAGGCAGTATTGTGATTCCCGGCTCGGGAGAGCCTCAGCGGTTTAAGCGCACAGACGTATCCGGTGAGAAAGGCAAAGATCGTGACGCCGATTCTGCCCTGCCAGGGGATACGGAGGACAGGGTGTTGTAACAATCGAATCGGGCCATCTTCGGTGTCTCTAGCGTTGAACAAGTTATAGTCGAATGCGCGAGCCAGGTGGGTGAGGAGCACAAGGAAGGATGCCATTCCGCGCAGTCCCTATTTCAAAGCATGCATTTGGCACAGGTCAACATACTTCCCGAAATAACTGTTATAATCGCTAGGAGAATTAGGACTAGGAGAGATTAGGAGCCTTGTAGGGAGAGCAGCAAAGGGAGAAAAAAGAAAAGAAAAGAGTGACACTAAATGGTCGTTCTCCGTCGCATAACGGGGACTTACGTCGACCCATTTGACATTCCGTCCATTGTCACCGCCAGAGCCGCTCGAACCCCCGGATCCCATGACGAGCTTGCGATAGAGTGAGGCTAAGAAGGATATAAGAAATGGCATCGGCAGGAATCGAAAGAGAGCGTGCGATTTTGCATTAATGATGGCAAGAAATGAGGTGCCTCGGTAATGTTGTCGTCAGCGTGACCTCAGGCCTCCTTTTCTTTTCTTTTATTTTCCCTTTTTTTTGGGGGGTTCTTTTCGGGGGAACTAGAAGATTGGTAGCACGAGGCTCGACATCTGGCTAGAAAGGAGCGAATAGACGTCTCGTCGAAAGGGGGGGGTTGCGTCAAGAGAAAGAGGGGGGGAGGAGGAGGACAGGAAGAGAGAGTGTGGGTTAATTATTGTGGGAGGAGCAAAGAAAAGCCATGGCGATGAAGATAGTTAATGAAAAAGGAGATTGAAGACGGTCGATCTCCACCAAAAACGACGCTGGGCTGGTGCTAGTGGAGATCGTCAGGTCTCAGCGTATCTGATGCGTCGCCTCCACACTTGGCACCGGGGTTGAAGGACGGGGGTTCTGCCAAGCACGCGCTCGGGCGGGATCAGTTGACATGCAGCGTCTGGACGTATGCACGCAGTACTCGCGAGCGGGAAGCAGAGAGACGAGGAGTGGACGCCCTTGGGAAGCTCAAAGGCGGATGGGGTGGGAACGTTGAATGTTGCTTGCGGTGAGAGATGACACCTGAATCCATTTTCAAGAGCAATTCCTGCAAGCCTTCCAGCCTCAGGTTCCGGAAACCCGGTATGATGCAGTTCGTCCAGGTTCGCCTGGAATCGCCCTCTCCGCATCCCCAAGCAAAGGCCCTCATCCAAGCCCAGAAAGGCCTCGCCTTCAAGACGCTGCTCTCTTGCCCGGGCCGCGATGTTCGGTCGGCCGTGTGCCAAGGCCGCCAAGCCACCGCCCAGGACGCGTCTCTGGCTTGGCACACCTCTGTAGTGGGTCTCGCCAAGACGCCGGGGAAACAAACTCAGAGTGTCCTGGCCAATGGGGCGTCACAAACAGCCAGGGGAGAGTCCGAGTTTGCAGGGGCCTTACCCCACCGTCGCCGTTGAGCACCACAACCGCGCTTTGGTGTGGTTTCTGAATTTGTTCAGAGCGGAAATCTCCAAGGGACGGAGCGGAATGCCGTCGCACCCCCCTTCCGAGGATGCAAATCATTCTTCCCGCCTTCCGCTCCGCTCATGAGTCCGTCCTCCGTGTGCTCCGTGTCGACCTCTGGAAACTCATAAGAGGTTTAACAGGTTTCCTGCGTCTCCACCAAAGACGTCTTCGTAATGAGAAGAGACACAACACAAGGACCGACATGAACTAGTAGTAGAGATTCTTATCATAGCATCAGGAACGACTCCCAAAAGGATTCGGTCGCCCATCTTACTCTTACACACATGCGTCGAATAGAAGCAAAAACAAGAAAACAAAGGGCATCAAAATAAAGAAAAAGCCCTTACATTTAGGAGCTAGGCAACCTCGATATTTTTTGGTAGTTTTGTCTCAATCTGCCTATCTGTTCACATTTCGGGGTAAAAAAAAAAAAAAGAGGGGGGGCGGGAACTGTTCATCCGAAGATGGAACCCTTCTCTGCCTTAAGTGCAGAGTCAAGGATCTCAATAAAAATTCGAAGCAGCATAATATGCTTTGCGTTGGCACCAAAGGAAAGAAAGTTCCGCAGCAGTGCCAGCATGCCCCCTGGGAAAACGGAAACAAAAGAAGCAGCAACTTTTTTTGAAGGGTCTCTCTCCTCCCCCCCCCCCTGCCCTTCCACACTACATCCAAACTCTGTCAAAATTTGTGCTTTCACTCGAGGGCCTTTCATTCGCCCCCTAGATAAAGGACGCCCTTTTTCCACCGCCTTGTCCTCGCCATAAATCCCCTCCGATAACTTGATAGGATAATGGAAACATGGATCGACAAAGGGGTATATGGGGGGTATACAAGAAAGGCAAAAAAAGAACAGCATTACATTGCGAGAAAATAGACAGATCTTTCCCACACTCTTACACGGTATATGGTTAGGAAAGAAATAAAAAATAAAAAAGGCACAAAGAACCGAACCAGGTACATAGCGCAGACAGAGGAAATATGGTATTGAAAAAATTAGCAGGTATTTAATGAACCGGTGTAACCGCGGAACGCTGCACGGATATTGGTGACCGGGGACAAAGATTATCCCAAGTCCGGGTGAAGAAAACGACTCGCGCTTGCAATGCCAGATGAAGCAGATGCAGGTACAGACATGACATAGGAAATAAAAGCAAATGCCAGATAAGGAAACTATGTGGGAATCAAAACAGATTATTGGGATATGTAGTAATGTCGCGTTCTCATCCACGCAGTCACGACTACTTTCGCGCTCACTTTGGGAAAGGACGCCAGAATTTGGCATAACGCTCATGGTTGATGTATTGAGTCCAAAGCTAGCTACTGCCACATCGAATGCGAGTGACATGCATAAGTTGGATGCTGCTTGATGGCTCTTATGGTTCGAATTGTGGTACGTCACGTTCTTTCTCCCATCGTCCCTTAGAACACAGAGTTGTATGGTACCGACGGCTGTTGACGAAAACGTTGATGTTGAGAGTACGGATCGGTCTCTTGGAGCTTATAGTGATGCGTCTGTCCATAGTGCATTGCTTGCTGGGGAGTCGGCGATGTAGGACAAACGTACAAGAGGCCAGAGGCATCCTTGGAAGGATTGGCGTTGCTTGTGGGAGCGAACGCGTCGTTCTCAGGTGTGATTGGCGGAGTAATGTAACCATTGGTCATAGTACGCGGGCAATGGGATTTCTGGGGCGTAGCAAGCCCAATCTCACCTTCATACGGCTTAGAATCCTCCGCACGGTCCGTCGGAGGTGTAGGAGGGTTGTAGCTCTTGGTAACGGTGCTCTGACGGGCCAGAAACTGCTCCAAGATCTTCGATACCCGTGAATAATGGGCAGATGAGTACTTCCTGGCGAGAACGTGCGATGGTTGAAACAAATGCTGGGATAAGTTCACCAAAGTCAAAGAGTCATAATTGGATGCCCAATCATTATGCGAAGCTTGGGGCCGGTTGAGAATGCATCTTGACAGTGCTAATGCGGCACGCGAAAGATCTGCCGAAAGCTTGGAAACGAATTCCCTATGGAAGAGTGCTATTTCCAGGATATAAAGGGCAAGATGTTCCACCTCTGGGTCATATGGGGTATCCATGACTGCGACTTGCAGGAACCCATCGACGGTTGGATGACCAATCGACCAGCCAAGGGTCTGGAGCACGTGCCATTCCATTTGTACGAACATGTCGTCGTCGTAAAGAGAGCAGCACATCGACTTCAGCTCCTTGATGGTCGGGACACGCTCTTTCTTGTCGCTGTATTTCGCGGCGATAAGCAGTGCAGCGCATCCCACCAGCTGATAATGTCTCTTATAGACAACTCGCTTCGAACAGTAACGATCTAAGAGGTTGACGGTCAAAAACAAAGTCCCCGGAAGCAACTGAAACGCAGCATGGGCTTCAATTAAGAAATCGAGAAGGTAGGGCCGCATAAACCACTGGATCTCAGTTTGGATGTCAATTGAGTCAACGTCCGGCAATGTTGCGGACTGTTACAGCTGGAATTAGAAAAACCTTGCAGCATCACGTGTCCCAGGGTTGGCAATACTCACATCCATCAGATGCATATGAGCAATGATATCCTCCTGGTATTCCTCACGCACGGCTTTTGTCATCTCATCTCCCATCGCATACTGGCGTTCACGGGCGATTATCTTGGCATGCTCTTTGGGACAGACTCGGGAAGGCTGATAGTCGTTGTCATAAGACTCCACGAAGTAAGAATCACAAGACCGGATATTAGACGTGCCATATCGCTGGTACGCCATCTTGTCCTGGTTAGGATGATGGAAGTTTCAATTGTGAAGACGCTCCGCGTGGCTTCGAGGTGAGAATTAGTGCAATAGTAAAAGAGTGTAAGGGGGAAACGGCACAATTAAATCAAGTGTAAAGGAGCGAAGATTAGTTGGAATAATTATTAAGGATTGAGGAATGGTGCAGACGATAATCCGCGCCACTTTGACAAGATTGAATCGCCAGGGTCTGTTGGGGAAGAGCTTTCATTCAAAAGTCAACAATTGAGGTCAAATGTAGTTCGAAGTGTAGAGACACAAGTAAGGGTAAGGGGACTAGTAAATGAGCAAAAACCTACTCAGTGCGGCGTCTTATCAACTAGATATTTCGCAACCTTCCAAGAACAACTGCCAAGACATGTAGGTGTTTGAAGTTCGGCTTATAGACTTGGTGAAAGCCGTACTGAGGTTCAAAGTGAACGACGAGCTAACGTCTCCACCTTCTTTGTGACCACGGATCCGCCCTTGATCCGACAATGTGGTTGAAAGAGCAGTGAGCTTGGCCCTACTCAAGTATCAGCGGACCTGCGAGAAGCACCGCTCCGTGGCAACCTGCATTGGATTGAGTCGGGAGGTACACACTCTTCGGCTTGAACACTACTCAGTAGTGAAAGGTCACCGGGTATAACCGACTCCGATGAGTTTCAATGTATTGGTGATTGGATCTACAATGAGAGGCCGGTGTTAGTTTGGGTGTCAGATTCTAAAATAATGAAAAGCAAAGAGTGAAAAAAAAAAAAAAAAAAAAGAACATATAAAGCGGCGTGGTAGCTGAGAGTCATGAAAAGAGCAAAATGTTATCATTCGGGTAAACCCCAGCATTTCGGGCCAAGTTTAAGGAAAGTGAGAGGTATGGCTATTCGGTTCACGATTGCTTTGGGGTTTGTGCTCGGCAGATTTCATGTTATGAAGCTCGGTACGATCCCGGGGCACATATTGGTGTACACAGCCCGCAATTGCATGTAAAGGTACATGAAGCTATAGCGGTTCTCAGGGATGTGATCTCGCCCCAAAAACAAAAAAAAAAAAAAAAAAGAAATAAAAGGAAGAATTGGACTCTTATGGTAGCTCGATGAATCCCAAAGATTTTATGTAGACCGATACGCGTATATTTCCCATTGCGATGGCTCCAGGGCCGTATAATGCTTGGGGTGGCAATTGGCAGTAACGAAGGGGTCAAAAAGGAGGCGAATGACGAAAAGATCTTACCAGGAGAGAAACAAGCACCAAGGGAAGCCTCAATTGCGAGCCACAGCCTTCTAGCGTGTCCCTTTCTCGTGCTGGTATTCCAAGGGCGAAGTACCGTAGAGTTCACAGGATTGAGTCTCCGTGGAAAGGGGGAAGAGGCGAGGAGATGGAGGTGCCGGGAGCGATTGGGGGAGGGAAACGGCGAGGTGAAGTCGAAGAGAGGATTGGACGCAGGCTCGACTTTTCTATAGGGGCAGAGGAACGAAAGAGAGGCTTAATGGGTGGGAGACGAGAGTCAACCACGGCTGAATATATGTGGTTGACGGTAACTCTACCACGAGACCAATGCACCCGCACTCCCCAGACGTTTGACGGGAAGAGGAGAAACGAGAGTCGGAGAGGAGAGGAAGAGGAGAGAGAGATTGAGTTGGAGAGAGAAGGGGAGGGAAAGGGGCGAAAGAGGAATTCTCTCTCCTGAAGGGTTGGGAGGAGGGAAGAAGAAGAAAGAAGAGAGCGTGCAGGATGGATCTGAGTTCAAAGGCTCCCATTCCCAGACTAGTCGAATGGGGTTGGAGGCTCCCCTTTGGTTTTGTTCGACGAGTGGGCTGAGGGACTGATTGGCTGGCGCCCATTACACACCGGTTTTGGCACCGCCGGCAAAGCTCCTGCGAGCGTAAGGGGTACGCTAATCCATTGGTATCCAAGGCGTACGTTACTTCCGTAAGGTAAGTTTCGACCTCTGTGGCCGTAAGGAGTACGGAGCACTGCTGTAACTACGGAACTCCAGCCCAGAGCCTTTCAGGACAGTCCACCGTCCAGTTTCGAAAGCTCCTCGCCGGCCTTAATGGCAACTGTCTCAAGTGTGCAGTGGCTGTTTGATTTGCCCTTGAGCATACATACATACACACACATACATAGAAGCCCTGTCTCGAGGATTCCCACCCCCTTCTTCGGCTCAAAACTTCTTTGTATGGGAGCTAGGCTTGAGCCAAGTGTCAGGTACCCTCGACCTCCTTTCGGTCAAAGATTAGACGGAAACGGACGTGTATCGAGGTATGGGAATGCCGTGACAAGAAGCGTTTGTCCGTACGTATTGTAAGTAAGCGAATCCTGGAAAAAGACCTCGCGACCCAGGAACGCCGACTTTCAGAGACAAGCTGAAATTTTGGGGCCACTCACGGCACTTTGCTTGGCTGCTTAGTACGCCAGGCCCTCCCCTAAAAGCCTCGCTTCGTATTATTTGTGTTTGAGAAGGGAAGACTTATGTTACATGGGCTGCATGTCAACGCTCAAAGATCTTGTGGCGCTGAACCCTGCTTTCTCTTGGAATTGATTTCGTGCCAACTCCACGCATCATAATATCGCAGAAGATGAAAGGTTCGACGGGAGCCAGAATGCATGCTGCTGTGCCCCGGCTTTCTCTTCTAACTACGTGTGGCTGCACAAGTGACAAAGAAGACAACCTTAAGACGTGCCTCGTCCCAGGTATCCTTCACGTGTGTTTTCGAGGTGAGCAAAGTCAAGTAAATCTCTTGCTCTCGACCCAGAAGCTCCTGTTCCAGGTCGCGGAGCTACGATTTACTCTGGAGAAGCACGCGTCTCCGTTGCTTTTCGTCGAGATCGTAACCGTATCTTGATACAGGCAATTCGGCTGAGGAAATGGGCAATGGCTCTGTATTGTACCGTACCAAAGGCGCTGAGAATAAAATACAGGTTGTAATTTACCCACGCTTGACCTTCACCGTTTGCTCCGCGACTCAAATCTGGCGGGTTGCGAAGATGTTACTCCCCGCGACTCCGCCGTCTTGAACTCGCGTCTCTGAGGAAGATGCCGATGATGACAGGATTGCCGACAAATGCTTCAAATACCATGGATCTTAAAACTAGCAATCGTAGAAGGTCAAGAAGAGGGAAAAAGGTCCCCTCGAAGGCGGCTGTCTTCTGGTCCTACAAAGTGGCTCCCTCCAACAGAAAATTTCTTCGACACTGGGGCAGAATAATAACCAGAAGCGTAACAGTCAGTACCTTGTTCAGCGGAATTGCCGGTAAGGTTGCTCGGGTACGGAAAAAGTATCCATAGATTTTTCTTTTTCCTTATTTTTGTTTTTTGAGAGACGTACGGAGTATAAACCAAGCTCTCCCTCGCTGTGAGAAAATGCTACATAACACCATCTTTACGGCCAGTTCTCCGCCGAGAATATTATTTAATAATAGGAAAAAGAAAAGCAGATTCGCAACAAAGACAGGGCCCGGGGGCGAGGGATCTTCGTCATCGCGTTTGCTGATGTGCCAGAAAAGAATAGTTTTGTGTCTCCCCCGACGGGCCATTACATGCTTGATCCATTTGTTTCGTTAACGTTGATTTCGGAAGGGATCGATTTTGGGAATGGGATCTCCGTCTTCTGGGCTTGTTAACGCCGGAAGATTAAGTAAGGGTTGCAGACACAGAGCACCGAGAGCGAGAGCTCCCGGAATCTCAGACATCTCTTATTGATCTAGAACAACGTGGCCTTTTGAGAACTGTGGCCCTTGAGAAACAATCTTTGAATGAATCCCGTGTACATTAAATTTAACCTCAACTGAAGACCGTGGATGTTTGTTGAAGGGAGCCGTGGTTCCAGGAAGTTTCAAACGCCCCTTATGTCCCAATTCTCAAATTTCCTTTTTACTCTCCGGCTAACGTTGCAACCTGGTTGGCTAGTGGGGGATTTGGCACCGCGAAAAAACGACATCTTATTTGCCAATAAGCGCCGCTCAGGTGTATCCTGTCCAATCAAGATTTGGCGAGTTTTCAAATAAATTACCACGCAAAGCTCCTCAGCCTTGTGGCGGCTGAGTGAACAATTCCTCAACGAAAAATGCTGGATGTCGGCAATCGATTGGGCGGTTGTCCATATTTGACGCCCAAGTTTCTGCGATAACCTCGTTTCTTTGATAAGAACTCATACACGCCACCATACGTGAAAAGACCGCTGCGTACATTGCCTAGCACAACCCAGGCGGGAAAGACCTTCGGGCGACAAGGCGGATGAACGTTCTAGGACCCCGAGTTCCGCCCAAAATCCCCACCCGAAAAGAAAATTTTTCTCAAGGGAAAGAGAACCAAAGATAGTAGCTTTCATTCTACTCCGTAGGGTCTGGAATACACTCAGCCAATTCTCTTTTTATTTTTTTTTGGTGGTGAGAGACATCCCGGTGCTCCTACAAGGCCCGGAGTACGTATGATAGTTTGTTACGGAGTGCAAAACACTCAGTACAGTGTGGGGGTAGGTGTGACCGATCACAGAGATGGGATATACGTCGCAATGCTGCAGCATGTTCAGAATAGTAGAAATCTATCTGCCCAATTTCATTTAATTCATCTCAATCTTCAAGGTAGCTTTGCGACTACAACTTGTCTTTTTTAACTGATTTGTCATTTTTGTAGCTGAGATGCTTAAACTGACCGAGTCGGGCTCATGGTTGGCGGGAGCCCCCCTAATGGCCCGCGGCTTGTCGTCATAGTGCAGCTATTGTTTAACGTTCGCTGTACTGGGTAGCTGCCATGAGTCAGCCCTGATAGCTCAGTGGTAGTAGCGCTTGACTTGTAATCAAGAGGTCCGCGGTTCAATCCCGCGTCGGGGCAAGAATCCAAGGTTTTCTATTTTTCCCCCTCTCTTTTTTTTTGAAGAGCATTTTTGAGATCGGCATCATATGTTCTTCTCTCGAACGCCAAACTTGCCGCTGTGCCACCCCGTGGTCTCTGGCTAAGCTCGGTGACCGGGACGACGGGAGGAACTCTCACAAGTCTATGATGCTAAGACCCTCAAGCGAGGACACTTGATTTTCTCCAATGAAACACGCGACATTGCTCGAATTTCCTTGGCTTGTCCAAACCACGTGTATCGACGCGTACTGATTGGAGCGTCCACCACCTCCCCATCGCGTTTATTCTGTCGATCTGTTCGCAAATGACAGGCTAGTCGACATTCTGGAGTTTCATGGAACTCATACCCTGGATAGGAGGTGTCCGATGTATTTCCACACAGGCATTAATTTGCCATTGTATTACCGTACGGGTTCAGTATGTAATGGCGTAATGTAAACTCATACCGACACCAGGACAGTACGGTTCTCAACTACTCCGTACGCTCTTGAAGATATCCAGAACCCCTTTAAGAGACCACTGAGAGCCCGTTTCTACGGCGCTTCGATAGAGAAGTACACTATGAGGCGGTGAACGGGAGAATATATATATATATGGCCGCGATAACAACTTTACTTTGGAAATGAACGCGACAGCCGTGTTTATCGCTCAGATTATGGCTCAATTCTTAACGCCCTTAGACTTCCGCTGAACCACGGGGTAATCAGGCCGCTGTTCCTTAAATCGAGATTTCTTGTCTGCGAGACCAAGTCGCGAACGTGTCAACCCGCAATCCTGGGTAGAAAACAATCAGAATCCTGGACGCGGGACTGGGGCCTAGACTAAGAATAACAACAGCGTTCTGCCCGGGCCCTGCATCAAGCTTGTTTTACCACAGTGCTAAACTATCGAACCTCCCGACAATAATCGTGGTAAAAGCACCTCCGCGCCTCCTCCTCTTCCAAAAACAGGCAGGTAGTTACAGGATGCTAAGATTGGCAGAGTATGAAGTTGTACACACATACGTAGTTAGTCCGTCACAGCTGGAACTGGCATAGTATTTTAGAGCCAACCATCATGACACTGGCCTTGGCTTGTTTCATGCTCCCTTTTAACGGCAGCTGAGGAGAGACGGAGGCGGTTGAGTAAACTTCCTGTTCAGCGTTTCAACTTCGATAGTGCTGAGGTTCGTCAATGGCATCCAAACGAAATACCGAATAATGGTGCCGTCTTGCCCGAGATTCGCAGGTATGGATTCAAATCGTTGACGAAGCTGAACACTCCTCTTGACTCCTGCTTGCGCAGGCATCAGCGACCAGTTACCCCTTTTCTCTCGAATGCAGCCCACGCAAAAGGACCTGTCCGGGACAACCCGTCTGTGGAACATCTGATGTCAAGAGGAATTGAAGCCAATGAGCGTATTCAGAACTCTTCATCGGCGCATCATTGCCAATCAGCTTGTGAGGATCCTCCGCGGCTCTCACCAATGATGATCGCCACTTAATTGCCCCCCCATTACGGAGTACCTCAACTCGCTATCAATTCTGCACTGATCGGGATGCATTGGCATTATCTCCTTTCTCCGTCCTGCGTCCACCTCTCGTGGCCGTGTAACATCATTCTGCATCCTTGCAATAAATCCAGGCTTTGTGGAGCTGAATGGACGGGGTAAACCAAGGAGAGGGGAAAAGCTCCTTTGGGGAATGCTCGGTTAGCTCCTAAACTCTTTTCAGCCCCCCCCCCTGAACCCTCTCTCTGACGTGGCAATCCCGAACCTCCCTGAGACCAATAAATCCCACGATCTCCACGATCTCTCAGCCTTGAACGTGCAAAAAGGGCTAAGGCATTCATGGCCCTGTAACTCCGCATGCCCTTCCTTGGTCTCTTGCATAGCTAATGCAGCGCACGTTGAAGAGTAAAACCCTGCGCACGGCTCTGACTGGCACCAAGGATATGCACGATGATTGACGACTTTTATGCTCCCGTGCATCGTCAGGCCTGTGACGAGAGTCCGTGGCCAAGGGCCCCCATCAGCATGAAGCGGCAAAATATCCCGACCGGAGGGGAACAGCCCAGATGCTGACCGATGCGAGGTCGTACTCCGCGCAGTGGCAACTTTTGAAGTGGGTTTTCAATCGTTGTCTTTGCAGCCACTTACACACGGTGTTATCAGCCAGGCCGATGATGGATAACTCGGGGCGATCGCGGGACCTCCAGCGATGCACGATGATGTGTATTATTTCGTACATCACCATAAGGCTAACCCCACACTTTTATGATCAAATTGCTACCCTGTTTGAGTGGTCCAGTTAACTCTTGTGAAGGCGCCCGGCTTTGAGGACTCCCATCTCGTTCGATCTAAACTTCTGAAGTCCTTACTCCTCTCAAGATACTTACCTCCCTATCAATACTTTTAAACCAAACCATGAGCACCGATCCCATTGTGGACGACAGCATAGCCTCTACTTTCGCCACATGTCCGTTTCTCCGTGCTACAAGCATAGGAAAGAGTTGTTTGCTACCTGCAAAATTCGTATAATTATCAGTCGCTAATGCGGACGTTCGCTGCCCCGTTTTTCCCCTCGGTGGCCTCTCCGTCAACCGCAGCAGCGCTGTACCCCAAGCGTCTTCAGAGCTCACCCCAATCTCAAATCTACATATCGCTTGGCTTTTGCTTGCATTTTGGCCAGGGGAGGTTCAGCTGTGTCACCGCTCCTGCTTCCCGGCATTTACTCACACCCATCCGCCGGCTTTTGCGGGCGGGTGTGCAATGTTTAAGCCGCAGACAATAGCACGTTTTTCATGGCATGCAGCGGCATGGGTGGGTATTCGCACGGTAGGTCCCTTATAGCAGATTCCCGGAGGCGGTGAAAGGTCCAGAGATTGATATTCGAGCACAAATATGGCCAGGCCGGCTGTCCCTCTTTTATTTGGCGGTACAATAGCGGCTCGGATTGTAGCAAATACTCTTTGGACGGAGGACATCTTTCCATTCTCTAGACAGGGAAGCCCCTGGTTTCTCGTGCAATAGTGTTCTTTTAGTCATAGATAGTTTAATGGCTGGGAAGAGAAGAGGAGCTCGGTACTCCGTACATTCCACCGCCATCTGCAGACAGCCTTGGTTTGCCCTCCAGAGAAATCCGCAAATTGGGCGGTGATCCCGCAGACGGAAAGTATTGCCGGGAAAACGCCAAATCACGTGATCAACCGTTCTCGGGAAAAATTTCCGTCTTCGAAGCTCCGTGTATCAGCAGCGACGGGGGGAAAAAAAAAATAATAATTCGGCGAACGAGCGAAAAAGAGTGCTACAGACAGCGCTGCTATTCCCCGCGCAGTAAACGGATACCGGTACCCATGGCCCCCTAGGGCCTCATCAGGAGGTATGGCTACTCCCCCCAAAAGAAATGAAAGTGGAAAAAATTCAATATGGTGTCTCCATCGGTTAGTACTGACACCTCCCGTTTTCTCCCAGCTAAGCATGGACATCCACCGGTGTCGCTTCGTGCCATACAACCCGCAGGCGATCAACGCGCTCGCGTTCTCACACCCACCATCAACGGAGCTGCAAGGTCGTGGAGTCCCGACGTTGCGACTGGCGATTGGCCGTGCCAACGGTGACATCGAGCTCTGGAATCCAAGTAAAGGAACTTGGTTCCAAGAGACCATTCTGCGCGGTGGGAAGGACCGGAGCATCGAAGGTCTTGCGTGGACGGTTGACCCGGGCGAGAAGGATTCCGAGGGCAATGATCTCCCCGGTAAGCTACGGCTCTTTAGCATCGGGTATTCCAGCGTTGTGACGGAATGGGACCTTGAGAAGGGTCGCCCGGCGAGACATTCGAGCGGGAATTATGGCGAAATTTGGTGTTTGGCAGCGCAGCCTAGATGGGAATCGAGAAACAAGAAGAAAGATGGGAAACAGTTGCCTCCGGCGGAGGGAGAGTATATGGGACAGCATCTTGCAGTGGGATGTGCGGATGGGGCAATTGTAATATTGTCTACTGCTGATGGGGATCTTAAATATCTCCGCACGATGAGGCCTTCGACCAAAAAGTCGCGTGTTCTTAATATCACCTTTCAGAACCGGAATACCATCGTCGCCGCCTATGCCGAGAGCTCCATTCGGATATTCGATATCCGCAGCGGCAAACTCCTTCGCACCGTCACTCTCGGGAAGGGACCAAACAAGGCAGTGAAAGAGCTTCTAGTCTGGTCCGTGAAATGCTTACCCGACGGAACAATTGTATCGGGCGATTCTGCTGGTGAAGTGCGTTTTTGGGACTCTAAGAATTATTCTTTAATTCAACGGATACAGAGCCATCAGGCAGATGTGCTTGACATCGCTGTTAGTGCGGACGGGGAATCGGTCGTCAGTGCTGGCGCAGATCAACGAACGGCCGTTTACAGACTGAAGGCTCCCGAGAAAGGAGCGAAAACTAGGCGCTGGGTTGAAGTCATGCACCGTCGATACCATACCCATGACGTCAAAGCACTCGCGGTCTACGAAACGAAGGACATCAGTGTCTTCGTCTCCGGAGGTATACACACCCAGTCCTGATTGGCATAACCGATGGTATGGAATCTAATGTTTATATCTCTCTCCCAGGTCTGGACACCGTGCCGGTTGTGGTTCCGCTACGAAGTATCGGAAAGGAGCTACATAGAAAACTCCCGAGCCTTCCTCAATCACCACCCCTATCATCATCCCCTTCATCGCGGCTGCTAATGGGCTGGTGGGATCGCGAAGTCAATATATGGCGTGTGTCCCAGCCGTCCAAATCGCTCGAATCCCAACAACACCGACTCGTTGCAAAAGTTCTCTTTCAGGTAAACAGCCACCATGGATGGAAAGCTTTTTTTTTTTTTTTTTTTTTTTTTTTTTTGCAGTACTGACCGTATCTCAGGGTGAAGAGAATCTAACTTCTGCGGCCCTTTCATCCGATGGGAAACTTCTTGTGGCAGCCTCCGTCTCGCAAATCAAAGCTTTCTGCTTATCTCCCAGAGAAGACGGGGACAAACCAGGCCTCCAGGTCAATAAACTCGAGATTCCTTTCGAGATTTCAAAATGGGGAGCGAAGGAGATAGCGATTTCGCCAGATAGCAAATGGCTCTGCTTTGTACGATCAGATAACGTTATTTGTATGGCCAGGATCGACATCGATCCAGAAATCCCGGGCCGTCCTCAGATACTTCCTGGAATAAGCAAATTGCGTCGCGCACAGCGAAATGTGCAGCGTGGAAAACTACACCATGGATCCCTTGGTGCGTACGACCGGACAATACGGTGTATTGCCTTCTCCAGTGACAGTAATATTGTGGCATGCGGTGATCTTGCAGGCTTTGTGGATGCATGGGTGTTAGAAGACAAGTCAAACTTATTGACAAACGGTCAAATTCCCGAAAAGGCTGCCGATTCTAAGCTATCTGATGATGATTCTTCCGACGAAGAGGCCGGCAGTACAAATACCTACGGCCAACGCTGGATTGTTCCTCGTTTTGACTCGCCTATACCCCGGCTTAAGTCGGGAGTCCTATTAATGACGTTCCGCCCTTCATATGAATCGCAGTCCAAACATCTCACAAATGGTGTCACATCCAACAGCTCTCCTTCTCACAACCTCTCCATCGGTGATGATAGATTAGTGGTTTTGACCACCGAACATCACATCTCCGAATTCAATGTACTCGAGGGCAAACTTACAGGTTGGTCTCGAAGAAACCCTAAATCATATCTACCAAAGGATTTCACTATCGTCAAGGACAGGGCTATGGGAGCACTTTGGGATAAAAAGGGGACCAGCGAACGTCTATGGTTATATGGACCGAGCTGGCTTTGGATGTTTGACTTAGCACAGGACTTCCCCGCCCCTGCGGAACCCGACAACGAAGAGAAAGCCGTTGCAGCAATAAACAACGATAGCACGACTGAGCCCTCCCCATCAAAGAAGCGAAAGAGAGGAGAGACCAAGGAGAGCAAAACAAGACAGCCCAACTCCGGCGCTGGAGATAGAGTGCCTTATTGGCAGGATAATATCGGCCTAGGAAGAAAGATGCGCAAGGTGATCGGGGACGATGGAGAAACAGCTCAGTGGATACCGATTGACCTGAAGAAGCCTGCCGACCCAGCCCAGATGGGTGACGAAGCAGCCGATCACTATGAGGAGCCTAGCAAATCCATCCTGGCCGAATTTCGGCGGGAGCCACAGGGCGATGGGTCGGGCTCGGAAGAGGAAAATGGTGAGTGGCAGCAGCAGCAGCAGCTTGATGAAGGAACGTCGGCCATTAGGCCCCAATCCTCCTCCAACTTGCCTAATGGTACGACCCCAACCCAAGTAGCTTTTGCAGTCGTTATCCCTACCAAAGCTAAACATGACGTCGTTCAAGAAGCATCCGAAGCGAACGACCATGATGTCGAAGGAACGACGGCGGACCTTCAAGTGCAGGAAGTACCCGGTTCAGAGTCGAAAGCAGAGTCTAGAACGAAACATCGCCGCAGTCGTAACCCTCGCCGGTGGTGGCATACGTTCAAATATCGTGAGATACTCGGGATCGTGCCGTTGGGTCAAGGATTCACCGCTGGAGACGCGGCTGGGGCTTCATGGGCCAATGAGGGAATGGGGGGATTGGAGGTCGCAGTAGTGGAGCGGCCGATGTGGGATGTGGCGCTGCCTGGACGATATGTTAGAGACTACGAATGAGTGGCAGGAGGTTTCACCCATTTCCGGTGTCGACGGGTGTTTGTACCCATAATCCTTCCTTATCTACCTCCAGAGGGCACTGCTATCTTCGAATCCTCGGATCTTTTTGTTCCCGACTGGCTCTCATTGCGCATGGCGTTTCCTCGATAGGCAAAATGGGTCGGTTTGAGTGTTTCTTGGATGTCGCGAAACTACATGTATCTAGACATCTATATCTAGTTTTCCAAGATCCGAAATTTAATGCAGCCTTTCTGAGCATTGCTTGTTTCAACCTCGTGCCAAAACATACATAGGATGAACAGTCCTAAAAATTGTTCGCATATCACACAGGTTTTGCAAATGAAATTAAACATTCCGCAGCACCCATGCTTAAAAAGTGTAGCTACTCTCGCAGCCACCACCAAACTTACCGGCTTTGACAAAGTTCTAGATATTTCAGATACCCCTTATCGGCTATCTCTCTCTCCCGTCCTCTCTCTCTCGTGGGGGTCAACGAACAGTAGGGAACTTGAATGATGATCAGAAGCTCCAAGTCAAGCGTCCTGAGTTACCTGGCAAGCTATCCCGACAAGTGATATATATCCGATTATTGTTGCCTGATATTGATATCCTCAGGGGCTGTCATATCGGCAAGCATCGCTCTGCACTGATAGTTGAGAATGAAGAGGGCCGCTTTCTACCATCTTCCCTCTGTTTTTAGGATGAAGATGTTTTCAGTGAAACAGCGAAGTCAAAAAGGTTATCAGGGATTTGGTCTTTATGTGCTCTGTTAGGTACATTTTTCATGGATGCGAAACTTATGCTCCCAACATGGCTGGCTACTTCAGACAAGGGAAAAAATAAAATAAAAAATAGAAAAAGGAAAGGAAGAATACAAGATCTAGAACCGCTATGCTGGACGAAGTTATGCAATATTTATTAGAAACCAAATGTTGCGAAGACATTCCTTTTGCAAAAGAAAAGAAGTCCATAAGTGCTGATTCTGACCATAACTGTTCAAAGAATATGCAAAAGAACCGCAGGTTTCTTCTAGGGTGGAGCCACGCAAAATAAGCTTGGCCGTCAAGAACGAGGGAAATGGCTAATTTAACGACATCCGTATAAGTGGAGAAAAGAGATTTACTTCGGCTTTTTTTTTTTTAAAAAAAAAAAATTATTTTATTGAGAACGCATCTCCCTGCACGCTGGTAGCTTATCCATCCCTGTCCTTTCTCTTGCCCAAACGGCGGACGGAGGAAGATCAGAGTTCTAGGTTGTAAAAGTCGGTCTTCAAATACTTGCATGGAGGGATCTGCATAGTTCAAATCCTTCAATTCAGAACTACCCTGAGAGGTCGATATGGCAGCCCTAAACTAAGCACAGACACCTCCCTTTTTGCGGGCATCCAATCCATTTTATCTCATCGTCCCCAAAAACTTTTTTTCAGAAAAGACAAAGACATCATGAGGCCAAGATAGATTAGACTAGGCTCACTGGGGATGACTGCGAAAATACTGATTTCATTCATGGGAAGATGTAAATACGTTTATGACTGTAATACTCGTATAATAATCACGAATAGGCCATGATTTCATAAAAGGAAGAGGGCAAAAGGGAGGCAATACTTCACCAAAAAAGAAAAAGGTAAAATGATCGGTAGGGAATTGGGAGGGAGGGAGAAAAAAGGAAAACGGCGAGGATTCAAACAGAGTTATCGGCGCGCACATATATTACCCGCAAAGCTTAAACTTGTCGTCCGTTCCCCGCTCCTATGGCGACAAGGTCAAGCTGCTGCAGCAAAAAATGGAATAATTGCCCCCAGTGTTGAGAATATTAATAGTAACAAAAGAAATATATATGCAGCGTAAATGCAGTTAGATAAACAAGAACAAAATTTTTTGAAGAGGACTGTTGGTATAGGTGCGTATATCAAAAAAAAAAAAAAAAAAAAAAAAAAAAAAAGAGATGAAAAAGAGATGAAAAAGGTTAAGAAGAATGTGAATGCATCCGGCACGGTACTATGATCCCCACGTTAAAAACAACGCCTAGTATTTGACTCCCCCATTTGTCTGGACTGAGGCCATCAACGCCGGCAGAAATGTAAACAATATAAATAATATTTCCAAAGTCGCACCCAGAAATAGGTGGGTTTCCAGTGGATAAGAAGGTTTCATCAAGGTAAGAGGTAGGAAGAGTTCAAGCATCAGCGGGTGTGCTGGAGAGGTGGAAAAAAAAAGGCTAACGTTCCGTGGCAATCGTATGAATCGTACCGTAGACATTTTACATGTCGTCAGGGAGATAATGGGAGCCATGAAGAGCAATGGCTATCACGACGTGTTACCGGTTCTCCCTTGACCTATCCGAGCGTGATCGTCTCGTCTCACCGGCTGGGCTAACCCACTCAACGGTACCATCAGCCGCGGTGACAGGAATCTTGATTTCGTCGGACCGGGAGTTGGCTGCACTGTTCGGGAGAAGGTTGTTGATCTCAGAAGCGAGGGCCTGGACCATGTAGCCACGCAGCTCACGCTCCTCGCGTTCGTCTTCCTTCATTAATCTTCGTCGTTCTTCTTTCGATAGATTTTCTCTTCGCATTCGTCGAATCTCATGTATAATCCATAATAGAACTTCTTCCGGTGCCCGTGTCCGACTCAGGCCATGCTTTGCCGGGTTGCGAACGTATCTTCGGGTAACATCGGTCGCTCCGTCGTTTGAAAAGGCGATGCAGTACGCCATTTTCCGGTTCCAGCCTATTTATTGACTCTTGTCAGCCATACATATCGAATTATGCTCTTCATCTACAAAGGAAAAACGTACCTTCTGTATAAAGACGAGGATTGTCCCAGGCCTCTTCACAGACGTCGACATGGATCCACCGTCGCTGATGCTCGGAATAAACTTCGGTCCAAACATAGTCCTCTGAATTCCAGACCCATCTAACACGCCCACCCACAGCTCTACATAGCATACTGAAGCAGTTGGCCCATTCGCCAACACGTCCTCGCCTCGACTGTAATAGCGCCCAGACATCCGAGTATCGCGGAAACCGTTCATAGGCACCACAATTTGGTTCCGAACAGTGATACAGCTCGACTCTGGTAGCGCCACGGGCTGTCTCATCGGGTGTTGGTGGCGTCATGCCCTGTGCGATTGTTGGGCTGTAGCACGCGGAGCAAGGAGGATTATTAACAAACTGGAAAAACGAGCGCTTGAACCATCTGCCAATAATGAAAGTTAGGACTGTTGTGGAAAAGAAAAGAAAAGAAAAAGTTCTTGTGCATAAAGATAAGACGAAAAGTTACCTTAAGAGGGCTCTAATGACACAGTCCTGATATCCCCACGCGGGCTTAACGTTTTCACCTATACTAGCGGCCTCTGCCTGTAATATTTGTGATTCCTCCTCCGCTTCTGCATAGAGACGATCCAAGGGAATCAGGGCGAGGGCTTCGTCGAGTAAACCGGGGTTTTCGTATTTTACTGGAGTGACGGATAGGACATGGAGAAGATTTCTGAGTTTGATGGACGAAGGATCTTGTGGAGGCGACGGTACGATGGGGAAACTTCGAATGTTGGAATAGGAGGGTGGCTGGTACTGAGGGCGAGGCGAGGAGGGCTGGGTCGGGTGAAGCGAGGACGAGGGAGCAGGAGATGTGGATTGCGACCTTGAGCGCGCCTGCAGGGTGTTTAGCCGTCTCGTTCGAAGCAGCTGCTCAAACTGTTTTGTGAGTTCGTTGGCGTCGATCGAGGATCCAGGGCCTCGGACGACCCTGTGAGGGTGACGATCCGCCATTCCAACAAGAAGAGGAGGTGGGAGGAGGCTGGTCGTCTAAGAGAGGAATGACTCTCAGGACCGATCAGTCTGCCACCGTCGTGAGTGGGTGACACCCTTCTTCTTCAAGTTCTGATGTGATGTTCGGATGAGGCTGGACGAAAGGACCGGGAAGATGTGGTCTAGTTGAGTGTCGAGGGTCGGGCGGTGAGAGGAACAAGAAGAGGAGGAACGACGACGACGACGACAACGACGATGATGATGCAGATGCAGATGGGCAGAGGTTGACAATGGACGATGAGATGGAAGAATCTGTGTGATTAGGAAGTATGGCTTGAGAGAATGCGCAGTCGCAAGTCGGGATGCACAGCCAACCTGCAAGTCGGCGCTAGTGGAGTATTAATGGCGAGGACCAAAGCATATAAAGGGAGAGAAAAAAAAGAGAGAACGACAAGAAGAAGACTAGAGAGGCAGACCGGAGAGAGAAGAAGAAAGGGAAGAGGGAGATGAGAGAGAGGGAGAGAGTGAGAAAGAGAAAAAAAGGAAGCGTGGAAAAAAAAATCGGCCTACGTGGATGGTGGAAGCGAGGCTCCGATCGGGGGGGAGAAGAGGAGGGAATGGGATGGTTCGTTGAAGATGACAGTGGAGGGAGGTTGACGTTTGACCATACGAATGATCACTGTTACTTACACGTCCCGGGGGGGAAGATTGTTACCGTTCTCGGCGTACCTTTCGCTGGTTCCCATGAGGCAAAAAATACCCAGCTGCAGGGCTAGCTAGGACGAGCCAAGGCCCGTCTGAAATGGGAATACACCCGCCAAGCTGTCCCTCGGTAACGACATTACGCATCGATACCCGCCTGCTGACCCGCCCCGCGACCGCAGCAACAAGCGCACGACGGGCGGCGCATACGGGGTAATACCCACGATACGAGGCTGGCGGTTGCGTAACAAAACGGCGGGAGTGACGAATCCCCCAAAGGCGACTAAAACAAGAAAGGAAAGGCAAAGGCGCGAGTTCTTGGCGGTGCGTCGTCAGCCTTTTTGTCATCCTTTTTTTTCGCTTCTTCCACCAATAGCGCCGCCTTTGCGCTGCCCGCCGCCTCCGCGCTTGGCTGGCTGCTTGGTTGCTTGTTGCTGCTGGTTGCTTGCTGCTGCTTCTGCCCGTGGCTTGCGCTGGGAAATCTCATCTCGTCGTTCCCGCTTCCTCCACGAATGTGTGCATACATTTCATACTGTACTCCCTACACACACATATGTACGTGATAAGAGCGGGTACGGAGTACGGAGTAAACTGACTACGCAATGCTAATCGAACTGTTCATCGCAACGCGTCCCTCTCCCTCTCTCTCTCTCTCTCTCTCTTCACCAGGCGTAATTTGCCCCGTCCCAGAAACTTCTACCCCCCCAAGTCCTTTTTGCGTAACTTCACACGACTCGTAAGACACCGAAAATGTACATACTGGCGATCGAGCGTTCCTTTTTCTTGCTCTGTGGCCAATCGCGATTCAAACTAGCCTGTTGGTGCCCTCGTCTGGCGGGATGAAAAAGGGTTTTCTGCCTCTCATCCACATGGATCGTGTGTCAATCCGCGTCTTGACAACGGACCGCCGGATGATTCATCCTCTCTCTCCCCCGCAATGGTCCTCCCCTTCTACATAACATACAGAGTACGGAGTACTATTTACATTTGATTCATCCGTTGGTTGCCCTGTGGCCCATGGAACCCTAGCGATTCTTGAAGTCTTCAAAGCGTCTGATCTTTTTTTTTTTTTTTTTTTTTCCCTTTATCCTGCTGCCGTGTGTATGCTCACGCGGCTGCCAGACGCAGAGACGATCATTGAAGGGAAAAAACCAAAAAAAAAAAAAAAAAAGAAAAAGTGGAGAACTTCTTCTTTCGTCTGCTGCTAGAGGTCAATGCTTGCGAAGTGCACCTCGCGTCTGACGTGGGTTTGCTTCTTCACTTCACCTGCCGCCGCCGGTTGCGTGCCCACGACGCCGCGCTCGCTGGCCGCCAGTGTGGGAAGCTGGGGGTTGAATAGTGCTGATGACGCAGGACCGCGTGGCCTGGAGAGCAGCCGCGCCAATCGACTCGCTCCTCCGTTGGGACGAGCGTCAGGTCGGAAACATGTTTTCCCCTGCAAGCAACCGACGGGGCGGACCCAAGATATCCCCTTGGCGTGATGCTCACCAATGTTGAAACGGGGTAGAGGAGGAATGGGATGATGATAGCTGTTGGACCGTTGGTTCAAGGATCCTCTCACTCAAAACCCTTCCCCCCAAATGCAGCCCCCGTGAGCATTCTCCCAGGGGGGTGGCCTTTTTGCTCTCCTGGCGGCTGGCGTTGATAACACAGCAGAGGTGCTCGGACTTGAACGTTGTTTTGTTCCGTCACAGCCTCCAGACAAGCCACCAACAGCGGCGATTACGTGGCTCTGTTCTGGGCCTCGCCGACGATCGCCCCAGAAATAGTGCCGGCCTAGGCTTGTTTGGGGCTAGCAGAAGCTTAACTAAGATATCTGCACCGGGGCGGAAATTAGACCGACGCCCAGAATTTCCCGAGCGTCAAACCCCCATTTCAACAGGATCGACCCCTAGGTCAGTTGCCTAACAGTCTTAACTGGGGGGGCCGCGAAAGCTTGGACTATGTTTGTACGGAGCATGTTATGTGTGGACAATGGAGTCCTCACGTACGGAGTACTCCGTACTAGTTGAAAGAATCGAGAACTGACGTCAAAACACCGCTTTCGCGGCGACTGCAAGATGTCAACCCTATGGCGACATGGTGTGAAAACTCCCGTCGAAGCTTTCTGAGGGCTGATCGTGGTTCTGGGCGTCCCGCGTCTAAACTCTCTTTCTCTGCTGGCGATGATATGGTGGCGAAGAGTGCCCTCCGTTCCGTGCATACAGGCCGACCTGCCTGCTGCCTGCAGGGTTTTCCCTTTTTTTTTTTTTTTTTTTTCCCCTTTTTTGGTTTGTTTCCGGGAAGCCGCGCATGTCATGAGCGACCTGCCACTGCCGAAACAACCGTACCTTCTGCTTGGATGCTGGTTTGTTAGCATTTTTTGCCCTCCGATGTCATGGATGTACCTGCCTATTAGGTACGCTCAACCACCCCGCCGGGATCGTCGCGAGCATGGTTTTTCTGATTCCGGAAGGCGGGACACGGATGCTCGCTCCATGCTGGCGAACACACAAATCCCCTTCGCCCGTTCCATCGACGTTGCTCAGTGAGGACTTCTGTTCTGCATCGAGCACGCGTCTCCCCGTACAACAGGTAGTGTACGGACTGTTTATCCCCGCCGGCCCAGAGTGCTTAGGCAGCTTGATGAGAAACTGCATGCCCAACATACGCGCCATCATCCCCGGCACTCTGCCCTGGCTTTCGAGGCAGCACAGAGTATTACCTGCTATACTTTTGAATAGCCTTGGCTTCTAGCATTACGTTGATAGCACGCGCGGCCCGCCCCGACCCCCGGCATGCTCCCTCGTTTTGAAGTGATCTTTTCATTCCCCCCCCCCCCCCCCCCCCCCCCCCCGCGGGGGGCGGTTTGCAGCAAAAAATGCTCGTTTTTCTTCGGAGGTTCGAGGAAGTGGGACCACGCTGGATACGTGCAAGTCGACCACTTCCCGGTGATTGCATTGTCAAGGGGTCGATGACATGGGGGAATCCTCCATATCTCACGTGGTTTATCTGGAGAAATACGCGACATCTCCGGAGTGGGAAAATATATATATATATATATTAACAATAAAATAAAGATCGGGCTGGACTGTTCGGGGATTCCGTTCTCCCTGGAGTCACGGCCGAGAGGGCAATACAGTACATAAGGAATGGATTTCCGTGTTCAGACCGTATTTGGAGGGGGATTACGTGTCGTTCCGGGGGGTGGGGGAGCAAATAACGTAGATGTTTTCATTCCCTTTACGATGCGCCCTTTGGCTGGGTGGGTTAACATGGGTAGGACAATTTTTGGGGGGGAGATGTCCTTTTTTTGGGTACGGTTTGAAGTGCGAAAAGCCTGCCTGACGTTCTGGGAAGGAATATGTAGGTGTCGACATGGTCATGTAAATGGTAGATAGAAGGCCCAAGTCCAGTCGTCAAATATCGGAAGTAAGGGCGAAAAAAGCACGTTGTTGCAATAGTCAAGGGACACCACCGTGATGAACGGACTTTAATTTCGGCGAATTATTCTACACCCTAGCCTACCTACTGCATCGATACCCCTTAGCCTCGTGAGCTTTGAAGAACAGAACCGCCTAGCCCGACACAATCATGAGATGAAATCATCGTTACTTTCTTACAAACAAACAGGCCCTAAATCACTGCCCGGGAGACTCTGAGACCAGCATGGTTGCACCCTTTCACAGCACCGCGAAAGCGGAGACGTAGCTCACAGAGCTATCCGTGACCGAGATACAATCCGAACTCCTCTCATACCGCACGAAATTGAACGCTCCTCGCATCAGATGCGTCTCATCACCAGCTTTGATATCCAGATCCCTCATATTCTCCTTGTCCTTACCCAGGACGAACTCGATCGCCGCCATGATGACTCCGATTGGGTGTCTTCCGCAGATCGTGTTTCCCGTGCTCTTGAGCGCGTCGAGGAAGGTCTGCGTGTGGCCCGACGCGATGGCCGACATGCACGCGATGTCGCAGGCCGAGATACTCTCGTGGATGCTAGGCACACCTGCGCCCCTTGGTAGCTGGTCGCCCGCACGCAGATACCGGCCCTTCGACATGCCGCTGATCTGGGGTCTCGCGGCGCCGAGCTTCAAGGCCTCCGACGGCTGAGGCAGAGCCGCGTAGGACAAGGGGAGAACTGGTCCCGGCGCCGGGGCGTCCGGGACGTAGTACGCGTAGGCGAACCGCAGACCCCAGTGGCAGAAATCCGAGGAGACGATGAAGGCGTTTTCCGGGTTTGCTAGGTACGGGGCTAGGATGCGGCCGAAGGCTTGTTCGGTGGGGGCGGATGTGCTGCCTACCATCATGGGCACGAGCTTGGGGTAGGACGCTGCTGGCTCGCCTGGGTACAGCCCTTGGAGCAAGTAGTGGATGTACGGAAGATGGAGCTCCAGGCTGTGCTCGGCTTCGTCGATGGCTTGGTTCATGGTGGTAAAGCGAACGGTGCCATTTTCCGTCCGGGTCGACAGTTCATCGATTATTTCTCTATCAAGAGGAAGTGGTTCTTGCGAGAGCGGGGTCGAGTAGGATGACAGTTCCGGCAACGCAATCTTGGAGAACGGGTGGTGATGAGAGGGTCCAAGGAGGAAGATGCGTTTCCTTTAAACATGACGCATCAGGTGTTAGCAAGGATACTTTAACCCTCTTTCTTTTTTTTTTTTTTTTTTTTTGCCTTCTTTTTCCCTCGGTGGTTGGTGGGGAGGAGAAACGTTGTCTGGGATGGACACACTTACGCCTTGGATAGATCGAGGGATTTGTACGCGAAAGCTGCACAGGGGCCAGAGTAGGCGTATCCGGCATGTCTGGCAAGTGGATAAGTGATCAGCGCTTAAAGATATCTACAGCATATCTGGAAGAAGCTCACGGAGCGATGATGATCCTGGCACCAGCTACCGGTAGACTCCCTATCCCTTCAATCTCGTTCGGGACTCGGTTCATCCATTCGTCCAGTTGACGCGTCAACGTCGCGGCATTGTCGGAGTACCAAGAGCCTGCATGGGTGGCCTCTCGAGAAGGCATCGTTTCAATGTTAGGCGGGTGAAATCGGACTGCTTCTCGAGAAAATCTTTGCTGGCGTGTCGATGTTGGGATGGATAATATGTGTAGGTTGAGGGAACTTGGAAAGCTTCCAGAGTCGCTTGCCAACTTTAACCTAATGGTGGAGTAAAGCATGCAGTTGGCGGGGTAAGAGTGACGTTCGCTCGGCATGCCGAAACTCCGGAGCCCAGCGCGGCATGCCGAGAGAGATGGCAGTGGAGAAGACCATCAAGTTAGAAAACCCTCATTGTTCGTTGTTAACACGTCAAGCCAAGTTATGGAAGTACGATATTCCTCGGGACATGTCATCCCTCGATGGCTGCGTCTCTGGGGAAAAACAAGAGTCTCCACTCGCGCAGCTTCGTTAGAAATTGTCGATCGCTTTTGTTCGATGATCCCTGGTTGCGGCCGCGGTTAAAGGTCACGTGGGATCGTGCGATCGCTGCCTTCGTTCGGATTTAATACCGTAATTTTACACTTTATCTAGACTATTTTGGTTTAGGTTTGGATACGACGGAGGCTTTTTGTCCAATTAAAACTGATGGATTTCGAGTCATTACGGCAATTTGTATCGTCGCGTCCAAGACGCGCTTTGCGTCTTCGTCTTGCTCTGCCTGTTTCTGCAACGAGACACCACCGACTAACATCCCAATTGTATCAGTATACCCGCTGCCTTTTCTTATTTGGCGTTAGAGCAGTTTTCATACATCTCGACTTGACAGTTTTCTTTTCTTTTTCGGGTTTTATATTTCCCAATTGAAGCGATTAATCTACGATGACATTAAAGCGCAAGGCTTCGTTCACGATCACGACGTCTCCTCGAACGGCGTCGACTTATAATAATCATACATCTCCGATTTCATGTCTGCTCGGAGACGTAATAACTATGGACGAAACCCCCAAACACCTTAACAGCCGCACACGGAAGCGGTACAAACAGGACCGTCCAGATGAACAGTCCATATATGGTATTACGCTCTTCAGCATCATGTTAGGCTCCCTACACGGACAGCAAGCTTACCAGCGTCAACAGATAAAACCCTTCGTTGGCTCTTCTCAGCACAGAAGAAGCAGCGTGACCGGGACGAGCCATCAGCATCCTCCATGTCCAACGAAGTCTGCACTGAGGATGCGCCGCCCCTTCCGTCCATTCCCGACCCCAACCAACAGACCCTAGGGAGGTTCTTTCAGCGTATTCAACGTCCCTCCCAAATGTCGCCGCATTGCCTTTCTAATAACACATCGACGCAAACCTTCATCTCTCAACCTGGCGCCATGAACTCCATGGGCCAAGTCAACCCGACCATGTATAATGCCAATTCTGGCAGCATGGATATCGACATGGACATGACGATGGAAATAGACTCTGGCAATGATTCCGTGACGTCGAGTCTGGCCGGTGAAAAGAGATGGGTCGGTGGTATCGGTTGGATATGAAATAATTTACACACCTTTCTTTTTTTTTTCTTTTTTTTTGCCCATTCTCCCTATTTTTCGATTGTATTATGTTCATGCGCAGCATTTCTTCCATGGCGTTCCGGATCTGTTGATCTCTCCCCTGCGATCATTTGTGGGATGGTACCAAACCTATTCTTTTCCCTTGTTTTACTTTCGGCTATGCTATGATCTAGCCGGAAGGCTTGTACCAAAAACTGGCGGACGGGCGCTGGCTTGGTCTCCCGGCGTGCAAGCCGGGGGACTATTTCCATATTCGAATCGAGTTCCACACTCTGTTAACGCGTGTGTGTTCCCTGGCATATGTGGTCCCGCTGGGTGCGTGCTCACGGGCCTTTGCTGGAGGATTTGGGCGTGCGGGTTGTGAGTGCCAAGGGTATGGCAACGGGAGTTTATGACGATGGCCAGTTTATCGCCGTGTAAACTATATATCAGGCGTAATTATATTGCAGAATAACACGAGCAGTGTTTAACACAGTCCTGATCGCTGGCTTTTGTAATGACGACATGGCTGAAACAAAGTCTTGGCAGTAGGAGAACGTTTCATGTGAAGCATTCCGGACGGCCAGAGCGAGCCGTCAGGGAGAATTTCTCATTCGAAGATCGAGCGTGAACTGAGTCGTCCTCCTCGATATCATCTCGACGCGTCTAGCGATATGGGTAGGTGGTCTGCCCTGGTGGTCTGAGGATTGAGATGTGGACGATTACCCCCGACATTAAATTTAGCTCAGCTAAAGTTTTGAACACCCAGTCCCTGAGATGAACTGAACCTCAAAGTCATCCAAGCTCCCTATTTCGCAACCCGTTTACTCTCCTCAATCGCGGGGGCCTACAGCACAACCTGCCGCAGTTTCGCTTTGCGTGCCTTATTAATATCAATTTTTTGGAATTTGATGCCGAACCAGGTAAATAACTACGTTTCCCCAAACTGAGACCATTGTTACGTTGCGGGTTCTGGGGTCCATCATGATCGCACCGACACCGCAAACCGCCTAGAACGAACGGACAAAGACGAAGTCAGGGTCAATAAGGCTCTAGCATTATTTTCCAATACATTACTATTTTCCCTCTCCACTTCCTCCTTTGCATGCGTCCCCGACACACGTTCCCGCGCCACCATGCCGAGCAGCAACTTCGAAAAGTCTGTCAAGGGCGCTACGAAACCGAAAGTCAGTTGTTCCTAGTCATCCAGATTCCCGTGCCAATTGGCCCAGAAAGTGTAGCTAACTCATTTGAGCTTTGACTACGGAATAGCTTGCTGCCCCCAAATCGAAGTATATTGAGCATATCCTCACTGCCACGTACAGCGATGCTGGAGTGGCGGAAATCCTTCGATCGCTATCGCTCCGCCTGCGGGACTCAGCATGGACGATTGTATTCAAAGCCCTTATCGTGATACACATGATGATACGGGAAGGATCGCCCGGAGCAGCCTTGAAATATCTTTCGCAGCATCCGCAAAAAATCGCTATTACTAGTATCTCCGATGGTGGGTGATTTTCGCTTTCTCCGCAATTATTATTGAGGCACAAGGGCGTGGCAGCTGCCTTGCAGTGCTTGATGGTACACACTATCTTGAAGCCGGATGTACTGACGTGTTTCTCTATCAAGTGCAAATTCAAGGTGGCAACATCTGGCGATACTCCGAGTACCTCATCGCACGATCCCTGGCGTTCGCCGACACGAAAACAGATTATGTTCGTGGTGGGCAAGGCAGATTAAAGAAATTGACCGTGGAAAAGGGTCTTCTGAGAGAAACTGAGATCGTTCAGAAGCAGATAAGAGCGCTGTTGAAATGCGATGTATGGAAGAACTTCATTATGAGTGGCTTCAGGGCTATGGCTAACTGTGCACACTTTCCAATAGCTTTTAAGTGATGAGCCTGAGAACGAAATATCCCTAACTGCATTTCGACTCATAACGCTGGATTTGTTAACCTTATACTCCGTGATGAATGAGGGGACGATCAACGTGCTAGGTTGGTGACCCGCAGCTGAAATATCCAAGGCAGATCGCTTATCATTTACATTAGAGCATTATTTTGAGATGTCGAGACCAGATAGCGAGCGCGCTCTGCGGGTATATAAATCATTCAGCTCGCTAACCGAGGACGTCGTGAGATTTTTACGTGTGGCAAGGCAATATGAGAACGCAACCCGTCTGGAAATTCCCAACCTAAAACACGCTTCAACGGACCTTGCCAAGCTTCTGGAAGATGACTTAAACGACCCCGATTTTGCCGCCAGGCGTAAAGAATACCGTGCCCAGAAGTATGAAAAGAAAGAAGCGCAGGAAGACCAAAAGAAAGCTACTTCCAGCCAGCCAGCCAAATCCCAGCCCATTAAGACGAATACACAATCTCAACCGGCCAAAGCCCCTGCTCCGGATCTAATTGATTTCTTTGATTCTATCGAGCAAAATCAGCAGCCGATGAACTACCAATCCACACCACAGCAGTTCAATATGCAAAACGCACAAATACAAGCATTTCAAGCAACCGGTTTTCCGCAGCAGCAAATGGGCTTCGCACCGCAGCAAACGGGGTTCCAGCAAGCTTCACCTACTGGGTTCGGATTGCAGCAGCAGACTCCCGCAACAAGCTCGGCAGGGCAGGGTGGCAATCCGTTCGCGCAGTTCGCATCTCAACCCCAGCAGCAGCTACAGCCACTGCAGCCAAGTCATACCGGTGCTGGCTTTGGAGGATATACTCCGCAGCCCCAGTCACAAGGCCCTGCTCAACCTCAGATGAACAACTTTCAGCCCTCATTATCGAGCATTCCTCAGAATGGAGTACCTCCATTTCAACAGCCCATGCAAACGGGATCACCACGGCCTAATAATCCCTTCCGACAATCAATGCTCATCTCTAACAATACTTCGATCCCTACTTCTTCACCCTTCAACTCAAACTCTCAACCCGCTGCAGCTCCGTTAACCCGTCAACCCACGAATCCATTCGCTAAGCATCGCCTTTCTCAGATGCCCCTTGGTGCGGAGATCACACGTCCGTCAACCTCACCCGGAATTCCGCCTCAAGACCAGACCTATCTACAGCCTCTACGGCCGCAGCGAACAGGAAACAATCCCTTCGCGCGGAACACTCCGTCACCGAATCAAAATTTGCAAGTCCCTGCCGCTGCTCCACTCCGGCCCAACCCAACCGGGAGTACGAATCCTTTCCGCCAGAGTGCATTCATTAATCAGCAAACAGGCCAGCCCTGGCAGGTTGGTGTGCCACAAGGGACAATGGGCGGTCTTGAGAACCTTCCAACGGTCCCTGTATTCCCACGACCGGGACAGACAACCTAGCATAATCTTTTCTTCTATTTCTTTCCCTCCTACCTTCTAAGCCGCTGATTTGTACCGTCAGAATTAGTCAAGAACCTAGACCTATCAAGTCTCTGGTCCCATTTTATCTATGTGCGTATGTCCTGGGGACTAGCTTCATTTCTAGCCTACTTTCCTGCTCGTCGGCTGTTGCTTATACACCTCATCTGTTCGTCTTTATGGTGCATTTTCTTTATCCTTACTTCTCTCTGGTACTCGCGAGATGGCGCTCTGCATTCTCCTCACATCGTGTTTTTAGTTAGCCAGCAAACTTCTTTCCCAGCGCAAGGATATCTTTCAGCTTGACTGGATGATAAGAAATGGTGTAGCAGATACAGCATATTGGATTTCGCATGACTACGTCATTCATGGTGGGTTCACTTTGGAATAAGCGCTAGGTCATCGTTTTATTACCTTCCCCCCTTTTCCAGGGAAATAAGGGAATTTACCTGTCACCAATACGTTAATCAAGTTTATTATTTTGCAGAAGTACTTGCTAATGTAGGGGGTTGGGCTCTTGGTCCTCGTGACATACTAGCACATGAAGGTCAGTACGTACACCATAGCTGCCCTAGCTTTACATCAGCCTTTTATAGCAAACGAAGTAGTATCAAGCAATGAGGACTTCTCATGAATCTGTTGGGAAATTACAGGGTTCATGACGGGAGCTCTCCGGCTTTATAATGCCCCATACGTATTCATTGTGACAGATAGTTAACAGGAGGCAAGTTCTAATTGATTCTAGAGAGCTTAGTTATAATGCTCAAAATTTTGAATCCGGGGTAACCCCTTCATTTCTACGCACTGCAGCCCAGAGCCCAAAGGGGTCTTCTGTCTGACGTTGTAGGTGATTTCGATAAGCATGACTTTCATTTGGCGAAGCTTGACCCTCGATGGTGGCTTGTAGGACAAAGAGCATAGCTGCACGAGAGCGGGGAAGATGATTGATATTAGGCCTGCTATGCATAGGTATGATGCATAAGTACCCCATGAAATGTGAGGATATATAGAAAAGAGCATCCGTGTGCAACACTATCGAAGGTCAAATCATTATTATAAAAAAAGGTTACATATGAGAAAGGTGAATAAGCACCCCAACACCGTTGCCTCTCTCAAGCATGAGTTGTCCATCGAGATGTACACGAGAATTACATCACAAAGAGGCTTTGCTGGGGAGTTTGGCCTTTTCTTCCTTCACACTCACTGCATTCAGAAGTGATCACTCGCTGATCAAAGTACCGTCTAAATTTAGGTACTCAAAGTATCCTTTGGAAGCCGAAAACTCCAATCCACAAATTCAAAAAGAATGTTAAATACCTAATAGATCCCTCAGATAGCCGTGGAATAAAGGAGGAACAGTTGGGTCCTTGCAAGGCAGGGAGATCGATGCAGGGTACATATCCTTAAACCATCTCAGGATCGGCTTTCGGGCGCCTGGAATTGGCCCACGGCAAGGGTCCGACGGGATATCTAACGAAGCTGTTTTCCTCTGTCGCAATTCCCGCAACGGCATTATACCACGCTAGAAAAGCTGCAAGAAGCCCAAAAAAGCCCCCAGCCTTAGTCAGTGGCGTGTTAACCTTTCCTGGGGAGGTCTCTTGAAAGTGAGCCACTGCGAGCATGAGGAAAGCGAGGTCCAGTGTTAAGAAGAGCAAGATGAACGCCCAGTTGGTTTTGAACGTAAAAATAAGCATGATTGTGGTGAAGATAAACCACCCCTAGAAGTCAAAGGATCGCTTGCTGTTAGTGCGATGGGCCCGCTTTGAATATCAAAATACGGCAGGCTGAAATGTTACGTACCGCAAGCCAGAAACCAACCGTACTGTTCAGCCCAGACGCGCCGTCCACTTCTGTGACACTCGACATGATCTCGAAACCGCCTGGGGTAAAGATGATCGCATAGGAGATCCAGAAGCCTCCGTATGACGATAAAGCGGTAGCACCAAATGTGTTACCAACAGCCATTTCCCTAGGTATTACGTTGCGCAATCAGATAACTGGGCGACAATACGCGCATCATTGAGGAAGATTAATTGCTTACCACATGCCCGCCAACAATTGAACAAGCCCACCATATCCAAATGCAGATGCGACAACAATATTTGGGGCAGTTGTACCGCGAGCTTGCATGTTGATAAGGCTAAGCACAAAGGTCGTGAGAGCAAAAGCGGACAGACCGAGGGGAGCAGGATTGGCGAATTGGCGCGGAGCTGCGGCCTGGGCTACGCTGGGCTGAAACGAATTGGCGAATGATTTAAGCTGCTGTCTTCTGCCTGCAAATGGGCCGTAGCCGTAGCGAGCGGCTGCTTCGGCTACCTGGCGTTCGTCCCTGGACATGGCATGTGGCTCGTCATCGCTGCTCGTGGGGAGCGAGGACTTGGTGCCCGGGTTGTAGATGACGTTGTCGGCCTCAGCAGACATGTTTCTGAATATCGCTGCGATCGAAGATTAAATAGAGGAATAATAATAATGGAAAAGGTTGGTGCTCTTGTGGGGATCGATTTGTGTGCTGGGGCTAGACACGTGGGAAGTTGTTGCAAAATACAGCAGCCCAAAAGGTGTAGAAATAGTGCTGAGAAGGGAGCTAAGAAATGTGAAAGGACTAAAAAATTGTTTCACAGTGATTTTGTCGGGTGATAGGAAGAAGATGGTGAAATCAGAACAGTGCTCTTTGTATGGAGTTGGGAGGAAGACGCCATACAGTGTCAGTTACTAGATATGAAGCGGGAGATACAGTGAATAAAGAACAAATACCCCGTCAGCGGTTGTCAAGGAAGGAGGTGTATCGTAATAAGAGGAACCAAGAGTTAAGAAGTGACAATCATCTAGCAACAGTTGACTGCATTGACTTCCTTTGATTAACTCACAGTGATTCATTATAGGAGACAACAAATGTCACAGTTCAAGGAGAAGATCAGGGCCTGGTGGAGCGGGAGCGGGATCGACTATAAGTCTAGGCTGGAAGAAGTGAGGAGGAGCTTTGATCTAAACAGGTTCAAGGGCGAAGGTGGGATATAGAGCAAGGAAAAACGGCAAGGGTCAAGGCAAAGGGCATTCCCTCCATTAGATATGGCCTATACATGAGAGGCCACGGCGTCAGCTGCATCCCTATTCAGACTTGGCCATCGATGTGGAGACTGAGCAAAGCACTCGACGCCTGGAAATTGGTGGATCGTTTGAGGACATCCCGGCGAGGCATCTATCCGCGCCAGTACCCGGGCCGATTTGCCTCTTCCGTCCAACAATTGCTTCATGTTTCACGGGCATATTCACTCAGCACCAACAGCAGGATGAGGAGTGTCAGTATGCGAAGGATGTTCAGCGACGATCATGCTTTCCGGAGGTCAGGATTGGCCACGGATCTTCAAGCCTGTAAAAAAGAGGTGACCCTCCATTCTCTCGCGGAGAGAACTGGTCTGCGGGGTTCGGAAAGGGTGGACTGAGTACACACCCTCGCTTGGTCTGCGGGCTTCCCCCAAAGAAAAGCGTAGAGAGGACCGCCTCACTTGCCCGAGAGCAACTGCCCTGGAATGATTCCGCCACGGATGGTTCGGATAGCTCAACGCATTTCGCTAAGCATAGTCTGGTCCACGGCTATTTAAACTAATTCTTTGCTTGCAAGCCCAGCTAACTACGCAGCCGGCCTGATTGGCATCCAAACGAAACATTTCAGCATCCAGTAGGCGGAGTGATTTCGGCGCGTAGAACCAGGGAAGAAAGATCCATGCCCAATACGTGCATTAAATGGTTATGAATGCACCGCCGTATGATATCGGAGGAGAGAAACAGGAGGGTGACACAAAAGCCGTCCAATAAAACGGGCGTTGGTAGTCTGGAGCAACTTTGTCGTTCTCTGTGACGATGCAGGGTATGTTGAACTCTATATCCCGGGAAGGGCATATGTCCATAGTAGCATACTCCACGCTTTTTCCGCAGAGGCGTGGGGATTTTCCCAGTACGCCTCCTGGTCGAGGGTGAAAAGTTCACAAAGAGGGGCCGAGAGATTGTAGCTCGGCCTGGTGCTATAATTTAGCCGCCTAGCAAACCCACCAAGCGCCAAATAACGCCAAGAAATGTTTATGTAACTAAGATGTAATAGTCGGCACTATAGACAGACCCTCAGCCATGGGCGGTGGTGACTTTCATCGGGGGGATCACCGTCGCCTAGGGTCCCTAGCAGGTTTGATCTACGCCGCCAGAAGGAAACTTGGAGGAAATGCGTGTGCTCTGACCTCAGCTGAGGAGCCTGAGCTCAAGATTTGACAATAAAACCGCTTGTCGGAAAGCTGCATATACGATAGCACCGCCCGCCGCAGGGCATGGGGGACCGGAGCGGATGAACAACGTTTTCCAGAAGATCTAAGGCCCACCCGTTGAGAAACATATGTAGATTGTGTTCTTAACTGCCGAAAATTCCTGGCTTGAACCTATGCGATACAAGCAATCGATTATGACCCCGATTCAATCCTATATCTGAATCAGAGTTGTTCCGGTTAAGGCCGGGCACGGAGTCTACTATGTTACGCGAAACCAGTCCGAGAAATCACGGCAAGTACCTCCTGGACTGGTAAGTTTCTGCTTTCCGCGCATTCACTTCCTGAGAGAGTGCTCTCCCGCTTATTTGCTTGGGACCGAGTCGTGTTTGCTCGCATGAATTAGCGGTTGACTGGGGATTGCTCCGGGAGAGCAGACTTTGCTTCCGGGATGCTGCTCAAAACAGCGTTTGCCCATTCTCCTGTTACAGGTTTCCCAACTGCCCGGACGTGCTGGAGGAGAGCAGATTCGGAGTAATGCTGCGAAACAGTGACTTTTTCAGCGGACCCTGTACCCCACGTGGGCCTGATATTATCATACATGCGTATATACACATCGTCGGCCTCCCCTGGTTGACACCCACACACAACGTCGCATCCAGCATTAGCCAGTCGGTCCACGATCTATGGGCACGCATTTGATCAGCTAGATTATGTATGTAGGGGTAGAATGGCACTACCCCTTCGACATCCAGCTCTTGGGAGAACTACCAAGGCCCACCCCACGTCTCGGGATTTGGCCGATTATCCCGGATACGAAGCCAGAGGAAATCAAGCAATATGGAGGCGTCAAGCCGAGTGGAAATACGCCTCTGATTACCATTAAAAGCTGTCTTGGTAATTCTTGTCTCGACTACATCGTAGGTTTGACAAGGTTGCACGGGTGATTGCGCACTTGCGACCTGTTAGCGCTGCAGGAGATATCGTACGTCGTACGCGTTATTGATGCGGAGTGCGGCATCTGGATGAGGTTGCAGCTACACAGCCATCTTGACCATTTAGCGGTAATGATGACCCTAAGCATATTAATCCTTCGTCGCGCATCTTGTTAATACTCCCAGAACCAAGTTCGCTCCGTATGAATTCGGGGATCAACAACAGCATTACTCACGAAATACCACAAATATGGACTTTCTACCACCGGCTTGCGATCCGGGAGCAGGTATCGTTTGTTTGGGCTGGTGGGATGGACCCATGCACCACCCGTCTGCCTCGCTGGTTTATACTTAGGATTGACCATGCCAGGTAATTGTTATGAATACCATCAAGAGACGACTCGATTCATACTTTAACCCTGGATTTCTATCCGTCGGCAGTTAGCTGAGCGAGACGACCTAGCGTAGAAGGACATGTAGCTTAAAGGTGATGGGGTGGTGTATCACACGGCGACGGGCTGGATTTGCTTGAGATGGATCAAGCCGTACTTGAAGAGCAGGATATTCTCATTTAACTTTTCAGTCAAGATTCCTGCGACCGATTTATCGACACGTTAACAGATCGGACCGGGAAAAGGGTTTCTTGAGCCCAAACGAAGTTATTATAATATCTGCTTAGCTCAAGCGGTAAAGGCAAAGCCAATGTCCGTTATCCCGGTGCGACAAAAGCACGGATAGCGCAATTTCGACGTCACACCTTACTACGGGACCTGTTGGATAAAACGGTTGCAATCAAGCTTTGTGTTTCCCTACATCTGCCTGGCCTAACAATTGCTTCGATTTCTCCTGATGCCACGAGTCTGGTGGCAACTGATAGCATAGTCGCTGATGCCCCACCGTGCAACCCCAGGGTAATGGGAGCAACCCGCTGCTAATCCAAGTACTGGAAAACTATTCTCCAGGGCACTCCCTATGGCACCTGTGGATTCTTGTCTAACATTACATACGGTGTACATATCAACAGATCGCTCTATACTCCCAGGGTTGGAGATCAAGCGGGCGAGACTTTCCCGCGTGCTCAAATCGATTAGAAATCGCTGTTTACGCCGTTGAAAAAAAAAGGTGGCTTATTTTTTCCTGACCATTCGCGAGTGAGTTGCCTTGGACAGCCACGTTCCCTGTGCTTTGTCTTTTCTTCCCCTCGAAAGCCGCGTTACTCGTAATCATATAGTTGCTTCTGCGGTGGGACATCGCTTCTTAAAACGTATTTCTTGAAATACCATGGCAACATAGTACGATAATGGTTGATATGTGTCCTTGTCGGAACCGAAAAGACTTGGTCTAGTTCTTCCAAGGACAGGGCCTTTGTCTCCGGTAGGCAGAAATAGCAGAATACCCAGCCGAAGATGTTCCAAGCAGCATACCAACCGAACGCCCCTTGTGGTTTGAAAGATTTCTCTAGGGCTGGCCATGTGAGAGAAATAACGAAGTTAAATCCCCATGTGGTCGCTGTCGCGAATGACATCCCGATGTCGCGAATATACAGAGGCTAGAACATCGACTGACATTCAGCAACTATCTTCCTTTTCTTTCTTTTCTTTTCTTTTCTTTTTTTTAAAAAAAAAAGAAAAAAAAGGGATAAATGGAGGGTCTAACTCACGAATGCTTCAGCCGAATAGGTAAACGGCACTGGCCCTTCGCCAGGCGAATACACGATCATGAACAGGTAAATCCCCGTCGCAACGCAGGCTGTCCGTGTCTTCAAATCTGGGATCCAGAAAGAGAATCCTGTAAATAGTAAGAAAAGTGACATGAGTGGAAACGTTGTCAGAAGTAAGTTCCGGCGGCCGAACGTATCGATTGTATACACTGCAGGCAGTGCAAAAATCCAGTTAGTAATACCACAGCCCAAAGACGTTATCAAAGCCTCGCGTTGCGAGAAACCTGCCGTTCTAAACATCGAAGAGGAATAGTACATGATCGCATTGACGCCACAGAACTGTTTGATGCACAGTTGTATTAGCTGATGAGGTGAAGATATTTTGGTGTTTGAACATACCTGCTGCATGAACATTACAAAGAATGAGGACTGTGCAGCTCGTCTATTGCGAGGAATGCCAAACATCTCCTTCCAAAGACGCTTGCCTTCGCGAAGTTTTTCCTCAATTCTCAGCGAAGCATGGATATAGTACAAATCCCTCGCCGCTTGTAGAGATGAAGGTCGAAGTTTGCAGAGAGCATTGTAGGCGCTCTGATACCGATCCCGCATCATGTACCATCGTGGAGATTCAGGGCATAGATATACCTGAATGCAGACGAAAAAAGGACTGCAGTAACAAGAGGTTAGTGTTTATTATTAACATGGGCTGATAAGCGAAACTTACGGGATCGCTGTGGAAGCTAACATCAGCCTCCAATTAAAACCGGGAATCGATGCGACTTTAACGTCCATGAAGGCGACAGATGCAATGTAGCCCAACATAATTCCAAACGCCGTCCACATCTGCCACATCATGACGAGCGCACCACGAATATTTGCCGGAGAGCATTCTGCCCCATACACAGGTGTAGTCGTGGACTTAGCGCCAACGGCGAAACCAAGCAAAAACCGAGCCAAGAGAAGGTTCCACCAGGTATGGGCTGTAGCCATCCAGAAGGAGCTTGCAAACGAGACAAAACATGAGATGAAAATACATCCACGACGGCCGAAATAGCGGTTGAGAGGCGCCGTTGTCCAGCAGCCGATCAATGCGGAGCAGAGATATGGGGCTCCGTTGAGCAGACCCTGTTGCCAGACATCGGTGACGTTGAATTCATCGAAGTAAAACCTATTAGATGATCTTAGAAAATTGTGACAACTGGATCCCTGGCATTTCGAACGTACTCTTGGGCACCATTAACTGCGGTCTGGTCCATGCCCTGGACAATAGCGGAGCCGGCACAAAGAACTGGAATATGTTAGTTTCCACAAGTCGTTAAGGAGCGGACTCCACGTACTGGTCATGAAATACATCATAAAAGGCTGATTCCATTTGTGCGTTTTCTCCCGACGGAGCAGTTCCTTTTCCGCCTCCGAAAGCTCGTCCAGGAGCTCAAACGATTTCGGATCTTGCGCAATCAGAGCTCCCTTCTTCAAATCGTCAACGACATCCATCAGGCCTTTTTCAAGGGCGAATGTTTCAACATCCCGGAAGAGCTCGTCTTTGGTCATGCCAGATAGGGGGTTTCGAAGTTTGTTATTTATCCCATTTTCTTGTCCTTCTTTCACCCAGCTTCTTACGGTTTCTTCTCTGATGACCTCCTGTTTCCCCGTGGAGACGGAGGGACTCGAGCTGTGGCCATCGTTGGCTACAGGGACTTCTGGGTCGAGTCGTTTCTCTCTCATGGTAGTCCTTCCTCAAGGGCTCGCTTTGGATTACGTTGAGAGGGTAATATATTTATTACCTTCTAGGAGAGATGGAGAGGAAGGAGGAAATGAGCGAGATATATATTTTGGAAGCGGACAGCCGACGATCTCAAAATACCGCCCGAGAATTCTCAAAACAACCAAATCATATCCTCTCCACACAGCCACTTGAATTTGGGCCCACGGTCCTAATTAGCTACAAATTTCTCCACATTTCCCCTCCTCCACAACTTCTACAAAGTATCTGAGGCCGAGAAATATGGGAACCTGATCTGTCGCCGCATAGAAATATGTTCAGCTCCGATGCCGGCTCCATTCAGAGCTGACCTTTCATCTCTGCTTTGAACATAGGCATTGTTCGATTGCGTCATGACGAGAAGGGATACGGAGTACTCCATGCTTGAAAGAATATCATAGAGGTTGAGAACCTTGGCTATTCTCCACCAAGAGATGCCTCCTTACTTCGAAAAAGATGATGAGAAAATCATTTCAATGTTCCGTGCTTACCATCGGGGATGTAGGAACTGCGGGGCAACGAGAGATTTTGCTCTCCTGGCGTGAATTAATTGTGCAGCGTAACCTCTGTCGTCTGCCCCTTGCGTGGTTTGTTGTGGTGGCAAGATACGTTCTTGAAAATGCCAAGGCGGCGGAGTGGAACCCGCGGCGTTCTCCACCAGCGCCCACAGGCAGAAGGCCCGCTGGGCTGGCAGTAGCGCCAAGATTGATCTGCGCCTGCGGAATTCGCCAAGTGCTGCTGGTCTGGTCAAAGAAGCGTCGGGGAGCGAGGATGTGGCGGGTTGGAGGGTCGAATGACGCTTGGTATGCAGGCCCTGAGTTCACGGTTCACATGAAGATTGAAGCCTTCGGAATTTTCTATTATTGGCGCGGCCTCCTCTGTACATTGGCGAAGTATTCGTTTGGTAGCCAAGGAAATACTCCGTAGAGTTACGTGAAAATCGATTTATGAATTTCGCGTAAAAGCTAGGACTTATTTCGAGGCTAAACATGGCATGGAACTGGCCGACGTCATTGGGTTATTGTCGGTTCTGTTGTAATAAAGCCGCAGTCTTCTCTAATTGGTTATTAAATTGCTTGACCTGGTTCAAAAGGCCTCCTCGCGAGTCCGATGCTGTGGAGCTAACGTCTTGAGCAACTGTTCGGAGGAGGAATTCCAGACCAGCAAATGGATTGGCGTCCGTGGCATCTTTCCGTTTATGGCTTCGGTCAAGAGCCAGTTGGAGATCGTGAATAGAGTTGTTGAGTGAGTCTTGTACCTAGCATGAGATCAGCTTCAAAGAAACTCTCACATTCATTATGTAGATCCAGTGTAGGACGTACCATTCTTTCACTTTCATCGTCCGCATACTTATTCCGTACGTTGTCAATTCGAAGAGCAATCTCCTCTCTTTCCTTCCGTAAGCTCAATAGCCGGTGCCTTAAATTAAGCACCTCCTTCTTATCCCTTTTTAGTCGCGCAGCAAGAGCGAGATTGCTTTCAAGAAGCTCGCTAATCCCGAACAAAGAGTTTTCCAACTCCGAGCGAAAATCTTGCACAACTTTGCACTTACGTTTCCATTCATTAGCACGGGTAGTATTTAATTCCCGGTCAATATTTGTTTGGAGAGTAGAGATGGTCTTTTCCAGTGTTTCTTGACAAATTTGACTTAGGACGTCAGCAGCGTTAATGCCTCTACGGTTTAGATATTTGTGATCCCTGGTCGCGTTGTGGGAGCCCGAATGTTCATCATCGGAGACATTGGACTTATCAGAAAGCATGTCCTCGAGGGCAGAGATGTTGCAGATACGATGAACGGTAACGGGGATGGTACTTTTACTTGAAGTACCTTCGTCTGGAAAAGCTTCTCCCGACGATTTCGACGATCCGCGACTCCGCCTTTTGCGACCTCGTCTGGGTTTGACCGCCCGCGTGTTTTCTGGTTGTCCAGGCTGCGTAGACTCCGGCCATTCTTTATGGTGTTGGAGAGGTTCTTTGTCACTTGCGGGCGCCCGGGTCGCATTTTTCCTTCTTTTCCTCCTTCGCTCAGGTTGTTCTGCTTTTTGGGGAGATTCTATTGGATGGTATGCTTGCTCTCCCTCTGGAGCTCGCCAACGGGTAGCTTCGTCCACTTCATACCCATGGTCTCTCTCCCCTTCCTCGTTTTGTAGTTCCAAATTTCTTGGGAAATCATTCTCCCTTTCCTCTTGTAAGTCTAGCCTGTGTACTTCAGGATTCACACTCGTGTGCCTTTCCTTGGGAGGAGATGAGCGCCGTACGGTAGGACTTCGGGATTTATCTTGGTCAAAAGGTTGTTCTGCATTATTCAAGGCCTCATTGGGCTCCAGATTTTTGCTTGTTTTTTTGGAACTTCCAGTGTTGACTTGGGAACGCCGTTTTTGATGATTCTTCGGAGGTAATCGAACAGATTTTCTCTTTTTCCGCCTACGTTGCGCGACAGGTGTACGCTGAGCTTGGATATCTTCATTGGTTTCTTGGTAATTGTTGTCCCGATTGTTATTGTCCGGACTGACGGTGTTTGGTAACGGGGTGTGTCCAGGTGGGGCATTCGAGGGCAACGGTGTTTGGTGTTGTGGTGGTTCATTAGGCTGTAAAGTAGCGTCTGGTGTGGAATGAATAAGTTCTGAAGAAGCTGTGGGTAGGGCTTGCTGACCTGCTATCAGCTCTTCGATTGTCTCTGTGATAGCGGCGATCCTACGCGATTCGCTATGCGGACTGCTTGTATGCAAGGCTGCATCTGCTGTAATAGATTGGAAAAGAGCTGAAAGAAGTATATTAGGGAAAAGGCACCGATAAGGTCAATATAGACAAGCTTACTTATGCGCCGCCGTTTTGGGCTTCTTTGATCCGGCTGGTCGTCTTGTGGGATATCGTACACCGACGCTGGTGAGGGTATTACTCCTCTAGAACTCCCGGATGGCTTTGTGCTCGGCGTACTTCTTGTCTGCCTAGCTGAGCTCCGCCGTGATCCTGGAGTGGAAGGCCGGGAAAGTTTCTTGTTTGGGGTTGAACTTTTGGGCGGAAATATCTTAGGAGATTGCGGATTGGTCACTGCACGCTGCGACACTTGCGTTTCCGACTTCATTAACGGCTGAGGGGGACCAAAAGAGAAGCCAAAATCCACATCCTTGACTTTACGGTTTCTGGGAAAGGAAGTCAGCTCATATGGACTCGTTTAAGGATAATGTCTGCACGTATTGAGAGGGACGTACGCAGCACCCCGCTGGCGCATCAGCTGACGCTCCGCTCGATCTAAACTACGAGTTAGCATGTGTACACAGCTAGAATGGACTCCCTGAGCTTACTTGCGGCAATTGACATCGTGATGGTTGCGACGATGGCTTTCGTTGACGCGCCGGACGCGTGCTCCTTGAAGCTCTTTTGGGATGATAACATGCGAGCAGCGAGGAGAACGTCAGTGGTCTTGGCAAAACTCAATTGAGTAAATCCCATCAATCCATTGTCCGTCGGCGGAGCCCAAAGGACAGAGCAGCTGCTTGCTTCGTGTTGTTACGCATATCAAAACAATATTAATCTGGAGCAGTCGAGTCGCTAACCAAGCCCGCTGGCTTTTGTGTATTTTTAAGACAATTTCACGTCTTTCCCTGGCCTTGTCGCAATGGGGTGGTTCTGGGGCAACTCCTCTGGCGATGATGATCCTACGAAGAAATTAGACCCCGGGCTCCGAGAATACTTGGAGAAAGAGACTCCATCAAGATATATACCGACTACGGATGTGCCATCCTCCGAGCCTCCCTCGAGAGAGACGCCGACCTCTCCGGACAATGCCACTTCTGAGAGCAAGGCGACTGTTCCCTCCGCTTCCCTATTCCCTGACGGCCGATACGCCCACCTCTGGAAAACATATCAGCCCATGAGTGAGCTTGAGGGACCAGAGGTATCACCAGCTGAGAAGGTCGTTGATCAATTCAAGAAGAGAAAAGACGTTTTAAACCGAGCGGCGTTAGAAAATTGCGCAGAGGAACACATTGCGCTTACAAATTGCTTTAAAGATGGAGACGTACAGCAAAGGATGTGGGCTAGGATGACTATGTGCTCAAAACAGAACAAAGAATTCTCAAGATGTTATACGATGCAAGCGGTGAGCCGTTCCCGGAAGCTGGCGACATTTTGTTTTGGGACGAGGGTTCGTTTCAGATAGCTAATGAACTATTTGTAGAAATTCCTACAGGCTCTCGGCTACGGTTCGAATTTTGACTGGGATCGAGAAAACGAGGAGAAGATTCAAATGCATGCAGACAAGCTTTACCACCAGATGTTGGACTACGAGGCTCGAGTGGAAGAAGCAAAGGCTGCTGGTGTCGAGCCCCCTCCTCTGAGGTCCTTGTTCAATCCAGATGCGGCACCAATACCCGCGGAATCTGGGGATAACACGAACGAGCCCGCTATGGTCCCTGGTGGACTCCAGATACCGGCTGGCATGAAGCCCTCAAAGCCTCTAAAAGACCTGACTCCTCACGAGCGAGAGTTAGAGGTTATGGCGCTCAAACAACAAGTTGTACAGCGGGATCGATATGTGAAGGAGGTTTCACCATTGGTCAAGGCTGACGAGGAGGCGAAAGCGAAGCGACGTGCCAAGTTTACCAGCTGGTTCGGCGAAACTATCGGGAGATGGCTGGCATAAAATCGCGAGAAGACCTGCGTTGACTTAAGTGCTGGTCGTCTGCAATATATGATATTTTCTCGGCGAGAAAGAATGAAGAAAGACTCTTCTAACCATGACTGGGTAAACGAAAGCCAGTATCGGCCACGGTACGGAGTACACCTAAGCTAATATATAGCGGAAATCACGACTCCAAAGGTGCAAGGCATCTGCATCTAGGCACATATAAATATGTCAGCTATTTTCTTTCAGCGACAGGAATAGGAGCGCTCCTGGCCACGTTTATCGTGGGGTCTGTGGTGCATATCATAGTCAAGCAAAAGTGCCATTGGGTGTTTTTGGAGGATATATGGCTGGGTTGTGGTTATTTGACCATATGTACCTTAAAATGTAAAATATAACTGTAAAAATATTCTAATATCCTATCCCTGCACTCCGTATTAATGGGTGTTTTTGGGGCCATTGGTAGTTGAGTGTCTTGGGAACTGCCGCGAGGATAGTTACGGTGAGGGCGGGAAATGACACGCTTTTATTTTATGGACTTTGGCACCAATATCAAATTGAATGGTCTCTTATTTCCGAATTTGACCTGGCCATTGACCTGGTTCAGGGATGGCTTATCTGCAAAAGTGAATGTTGGTTTCAACTATAGTCGTGGGCGGGAACAAAATCGTCACCAGCAGTTGTGTTGACTTTTGTCACAACCTCTCTCCATTAATCGCGGCCTTGTCAACAGGCATGCCATCACTTCAACAGCATCAGAACTACCTTTATTTCTTACCTTCTCCTCTGTTAATATCCTTTCAAAATTGAAAATTTTAATTTCTTTGGGCCTGTAAGCATTCTGATTAATTTGATGCCTCAATTCGACTCTCTGGGCTGAACGGCTCCGGACCAATGGACTGAGCACGATTACTGAACGCGACAAAAGATAAAAGATTGCACTTGGACAAAGAGTTCATCGCAACAGGGCCCGGACCAGCATATTCAGCCACAATATTAACACCAAATCCTGTCCTAGGCCTCACAGGCCATAAGCCTTGCCGAGCCATCCACGATGAAGGCGACCCCTCTTCTTATCGCCTGGCATGACGGCAATGCCCCCATTTACTCTGTGAATTTTGATCCTAACGGCAAAGGGAGACTGGCTACAGCTGGAAAGTATGTATTTACCTTGTCAGTTATTCCCTGAACACAATGATGCTAATTGCCTGTAGTGATAACAATGTTCGCGTATGTTACCCCTTTGAACTCCCTCCTTTCCTATCCCCACACGGGTTACCTGACTTGAGAGATAGCTTTGGAGGGTTGAAGCTACCGGAGAGGAACGAAGAATCACATACCTTAGCACGCTGATAAAGCACACGCAAGCTGTGAACGTCGTGCGGTTCTGCCCTAAAGGTGTGTTGAGCTGACCCTTGGCTGCGTGAACCGGAAGGCTACTAAAGATAAACAAGGCGAGATGCTGGCATCCGCTGGAGATGATGGAAACGTACTCCTTTGGGTGCCGTCGGAGCTGCAGACTCATTCACGGCTAGGCGAAGACCGATCCGACGATAAAGAAACGTGGCGAGTGAAGCATATGTGCAGGTCCTCTGGGGCTGAAATCTATGACCTGGCATGGTCCCCGGATGGTGTCTTCATAATTACCGGAAGTATGGATAATGTTGCGCGAATTTACAACGCACAAACTGGTATGCTATATCGATTGTTTTTCTCGATTTCTCACTGACCTTATGTGATTAGGCCAAATGGTGCGCCAGATAGCAGAACACTCGCACTACGTGCAAGGAGTCGCTTGGGATCCGCTAAACGAATACGTTGCTACGCAATCCTCTGACCGTTCAGTTCATATTTACACTTTGAAAACAAAGGATGGCCAGTTCACCTTGACTTCGCATGGAAAGTTTCTCAAAATGGACTTGCCAGCGAGACGCATATCATCGAACAGTCCCGCTCCACCGGATATTGGACTTAGAGCTCAGTCGACAACCAGCAATTCTGTCGCGGTATCTTCGCCAGGGCCATCGGCACCTGGTACTCCTATGACAGGCTTACTGCCAATGGATCCACCCCCTGTATCGCTTAGTCGTCGCTCTTCCTTCGGTTCCTCCCCTTCTATCCGAAGATCCGCTTCGCCTGCTCCTTCGATGCCATTGCCGGCTGTCAAGCCGCTTGATATGCCCTCTCCGAGTTTTCTAGGTGGACTTGGAGTGAAGAATGCTAGTCTTTATGCCAACGAAACGTTCACTTCCTTCTTTCGGCGGCTAACATTTGCACCTGATGGAAGTTTACTATTTACACCTGCAGGGCAATATAAACTCCCCAATTACGGTGACCCACACAAAACAACGGAAGACATTATTAATACCGTGTATATCTACACACGTGCTGGATTTAATAAACCACCAATAGCCCACCTCCCAGGGCACAAAAAGCCGTCAGTCGCTGTGAAGTGTTCACCGGTCTTCTACACTCTTCGACAAGGCTTAAAGCCTACTCGCCATATTACCCTTGATACCTCGTCCGTTGATGATTCTTTTGTAGCGCTTCCCGAATCTGTGATATCCTCCAATCTGCCAGGCCCCACTACTACATCGATGGACCCTCCACCATTAACTACGTCGGCTTCGACGACGAGTGATGCCTCTCGTCCGTTACCTTCACCGAAAAATCAAGAATCGGAGACAGCTACGGCTAATCAGCCTCCCCCTGCGTTTTCACTACCATATAGGATAGTGTATGCAGTAGCCACTCAAGACGCGGTTCTAGTTTACGATACGCAACAGCAAACGCCGTTGTGCGTCGTGAGCAACCTGCACTTTGCGACGTTCACCGATCTGACATGGTGGGTCTTTTTCGACTAAGATTTATTCAGATCTATCTATATTGACATTTATATAGGTCACAGGATGGACTCACTTTGATAATGAGTTCTTCCGATGGGTTCTGCTCGACTCTTGCATTCTCACCCGGAGAATTAGGACAGACTTATTCATTTGATAAACAACACCAACAAGCCTCTCAAAATGCCCCATCAACAACGACTACTCCTTTACCGACCCCAACGCTAGTAACCTCACCTGAAGTAGTAAAATCTACGCCAGCCTTACCCGGACCTGCGAGTCCTGCCAGCTCTGTAGCAACCATTTCAGCAGCAACGAGCTCAAGCATGCCACCTTCAAGCTCGGGGATTATCAACAATCCGACCCCAACCCTAAGCTCTGTTCCTTTGGTCACAGCTACAAATTCTGCTCCGCCTCCTCTCTCGTTTACAACACCTCCTCAGACTCCTATGACTGGCGTTTCGCACAGCGCAAGGAGCTCTATCAGCGGTAGCGTTCTTGGCAAAAGAGACCTTGGCGCTATCAGCGAGTCGGAGAAGGATGATTCAAAAGAAACCGATAAAGAGCTTTCTGCTGCAGCAGATGAAAACGACGATGCTGCATCCCGACCTCCGAAAAGGAAGCGAATTGCCCCTACTCTGATCTCTGCAGGAGAAGGCCCGTCGAAGGCTACAGACGCAGGTAGCGACAAACCTGCCGAATGACATACTTGATAAATGCCCCCCTTTTTAAGTGGGAAAGAAATGTTTACATCAAATTCTTGTTGGTACCTACAGGATAGGAAAATCACATGTATTATTTTTTTCTAGGTTATTGCCGTGCTTTCTTCTGTGGCCTGCCCTGTGTGGATAACTGACATTTGCTTTCGAAATTCTGGACTTTCTACCGCAAACGACAGTACAAGACATCGCTTCTACAGCTTATTTATTGACATGAGCTCTGGGGAAGTTTCTTTTTTTCTGGTCCTGACTTTGTTTCTTTCATTCCCCGGACTGACCCGTGTCGGGCAATCTTTACCCTTTGGCCAAGCATATCGGACTTCAACAGGGCTTTTTATTGTTTATTTTTTCTTCTCTACAGCTCCAGATTTTCTCCCTATTTATTATTTGCAAATCCGTATTGCCCCCATTTGGTCCCTCGGACGCTACATAAGTGTACGCAGTACTGTACTATCTTCCAATTTCATTTTAACCTGGAATATCGTGAATCTAAACTAGCTGGACTATGAGAACCTTCTATACTGCGAAGGGCGTGTAGGAGATATCAAGACAGCTCATCAATATGTTTTTATTTCATTTCATTCAGAAGCTATTATTTCATTTCACCGATGAGTTCTTTACAGAGTGTGTTGTACCTTCGGCACCTCGTCAATCCCAGTGGGTTTACAGAACAAAATGGCTAAAAAAAAAGGAGGGGGGGGGGTGGGGGGGGGGGGGGGGAAGAAAAAGAAAAAAATAGAATGAAAGAAAAGATAAATTTTTTTTTCTTTAAAAGAAAAAAAACGCAAAAGCAGGGGGACCTAATTTACCAGATCTGCGTAACTGCAGCAGCGCATGGTTCACATCCTTGGATCCCCTGACTTTTTGCATATCTTGTTGATTTCCTGGTTTTCTGTCCGGATGGGAAGGGGATGGACGAGAGAGGACGTACAAGAAAGAGGGACAAAGTGTGCACAACCGTCAACTTAAACTAGGTCGGCTTTGGGGGGAAGATGTTTTCAAGGCAAACCAGTTAACAAAACCAATTCCGTTCCAGAGTATGTAGGTCAAAGGCAGAATGAGGTTATGGACAGAATATAGGCATAAATAAGCACATCGCTGCTCAAGATAGATATTTAATACCGGAAAGACATCAAAAGAGCATGGAGTGCAAAAAAAGGGGGACGGGACAGGAAAGATAAAAATTCAACACCTGTAAACAAACAAAAAATGGGACTCGGCGTATGGACGTTTAAGGGTCTGTCAGCAAGGTAGTTGCTCCGTAAAAGAAAAGAAACGCAATCCTCATTAAAAAAGCAAAACACATATTGGTCATGGAGGTTATGTCACACAAGAAAGCAGACTAAAAATCCTCCGTAATCGGGGGGTGGCGGCGTAAGAGAGCGGGAATTCAGCGTCCACTGTGGGGAACAAGCAACAGTACAAACTGCATGCACCGCGCACACATACGTATGTGCTATCAGAGCTGCATAGACCTGGTGCGATGCCAGTCCAAGCGTCGACATGTCACTCAGGTACTCGGTTGTGCTCAAAAGCGAGGCTCGAAAGTCGGTGCAATACGCTCAATCCAGAAAGGGAGATAGAAGAACAGGCGTGGCGCTTGCTAACGCGAAGGCATGCGGAGGCGTGTCGGAAACTGCGGTCAGACGTGTGTCTATCTACTTGAGATCAATGGAGGACAGGGCAATCGAATCCTGTGAACTTAAAAAGTGATGCTGGGCAATAAAGTGGCGACCATCCCGGAGCGGCGTATGAATCTACGCGTCGGACAGGGCGTATGCAACCAAAACAAAACCCTGAAGTCGGGCTTCAATAGCCGCCTGATGCTCCCAGAAAGAGGGCAATTTGCGGGCATAATGGCCCACACCCGGACAACAGTCAACACTGGCCGCTCAAGTGGCATGTCTGACGGTAGTACGGCAAATTTAAATCGGTAGCGGCGTAAATTCGAAGGCAATGCGCGACATCCCATGACCAGATCGGCCTAGAGTCTCACTAGATAACTAGAGTGTCGTGGGAAACAGCGTAACCAGGCTTAATAACTCTGAGCGGACACAAGAGCAGGCTAAAAGATACGTAAGCATATCTCCAAACACTACTGATGATCGACAGGGTAGAGAGCATAGCAAGGATAGGTAAAAAAGTAGTGAGAGGTCGTGACAGGTGATACATATCGAACTTACCGGACTGTTCAGAATACTATTGCGCTTATTTCTGCCTTTCTTGATATGACTCTTCAGAGCGCTCGAATCAAGTGGCTTTAGTAGCTCGAAGCTGCACAGTAATTCCGCAGAAACCGACATAATTGCACCCCAGTTATCAAATTCGCCGCAGTACTGTGAAGAAGCCGTTAGAAACCATTGAAACATCGTCAAATTGAAGGATGTACTTACGTTTGGGGCGGAAAACACGGTAACCAAAATTCGGTCGTTGAAAAACTCATATCCATCTTCGACCACCATGTGTGCTCGACACACAAGATCAAAGTCGTGACGTTGCAAGAACTCCATGATGACCTTTTTACCAAAGCAGTAACTCACTCCTCTTTCGTTGGGTTCCCAGTCTTCCTCCATGTCTGCTGGGTCACTCCATAAGAGGTCGTTGAGCAATCCGTAGTCGGGAACATCTGTAGGTCGAGCAATACCACGGATATCGTCCATGTGCGACAAACTCGGGGACAAGCCTCCATGAACGCAGAAGATCTTGCCAGCGACAATAGAGGCGATCGGAAGACAATTAAAAGTGTCGACGAACGTTTTCCATATCTTGATGTTGCACCTGCGTTTGCACTCGTCGTAGAACCCATAGACACGAGTGACGTTGGCGCATTCATGGTTGCCACGCAACAGGAAAAAATTTTCGGGGTACTTCAATTTGTAGCATAACAAAAGAAGAATTGTCTCCAAGCTTTGCTTGCCACGGTCGACGTAATCGCCCAAGAAGAGGTAGTTGGAAGCCGGCGGGAACCCGCACATTTCAAAGAGCCTAATCAGGTCTGTGTACTGGCCGTGGACATCGCCAACGATTTTGACTGGCGCTGAGAGTTCAACCAAGGCAGGTTGCGAAAGAAGGACTTCACGTACGGCGGCACAAATCGCGATGATTTCTGCATTCTTCAAGCACACAGCTTTAGTGACTTTGGCGGAATATCCCGCGTCCAAGAGCCGAGTAATCATATCATCGACGTCGATAGACTTAAGTGACCCGATTCCCATGCCGGGCGAACCATTCATGCCAATGCTCTCTGAGGGCGAGGATCCATTGAGGTCACGCAGAACGGGATTGATCATATTATCTCTCTTTATAAGGATCGATTCACCCGGTTTCTGGGACACAATCGACTGTCCTGCGCCAGTTGGAGGCGCCTCAGAGACGTGGTCCACCTCTCCTGATCTCTGCGCCGCATTGACATTTTCGTGGCCGCGACCTAGGGAAGCTGACTGTCGCGGTGACGGCGGAAGCCTCGGCACGTCAAGGGAGGCGGACTCATCCTCCTCTTGAGAAACTGTGGACTTGTCTGTAACGACAGAAGCATCCGAGGTAGTTCTGTAGGGGAGCGCTACAGGTCCTCCATCTGGCTTATCCCCGGGGCCAATGTCTCCGCGCGTCACATTTCCATTGGAACCTTTGGGGCTGTCGAACTTGTCGCTTTTGCTTGACCCGGGTATCTTGGACCGGATGGAGCCGCGAATGGAGCGAGTCGAGTCCCTTGTGTCGGATCGAGAGAAGGATGGGTAAGACTGGAGGGACTCGGGTCCACCCTTGTCTGAAGATATCCTTGAACCACCGCTCCCTTTGGACTGCTGCTGGCCCATGATACACGATCACCCAGCGGGCGGGGTAAGGTACTCGGGGCGAGGCAGAACCGTGGAGCGATCGATCGAGGAAATTAACGAGATTTAGTAAAAAAGCAGAGGGCAGAGGAGGGCCAATCCCAAGTTAGGGTGGCTCGAACAGGGTGCAGATGTAGCAGAGGAAACTGGCTTCCACAACAAAGGTCGTTCGCGCCAATTTCTTCGACGATTTGGTGACGGACACAATCAGGCGACGATCGTAGTTATCGTGGGGAAAGGACACGGGAGGGGCACGGTGATCGCGGCGAAATGGCTCCAGGTTCGGTGATTTCTGCTGCTCGTCTGAGCGCAGGAATGCAGGAAGAAGAAGAAGAAGAAGAAGTGGGAGGAGAGGGAGAGGGAGAGGAACCAGGGGTGCTGCGGAGGGAAGCGGCTGGGGAGGAGAAAGATTGGGATGTTTTTCCTGAGGGAAACCTCTCACATGGGGTGGCCGAGAAGCTACTGCTGCGCCGAGCAGGCTGTGGCAAAAGTCGGCGGTGATGGTAGGGAGTGCGGTGCGTGAGCAGATGAAGTGTTCTGGGGGACGATGCTTCCAGAGCAGAGCAGCTGGTTCCAAAAGCTAGAGAGAGATGGGAGTGAGTGGCGTCGGAGTTGTCATGGGCCACAAAAAAGCACAGACGCAGGTACGGGACAGACCTGTTGGGCGCTGTAGATTGGGTTCCGTGAGTGTGCTTTTTCAGCAAGCAGGAGGAGGAGGAGGAGAAGGAGAAGGAGAAGAAGAAGATGTGATAACTAGCTGTAAGGCGGTGGTGGCCGTGTGGATGTGTACCTTGCAGAGAAACAGCAGTTGATGGGGAGGAAGCGGGAATTGCAGATGGACGAATAGCTGGCCGGCAACGGAGTAGCAGTGGATGAGACAAACCAGAGACAAGCAGCAGAATCGGACGGCAGACCAAGCAGGGCTGGGTTGTGTCTAGACTTTCGGCAGCGCACACTAAGCAAACTAAGCGACTCGTGCTGGAGAAAATGCCCACGAAACCGCCCGCTCTAAAAAAAGCACCGGGGCAAACCACGCCCCGACAAGGTGGGTTCGGTGCTGGAGTGATGGGACGGGAGTGTACAGAGTATGCAGCTGTCAGTGACCAGCCAGCACAAGTCAACTACACAGCTTTGTTATATATAACTAGTTAAAAATATATATATATATATATATTTAAAATAGGAATCCCCCCAAGACAATGAACTAGTTATCTATCATCTGCTGCAAAGGAACACACTGCGGCCAATGGAACAGCATCACCGCCTACATGGTTCCCACCCATCCAGAAGGTTAACTATCCTAGTGGCACAACCATGGTCAAGCCTTTGCACCCTCTGACAAAGCGTGTCCTGTATGCTGGACCGACACACACATGCACGCCGAGCTCTCAGAGTCTTGACAGCAGCAGTCTCAGACAGGCGCACCGTGGCGCCGCCGCCCTGACTGGTCTACCCAAGCGGGACTGACAAAACATGTCGCTTCAAATGACAGTCAGTTGACCCGATGACCCTGCACTCGAAAACGGATTATCCCATCAGTCGTGCTTCGAGAGGGGGGCCATGGATACATACGTGGTCTCAAGCACGTCCCCTTCGGGTTTCAATGTATCTGATGCCTCGCTTTTGATTCCGTATGGTCCGGACCCGTGGTAATCGCGACCAATCGCGAGGCAATGTCCACACGGCGGAAGCTTAACGAGCTCTTGGATCGGGCATCTCGCGTTGTCGATCAGCTAACTTGTTAAAAATCGCCTCTTCCGCCTTTCAACATCCCATCGAGAGGTCCCGGCAGGGCTGGGGATTGGATCTCCGAGAACTGGCCGACCCAACCCGAGAAAACCGCAGCTTTAATGGATCTGGGCTTCGGCGCACGAGGCTGGATGTTGTGGCTTCGTTCTTTGCATTCACGACGCTACAGGCGCCCGAACCTCGCTGCTGACATTCGGATTGGAAAGATACATTACACTACATAGTGATCCGACAGTTCATGTCGCGCAGCTCTAAAGAACCAGCATAGAGGCTGCCTGTCGTTTGGCGCTTCTCAATGTAGGGAGGTCATGACTAGGTATAGCTAAGCTATTATAACTATATGGTGCGGAGCAGGATCTTCCAACGAAACACCGGCTTCGCTCAGCCACCTCCTCCAAAAGGACGGCTTCTGGGGGTTACAAAAATCATGCTAATGGACTACTGTGTGATATGAATAGGAATACGCAACAAGAGCTTTTAACATGAGCTGGGGGTTATGCCCCGAACGCCACGGTCAACACAAATAGCTCTGTGTTCCTCAGTAAACTCCTATCGGCGCATGAGCAATCACCAAGTAAGTAACGGGGGGCCTGATGCAGCTCGGAGAACGTGGCCGCTTGGTTTCCTATTCACCTCCGTACTTAGGATTAACGCCAAGGGGTCACAGATAGGAGAGCTTTGCTGCTCTGTTTGGCTGTTCCCGTGCGCCCTTGTGACTCCTCTCTATTTTGGGCTGCGTTTTCTTTTCTTTTGCTACTTCCATCGGATGGCATTATCGTGCCAGCTTCTATGAATGCCGTCCCTCGGAAGATTCGGAACCCAATGATCGCTTTCCATTTGCCCAGCGCCGCAGTAGTCTATTTCGAAGGGTCGTCGACTTCGATTTTCGTGATGTGCTGCCCAGGCACCACAACCAGACCAATAAAGCGGCTTGTCATGTTTGCCTTGACCACTTCCTGATTCTCGGAACCCTGCTGGGCAATCGCTTCATTCAAAGCAACGGGAGTTGGGAAGCGATATTCATAGGTGTTTGAGAGAATGATATTCCGATCCTACATACCCACGGGTGGAATCTCTATGTGAGAAAAGTCGCGGGGAAGGGGAAAGAAGGAAGGAAAGAATCGAGGGGCACAACAAAAGTCAACTCACATTGTCGGTGCATTTGAAGAGGCCTACAAAGAGGCGTGTGTCCGAGGTGTGCAATCGGACTGTCCTGTTGAGCAATGACTCGAGATACGACACTGCCTGGGGATTGTCCATGGCTGCATGCGACGGTCTGTGCTGTTCTGTCAACTCGCTCTCGCTGCCCGTTCCGCGGCACCAAAGCCCTCTGCTTATGTCATCTTAACTTGCCATAGTGAGGTCATGTGACTAGACTTAACCTGACTCGGGTTAGCTGCCCTCGATCCACTCTCGACGCCCTCGCCAGCCTTAACACGACGAACGACTGGGCGGTCATTTTGCTGCGTTGGGCACGCGTGATCGTGATGGCGATGGGGGAGGCATGGATCCATGATCCTATATCCAGCCTCTGTACGAGAACCCGAAACAAAGTGGCTCCCTGAACGGAGCCGTTCCTTTATTTCTTTGGGAATACCAGGTGCTGTTGATAGCCATCATGTCTCCTGAGACATTCCATACGTTATACACTTCGAGACGATCTACTGCGTACTCCGTACATGATTGTTGCGCACATCAGCACCAGCAATGCTTTTACCCCGCTCACTCCATCCATCATTTGAAACACAACCTCGACCTTCAATAACACAACGAGGACCACAAGCACAATGCTGGGTCCTGACTGTTGGCGGATAGTAACCTATCCTATGACCTAGTTCTTTGCCTCTACCCCCTCTTGCCGTTTCTTTCTCTCTCCTCCTCCATTTTTACCCTTCCTCTTCATCTTTCCATCCACCGGTTCTCATCGAGTTACTGATACTCATCGCTTTACTGACTCTCACAAATCCGATAATTCTCATCGGTATACGTTGCCCATCTAACTTGATACCCTTTCGCACCAGACAAAGCTATCGTTGAGACAAGAGCGATGGCACAGGAACTTGACTTCAGCTCGCCGCCAAACCGCCATTCTTGGACCGACGGCCAGCGAATAGTGCTTTGTTTACTCCGAAAGTACTACAAAAACAAATGGGATGATCTAGCAAGAATATTCAACAGAGTTTTTGCAAGAGAGTTGAGCTTAAGTGGATACTTTCAAGGAATGCCTACAAGGGTAATCCACTCGCAGTACCACACAATGCAGCACAAGAAATTCCCAGTCTGGACGAAGATCAACTCTTCCTCGTCCTTGGCAAAGAGGGAATACGATCTCCTTTTCTTGATTATCACTACGGCTCGCGGTCTAGGAGTGACACTTATCAGAAATAACCAGCACACGCCAGTGTTCATCCAACCTTCTGGACATTCCTTCGTTGAACCAACTGAAAATCCTGTACAGAGACTTGAGATATCTAAGAGGCAAGAACAGGAGCCACCAGCAGATTTTTCAACATTTTCACCAGCTTCCGACGGAGTCATTCCCGAGGATGATAGGAGCAGTTCTTCAACCACTCCCAATTCACCCAACTCCACGTTAAGAATCCCTCAACCTGACAGCATGTCCCCAGTGCAGAACGGAAAGCCCTATCTTGCTTTTCGATATTGGAGCTCAAAAAGCTGTGGCATGAACACTTGCTCGTACTTTGTTGCGGGTATATGGGCAAATCGACCGAACCACATGTCACAGCCAAATTTCGATCCACTTGTTATCGAGTCCCTGGCCCGGTCACATCTTACAAGATGCAAAGTCAAAACACCATTTATCTCTGTGTTTGACACCCCACTAGCCCCGCTTCAGCGCGCACTTCAGGAAGATGACGGGATGATAACAGTTTTTGATCTCTCCTCCTTTGATAATACGCGGATCTTCTCCGCCGTGGATATCCTTAAGCATGAACCCTTGATCCTAGAGAGCCATGAACGCCCATACAGTGGATACAGCGAATTCCTTATCTGGGGTGATATATCCTCAGAGCATATCGTTGGATCCGTCAGAGCTAAAGATCTCCTGGATCTTTCTAGTCGCTATGAGGAGCTTTTGCAAATATCAACCATCAAATCATTCCGTTTGAATGGAAAACCTTTGAAAAGACGATTGATTGCTCAGAAAACACCAGCAAATAGATCCACAGGATATCTTTTAGGACGACTTCTCTGCAAAGCTAAATTTCCTCAAAAATATGCAAGTGAGCTGGCCATCAAGATCTCAAAAAGCTGGAGATTCCAAATGGAAGGAGATGATGGGTTTCAATTGCTCTCCAAAGGGGTCCAGGCAGGGTACGATTCAATACGAAAATCAAGTAACCGACATAGCCAGTGGAGCCATAAGCATTGCTCGCAAGCCTCTAGTACAGATGACGGCTGGGAGTTTGTAGAACCCTCTGACAATGCAGACTGGGTTGATGAAGATTGCAGTCTGAGCCCCCAAGAGCAAATCGATGTATTCGCCAAGAGCCGAAATCATATTGCAAATGTTATGGGATACTAACCTGGGTCCTGCGTGTCATGTTTACTTGATCTGGTTACATTTAATATGTTTCTTTTGACAAGGCCAATGGAAGTATGGATGTGACAGATGCTGGTTTATTTCTTCCATCTTTTACTCGTTTGAGAGTTGATATATGCAAGTTCTCATTGTGGATATTGGTGGTGTTTGAATCTATGTTGCAGAATGGAAAACCGCATTAGCGGTTCTGAATGGTTGTGAGGTGATGGAGAGTTTATTTGACTTAACAGCTGATATTACAGAGCTGCCTTGCTATTTTAGTGCAATTCATGCGTTATGCATATGTCCGCGTCCACTTGTTGAAAGTGTCATTTGCGTTTGATGCCCTCTCTGTGGAGAAGAGGAATGATGGGATAGGAATCGGTTGTCGAGAAGAGGTTTAACGGAGCTAATAACTGCGCTTTTAAATCCGAGTCTGAAACGGAATGAAAAATTGAATTTCCCTATGGCATTGGCAGCTAAAAACTCCATCATAATGTTGGAATGGTAAAAATCCTTTTAAAAAGACAAATGCGAAACCCCCGCCGGGTGACACAGGGTTACCGTGAGCCTTTTACTGCTTAGTCGTGCCAAAGTTGAATAGCAAGCTTAGACAGCTAGTTGTTCTTTCCATATTCTTTGTCTCTATTCGAGGAACCTCTGATATGGGGCAACGGCCGTCCGCGCTCGCGTTCATTGATATACCTCCACCCATCATTATCTCACAAACTCCCCTCCAACCGTAAGCCATTTAGAATTTGCTGAATCCCTTGACGGCCTTGCCGGTGCGGGGAAGGACGCGGAGGACGTTAAATCGGACCTGTAAAGCAAGACGTAGAGGTTAGATATCGCAACCGCCAAAAGTCAATACTCTCGACTCCCATGATTCGCATATTCGCTCCGTAAATATGAAAGCGCCACAATTCTCCGGGGTCGGTACAAAACAAAAGAGGTCCACATACAGTCTTGCTCAAAGGTCTGCACTGTCCAACGGTGACCTGGTCACCTTCTTCAACACGGAATGCGGGAGAAACGTGAGCGGCAAGGTTCTTGTGTCTCTTCTCATAACGGTTGTACTTGGGAATGTAGTGAAGGTATTCCCGGCGGATGATGACGGTACGGTGCATCTTGGTGGAGACAACGGTGCCGGTCAGGATACGGCCACGGATGGAGACGAGACCAGTGAATGGGCACTTCTTGTCTGTAAAAGAGCAGAATACTATGTTAGTCCCATCCGATATAGAAACCAAATTTAAGGAGGATATTGAATCCCGGGGAAGTAGTTCGGCATGTCAAAAAAAGGCGCAGGATAACATTTCCGCATCGCAAAAACACCACAGCAATACCGGCATCTCCGCTATCGCGCGGGTCCAGATATTATCACGGGAATCGCAGAAAACGGCCGAACATCTCGCTGCAAAACTGAAGAAAACTGCACTGAAGCGAGCGAAAAGGTCCATCCATACCGATGTAGCTTCCCTCAATGGCGGTCTTGGGGGTCTTGAATCCGAGACCGACATCCTTATACCATCTTCGGCCACCCTTTCCGACCTTCTTGCTCTTGGACTTAACCTTCGAGTTGAGGAAGATATGGGGCTGCTTCTGGAAAGCGCGCTCGGACTGAACGGTCAACTCTGTCGCCATGGTTGCGGTGTATCGGCTTCCAACACTGACTCGGGAGGGTTTCTCGAGCTGGCGGGTTGGGGGAGGGTCGTCTGGAGGAGGTGGTTCAGTCGCGGGTTCGTCGTCGGGGGTTTTTCTTCCAGATTTTGTGTGGTTGTTCAGCGCCGATTCAATGTGGGAAGGCCGCCAACCGCGCTAGTCCGAATCCGGTGCTAGTGGTTCTCGGCTAGGGCTTTTCGGTTTGTTTACAGCGCTAGGCCGGAAACGGAAACCAGTGACGCGCCTCTCCGTCTGGCGGCATCTGAGCAGGTCGACGACGACGGTCTCACCGCTGAACAGTCGTGCTTGACGGTCAGTTGCTTTTTCGGGTTGGAGCTTGGAGCATCGGACATTTTGGATATTTTGGATTTGGCTTGTTAACACCCTTGCAAAGTGCTTTTCTGAGTTGCTTTCACCGCTGTTTTCTATGAAGGACAGACGCGCAGATGGCATCCAGAGTTGATTCCCGCCCAAGATCACGGCGTTCCATTGCGCCAATACCCCAGACATCCATTCGAAATGGCAGTGATAAGGAGAACTTGGCTACCGACGCGAATGCAGCAAAGCAGCAAAGAACCGGATTACAAACAAAGGCCGCGAAAGATAAAAAGCTTCGGAGCAAGAGTCTGGGCCCGGGAGGATTGGATGCATTGAAAGATGGGCATGGAAACCGCCGCAAGGTAAGAATGTGTAGACGAAGGGAATTTACTCGGATTGCTCACAATTCTTATCTCTGTAGTCTACTATACCGTTTCCTCTTAAGTCGATCCTTAAACCCGCAATTCCAGTGTCCCCCATACAAAGTATTCCGTCATTTGAAGAGACCCGAAAGAGAACGCCTGGGCGGAGTCCACAGAGGTTGAGTAGTGCTAGGGGTAATAATGCACCTCTTATTGATTTCTCGACTCCTCCGCCGGTACCTGTGGTTGGGACGGAAAGCTTGCCGAACCCGTTCGACACGTTTAATCCAACTCCCGCTCGTAATAGCGGACAGGTACTCCAATCAGAACAAGAACGGGAAGCTGCAAAAAGAGAGCGAGAGGCGAGGGAAAGACATGAACATAAACAGGCTATACTTGAACAGCGCGCTGCAAGAAGGAAATCTATGGGTACGTGACCAATGTCCATGGCGCGCATATCTATCGCCGGTCGCATTTTATTAACTAGCGGTTATGAAGCCAATCGTCGGGTCTCCTTTGCCCCGGAAGCTACCTTACATACATGGAATGTTGTTGAGCTGATGGATGATTCAACGACCTCGTCGGCCTCGACAAATTCTACCAGACGGGCTTCTTCGCTCACGATGGAACATCAAGCTAACCCGTCGGAGTCTCCCCGTTCGCTTGAGGAAGAGAACGATGATCTCGAACAGTTTTCGCCGGCGAAGCAGCAAGATTTTCTCCAACGGAGCCTCAGGCGCAATTCTGGAACTCCCCATGGCGAGGTTGACAATGTTGACAATGATGATGCTTTTTCTTCTAGCCCATTTAGCGGTGATTCAGGGGTAGAGGGTGACGACACTGGCATCGCATCTTTAGCGCCGGAGAACGAGGATAGTCTCTCAGATTCATACATGGATAACGAAAATACCGCAATGAGTCTCGACAATGCGACCGGCCGTTCGATGATGTCAGCTCATTCCGATGGCTCCACTACTGACTCAAGTGCTCGGCTTGATCGGTCGCTGCGCCTGGCAGCACAAATCGCTGGTAACAATGGCATTGACCGCGATGACAACGAAGATTTCTCTATGGAATATGCCAACCATGAAATAGCCGGTGCTTTTAAGCCATGGATCAGGAAAGGGACAAATCATTCAGAGTTTGACGCTGAAGATCTGAGTTCCCGTCTCGATCAGGAAAATGTAAACCCGTTTCGACGGTCGTCAAATTATCCACAGCATCATCGTGACGTAGAAGAAGAAGAAGAAGATGATGATGATGATGATGCCAATTACGATGAGACTGGTATGGATTTAACGAAACCCATTGGAGGAATTCTATCGAAACCAGACCAACAATCGCCCGTTGGTTACGAGTCAAATATGGATCGACGTACATCCGGGGCCACAACACACTTGGGTGAGCAGACCATGGAATTTACGAACGTCGTTGGCGGCATTGATAGGAATTTGTCACCATCGCGAGAGCTTTCCGGAGATAGCGACATTGCAGAGGATGAAGAGATGACTATGGAATTTACCTCTGTATTCGGCGGGGTGCTCAAAAAGCACATTGCTCAACAAGAAAATTCGACCATCAACAAGGAGCAACCTCCCCAAACAGAGGAGCAGGGAGATCAGAGTATCTATCCAGATTTGACTGAGATGGATATGGAAATGACTGGAGCAGTCGGTGGTATCCTTCCTCCTATTGAAGAGCAGACTGAGCCCCTTGAAGATGACACAATCGGAATGGAAATGACAAACGCAGTTGGGAAGATTCTACCATCACTTCGACCTTCAAAGCAGGGAGATGATTCCGACCCTGAACCTGCCAGCTCACCCTTCCAAGAGAATATCGTTCCCTCTCCTGCGAAACCTTCAACTCCATTGAGAATCACATCTGTGCCTTTCCAAGACGAAAGCCCCAGCCTGTCACATATTCGCCTCAAGCCAAAGAGGTCAAGAAGCTCGGGAGCTCGTTCGTCTACAACGCCTACTAAACCAATTTCCCGTCAAACAACGCCCGTAAAACGGATGCCCTCTCCTTCCAAGTCGAAATCTCCACGTGTGATAAGATCAACGACACCGGCTACACCCACCACTACCCCTCCACCGCGCAAAGGCCATTTATCTCCCAAAAAGGTATCTAAACCTGACACGCAGCAGCCTACATTAAAGCCGGGATCTATTTTCCAGCATGGTCAATCCACTCCTAAGATTGTTCTACAGGCTCGCAGGAGGTCGCCATCTGGCCTGGGTATTGACAAAGAAGGACTTGGTTCTCCTCGTGTGGCAGATATTCTCGATAGAAGGCGATCGATCGGGGAAGATGCCCAAACGTTCACTCCAACGATCAAACCATCACGCGGTGTTCGGTTCAATGACCCACGCAAGCTCGAAGAAGAGGCCAAGAAGGAGCAACAACACGAAGGCCAGCAAAACACGGCGGTAACGGCCAGTCCGCGGATAGATCGTGATACCGGTCTCAATATTAGGGAAATGATATCTAGCTTAACGCCAAAAAAGAACAAGCTTAAAGGCCGCAAAAGTTTACACGTTGGTGCTGCGAAAGGTCTCCTGGGGAAACGGCCAATCGAACTCGATATGGAAGACGATGATGAGGACAATGCCACAAAGCGACTTAGGGCTAGAGAATCTAGTCCAGTCAAGAATATTAAGCTGCCAGCACCTCCTTCCAAGGCGGAAACGGTTGGAAAGGTATCTCGCCTCTCCTTACGAAACTCGACAGAATCACCGGCAAAAGCCAATGGTACTACTCCAAAGAGACAACCTCATTGCAACGTTGCAGATCTCAGCGTTCGAGGAAATGTCAATAGTCAGGATTTGACTCTTGACCGAGAGGCTGTTGATATGCATGCCAATTCACAATCGACAGAGTTCAAACCTCTTCAACTCTCGGAGTTTCTCAAAATGACAAATATTCACTTTATGGAACTCAACACAACGAAGCGTCGTCATACTATTGCTCCCGATGCAGAAAAGAGGCGTATCACTGAAGTCGATGGACAGGTAACAGAAAGTATAAGCCTAGAAGACTGTGTTGCTGCTGGGTGTTGCACCATTCCAATGCTTGAGCTCTATCAACACGTGAGTTTCCTGATCACTTGATGTGCTGTATCTTACTGACTCATTCTTCTCAGTCGTGTCGCGAACTCAAGTCCTACATTTCTGAAGGTCGACAGATCATTCGATCTATTGAAGCCGAGACTTACGCTGAGAATCCCCCTCTGTTTCAGGAATATATCACCGCTCCACCAGATATCCGCCTGTTGATGGACAACCAATTTCGCAATGTGAAAGCTCACGCTCGACTCCTAAGTAAATCTATGTGGTATGAATGGCGTATGAAGCTTCTTGAGGGTTTGAAACAAGGGCTAGATCATCACGTCGAGGAAATGAATCGAGACTCAGAGGCATTGTCGAAAAAGGAGAAATTGTTGGATGATGTCGTGCCCGAGCTAGTTAATAAACACGCTAGGCTCCAGGTTGATGCCCATAATCTTGAAAAAGCAGTAGAAGAAATGAAAAACTGCGATCAAGAAGAGCTGAAACAAGCAAGGGAAAGGCTGAGGATGATCGATCTCGAAATTGCTCAGCGAAAGGAGGATCTAAACAAAGCACAATCGGACTTAGAAAAGACCTCGAATATTGTTAACAAAGGAACTGAGCAAAAGGCGAAGCTGCTGAAGGACATCCAGGAGGCTGAAAGCATCCTAGAGGAATGTCGTGGGTGGAGCGTAAATGAGGTGGATAGCCTCAAAGGTAAGGAGATTGCAACGTCGTCGGTTACTGAAAACCGCTAACGTGTTCGACAGCTGTCGTTCGGAATTTGGAGAAAAGTTCTGGCTGGACGATTATATCGGTTAGCTCAGGCTCCGGCACGAAATACGGCCCCGCTCTGTCTATGCGATATAGTAACGAGCTTAGACTTGATTTCCATCCAGCAGCGTTTACTTCCCAACAGTCCAAGGATCTGGCCATGACGCTAAGTTATGCGCCGGAGGCAACTAGAGGATCGATCACAAATGGCCCTAATCCAACTCCTGAGATTGCGCTGATGCTCCACGCCCTCCGCACGCGTATATCTCATCTGACGCAATCCGTTTCTCCTAAAGCCTTCCTTTCTGACATCTCGCAAACGTGGAACACAATTTCCTCCCTTCGAAACGAAATCCACATGCTTGAATATTGCGGTGTCACGAAACTAAAAACCGTCGAAGCCAACCCTGGAGAGCCGGCGTTGCTGAAAGTTCGATGTATCCTCCTAGGTTTCAGAACCGAAATAAGGCGGAAGAAACGGTCGGCATCTATGCCTATAGTCCCAGCCGGGAATAGATCCAAGGCTAGGATCGACGTTGATTTTACTATCAAACCACGTCCCACGGCCGTGAAGGGTGCGGACGCAGAACCAAGTATTGATGTCGACGTAGACATTGATGTATATGGGAGCAAAGTGTATGGATTCTCGAATGAAGATGCTTCGGACATGTCTGAGGAACAAATTGGTGAATTCCTTATGCAGCTGATACAACGCCAGGATGGGAGAGCGAAGCAATTCGGAAGAGGACTTTGGAGAGATGCTGTGAAGGAATTGGAAGGGAAGGTGTTTTCTTAAGCCTAGCGTTCCCTGGCTTTTATGCGCGTTTATGGGAAGAGGCGTTGACTCGTGTGGGTATATAGAAACATGTGGATGGGTTATGCAATTGGCGCTGATGATCTGGTTGGGGGTGGGATAGCTACGATTGACTGCCTAGGAATTGTTAACTCCGTCTCGTTGCTATGGTAATTTTTCCTTCTTTATGGACAAGTGTTTTGGGACAATTGTAGATCATGATCATGTTGATTGAACAGGTGAGGAGGCAGAAATAAAGCTGGGTAATAATATTATGTCTATCTTACAAGAGCAAGAAAGAGAATGATGCCTTGCAGCTTGAAAAGGGAGCCACTTGCCAGGAATTAATCCCTAGAAAAGAAAGATTCAACATTGAAATGAATGAGCAACAAGCAAGGAGTCGACACAGATGGCGCTTTTTTTTCGCTTTCATGCAACCAATATGTGCTCTGCTTGATACTCCATAAACCCGATGCCACTCCACAGAAGACAAGACATTCATTCCTTTCCCCCAAATACCTATCCGTGATGATAATAATCATTTTCTGTGATATCCTCGCGCCATCTTTTACCCGCATAAACTGAAAATCATGGATAGAATTTCAAAAATTAATGATGAATGAAAAAGAAACAAAAGAAAAAAAAATTATGCAGCGTCATGATAGTGGTAATATCATATTATGATATGAGGAAGGTTGAAAAAAGCACGGCGAACGAAAAGGCGAAGACAATCAAGGGCCGTATACACACACGTGTGGCATGGTCCGGACGGCTCAGTAAAGATCAGCTTCGACAAGCAGCATCATTAAGAGGTTCCATGCACAACCTAGGACGCAAAACTGTTGCAATGTGTGAGTGCTTTGAGGGGTATTTGAGGCCGGTAGTCAAGGAAAGTTGCGGAGACAGACGCGTTGTCGGGGGACTCTTGACGGTTTTACTATCGCCATTTTCATTCTGCAATCCTTGCTTCCGCTCGACCATCAATTTCAGCGGTACCGTTTGCCTCCTCCTCAAACTCCTCTTCGCCGTGAGACTGAGTATACCCGGGATGCTCCTGCGCCGGTATCCAAGAGTCTCTATCGCCCCTCATCGGCTGATCTTGACCTGCTAGATCAACCCCTTCTCGACTTCGAGCAATGTTGCTTCGACGCTTCTGGGACAGCGTCTGCGATCGGGTGGACAGCTTGGAGGTGACAGCTGCACTCGAGGAAACCCAGTTGGTCAATGCTTCTTCACAATCCTGAATAATTGCCTTGCTAGCTTCATAACCATCATAGGCAGGCCGTGTCTCGCCGGGCGTGACAGGAGTATCGTCGATTAATTCGAGAAGGTGTTTTCCATAACCAGCAATAATAGCCAGCTTCTCAGAATGTTCCCGAAGAGAATCGAATTGGTAGGCGAAGGCGGACTTGACCTTCTCGCGGGTGATGTTTGAAAGCTGTGCTTCAGCGACGAGGGATTCTGCTTCTGCTCTGACCAATTCCTGCTCCAAGACTACCAGACGGGGAGAATTAGGATCCTTATATTTTAGCTGTGCGATCTGGTCGGTAATCTTTTGCTTTCCTAAGGAACCATCTATGTCAGCGGCATATTTATGAAAATATCGAGGAGTCGCGTACTGTCTCTGCTCGGCTGAACTGATGCCTCGATATTGCGAATGCTCTTGATGGTGACGCGGTATTGGTCATATCGGTCAACGAACTGGTCTTCTAGCTCGCCAATTTCATATATCAAGACCCCCAGTTTATCCGTTACATCGGAAACGTCGTCGTCGCAACCTTCGCCCCAGATTGACAGTTGTTGCTTGGAGGGTAATTAGTCTTGAGCTACCATGACCGAGGAAAACGCCGTTTTATACGCACCGCCACTTCCATCCGCTCTCTACCAACAAGTTCCAAGCTCCTCATTACGTTTTTCTCCATTTTGACAAGCTGAGAGAGCTTTTTGGCGAGATCGGGCCCGAAGGCTCCGGCTGCAGATTTTCGGAAGGCATGGCCTGTAAACATAAAAGGTACATTAGCATATCGCTACTATATACACACGCCGTAAACTTGTGCTGGGTCCAAGTAGCAAAAGAAAGCATAGATTCAAGCGAGCCAGGCCCGGGTAAACCCGAGAAGGAGTTTGGGGATAGCCCGCGTTGAAGACACAATCGCATCAGACGAAAATTGACAACACAGGCGATTGATAAAAGCTGGGTATATCAGTTCTCACCTAGGCTTCCACCTCCAAAGATCCTGCTAGTCTTTGTCGACGAAATTGGAGGAGGGGGGTTTTCGATCTGGGAAGCTGTAGGCGCCCTCGTATGGCGCATGGAATACGTCCGATGCATGATGTAAAATATAACTGCAAAGCTAAATCCGAGAAGAGAAAATTAAATGGAGATGGACGGATCAAAAAGGAATACGGGCCAGAGGCCGCACTATGACGGTGGGTTTTGGGTGTTTGTGCAGCAGTGTCGAGTGCGGGTGGTCTGCGAAGTCTGGGGAGAGAGGAGGGGAAGCGCAAATCGAACGGCGCTATGTCAGAGACTGATGGTGCGAGCCGCAAGCTCCAGCGGGCGAGCAAGATAGATCAGATAGCTAAATACTCTGTCCGGCAGTGGATGACGAAGCGCGTAGAGAGAGTTGATGCGGGCGTCGTTGGCTGGTTGGGAGGAGACGAAGGACGGCGACAACTCAATTCCAGCAAGCTTTGTGGTGATGTCAGTCAACGACCATCCACCCCGCCCGGCTGTTGCTTCCGCGCGACTGGCAAAGCTAACCAACCGCCCAGCGAGAACTCAGCCGGCCATCTGAACGGCTCGCTCGCGCTGGATGCAGCGATTTTCAGCCCTCCGCCGTTCAGTGCCAGCTCAAGCGCCCAAACAGATACGTGCCTTAATTAATCGCCTGCAGCCCCCGGCACATCACACACTGCATTTGCGCCTTAACAGCGAGCAGCCATCCACGCTGAGCAGTTCGCCGAATAACGCCCAGCAAAGCAGTACTGTAGATGCTAAGCTTACCCCAAGATCCACTTGAGGGCGGCCACGATGCTTCTACGTCATAGATCTCCGGCTGAGCCAATTGTAGCTATCTGGCCTACCAGCTCTCACGTTTTGATTGTCAGGAACCAGGTTAACGCCTGAGCTCTTCGAACCCGGCAATGCAGCTGCCATGCACCGTTGGACCTCAATTTGACTTGGACATTTTTACTGGATCTTGGTAAACTTGCTATATACCGGTCTGTTCGTGCCAAAAAAAAAGGACGAACGAACCAATAATGACCATGTTCGACTCTATAAACACTCCCTCAAACCAGGCTTATCTCTCGCGCCAGCTCGTGGCCTAACCATATCCCGGAAACGCCTCGTGTCACATAACTCAAAATCCAAAATATTCGTCAGTCATTCAGTTATTTTTCTCCTTTTCTGGCCCTTTCTCTGGACCTTGTTGGGCTCGTCCTCCAGCGCAACCGGAGTTCGACCCTTCCGTTGCCTCTTTCTTGCTGCCTGTGCCATGGAACGAGCCTCCGCCTCTCCGGTTTGGGCTTCGGCGGGAGTAGCTGACTCTTCGCCAGGATTACCGATTTGCTGCTTGGCTGCAGCCTCGTGCCTCAACCTCGTAAATGCCTTCTCCATGCGACTCTGTCCACCTGCCCGGCGTCGTGGAGCAAAGGCACCGGCTCCTTGAGGCCCATCGAAAAATTGAGTAATGTTGGCCTGAGTGCCCTCCAATTCCCTTCGATTCACATCCCGGATAACTGGGACGAGGACTTCGTCAGTCCTTTCAGAGGACCACCCAACGGTAGACATCAGAAACTGACGAAGAGCCTCTAAATCCGGGACTCCCCACTGGAACGCTGAAGGATCCGGGTCTACTTCGGGTTCCAAGTAAGCGATGTCGACACGTTTATCCGGGAACGCCGGCGGTAGAAACAGTTTCGCGGCATTCTTCTTGAATTTTTTCCGGAATTTAGAATGAGTGTCATCTGATATTGTAACGCCCATTTGAACCTTAGACCACCAGTCTCTGAACTCTTCAAGACCAGGGAATTCCGTAAGTATTTCCAGCGCCGTGACCGGACCAATTCCAGGGATACCTTCCGTGTAGTCGCTCCCCAGGAGGTGTGCGAAGCTAATAAGCTTCTTGCGATCGAGGGAGTACTCCTTCTCCAGGTCGCTAGCAAGGTAGCATTCCACAAATTTTGCTTGATTAAACATGTTTTTATATATCCTTGTACCTCCAAATAGGAATATATCACTATCGTCAGTCACAATGCCATCAACGAGGCCCAAGGATACCAGTTCTGCACATTGGGCTTCTGCTTCCATTGGAGCGGTGACATAAGGGAGTCCAAACAACTTAAGAAGCTGCTGGCATTCAGCAACCATGATCTGCGATACTTCGTCCGCATCCCGCCTGTCCTTTTTCTGCTGAGCACGTAGCTGCTTTAATTCGCGTTCGTAGTCATGGGCGTTTTCAGCTTGACTCTTGAAATTTAATGTAGAAGCGAATCTTGCATGCTCTTCCGTCTCGGCGGCAAGTTGATGCATTAATTCAACATCTTCGGGATCGGAATATTCTTCATTTTCAAAATCCATCTCAGGGATATCTTCTGATACCTCGAGGGGGATTATTGAATTCTGACCAAGGTCAGCGTTGGCTGGCACATCGGGTGGTTTTGTAACCCCAGGAACGTTTACATCTTCGAATTCCGGGGTTGGTGACTTCTCCTCGGTAGCTTGAGCGATACCTGTATCATTTGGTGCTGATGCATGTGATGTGAGCTCTGTTTGCACAGTTGCCGGCGCTATGCCCTCAACATCCATTTGCTTGTCCGGTATGACTGAAAAAGGCGGCGGCTTTTTGACCTTGTTATTGGAGATAGCTTCACATTCAGGGGCCAATTCAGGGCCAATTGGCCTAGGTTTAGGGGACGCTTCCATCTCGTCCTTATCCAAATCAATTGTTTCCACAATCTCTCGATTGCCCAAGATTCTTGGATACTCAGCAGCTTGTCGATACTGATTCTCGCCGGAATATTGATCGTCCATCTCCTGCCTGATAAATTCCTGCTTGGTGGTATTTCCTGCAAACCAAGGCGGTAAAGACTGGGGTTTTGCTGTCTTTTTAGTTTCCGGCAGCCGCTCAAAGCCACCGGCTGTCTCATCAACTGGGTCTAGCTGGGACGACCCAGTTTTAGTGATCCTAGTAACCTTAAATGGCTTAAACGGAAGTGGCCCGCCAAAAGGTCGGTCCAGGGGCTGGACAGTGGAGCTGTGTTTGGTGGATTTCGACTTAGCTATGGCAGCAAATAGATCCACATCGTCACCATCTGCATCAGGTAGGTTCGCAGTCTCAGGGGCCGGGACCTCGGGTTGAGATTCCACCAACTTTCCTTTGGGTAGAGCGTCCATAACAGTGTCATCTTCAGATACATCTTCGTCCTTGGGTACTTCCAGCGACATCTGAATTGCACGACGGAGATTCTCAGCATCATCATCATCCTCAAACAGCTGATCGACTGCTGCAGCAGAAGCGCGTGGCAGATTAGGAACGAACAGGTCATCATTGTCATCAACTCCAGTATTTGCCGGACTCTGAGGGGCAAACCCTGCTGCTTGTCGACGAGAGTCGTAAAGTTGCTGCCTTTTCCGCGCGATCTCCAATTCATTTTGACGTAAAGATTCATCAAAAATACCCCGCTCAAAGATCGGAAGATCGGGCACGGAATTGAGCTCAGGAGGAGGAACATCTTCAAATTCAACGTCTTCATCCGAATCATCTTGGACTTCCGGTATAAATTGCTTGTCATCCTCATCAAGATCAATCGGTTTGTTCTGGTGCTCGCCCTCTCGGTTTCCCAGAACCCCCAGAGCCCATCCACCTTCAACCCCAGGATCTTTAACGAGAATGTATTCTTTATTCTTCTCGCCGGCGATCCGTGAACTTGATCCGTATATGGGATCATCGCCATTCATCCCGTTAATGTGCATTAGCCTCTGAGTCAAATCATTACGTTCCTTAACGCGCTCGATTTGGAATCTTGAGAAGGCCATGCGGTCCGGAAACATGGTATCTAATTGTTCTTTTGAATAGCCCATTCTTAGCCTGCTCCTTAACCTCGCGGCATTTAGAATATTATAACGATCGCTTGCGGGCAAACTTAGGAAAAAGGGGCTATCGAAATCAATGTTGGAGAAGTCGTAAAGATTTATGTTTTCTCCAGAGTGAAACTGCCGCGCATACTCTTCTAGTTCTTCATGGGACATGATTCTGGGGTCGTTTGGAGCGCCCATTTCCTCGAGAGAAATGTCTAATTCCGGGAGGTGGTACGCATCTTTCTTGCGAAATTGGCGGTTTTTCTGCCTCTCCTTTGGAGTCATAAGAGCTTCTTCTACATACACCAAGTTTTCTGGTAAAGGAATTTCTTCTTCGTCCTCACGAGAGTGTTGCTGTTTTCTTTTGAGTTCTTCCTCCTCGGCCTTTCTTTGCAACTGCACAGCCAGCAGCTTGGTAGCAGTTTTTGCAGCATCTTCTCTCCGTCCTTCTCTTCGTTTCTTTCTAGAAGCTATTGTTTGACGCTTCAAAGCCGGAGCGCCGCCATCGAACACAAAAACGGGTTTGATCCCAAAGTAGAGAAGTTTGCATATTCGTCTGAAAAACCCGACAACATGGGCATTTCTAAGGGCATTGCCCTCTTTATCGCGTACCGCCTTTAGGAACTGATATATCCATATGGACGCATCAACTGCGAGCCGCTTCTTGTTCAGGGTTTCGAGTTTGATGGGGCGGGCGCACGGTTTAACCACAGTCCACAGGCCAGTGACACCCATGGCTCAAATGCAAAGATGGGTGGACTGCGCCGAAGAGGGAGGCAGGGAGTGAAAACATCCCACTTTTTGGACCCGGCAGAAGGTTGCTGCTACTCCATAGAGGAGCGGAAGTGTGACTGGTGCCTTGACGAAACGTCGGCCGTTCACGGCTTCGATAAGTTTGGAACGCCACGCCCGGGCGAAACACGAGATCACGTGCTACAATTTAACTTCTTTCGGAATAGTTAACTAGTAAGTTATAGACTAGTTGTGCTGATTAATCTATCTCTAAAAATGATTTCTGCAGGGACAGCAAGCGGAGGGACAAACGTATACGGAATTCACCAGTCTCCTTCAACCCCGGGGCATATCGAAAGGGTCACTTCGATGTCATGCGTATTAGAGGTCCGTCAATCGAATTAGTTCCGAAGATGCTTGGAAAATGAGCAGCGGAGCTAACGATATGGTAGAACCTGGATGCTTGCCTGCCAATAACGGCGATTCAAGTACTCAACATACCCGGCTATGAGCTCACTTTGAGTGGCCATGGCCCATATGTCATTATCACCAATGGTGCTACCGATCAGGTTCTAGAGCGATGTTACGTCTTTCAAAGAAACAATGTACATGGCATCCAAATCCTGGATTGCCCGGTGACAAACCCAGAATGCAAATCTAGAGTCCTTGTATGGGGAGGACAGTCTCTCCGGCTGCTTCAAATTTGTATAAAGGAGCCCCGAACTGAAGGGGCTATTTTGCTTAGCACCCTTAGCTCGGAGTATGTTTGCCCCGACTGGATACTGGATGCCAGCTTCTACAGCCCTCCCGGAGGTACTCCTAAATTGCCATCAGCTTATATAGGATGTTTGATCACCGCGCACAATGTGGTGCTCGGTCTTGAGCTGAATCTTGATGTGACATCCTCCGAAGTCAGTTTTCACTTGCATGAAATTGCACCAGGCCTGAAGCCAATCTTATACTCCGCTGATATTGCCTGGACTTCACCAAGCGATATTCTGGTTGCCGCAGGCACAGTATTCGGGGAAATTATTGTCTGGACATGCCGTCTAGAGCACGATGCCCGCAACTCTTTGTTTTCGAACTTTTCTATATTCGTACACCGCTTCTTTACAGGTCATGAGGGCTCAATTTTTGGAGTCAACATTTCAGAAGAAGTTCATATCGGGAATGACACTTCAAGGCGACGATTTCTTGCAAGTTGTAGTGATGATAGAACGATCCGAATCTGGGATATATCCGCTTGCTGTTCTCCCACGCTCCGCAACCCTGGTGGTCTGTCAAAGGATAGTCTCCCGCGCTCAACTGGATTTGGAGCCGCCCCCGAGGATACATTGAAATTGGACCAACAAGAATGCGTAGCGAAGACGATGTGCCATGCATCACGGATATGGGGCGTTTATTTCCTAGACATTTCCTTTGTTGACGGCCAGCTGGTCTTCAATGTCTTATCACGTGGGGAGGATGCAACCTGTCAAGTATGGAGCCTCAACCTCAAGCAGGATGTCTCCCAGGAAGACCGCCAGATATCTGCCGGGAACACCAAAATGGATCATGTCTCGACTCATGCATATCATACGGGCAAAAATATCTGGTCCACGGCCATTTTCAAAGACGTCAATGCATTTAATGTTTATTCCGGTGGAGCTGATGGTAACCTGGTCTCATTTACGCTTGATCGGAATGCCGATACTTTACGTATCTTAGGAGAGATTGCCTCCGACTATTCGGCTGATGAGGTAGTGAATGGTTTGGGCCTCAAAGATGAGGCTGTTACTGGAAAAGGTAAAAAAGAAGGCAGGATTGCATGCTATTCTTTTGTCTCTGATGAAAGTTTTATCGCTGTCACAACTCGAGGGAAAGCGCTTCTTGGTCGAGTTTCACCTGGAAGCCTGGAAGCAGCAAAATTGCCATCGACCCCACTGGTATCTTGGAGCATGATAACGACTCTCGAAGGTGGGGAGCCACAATACCTTGCCGGCGGGAGCCCTCGAAAAGGCATGGGAATAATTGGAGCACCTAGTGGTGCGATATGGCTGTATGATCACTCGAGGAATGCCGTTGATAAAATAGCCCAAACTGGATCAAAATTATCGGGAATCTTCGTGGTCGACGGGCCTCCTGACAGTTCTTGCTCCCCGGGTTTTACCTGTGTCTCCTTCGTGACCGCGTTCGTGCACAGTCCAAAGGCAGTCTTTTTTACCGCTCGAGGCCGCCCTGATCCTGAACTGCTATTTGAAACAGTCTTGAACCTGCCGCCTAACTTCCTAATCACTGCTGCTTCATTCATGCAAACCACGTCCTGGTTAGTATTAGGCTCGAGGCATGGGGGCATTGCTATATATGCACTGGATATGGCTTCCAGCGCGGGTCAAATCGACCCACTTTTCTATTCTGCCCATCTTCATGCCAACGATGCGATTACCTCTATTATCAGTCTGAGGTCATACAGTGCTGGACAAGGGGCAGCGAATTACATCGTCACCACTGGAAGGGATGGTTATTATCAGCTTCATTTAATTAAATCCCCGAATGGACGTACTCAGTCTGTTACGGTTCGAACGATCCATAAAGCGTGTCCGCCCTTTGGGCCAAATATCGAGGGTGCAGCGCTTGATCCTAAAACGAATGATCTAATTCTGTATGGATTCAAGGGAGTTTACTTCATTGTATGGAACGAATCGACCCAGACAGAGCTCATGGCTGCAGAATGTGGGGGGTGTCATCGGGTGTGGACATATCATTCCAATGACGAGGGACGGCGGGTACTAATATGGACCAAGGCGTCGCGCCTTCATCTGTTTTCGAGTCAAGGCCCATCGCACCGTGTACTAAGGGCCGGTGGGCACGGAAGAGAAATCAAATCGGCATGTCTATCAAGTCTACTCTCAAACGACGGACAGACAAGAAGCCAAATTCTTGCTACGGGCGCTGAAGACACGACTATTCGCCTTTTCCTCCCGGAAGCAAGCGGCTCGACTCAATCCGGCGATATATTTAGGTGTCAAATGACCTTGAAGAAACACACAGCGGGCATTCAGCATATTCAATGGTCGCCATGTGGGGAGCTGCTTTTCAGCAGTTCAGGGTGCGAAGAGCTATATGTCTGGAGAATATCGTCGATTCCGGGGTTCGGAATTGGGGCAATGTTCATGGGAGAATGTCCCAAGAGCAAGCCTATCTCCGACCTTCGCGTTACCCATTTCGATGTTGTTAAGCTAGACGACGAAGACGCCTTTTTACTTGCATTGGCTTATTCTAATTCAATGATCACCGTGAGTTTCACAAGGCTGCTCCTTCGAGTTTCCCCTCATGCTAACAAACCAGATATTTTACTTTAAACCCGATTCTCAAGAGGACCCTTTCGAGCTCATTGCACGGGGTCAATATTCAACAAATTGCCTCACATACATCCGTTTCGCCATTTCAGGCGAAAGGATATATCTAATCACTACTTCAACCGACGGACATTTGGCGATTTGGGACGCTACCAACTCGCTCGAATCTGTAATCCACGCTCACGGGAACATCATCCAACGCCAGTTGGCGAGCAAATTCCCGGCAATACCACTCGAGCTAGCATGTGGAGATCGACACGCGATCCATCAAAGCAGCATCAAAGTGATGGAGATGCTTCAAGTTTCAGAGACCGAGCTGCTCGTACTCTGCGGAGGCGACGACAACGCGCTATCCGCATCAATGATCACTCTCTCAAGTTCTTACCCGACGACGTCGGAGGACAAGCCGTTGTTTTATTCTACATTGTTGCCACAAGCACATGCTTCGGCTATCACTGCAATTGCGGTGATTGGCGGCATAAAGTATACTAAGCAAGGATTTGATGTGAGCATTGCCTCTTCGGGGAACGACCAACGACTGAAGATATGGTGCGTCCAGGTGACTCGACGAACAAAAGACCCTGAAATTGTGGTCGCTTTAAAGCAGGATACATATACTGCTGTTGCTGATGTATCATCCATAGAAGTCTTAACGACCAGCGAGGCTGGAGAAGAAAAGAATCACCTGGTGGTTTGTGGGGTGGGTATGGATATGTGGAAAGTAGCCGGCAACTTAGAATAGAAGAAAAAAAAGAAATCAACTTGGTGGCTTTGTGGCTTATTCAATCCAAACAACACCTATGGTTGAGTCTCTTGAACCTCAGGACATGTTGCGTCGTGCCTCAATCTCTGCACCAGATATAAAATAGCATCTGATTCAATATGCAAGAGCAATGCACCTGTTCGAGCTGTGCCCAGGATATACCAACCCCATGGATAATGTGGGCCTTGCAAAAATAAATAATAATAATAATAATAATAATAATAATAATAAAGAAAAGAAAGAAAGAAAGAAAAAAGGGAGAGGGGTTGGAGTTGGAGTTATCTCTCGCCACCATATTGCGCTGAAAAGTGTTCTCGCCCATAGGGTTGGCAGATGAACCCAGAGAATGTTAATAAGGTATCATGCTGAAAGATACTAAAAGAATCCAACGCTGGAACATGTTTCAACGACGACTTGGTTACCTCTTGATGTGTGTGTCTATTGTATGTGCGTGGTTTGTTTTTGCCTTTCGTAGGCTGCGTATAGTTTTAGGTAATCGGAAGCAAGGGAGTGAGCTCCAAATGGTCCTATTGTTAAACCTACCAAGACGGCCGTAGCAAACCCCTGTTTGGTTGAGATGAGCGGAGAAGAAAGCAGCCGCAAAAAAAGATGTGCCATGAAAGCGGTCTGGACATATTTTGGTACAGCTGTTTACAATTCAGAAGAGAGACGTTGAGGCCAGGAATGAGTATCGCAAATTTCCGTTCACATGGGGCCAGTGTCGGGAAAACGAAGATGCGGATCCCAATTGGCCTGAAACTCGATAATAACTTGTTTCGAACCGGAGAAAATCTGGGGAAGGTAGTGAAAGACAAAGAACTTACGAGGATGGAGATGAGAGAACCTCATTTTGTATGTGCTTGCCCATGTCGAATATGCAAACAAATTAGACTTGAAACGTGTCAAGGGCATGGTTTAGCGCGCCGCGTGTCGGATGTGAGCCAACAAGAATGTAATTATGAGCGATTGCTTTCCTCGAGGAAAAATTAAGAGGGTTATATGGAGAGTTAGTCGTAATAAACGACGATATTTCTAAACGTTTTTCTCATTAACGGGCGTACTGGGGGCAAAGCGTTGGTTCACGCTCCGGCACCGAAGGCGTTTTGAACGGAGCGAAACGACCGACCGTGGAGGGATAGGGCTCGACCTGCCAGCCTACTCTGCCCGAAAATCTCTGTGCGATCTGGTATTGTTAAGAGTCCGCATCGTTCCTTTTTCTTCGTTTGATGCTGTGTTGTCTCCGTCGCACTGATCTAGTCGATGCTGGCTGACGTCATCGTATAGATTTTGTTGAAGTGGGCGATTGGGAAAGCAACCGATTCATGAAGAAATGCATATGTATGCAAGATGCAGCAGGTCCTCGGCGGACAGGTATGTAATGGAAAGATATCCATGAATAACTGGAAGCTGGCAGCTTCAACAGCGTTTCCATGGCGATCCTCTTCCGCTGCCATAATGCATTAGAGCTAAAGGGGAACGGCCGTGGTGGTGAATCTGGGGGTGGTTAAATTTGATATCAGAGCGGCAGAGCCTGCGATGGCCTGGTATCCGTGGGAGCCACAACCAGGATGACGATACTATCAGGGCGGCCGCTGTTTAGGGCCATTTTTTGATGAAGTGTGCTCTCGGGAGGAGGATTTTTGTCTCAGTTGCTGATGAGACCCAGGAGTCAAGGCCCTGAGCACATCTAAGGTGGAAACGTGATCCCCCCCCCCCCTTTTTCATCCAGGATCTCTAGTCCCTGTGCCGAGACTGTTTCGAGCTCCTCGAGCAGGGTCTGTGAGGATGGGAGAATGCAGGATCGAGCACCACAGCGAGCCGGACGGCGAAAGCGCTCGAGCAGACTCTCAGGATCCGAGCTCCTCCGCTGGCGTCTCGTATGTCACGCAGTCCAGCAGCTGAGGGCAGCACGATAATGCCTCTTTGGGGAAAGGTCGACGGCCGACGCCCACACAGCCACCGCACCGGATCGGCTTGGCGCGATCGTCCAGCAAATTTCGAACCGCGCGGGCCCCACACCGCGGTGGTTTCTGGTTGGCTGGAGGTGCGCTGGAGACCCGTTCTGGAGTCACCCCTCAGCTGCCATCAGCCCAGCGCAGCAACTCCAGCCACGTCCGCAGCCTTTTTTAGCGCGTCGCCGTCTCCACGCGACCCCACCCCGACGCTGCTTGGCCGGGCAGGTGCGAATGGTCCTTTTGCCGGAATATTTGGGGCTTGCTCTTGCTGCTTCCGACGCCACGACACGCCGCTTTAGCCGTTTCTTGTTGGTTGTTGCGGCGTGCGGGAAGGGCAGAAGTGCGTGTGCTGAACATTACACCGTGCGAGACGGGAAGCTGATTGGGGAGCAAACACAGACGAAGGCTTCGTAAACATTGGGAAATACCCAAAGCTCACGACTCTGGCAATACTCTGTAAGGGTAAATATCTCATCTTCATGCGCTCTCGTAGATTGGATCATGGTTTGAGACAGCGAATGTCCTCGTGAGACTCCAACATCCGTGCTTGAACATCCCCGCTATGCCGCCAGGAGTAACTAATCTGGCCTGACAACTCTTGGGGTGGAAACCTGGCTCTGCTCACGAACCTCAAATCTTACCTTGGAGCGATAGCCCGAAACAAGGAGTGCGTGTTCCATCTGCAGAAGTGTGTGCCCGAAGCGGACAGGGATCGTGGCCCGCAGAAATGACCGCCCACGTCACGGCCGCGGAGGCTTCCAGGGCCTTTTGGGGAGGACGCGAAAAGTCTAGCGACACACTCCCACTCCCGTATTACGCAGCTGCTATTATTTGTGGGCACCCACACAGCCTCCCGTCAGGCCCAGTGCAACAGCAGGTCGCTCGCTGTTTATAAGCTGCTGTGTCCACCGTCTTTTCCCATGCCTGTGTCTTTTATTTTTTTTTTTTTAGCTTGTATCACTTCTCCGTCCCACTCTCTGTCGTTCGTCCCTCGCACTCTCTCTGGCCCGAGTGTGACAGCTCTAAAGTAGCTCTGCTCGTTATCCAAGCTGATAAATAACATCGTACCCTTTCGCACTTGTATCGTACCAACACCGACTCGAAAAATGGGCAAGGCAGGAAGAGTGGCGTGTATATTCACGCCATACCTCCTCTCCATCGCAGCCTTGGTATGTCTCGTCCTGGTCGCCTTGGGTGCAACGAGGCCCAGCGACCCCCTGAACAGCATCTATTTCCTCAAGGTGAGTTGTGCGCGAACCCGTTCAAGCATGGACTTGCCCATCCTAACTCTTTCTGTCAAAGGCCGACTTGAAAGACATAAAGCTCGACTCTCTGGACATTGACTCACGACTTGCACCTCTTGCATTGGGATTACAACAAGCCGATGGCGCTGGGAAACTCCATGACTACTACATCATCGGCCTGTGGAATCACTGCTACAAGGATGGAGAGGACGGCGACTACAAATGCACCGAGAAGAAGCCGAACTATTGGTTCGACCCCGTCGAGGTCTGGGGTCTGGGCGACGATGCTCGCGACTACTTCCCAAAGGCCCTGTCCAAGGGGCTGAACGCATACAGGAAGGTTGCACACTGGCTTTTCGTCGCCTACATCATTGCTCTCGCTTCGAGCGTCGTTCAATTGGTCTTGGGTATCTCCGCCGTGTTCAGTCGATGGGGTAGTCTTGTAACCACAATCTTTGCGACCGTGAGTACCTTTCTTTCCTCTTCCACGCTACATTTTTGATTTTCCAAGAGGCCATCAACGCTGACGGCCAGAAAATAGATTTCAACCGTGTTCACCATCCTTGCTTCCATCACAGCGAGTGCACTCTACGGCATTCTCGCCGGTGCCATCAACGGCGGCCTGAAGCCATTTAACATCAAGGCAAGCCTGGGAGGACGCATGTTTGCCATCACGTGGCTCGCCACTCTATTCGCTGTTGCCGGTGGGGTGTTCTGGCTGTTTAGCGTCTGCTGCTGCTCCGGTCGCTCTCCATATGACCACAGAGATCGCAAGGCAAGACGCGGCATGGTCGCGGAGAAGACACCGTACACATACGAGCGGGTAGCCAGCCCATACGGAGGTCACAACATGGGTGCTTCCGCCACACCTCTCAACCCTATGACTCCAGCGCAAGGTGCTGGGTTCGAACCGTACCGACACGATCCGCGCGTCTAGATACCCACCTCCCAAAACAAAACAAAAAAAAAAAAAAAAATTACAAATGGAAAACATAAGAGTTTCTGTACCCTATGTCCACAAAATTCTTTCGTCGACACTTCGCCCTTTCGCTCTGCTCCTCACCAGAAAGTAATAGGCTGGATGCAGAAGCTCATCACCAAAATTCATACCAGACAGTAACGACCTACCGTCACGAAATTACTACATCTCGTTCAAAACGCGATGTTCTGTATATGGGCCCCCTTCTTTTTTTTTTTTTTTTTTTTTTTTTTGTTTTGCTTTCAAATCTTACGGAAATGGTGTTATGTGATGGCCCCTTCTGATGTTTATAACTGGCGCATGTCTTGATGCAATTCTACGGCTCTACACTGGGTTGGGGGAGTACATGTGGTGCTGGTCGGTGTTTACAGTGATTCTGTTTTGCATACATACCCACAGATCCATGATTATTACTTTTCTTTTTGATGCTCAAGGATTCATTCATGCATAGAATCAGATACCTGTACTGTACATTTACACATAGATGCCAATGTAGTTAAAATTCAACTTTGTCCTTCTAATTGTATAGTAATTCCCCTGATAATCATCAAATCAATGTTCTCATTACACTTCATATACGGGTGAAGTATCGGGAGAGAGGCTGCCCATTATTCAAAACAAAAATCCCGTAGAACCTACTAATTTCAATATTCCCGTATACAAAGCATCGTTCTGACCCGGAAATTCGGCATAATATTTCATCGCTGTAGATCACACTTCCCAACCCATGCTCGTCATCCGCCCTTCCACGGGCCCATCCCCAGAATCAAACACCCTGTGAGGAAGAATGACACCGTTCTCGTCCACCGGGACCGCCTCGGTCTCTCCGGCACGCCGGCACCTCCCTAGTTCCGTATGCAGATTTGAATACGCGTGAGCAAAGAATTTGAACGGTGTATTTGGATCTCTCCACCAGTTCGATGTTGGGGACGCGGGTTGTTCTTCGGCAGCGGTGGTGTTTTCTGTTTGAGAATTATGTAGACGGGGCCTGGGTGGACGATACGGTGGGTAAAAAGAGTCTGTGGTGTAGAATGCTTCGTCCATGGAGCTCTCGTCTGCGGATTGCGTTTCGTCTAGGAGTGCTTTTGAAGGGGTGGCGAGGCGTTGCGGCTGTTTTCCTTTGAGTTCTCGGCGACTCCGTTGGCCTGGGATCTCTCCTAGGCTGGCGCCCTCTTCCATCTCTAAAACGGGCAGGACCTTATCATTGGGAGATCCGGGCCGCTTTCGAGGATTGCTCTCGTCAATATCGTCGGGAGAAGCCGTGGTTTCATCTGCTAATGACGTTATGGACTCTTCTTCCATTTCAACCTCATTAAACTCCAAGGAACTTTGTTTCTGGCCGCCGGAAAGGACTTTGGAGTCGTCTGTATCCCCTAATTCAACACTTGCAGTCTCGTGAGTCTCATAGCCACGCCATTCTTCGCTATCTGGGATTGACACGGAGTCGTGTCTTTTCCGATGGGGTTTTTTTTCCTCCTTCTTCTTCTTCCTCTTCCCGGGGCGTTCGGAATCACTGGCACTGCTCATTTGGTTTCTTTCTTGAAGTCCACGTTCAAAACTTCCCACCCGTTGTTCTACTGTGCACCCGGATCTGTTATCTACTGCATCTTCCACATCCACCACTTCGCATTCCTTTTGCGACCCTTCGTGCCAAGCAAGCACAAGATCAATACTTTTCCCAGTTAGGTTCCGCTTTTTAAACGAAGGCACAGTAACACGTTCTAGGAAATATTCTTCATAAGGCTTAGATGTTTCATTTCTCTTGTCACACTGTTGGACATAATCTCGATACTGGGTAGCTTCGCGACAGACGAAATCATCCCATAGCACCGACTTCTCTAGCGATCCTTTTGAGCGCAGCGATTGAAGTTTAAAGCAAGAATTGGTAAATGTGTGAATATCACCGTCGTAAGCTGAGTATGCCCGCTTGAAATTGAGGTATATTTTTTCAACGGCAGAGGACGGCGAAGACTTTCTGAAATAGTTCCTGCGGAGGCTAATATCAGGGATATCCTCGGCTGTTTTCTTACTTGTGCTGGGTCCTTCTTGGGTATGAGCGGTCCGCGAGACCATGATTCTTCGTTTCGGACTGCGAAGCGGGAGCGAATTGTCACTGTTCAGTTTCCGCTTTTTACTATCATTTTCCACAGCAGTAGAACCCATATTAGGGCATGGAGTGTCCGGTAAATTTCCGGTGCTTTTCTGGGTGCCCAACGAAGAAAAAGCGCCATCAAAACCAGTGGTTTCCATTTGCGTGCTGATATCCAATATAAACCCATCCAACTCAGAAGCTAACTGCCTCCCCGTCATACGGTCATCATTCTCGTCACCATCGTCAGCAGAAACGGGTGGTGAAGGTTCTCTCCCCGAGTTATCTAACGCATCTGCGAGCTGTCCCTCTCGCCTAATATCGGTGCTAGGGAAGGTGGCCGGAATAACCGTCTCAGAGGCAAGTTTCGATGTGCTATCCACGTTATCGGGAGGCAAGCTGCCCTGTCGTTCGCGACTAGTTGATATTTTTGTCTTTGCAGGAGCCTGCCGATGAGGGTGTGCGATTTCCGGCGACTGTTTTACTTGCGTGAATGAGCCCACTTGACAGGGTGACAGTTGAGGTCCGGAGCTTGACATTGACTCTTCCTGCGTGAGTTCGAAACTTCGCTTTTGATGTTCTTGCGTCGAAGTTTCAAGGCCTCTTGGGATAGAATATTCGATATCTGAATGAGCACTGTACTCCCCGGATCTAGGCTCTACACCCATCAAAAATGAAGACGATCGAATATTTGTGAAGTATTGCCTGTCTGGCAAAGCTGGCACTTCATCGACAATGTCATCTTCTTCATTTTTTTCCTGTGTTTTCCTGGTAATCGGCGGATTGTTCGGCCTTTGGAGCACCCTTGGTGGACTACTATCAGGAGGAAGACGCGGAGGTGAAGTTAGCGGCCACTCGTCCTCACCAAGCTCCTGAGTAGAGAGTGTAGCTGGCGCAGGCGAGGGTACTAATTCTGGCTGAGTCGACTGTTCATCCAGTTCCTCTGGTCCCTCCGACCCTCTATTCTCTGACGCCGGGGTATTTTTTGGTTCATCTGACTTCGTTTGGGCTTCGTTCCATTGCCGCAATAGTTCTATAGGAACTCGTCCAGAAGGTAAGGACTGGCCGGCTGGAGGTGGAATCCACGAGTTGGGGCTGTCCAAAATCTCTTCCTGATCTTGTGGAATAAACACGTCCCGTCGTCTTATCCGTTTCCAACCCTTCCATGGGTCAGCATCATCGGTGTTTGTTTTTCTTTGGCGCCTAACCATATGCGCCTGCTTATCATCGGCCTCTTTGGTAAGTTGCCCAACTGGTGAAGACGGGTCAGTGACTGGTCCAGCCCAGGCACTAGGACTGTCTAACTTATGTTGTTGGTCCTGTGGAATAGTCATATCTTGTCGCCCGATCCGCTTCGTATTTTTCCACGGACTAGGATCATCAAAACCAGTGTGTCTCTTGCATTCAGTCTCATTCGAGCCTTCGGAGCGCCCATCACTCAGCTCTGCGGAAACTTGCCCGGAAAGTAAAGACGAGCGAGTTTCCGGCCCAACCCAGGAGTTAGGACTGTCTAAAATCTCTTGCTGGGCCTGTGGAATAGACACGTCCTGTCGCCTGATTCGCTTCTCATTTTTCCATGGTTTAGCATCATCAATAGCTGTTTCTCTCTGGCGTCCTCCTGCATTAGACGCTGATGAACGCCTATCTTTCGGCTTAATTGGCCCCCTATCACTGCTGTGGTACGAATCAATTGCTGGCGTTGGCGATGGGTTCTTGCTATCTTTCTTATGACGGAGTTTGGTAGAGATGTCCGAGGAGGATGATTTATCGGGCTCTGCCTTAGGAGGATGTATTTTATCACACATCACATTTTGCTGGGATGGAACAACCTGTGGACAGCGCGGGATATTTGGGGGGACTGTGGCCGACCTTATGGATATATCTGAGTTGGGTATGATAGGACGTGGCATTGACCCTTTGTCCAGGTTAGTTTTAGCAGTTGATAGTGATTCGACGGATATAGGGGTATTGCGATCTCTCGTAGTCTCACGGCCCCGTCCGTTCGAGACAAGAAGATTCAGAAGGTCTCGGGACTTCAAGCTTGTCGGCGAATTCATCGGTAACGGCTTGCACCGTGTCGGCTCCTTAGATGTAGTGATGTTGTTAAGTTGCGTCGCAAAGTCCGCTTGGGAAGCTAAGGATAGTTCTGATGAATGTGACGATTCATTGTCTGAAGCGCTCACCGGTGCTTGAGGTTGCATTCTCGGCATATCCGTGCATTCAAGAAAACTTTCAGCCCTAATTGATTGACATTGTCCAGCTAAAGCTGATATGGCTGGGAAACTGGATATGTCGCGCGGATTGCCGAAGGTCCCTGTTCCCTCACAGCCGAGAATATCAAAGCTCCGGATATAGAGGGCGAGGCTAGGAGCAGGAGTCTTCTTCTTGTTGATGACGATTTCAAAATCGGTGATTTTCATAAGAGCCCCTCTGGTATTTGCTCGAACATCAGTTTTCCTCTCAAGCCTATACTTTGCCACGGCGTCATTCGATAGGTGGCCTCGTATGGTAGTGCAGGAGTCCGAGAGAAGTGCCTCTATTGGAGAGCTCGAGTCCTGCCACTGCAGCATCGAAGGTATTAGCTTGGACGCCGCACGTCGAGGCTCTGATAGATTACCTTGACCACCTGGACCACTTGGCTACCGAACACTCCAACCCGGAAATACTTGCCGTCATCTCGGGGTTCCGACAGCTTGGGATTCTGCCGGCTATCCTTGTCGTCAGGGAGGTCATCCAAACAGAGGCATAGTGCTCTCTGGATATGGGGATGAATCCACTTGTCCATCAGCTCCATAGCGGATATAAGCCAAAGACATTACAGCATCCGCCCCCAAGTATTCTGTGACCCCGTGTTCTGGGGAGAGAGGTTGGTGTTCAGTTCCAGCTTTCACGGGATTGAAGCAACACAGCTATCCAGAGACACTCTCAGTCAACTTCTACAGCAGTAATCAGATAGGCAGTTATGCTGCTTCACATTGCTTGCAGGGGTGAAGCCGTTGATAGCGTTTAATCTTCCTTGACATCTCCTTTTATAGTTGTTGAGGGCGCGTGTTTTTCGTGTCACACTGGCCAAGCTGGATCGGTAGCAGAGTTACCAGTTTCTCCATGCATGCACAGAGAGTATGGAACTTCCGGGCAAAATCTACACTGTGTTTATCTCACAGCGAAACCTACTTATAGAGTGTATCAATTCACAAATAAGTATAGGATGCTTCTCTATGCTTTACATTCAATATGATGGCTGTCCCCAGGCATGGCACAGTACAGGACTCCCCCTTGTCTAAATAGACATAGGCTGTGCTCCGCGATCTATACTCTGTAGTTGCTTTTCCTTTCTAAGAAACAAATTCAGCATAGACAAATTTCTCCTTTTGGCCACACAGCCGCATGCCCCAGCCATGTGAATTCACCGCCCTGGCAGAACGAGTAAATTAGTCAGCAATCCTCCGCCGCCGTTGACCGCTGATTGGCCAGCCGCGCCACAAGCATGACGCCGGATTGTGACGTCGAGCTGTTGACTGCCCAACTACACGGCCAGCTCACCCTGGACGAAAGCATCCCGCCGCCAGCTTGAAATGGACGAAAGCGACTCTCCATCCTCGAGTTGCCCTCTATCATCCGATAGTCAGCCCTGCCACTATCATCTACGGGCGCCGCCTGCTTTTGCCTTGCATGTAGCCAGACGAGGACGCATGCCAACACCGTGCAACCATCGACGGTGAAAGTTGGATCTTTACTCCGTGTGGAGAGGGAAAGGAGGAAGCCGTGGTGGTGGATTCGCTGAATATTATGCCTATTGAGGATATAGAACCCCATTTTTTCCCCTTGACATGGCATCACAAAGGTCTCAGGAGACATCAAGTCCTTCCGCATCCTCCATCTTCCTCCCCCTCGGTCGGCGATCTCGACGAGGCTCCGTTGCCTCATACAGCACCCAAACTGAGAGGGAGAATCTGACGGAAGCTCTCGATCAGATCCACAATGCAGCTTCCAATTCCGATACCCTCACCGTTTTCAATGAGTTCACGAACCCCCCCGTACCCTCGTCCGCCACCGATAACAAGACTGGCGTCGTGGGGGATCTGCAGGGTGGCCTGAGTGGACTCTATAGCCTTTTACGAGCATCCGTCGGTGGTGTTAAGGACATGGTTGGGAGTTCAACGAAAGCGGCCGATTCTGAAGCTACGACGGCAAAGACTCTTCAATCTCCGCCATCCCAGCTGAGCCTATCCGCGTTGGGAGCCACTGAAAACCAGCGGTCATCGTCGAATTCGGCACATGCTTCTAAAACACAGTCGCCACTAGCGGGGACATTCTCGACCCACCACGGAGGAATGACGAGTTTCTCCGCCCCCAAATCCTCCAAAATGTCCTCCAAAGCCCCAAGTATTTCCTCAAAGGCCTCGATGCCATCCGTTGGCGCGCTAAAACCGTCTCTCAGCTCCCTGACAAAGGTTTCTCCATCTTCAGCTGTGGACCCCGCCGTTAGTGAGGTTAATGTGAACGCTGTCAGACCCGGGCCGCATCACACACCGAGTAATTCGGGCAGCTTATCAGCGAGTATCATGACAAATGCAGATTCAACGGCATCCGACCGCATAGATGGTTCTCTACAGATGTTGTCGCTGCAGTCATCGCAAGAGCTGAAGACTAGTGTGTCAACTCGTCCTCCAGAGCTGTTGGCCAACACCGGCAACGAAGCTCATATTTATGAGGAGAGAGATCGCGTTATACCCGGCACATTACACTCACGAGGAACTTTACCCCACGAACGGACTTTGTCACCGAGAAAGCCGTCCATGACTGATTCTCAAAACGAATTAACAGAGCTTAACACCGCGTTTCCCCACTCCCAGTGGGACGATAAAGAACCAGAACTTGACAATAATGTTCAGCCTCAAGTAGGAAACTCTACTACTTCCTTCTCCGTGGATGCCTCACCTGTGCAGACGTCTATGACAAACAGTGTCGCAAAACTATCGACTGGTGAGAGCTCGGTCAATGATACTAGAACCGCCACTGCCGCTACATCGGTGTCTATGACGGACAGGGAGCCCTCGTCGGGTCACTCATCTCGAACGTCTCTCATAAAATCACGAGAGAAGGCGACGCCTCGAATTAGCCAAAGTCGTTTACCAGGATATGGGCCCTCCCGTATGCTATCCTCAACGTCCTCCGGTGCTCGTTCATCTACGGCCATTCCTCACATTTCATTCGATACCCCGGAGCCGGTTCGTTCCAGCCAAAGTGGTACGAGGGTGTCGCAGGACCTAGATCGCTCGCAAAGGGGCAACTCTACACCTTTTAGAAGAAAACTCTTAAGTAGAGAATACTGGATGCGAGACGAGAATGCTAAGGATTGTTTCCATTGTGGAGAGCCTTTCTCCACGTTTCGAAGGAAGCATCACTGTCGAACATGTGGTCAAATTTTCGACTCCAAATGCACATGCATCATCTCGGGAGCCCCGTTTGGCCATTCTGGCTCTATCCGAGTTTGCAAACGTTGCGAGGCTGTGATTAACGGTCATGAATCCGACTCTTCTGATTACAGTGGCGATGATTTGAGTCCAGTAGTCTTCAATTCCCGTAATTCGGAAAGCCTAGGAAATGCCGTCAAGGCTAGACTTTCCGCCGAAGACGATGATTCTTCGTCCGTTGTCTCTCAATCGGTTGATCAGGTTTTGAAAACTCCGACCATGGCTATTCCTGCGACACGGCGCACAGGAGATGGAAATAATCGTCGCTCTGCCATTCTCGAAATAGAGTCTGACCGCCCGCTTACGAGGCCCACATCCTCTAGGTCGTTACGATCCTCTTTAAATGGAAGAGCACTCTCCGTCTCTCATAAACGGCACCATTCCAGAACCCAATATATCCGCAACCTAAAATCCTATCATGAAGACAAAGCACCTTTTCAGCGCCGTGTCGGGGAGGACTTTCCCAGCAACTCTAAGCTGCATGCATTCCATCGAGATAGCATTATCGACCCTGATTTGGCGCAGTACCTTTCAGACGATGCCTCAAGCGCCGACGAGCAACCAAATTTGTTTTCTGTAGTCTCCGATGGACCTCTTTCCAAGAGTAGTGGTGAGGGAGAGAAGGCAACCTTTGGAGGTTTCCTTGCAGCAGTAAAAAAGGGCCGTTCCCGCTTTGGTGACAAGTCTGGAGGAACTTACTCTGGCCGAGATTTGGATGATGGAAGCGTTAGCAGTTCCCGAGCTGTAAACCCGGGTCGTTCCCTTAGAAGGCGAAATTTGAGCGTCGCAAGTAGCGTCCATCAGCGCTTTTCACCAAGACCTTCTAAAGACACTCCATCAGTCGTTCATTATTTTCAGGATCCCAACATGGCTACATTCTCTGCGACCCAGCCATCTGGTCCCGGAGGATTTAAGATGACAAGAAGTTCATCAATGAGAGGCGCTGGCGCTCCTCCGATTGAATTGAACCGAGCAAGTCTTCAGCATGTAAGAAAGCTCCTTCGACAGCTGCTAAAAGACGCATCTATACCGCACTCGCACAGCTGGGAAACGGCTCTACTGCCAATTCTTTTAAAGGCCACTGATGATGTTGAACCTGACGTTCAACAGGGCGATGACATGGACATACGACATTATGTCAAGCTCAAGAAAATACCAGGTGGTCGGCCAGGGGACACATCTTACGTATCTGGCCTTGTCTTTACGAAAAACTTGGCTCTGAAAAGTATGTCGAGAAGTATCCCGCGACCAAACATACTCATTATCACTTTCCCTTTGGAGTACGCGCGGCAGCAACAGCATTTCATGAGCCTGGAGCCAGTAATTCGCCAAGAGCGTGAGTTCCTGGAAAATCTTGTTGGAAGAATATCCGCGTTGCGACCCAATGTTCTTTTAGTGGAGAAGAATGTATCCGGCTTGGCTCTGCAGCTCCTGGAAAAGGCAGATATTGCAACAGCTTACAATGTTAAGCCATCTGTCCTCGAAGCGGTGTCAAGATGCACTCGGACCAAGATTATCACGTCGATGGACAGGCTTGTTGCTGCGCCGGCATACCCTGGTCAATGTGGTAGCTTTGACGTCAAAACATACGTTCACAACGGCCGAAAGAAGACATACATGTATATCTCTGGGTGTCCCAAAGAGCTAGGTTGCACAATTGCGCTCCGAGGGGCTAGCAACGAGGTCCTTATGAAGATTAAGCGAATCACGGAGTTCATGGTCTACGTTGTTTATAACCTCAAACTCGAGACCTGCCTCATGAGGGATGAATTCGCGAAGATCCCAACGTCGCCACAGGGAAATACTCCATCGATGAAGCATAGCCCCTCGGCCTCCATCAGTGGGAATGCTGAATCTAAACTCTTGGCAGAAAGTGGTCCAGGAGATATTCCCAACACAAAGGAGAAAAGCCATGATCATCAAACTAGCCAGCCAGATCTTTCGGTGATGACCGCATCTTTAGATGCTCAATGCACTAAGCCGGATACTTGCCAGGATACTCCAGCCCCTGAATTCTACGAAGATATGGTCGAAAAGCATCAAACAAAAATCCTCTCGGCTTCTCCTTTCGTTAAATTTCAACAACCGTACCTCTTGATGCGTGCGAGGGAGCTTGAAAGGCAACTTGCATATCTCAAACGCCTTCGTGATCAGGATTTTGCAGCTCACGCGCCAATCGATGAGACTGGAAAATCTCAGAGGTTTGTCCTTATTACACCTGAAATGATACACGAGTCACCGTCAGGCGCCTCGAAAAAGGCGAAAGAAGTCCTGCATGCAGTGCACGATGCAGAATATGACAGAGCCTTATATATCTACCAAACGCAGAAACGACAATGGGAAACCTATATATCCGGCAACAGTAATCTTTTCGATCCTTATGCGCATCAGAATATCGTCGTTCTTTATAGCTTGGTGTGCACGACCACGTCCATCCCTTGTTCGGGACCAGATCTCTTCGCCCTCGACTTCTATAATGACCATGGCTCAGATAGGATTTTCGAGGCCGATTGCACGTTAGGCCAGTATGTGGAGGATTTATGTCACAATGCAAATACTGTATGCACAGTTAATGGCTGCGAAGAACGAATGTTTGACCACCACCAACAATACGTGCATGGTGACGCTCAGGTTAGCATTTTCGTCCAGCCATATCCCTCAAAACTTCGCGGTTTGCAGGACACAATCCTCATGTGGAGCTGCTGCAAGAAATGCGGAAATGAAACACCCGCAATGCCCATGTCGGACAGTACCTGGAAATACTCCTTCGGGAAATATCTCGAGCTATCCTTTTCTAGCGCAGACTTGCATATCCGAGCCGGAGTTTGTTCTCATGATCTGCATAGAGATCATTTGAGGTATTTTGGCTACAAAGACGTCGCGCTTCGCATTCACTATGACCCAATTACTCTGCTCGAAATCATAGTGCCACGCCCGCGCGTGACGTGGAAAGTGGACAAGGACCTTCGGCTCCGAAATGAAATCTTTACCAAAGCTGAGTATCGATTAACACGCTTCATGAATTCAGTTAAAGCGCGGTTAAAAGGAATGAACGTCGAGAGTGTTGTTCCGGAAATGGTCCAGTCTTGCAAGCTAGAGATTGAGGTTCTTCTGAAGAGAGCCAACGAGGAGCACGCCACTCTTCTTAAGCAGCATCAGGAAATGTATATGAACTCGAGGTACTGGGAAACCATCCCTCTAAACCGTGTGATCTTATCCATGCAGGAAAAGGTTGTTGAATGGGATGCAACTTTCGCCGAGTTTGAGCGCAACTATTTCCCATCTGAAAAGGATATTAAGCGATTGGCAGCACTACAGCTCAAACGGATTTTCCTCGATAAAGATGTGTCTGTTACCTCCCTCACTTCTGGTGATGAAACTCCAGCGACGACTCCGGAGCCTGACGAACAAGGCACTGAAGTTAAAACTTCTCCGGGCATGAAACGGAGGATGACGTTATCCCCGCAGCAAGCAAAAAGCGTTCTCGAGTCTGTTGTGGAGGAGCATTCTGGCCGGTCGAACAAGGATCACGATAGCGAGAGACAACTATCGCCTTCCCTTGCCCCTAAGGAAGAAGCAAATACTCCACCGGAAATACCCATGAATCCTCAGGATGGTGTGCAGCATTTGGATTTGGCTATTCCTAATAGCATTGCTGAACGACTTTCGCCGCCAAAGGAAACTGCTGAAAACTCTAGTGACCAGCGTAACCTCCTGGAGCAAATTTCTGAAGTTACACCGCCGAGCTTGAATGCAGACGCCAATGAAGCGGAAGCCTCGTCGAAGGTTGAAAAGGACCCACAGCCCGAAGAGGTTTCCGATAATCCAGGCGATGATAACAATTCCTCCGAAGCTACGGAAGAAATGACTTCTAAACCTCCTCCATCAGGGATACCGCGCCCTTCGGGTGAGAAAGGGATTCGGAGAGCGTTCCGCGCACGCTCTCCACCGCTCCTTCGAACACAATCACAACCTGCGCATATCCTAAAGGAAAAGAGCCTCACCGCGAAGACTGTCTCCTGCAAACTTTACTCCAAGCACTACTCCTCCCCCCAAGAATGAAGAAACCCCTTACTATCATACCGAAGAATCAAAGCCAAAAGGAGCCGAAAAACGGCTTTCGGAACGACTGGGGTTGTCGTCTTTAAAACCTAGCAAATTGACATCGGGGCATTCTCTGATACCGCGCTCTATCCCCAGCAAGCCTAACTCAAAGGTTTCCTCGCTTGCAAGACATTTTGAGCAATTGAGTCGCGAGTTCGAGAAAGAACGGCAAAGGGAAAGGAGACAACGAGCCGCGCAGGGGAAGCAGTCACGTGCATATCCAATGGCATCCTCGAATCCAATCATGGAAGTTTACAAGAGCGTGAAGGATGCAGTTGACCCCTCAGACGAAGACTTCCTGACAAACCTGCCTTCGGGAGCTCCATCGAGGGAGTCGACCAGCCTAACCGATGGAGGGGAGAAACGTGTTGTTCCTGCCGATCACCCACCAAAGCCCGAAGAGCCTCAGCCGGAGTCTGAGCCAAGGCCGTCTGAGGAGTCTTCGCGCGAAGGTAGTCAGCCTCCCTCGGAACCTGATGGTGATGGTGAGCAGAGTGAAACTGAGAAATGTCTGCTTGAAGAGTTTCATTCAGCCGAAGATGCGAATAATATACCTGCCGATGAAATTGCATTGGAACTAAAGGAGCTGCCGAAACATGAACGGAACTCTTTGGTTAAGATGCTTGCCAACTTTTGGGCAGAGCGCTCCGCGAGTGGCTGGGCACCTCTTGACTACCCCTTGAGCGATTCAGATCATGTGTTTGCTGATTGTGACATAATTGTCCGAGAAGATGAACCGAGCTCTTTGATCGCGTTTGCTTTAGACTCGGGCGACTACAAGCAGAAGCTTCGAAGCATTCAAGAGACTAATGAGATGGCCCAGACGAACATTTCAACGGAAGTTGGAAGTCCCGATTCTCAACCAGAAGTTGAGCAGTCGCTGCTGCGGAGTACGGGGACACACCTTAAGTACCAATTCCAGGAGGGCAGCGCGAAAATGCTTTGCAAGATATTTTACGCGGAGCAGTTTGATGCCCTTCGGAGAAAATGCGGCATCTCTGAACGCATCGTGGAATCTCTATCTCGCTGCATGAAATGGGATTCCAAAGGCGGCAAAACTAAGTCCCTCTTCCTGAAGACACTTGATGAGAGGTTCATCCTCAAATCACTATCGACAGTTGAGACTCAGGCTTTCTTGAAATTTGCGCCGGCATATTTTCAGATTATGTCCGAAGCTCTGTTTCACGAACTCCCCTCCGCAATAGCCAAAATGTTTGGCTTTTACCAAGTCATTATCAAGAATCCCACTACCGGAGTAGAATTCAACTGGTTTTTACTACTCATGGAGAATCTGTTTTACGATCGCAACCCCACCCGTATATTTGACCTCAAAGGCTCCATGCGTAATCGCAAGGTGCAGAGTACAGGGGAGCAGAATGAGGTCCTTCTCGATGAGAATATGGTTGAGTTTATCTACGAAAGTCCACTTTTTACAAGAGAGCACTCGAAGAAGCTTCTCAGCCAGAGCGTCTGGAATGATACATTATTTCTCGCGCGCCAGAATGTCATGGATTACTCCCTTATGATTGCGATTGATGAAGGTCGTCAGGAGCTTGTTGTCGGGATCATCGATTGTATAAGGACGTACACCTGGGATAAGAAACTGGAATCATGGATCAAGGACCGTGGATTTGCTGGTGGCGGCAAGAATCGTCCAACAGTGACAAGTCCCAAGGAATACAAGAATCGTTTCCGTGAGGCGATGGCGAGATACGTCCTTCATGCTCCAAAGTAAGTGGCTCTCCGTTTTCTTCCCCCATCGGAGAGAAGAGGCTAATCATTTTTCGCACAGCCCCTGGCACCAGTTTCAGATTCCAAATCTAGGGAAGCCAGCCCCAAGTGCGCTCGATGGAAGGCAAGAAAGTGACCTCGGAGATCGACAGGCTGAACTAATAAACGATTTATGAGACGATGTACTTTTGTATGATGTACGACAGTTCTGAGAGCGAGCTACGAAAGATGTCAGCGTGTTTCAGTTCTTGGCATATTTATCCACACCTTTATGTATTTCCTTTTAATCACATTTTAGAAGACAAATTACATGTCATAATTTCAGAATAATACCCACTGTTGTTGGCCTTTTTCAAGCGCTGGATTGCTAGCGAATGTGGTTAGTTAGTTAACTAACTAGCAACTTAAATGGTGATGTCAGCGGTCTTCGAAGCCGAGCCACCTCAATTGTTGATACTCCCCCACACACGTACTGTACAAACAAATCACTAAATGGAGGATGTGATCACAACTTTTCCGTTTCGATCATTTATCTGGGCTGGATTCAACCACAATGGAGCCCGACATGCCTTCTGAACCATCAGTGGCGGGTACCGGCCAGCTCTGCGGGGTTATCAACAATGCCGAACATGAGGAGAACCCGCCGGAGGACACCCAAACGTTCTTCATTCCGCCGCTCCTCTCTCTCCCATCAGAGCTTCTATATGAAATTCTCTCCTACGTATCTGCCTTAGACCTGACTTCCTTGTCCGCGACATGCCAGTTCCTCCGAGAACACGCAAACAGCGAGCTACTCTGGGCCGCCCTGGTTGATTCTAACGTCCACACGCGTCTCCATGACCCCTCACCCTTCGAATCCTTCCGGTCACTATACGTAGCTTATCATCCATTCTGGTTCCTCGTGCGAAATAAGATCTGGTTTTCCGACGTTAAGAACACGGGGAAATTGATCCTCGTCCGATACAACGCTCCGCGGGGCCGTATCGAAGGATATCGAATCGTCGCCAGGCATTCAATCCGATTCGTCCAGGCGTGGAGCAAGAATCCCTCGGTTATTGTCAGCTCGTTTGATCCGGTAGTTTCGCTATGGCTAGATGACCCGGTTATACTGCTTGAAAAGGAGCTGGCGTTGGGGTGGGGTTCCGATTCGCATGGTCGACGGTCAGAAGTCCGGATGCCGATGGACCTCGAGGCCCAAAGAGTATTTAGCTCCTTTATCTTCTGCGATAAGACGGAGACCAGGGAGGATGAGGACGAGTCGAGAATGGTCTGGCCGCCAAGTACCATTCCGGCCGACGAACGGGTTAATGTCGCGTATTCGGACATTGAAACCTTTGCTTTTAGAGATAAGCCGCTGCGCTTGAAGGAGGTTTCTGAAGCTGGGTTCCGGTTGAGGAGATGGATACAGTTCGGTGGGAATATGTCTACGTTCGAAGTTGGGACTGTGATGGATGGCGTGTCCACGTTTGGGACTCTGCGCCCTGACCTCTATACACCGACAAAGGACAAGCCATATCAGGGAATCTGGATTGGGGATTACTCTGGGCATGGATCTGAGTACCTATTGATACTTCAGCAAGATTATGACCCCGCGTCGACTGGCCACAGTGCTGCTGGCGCGACGGTGGAGAACGCTGCCTCAAGCAGCCAAGCAACTTCTTCTCAAAACGTCGAACCTGGGAATGTACCCTATCGGGGCTTGAAAGCCATCAAATTAACAGGCGATCCGAATGTTCCTCGCGGTGAGATAACCTTCAAAGCTGATGATATCGGTCCTAATGGAACTATTCGCATTGCCGACGAGGAAATGTTTCGGGGAGCTCGCGTCGTGAATGGTTGGGGACATATCGCGGCTACGAACTTCGCCAGAGGTAGAACTTATTTCTCAATTGTTGACTTTTTGCTTTTACTGCACATATATCCTAGGTTGCTGTATAGCTAACTGGTCTTTTTTTGCGATTAGATACGTATATCCCTTCTCAGGTTATTCTCATTTCAAACGATTGCATCGCACATTATTGGACGGAACTGGGTCACATATCGTACTACCGGCGTATTGACATTGATCAGCTACTGAACCAGTGAAACTTGGGGTCTATTGCATTTATGACGGCGCAGAAGCTCTATGTAGTCTTTCATGACATAAGAGAGCTTTGTCGAATGAGAGACCATGGAGTTTGGGGATTACGATTATATATAGACACAAAAGGAGAAGCAACGCGGGGAAGGATTCTTAGGCTACCCAGCCCGTTCTTTAATATTGTACGGTTATTTCGAACCATCAACGAGAGTGCAAGAAACCAAAACGCCAGCTTAGTGTGAGTTTAATCTCATGGGAAAAATAAAAAGGGAAAAAAAAATTCCAAGGCGCCGAGCTGTCATGTATATACAGTGGTACAGGGACATGTAAAAGGACAGAGACGAGAAAGTAGAGGTGAGAATTCTTCCAGGGCGTAGAGGCGTCTAGCGGTGGTGACTCCCCATTAGATGCGAGAGTCATAGTCAAGAAGTAATAGCGGTGATGCAGGCCCATTACCGCCCCCCAAACAGGCTATAAACCGCGCCAACCCCTCGAAAGACCACCAGGATAGCTGATGCGCTCAAAAAAATGACACTTGGTAATCGTAAACCGTCAACGAGAATCAAACAGCAAAAAGCTTCCGCTTTCGCCTAATTACCGCCGTCTCTCAAACCAGCCGGACGATCCTAGCACTGCGATGCTCTGATCCATCACCCACTCTCCGACACCCAGGTAGTTATCGACCCATCGCTTGACTTCTTTGTTGTCGGAGATCTTGTCTGAGTTTAAGCTGGGGCTAAAAGAAGAGGCGAAACCACCAGCTCCGCCCACCCGCAGTGAACACCGCTGCCCGAGCTCAGCACCCGTGGAAAGGTGAGAGGGCTTGGAGTGAGCGGGTGGTGGAGGTAAGTAGTCGTGGTTAGCTGAGTTGTCGGCTCCGACTGGAGTAGAGAGGGAGATGATGAAAAGGCAAGAAGGGGGGGAAATTTACGTGAGGCCTGTGGAGCGTTTGATTCCAGCGAGGAATGCCGAAACTAGAGAGGTTCTGTTAGCAAAAGCGTTTTTGCCGCCTGAATCTCAGCATGACTGATTTGCACGTTCCACTTGCGATTCTCGTGAGGACGAAAGGGGAACTGGGGGAACAACGTACTCAAGACAGCATCGAAAGCATAATGAGTTAGACGGCCGAGCTGGAAGCCATTCAAACGTAGCTGATTAGCAGGTGACCCAGCGAGCGCGGAGGTGAAAGGAAGAGGACATACCACCATCTTTGCGAGTACGGCGAATAAGAGAATGATGCCAATTTAAATGTTGACAGGGGAGATATGTGGTTTTGCGGGATCTTGCGGCGGAGAGGAAATCTCCTAGGGTGCTCAAGACCGGGGATGTTGAGATTGGTGGGCAGCCAGAGTTGTCTGCTGTTGATGTTGATGTTGGTCAATGTCACCGAACGTAGTTAACTCAAACGGCGGTTGCCGCCCGCCGTAACTATTGATGGGGAACCCGGAATGCTTTGGCTTTGTCATATGTAACTAAGGGCGAGATATTCGTCTATCTAGTGTGGGTCACGCGAGTTGGATTACCTCATAGGAATGTTACTAAGTAACGAATCATGTGATGATTCCACGGCAGTACTGTAGGCAAAAGGCCAATCACGTAGCGGGCGAGTTCAATTATCCCATCGGGGTAAGGTCTGCCCGCCGCTGACTCACCGGGTGCTAACCCTAAACCAGCCTAGTGGGCCACGCTGAAGTCTTATCAAGCGCTAACCCGAAAGCGGCCGAGTCCGCCTTGGCGCAGGACTGCACCGGTGGGTCAAGGCCCGCAAATCCAGGCGCCGACGGCAGAGGCTAGACCGGCTACGGTTAGACGCTCTGGCAAGCCCAGTGGCCGATAAGATAACAGTCAGCTCCCAGTCCAATCAGCAAGCTCGAATCTGGCAGCTTTGCAGGCTCGAAATTTGTCCCAAAAAAATCGCGCTTTTCTTTGCTGCGCATCCAGCTGCTGCTGTAATTTTTGACTGAGTCCCATGCTGTGCGGCGTGTAATTTTTGGTATCCCTCGTCTTCGCTGCAGTATCTGCCTCGTGGGATGGAGGGGCGAAGATGCGCCTTGGATGGGAAGAGACAGACCGGGTCATGAGAAAATCGATTGGCGATGCATGACGTTGTCAACAGGTCCGACCCCCAGCTTCGAGTGACGTAGAGCGGCCAATGGCGACCAGCCAGGCATTGCCGTGCCATTCCTCGTGCTCAACGATTTGCTCGCAAATTACCGTCTGGAACAGTAATTAAGAAGCAAGGGAGAAAGAAAAGACAAAAAAAAAAAGAAAAATTAAAGGGTGGGAGCCATTTTTTGGGGGGGTTTCATGTTACAGGAGATTGCGTTGCAGCGACCGGAATCTGATAAAGCGTTGTCTCTCCAAGTCCCAAAAAATACGCCAAGTTAACCAACGCATCCCTCCTTCTCCCAACAAAACAATACCATTGATCGATCATTTCACTACCGCCTGGCTAACCAACTAGACCTCACTTTTCTTCTTTGGCTCTGCCATCAACACAGTCTCCCAAACAACACTAGTGAGCTGTCAGATTCGAGGAGAGTCCCGTAAGAACACATTGTTACCTTCTGAATTAAATAAAAGCTTATTTAGCTGCTGCTTCTTCTCAGTCTCCTTTCACCATGTCGCGCAACGACCGCAACACCTCATCATACATGGCGAGTTCCTTGAGCCACCTGTCCAACAGGATGAAGCTGGAATGGACTTCCAAGCTCAGCACCGAGTACCAGCCAGCAAAAAACTATCGCAGGACCTCCATAATCTGCACCATCGGTGAGTTGAAGCTTCCTCTTTACACATGTAGCTGCTGGGCGTTTTTGAGCTTTCTATGCCCAACTCAGGTTCACTGGAGCTATGTGCTGCAATCTACTCGGACTGCTCTACAGACAAATGCCGGCTGAAGTCTCCTCACTGATGTCCTGTTCTTCTTCCCCCTAGGTCCCAAGACAAACTCCGTTGAAACCATCAACGTCCTGCGCAAAGGTTTGGCAGCAAATACCAATACAAATCAATACTTCGGTCCTAACTTCTTTTTTCTTTTAATACCCCCCTTCTAGCCGGGCTCAATGTTGTGCGCATGAACTTTTCTCATGGAACTCACGAGGTGTGCTCAGTCCTCCCAAGAATATGTTTGACTCATACGGCTTGGTATTTCCCGAAGCTAACCTATCGATTTCTCCTTACAGTACCACCAATCGGTCATTGACAACGCAAAAGAAGCTGAGAGAATCCAACCAGGCCGCCCCCTCGCTATTGCACTCGATACTGTAAGAAGCCTTTCCGCGACAATCACGATCTTTGTTTTTGCAGCAAGAACAGCAAAATGACAGACCTTGTTTCTACAGAAAGGACCTGAAATCCGCACCGGACTTACTCCAGATAATAAAGATATTCCAATCTCTGCTGGGACAGAGTTGAACATCACCACACATGATGACTTCGCAGCCAAGAGCGACAACAAGAACTTGTTAGCCACCCTCGACGAGCGTCCTCGATTTAGTATTTTCTTCCCGGCTAACACCGTCGTAGATACGTGGACTACAAAAATATCACTAAGGTAATTGAAAAGGGCAAGCTTATCTTCGTCGACGATGGAGTTCTCTCGTTTGAAGTCCTGGGTATTGTGGACGATCAGACACTCCGCGTTAAGTGTCTCAACAATGGAACTATCTCTTCCAAGAAGGGAGTCAACCTTCCCGGCACTGATGTCGACCTCCCCGCTCTTTCTGAGAAGGATATCGATGATATTAAATTCGGTGTTAAAAATAGGGTCGACATGATCTTTGCTTCATTTATCCGTCGTGGCGATGATATCAAGCGTATTCGAGAGGTCTTGGGAGACGAGGGCCATGAAATCCAGATTATAGCAAAGATAGAGAACCAACAAGGTGTCAATAACTTTGACGAGATCTTGGATCAGGCTGACGGCGTTATGGTCGCGCGAGGAGATTTGGGTATTGAGATTCCGGCACCAAAGGTGTTCATTGCTCAAAAGATGATGATAGCCAAGTGCAACATCAAGGGAAAGCCCGTGATCTGCGCGACGCAGATGCTGGAGTCCATGACGTACAATCCTCGTCCAACACGCGCCGAAGTATCCGACGTCGCCAATGCAGTTCTTGATGGTGCTGACTGTGTGATGTTGTCTGGTGAAACCGCCAAGGGCAACTATCCCAAGGAAGCAGTTGCTATGATGCACGAAACATGCCTGCAAGCCGAAGTTGCTATCCCCTACTTCAGCGTCTTCGATGAGTTGCGGAACCTCTGCCCCAGGCCAGCAGATACAGTTGAGTCCATCGCTATGGCTGCCGTGTCCGCTAGCCTCGAGCTCAATGCGGGCGCCATCCTTGTTCTGACCACAAGGTGAGTTTCTCACTTCTTGACCTTACTTCCGAATTGAAGGCAGAACCGGAGCGAAATGTGCACTAACACCACTCTTTCTTTCTTTTTTTTTTTTTTAAATATATAGCGGCCTCACTGCACGTCTCCTCTCAAAATATCGACCGGTCTGCCCAATTATCATGGTCACCCGTAATGAAGCTGCGGCTCGGGTGAGTTTCCCACCTCGAGAATCACCTATCCGGACACACAGTTGCTGATAATTCTAACAGTACTCCCACCTTTATCGTGGCGTGTACCCGTTCTTCTTCCCAGAGAAGAAGCCCGATTTTAACATCAGGATCTGGCAGGAGGATGTCGACCGCCGTCTCAAGTGGGGCATTGCCCAGGCCCTCACACTGGAAGTCATCTCTAAGGGCGACTCCGTGGTCTGCGTCCAGGGATGGCGTGGAGGCCAAGGACATACCAACACCATCCGTGTCGTTCCAGCTGAACCCAACCTTGGTCTCGCCGAGTAAGCGAGCAATTGCTCCATCCTCGCCTTCATGTTGCATCCCCTCGCATCTGAGAAAGGTGCTGTCACTTTTCCTGGTTATAGAGAGCGGGGTCATTTTGGGACGGGATTTTTTTATGGTTCGAATGTTGTTTAACAAAAAGATCTTGGTTTCCCTTCGCTTTGGCGGCCTGGATTTATTTTTTCCACTGTTCGAGATCTCATGAGTCAAGCTTTTGTCAGGTTGCGAATGTTTGGCGTCGAAAGAAGAAAAAGTTCTCAGTAGTAACGAGTGATGATACACCTCAATTTGAATCTATTCTTGGGCACTTTCCTTCTCCCTCTTAAATCCCATGTGTATGTTGGTATCGACCTCGTTTCTTTCCCCGCCCCGCGAGCGCCATCTCCGTTCCGCCCACTCCACGCGTACGACGCTCCGATTGGCCCGCTCCTCGGATTCCGCGCCGCTCGGCGGAAGGAAACCAGGAGCTGGAACCCCCTTGTTTATCTCTAACTAGATCTGGTATGGCGTGCAACAGAGGTGGACCCATACCCTGACCAATCGGAACGACAGGATCGGGATGCGGCGAAATCGCGTCGAAAGTCGAATCGCGGGCAGTTGATGGAAGTCGCGACGGAGGAGAGACGTTGTTGCCTTGTTGGGCAGTTTGACGCGAAGGGCCTCATCGCGCGATGATTTTGACTCTTCGTGGGATTGAAATTGTGGTTTGGAAGCGTGTGTTTTGCATGGCAGCCTAAAGGTTCGCTGGGCCGAGGACGCGTTTGGTAGCACAGGGCCACTCGAGATTTGACTTCGGACGTTTCCGAGGTTGGCTCCTTTTGTGTAAGAGTATTTATTTATTTATTTTTTTTCTCGAGCGTCGCGTCAGACAGACAGTCGCCAACCGTCGTTGCAACCGTTGCTCGAGCGGACTTGTTTCAAAACCGTTGGTGGTCTTCTGCAGGTCTGCAGGGTCGGTTTGTGTCTGTGTTTTGTGTGGACTCCAGAGGGCGGTCTGGGAAGGAGTCCGAGTTTCAGATTCCAGACGCGTGTTGGGAAGTGTTATTGCTGGGCGAATTCAACCCCCTTTGTGTTTGTTCGAAGGTATGTTGAAATCTGTGATTAGCACCAGATAATGGTTTTATGTTTACAAACGTACCATCTTTCCCCGACGCACCTCGACTCCTTTATTCCCATTGAACTCCTGCAAAATATTTCCTCCTGCTCAGAATGATAGACTTACCCTCTCTTGGAAGTTCGCTAACACCTCCCGGCCAAGACTGGACAGCGTCCCGGCTTGGGTCCCTGAATACCTACCAATTACTGCTCTCTAAACTTGAGCATAGGCTTAACTGCACAATGAAAAATACATCGGACGCAGGCCATGCACCCCAAACTCCAGGGTCTCGCACATCGAAAAGGACGAAGAGGTTGGAAGCTGTGCCGGGAACTGCAACCCTGTCTAGCGGACTAACACCACATATCTCGCGGACTCGACTTATCGCATCCAGTCCTACCATATCGACCGGTGCAGAGGCCACAAGACATGACGTTCCCAGGGGCAAACACCGCCGTCATACAACCCCTTATCCACAGGCAAGCAGCAGGAAGCGAAAGTTGGGCGAGCCATCATCATCCTCCCCAACACAGGACGTTCGGTCGTGGCAGTTCATACCGTTTAATGACATCATTGACCCTAGGACGAGACGGCGCATTGGCCGATCGGGGTTTAGTGAGGAGATGAATGCGATCGAGGAGAGGCGGAGACTCCAGAGAAAGCTCGAGAAGGAAAAGGATGACGAATTGAGAATGCTAAGGGATGAGTTGGATCGACTGAGAAACGAGAGAGTTGATATAAGTGATATGACTGGCGGCGGGCTGCTGGCCGCAGAAGGCACCGTTGTCCCGCTGGCTGCCTTCGAAAGTGATGATGACATGGGTTGCAATGCGGTCGCCGATGCGTTTGAGTCCGTTGGAGATTGTGTTCCTGATATTCCTTGCGTTCCGGTTTTGATAGACGCTGGTACGCAAGTGTCGTTTCACAGCTGTCGTGGGGAGGTCCAGTCATTGAAGGAGGATCTTGAGCGAAGGAAGGTGGAACGACGGAACCTTTTTCGGGAATGGCAGGGCGTGATGAAGCCCACTGACCAGAGTGGTGAACGAAACGACATAGAAACCACGCTTTCTACGCCACCTCCAGACCTAGCCGTGCAGGTCATTGCTAGTTTGCGCGACGCCACCACCCGCGCTTCTGAGGCCGCCAAAACCGTCGAAACTGTTCAGAAGGAGCTTTCTGATCATGGGTTTGATGGCATCGATGCCATGGAGGTCATCACCAACATCGGCGCCCGATTCCGTCACGCTAGAATAGAACTTGAACGAGCGGTACCCGGTGAAACACCAAACGCCAACCTGTCAAACTGGAGCGCAACCATTGATGCCTTGGTGGAACGAATAGCTCGGCTCGTCGCAGACCTCAAGAAAGCACAGGCACAGATTACCGGCTACCAAGAGCGCGAGACTGCACTGCGTCGGCAGTTCGACACAGCTTTACTTCGCTTTGAGGAAGCTTCCAAAAAGAATGAAAGTCTAGAAAGGTATACCGAAACCGTTGCCGAAGATATGCTGAACGCACGAATGAAGCTTCAAAGCCTCGGGAAAGAGCTCCAGGACCATGCGATCGACAAGAATCGCCTTGCGGCGGCCTTGGAGGATTATATGGCTGATGTTAAAATGCTGGAGCGGCTAAACGCAAAATTAGAAGATGAGATCGCTGCCTCGAAGAGACAAGTCGAGGATCTAGAAATAGAAAACACCAAACTGGACGAGAAAAATGAGCTGACGAAGGCAAGGATTGCGAGTCTAGAAAAGAACTTGTCACATGAGCAGGATCTCTGCGAGGCAATGCAGAGTACTCTCGAACAATGTGACGGAGAGATATCGAATCTCAGAGAACGGATACAACAGCTCGAGACTGAGCATGAGCTTGTCGAGTCTACGCTGAGAGAAGCGAATGCAAAAGAGTCCGAGAAGCATGAGAAGGAAGTTGGGTCTCTGAATGTCCGCCTGTCATCAATATCAACCGCTCTTGATAGCGCGAGGCTCGAGAACGAGAGGCTCGAGCAGCAGAAGAGACAGCTGGAGCGGCGGCTCGCCGATTTCCAAGGCCTATTTTCCATGGAAAGTATCCAAGCAGCACAAGAGAAAGCGCGCGAGACCCTCAAGGCCTTTGAGCAATGGCAGAAAGGAATTGAGTCATTGGACGACACCTCACGCAAAGACGAGCTCACTAATGAACAAGCCCACAGCTTCTGTACGAATGGAAGCGAACCAATCACTCCGGCGGCAGAATCCCGGTTCAAGAACGTGGAGGTAGGCCGGGGAAAGAAGAGAAAAAGAAATATGGGCGGTCAGTTTCACGCCGTAAGGGAAGAAGAGGAATGGTCAGACGGAGACCCGCTGTAGATTCTGGAGGTTACCAGCAGGTCATGCAATCAGGGCTATTCAAGAGTTTGACTAGCCCGCCTACCATCAACTTTCCTTTTGTTGTCTCCCTTCCTTTTAGATATATTTTCGGAGTATGTTGACTCCGAGCCTGTAGCATGTAACTCTTGGTGTTTGGGGGGAGAGGGGCTCGTTGGAAAGCGACTGCTAACTCGAAACAATACGCATCTATTTATTCACAGGTATTCTGGTCTCTGGATTATATAAAACAGTGCTCAACACTTATGTGACGCCATATCTCGGTGACGAAATTTCTCTCAGCTCTGGTAGCTGCAAGCCAGTCTCATGAACCCCAACCCAGACCAGCTCCTCTTCAAGGAGGCGAGATAATATACTCTCTTTCCCGGGCTTTCTATTGCATCCGTCACTTGACCAGAGGCTTCCCATCCCACATGACACAGCGCATCAAAGTTTCGGATCTTTTCCCGTCGAAACTGTATTGTCTCCGAAGAGTTCGTTCACATAATACCTCTCAGATGCAATCTAACGCCGCAGTTTATACGGTTGGCTTCCGCCTTCGGTCCAGTGCTCTAACTCCCAGCGCTACCACGCTATCCCCCAAAGATTCCATTGCTGCTCATATAGAGACATTTCAACCTAGCTCTCAAAATCAAGCCACGGTATCTGGAGGAACTAGTTCCCGCTGCCCAAATCGTTCAAGTGAATCTACTGTCCAACGTTGACATCACTGCAGTGGTATAGCTTGAGCTGCTTCTCAAAACTTGTTTTATCCTGGTGTCGGGAATTTTGGCATATTAGGGTTTTAAGAGCTGGTCCCAAACCTGTTTCAGGTCATACTTTTATTTATCCTTTCGGCCATGGTTGGGGGGGAGTGACAGCAAACACTTTTGATATAGAGCTTATACTGTAGTGGGGAATTCTGGTAAGTACCATAATAAGTAGGACAAAAGGTTGTTCTGGTCCAAGATGCAACCCCCTCAAAGCTACTATCTCTGAGCTATGTAAACTGCCCATAGCCCCTACATCTTACTCATGATCTTCGCGCACCTTTGCACTTTACTACACACTCGTTCTTTATTACTAGTTTGGTTATTAGTTAGAGAATGTGAATATCTCTTGTTTATGAAGTATACTACTGTTTCTCTTTAGAGCTGTCTGTGTTAGTACAGGGCTTCGTGATACTATTACTCCTTATGAGCTTAGGCATCTATTAGGACATACCTATCTTTGCTCTCACTACTCAGTCCAGTACTATTGAAGCGGGGGTATGATAGGATGCCTTGTCAAAGTAGGCGATTTGGTTGAGAAGGTGATAATGCGAGAGAAGCAAAAAAAATCACAATATAGTAGAGATAGTGCTGAACCGAGTTGTGAGAGCAATGATAGGGATGTTCTAATAGATGTCTAAGCTCATAAGGAGTAATTGTATTAAGGAGCCCTGCACTAACACAGGCAGCTCTAGAGAGAAACAGTAGTATGCTTCATGAACAAGAGATATTCACATTCTCTAACTAATAACCAAACTAGTAATAAAGAACGAGTGTGTAGTAAAGTGCAAAGGTGCGCGCAGGTAATGAGCGAGATGTAGGGGCTATGGGCAGTTTATATAGCTCAGAGATAGTAGCTTGGGGGGGTTTTGCACCTTGGACCGGAACAACCTTCATCCTAATAAGGTACCGGAATCCCCACTACACTATCCCTACTATATTGTGATTTTTTTTACTTCTCTTGCACTATCACCTTCTCAATCAAATCACCTACCTTGATGAGGCATCCTATTGTACCCCGCTTCAATACACTCAGCGAACCTGCTTGGCACCTGACCGTGGGAAGTGGTGTTTCCGAATAGTAGCAGACGCCGGTCTATAGTCGTCAAAAGAGATTCGAATTTATCAATGGTCCGACAATGGCTCCTTGGAAGATATGGGCCAGAGACGCTACAACTCCAGGTCATTAATTTCATATTCTTGATCTGAGAATTATAGCTCTTTTTCCGGCTGCTACAGGAATGCAAGGAGTTTCTCATGCTAGACCCACTGCAGCACCTTGGTCGTTGTTCAGCAGACAAGGAAGGGTCTGTGAACTTTGGAGGATCAATGGTTGCCTTTCTCATAACGGGCCCGCGAATGGGTGTGATTCGGAAAATGTATAATGATCTGGCCGCTGGTGCAAGGCTTCCAGATGAGCTTGATGACGTTGTTCACTTCTCGAAGGAGATTTTGTCTGCGGGGGTGAAGATGCCAACCTTAAGTTTAATAAATTGGCATAGCAACTAACTTGGCAGTTGATATTTCCAGAGGCACATTTTCTCCAGGTTAATGCAGCCCCAAACAAGACAGCGTCATCCCAGTGCAGTTGATGGCTTTGGACAATAGGAATTTTACGGTTAACCATGCTTCTTAAAGCAGTACATATGTGATACTATGGCTAGTTATGTGAAGATTTAGTGATAGATGCAGCCGCAAGGCAAGGCTTCACTGTCTGATTCAAGCACGCAGATGATCACCAACACAGTTGATTGATCTAAGTTGTCCCCCTCAGTAGAGTAACTAACCAACCAGAACTCCCTGATGATCATACTGGGTGGACATCTTTCCTAATCATGTGCTTTCGACTGCGCTCTTGTCACTGTGGTTGGTGTGCCGCATCTCTGGTCTCTATCCTACCTAATCTCCAGGTTCCCAACAGACGAGCGAACAATAGCCCAAGCGGCAGAGGTGGCATTGGCAGGACAGCCAAACAAGATTTGGTTTCTCGACAAGATCTATAAAAGGGAAGGATTGGCACTTTTGCAGTCAACTATTGACTTTCGGACAATTCTCGTTTTCTCGCAATCCTCTCCGTCGCGACTTGGCTACTCCTGCATGGAACCTCGCACGAAGATTTTTGACGGATAAGGTCGAGTCGTGGTTGATCTTTTTCCTCCTTCGTCGAAATTTCCAGGATTTTCCAAGATCACCGACGAATGACTAGGCTCCCTACTCCCGATATACTCTTCTTCCCTTCCCGATGCTATTGTGCAACGCTTTCTTCTTGACCACGGGGCCTCGGACTGGCCGAGTCCCATGTGCACATCGCTCTTCCTCTTCCTTCTCGAGCATGATATTGTATCTACGACTGTTGATAGCTGGAGAATTCATAGACATCATTGATGTCTGACATGGATTGCCTGCCTTGGTTCCTCCCCCCCCCCCCTTTGGAGGGCGAGTCCTCCTCTACGGCGTGGAACGGGGCGCCTGCTTTGGACCATCGCATGACTAGATACCTAGGCTTTGCGCGGCATATTTCAGCCCGGTATGAAATAGTTGATTTCACAACCGCAGGACGGCTGGTCAGTTGGCGCATTCTTGAGCAACGCTCTTAATAGCTCCGCGTTTTGGAATACTCCGTAATATGTATGTATATATATATATATTTACCCCGTGCCGCGTCGCTGTTTCGTCCATCTCGACACCTAGGAAATCTTTCTTGGCCGTGAATATTTCTGGGATACGACGGCAACATGGCGTCCTCTTTCGTAAGGGCTCTCGGCCTTTCGATGATTAGTTTCCTTGGGATTTCAATGATTTTTCCGGGAGGTTCTTGCTGCTCGACTTGTGGAAAACATGAAGACATCACACGCGATGTGTGCATTATTGGAGGTGGCTCGTCAGGAACATATGCTGCAGTTCGGTTGCGGGATAAGGGGAAGTCAGTGGTGGTCATAGAGCAGGACGAGACACTCGGAGGGCACACTGATACACTCATCGATCCAAGGACGAAGAAGGCTATCAACTTTGGGGTTGCGATTTTCGATGATTTGGATATCACTAGGGAGTATTTCACACGGCTTGGGATTAAATATAAGGATACGTTTTTTGGCAACGACCCGGGCGTCAAACTCTACGCCAACTTTCAAACGGGGAAAATTGTTGACCATAAGACATCTAACATGTCGGCTGCACTTACTTCTTATGCTATGCAAGCAATGAAATACCCTGAATTGGAAAAAGGATTTATTTTTTCTGATCCAGTCCCAGAGGACTTGGTTATACCTTTCTCCAAGTTCGTGGAAAAGTACGACATTGGTGATGCACTCGAGATAATATATATTTACTGTCAAGGCTACGGCGATCTTCTCGAGCGGCTAACGGTTTACGTGCTGAAGACTTTTGACCTTGCTGTTCTCAACGATCTCAAAAACGGCTTCTTAAACCCGGCCAGCGGGAACAACAACGAAATCTATGACAAGGCGATGGAGATCATCGGATCCGACGTCCTGTTTAAAAGCCGAGTGGAAGATGCAGAGCGTCGCAAAGACGGCGTCAAGCTTACCGTGAAGACACCATCCGGGCGAAAGACAATTCATGCAAAGAAGCTTATTATTTCCATCCCACCGACCCTCCACAACCTTAGGCCATTTGGCTTGGATGAAAACGAGAAATCCATATTCGGACAGTTCAAGACCACAGGTTACTACACCTCCCTTGTTCGAGTGCCTGGCCTTCCTAAATTTGATAGCATGACCAATTACAATCCGGACACCCCATACAACCTGCCAAAGCTGCCGGATATTTACTGGATCACTCCCACCATCATACCGGACGTCTACGACGTTAAGTATGGCAGCCCTCGTGCGCTCCGCGAGGAGGACGTGAAAAAGGACATCATCCGGAAACTCAGACCGTTCCAAGATGCTAGTGCTAAAGACGCCGAATTCGTGGCATGGTCCAGCCATACTCCCTTCGGAGCGACGGTATCGAGAAAAGCGATTGAATCGGGTTTTTACAAGAAGTTGTACTCCCTGCAAGGCAGGCATAATACCTACTGGACAGGATCTGCATTCCACGCACATAACTCCGGCTTGCTTTGGGAGTATACAAAGAATTTGGTCGATACGCTGGGGATCTAAGATTCGGCCACATAGTTTCGTTTCGGTTTGATATAACATATCCTTGTCCCACCTTTCATGATGTGTCACTTGGCCACCTATAGCTACATGCCATGTGACCGGTTGCAGATTTTGCCTGGAGATTCCGTCAAGTTTATGGTGGTAATAAGAGTTTGGAATGTATATGTAGTTTATCCCCCAGGATAATATGGATCGTCGTTGCTCAGTGGTTGTTGCTGGATTCAACCCTGCCGGTTTCACCGAATCGTGAAGATTCGGTAACATTATGGGATCCTGAGCAATCATAGAGGGAGATTTGGCACTTAGACTGATGTTTTGGAGGGAATGAGACCCGGCTAGTTATATTGAACGGTTAATATGGGGTCTTCGGGCCGAATTTCTGTTGACAGTCCCGATAAAGCGATGCGGAAATCCTGTGACCCATCGTTGCAATTTGCAACCACATCAGAGAACCAAAGATGCCCGGAATATTTACCCGATATATTATTTCTGTGCACTTGTTCTTGATTTTGTTGGGCGAGTAACTCTCAGACGCGTAGCGGAGCAATTGAATCACGCCACGTTCCGTGTGTCTGGGCTCGCTGCACACATTTTTTGTTAGGGAAGTCGAGATATCATATCTGTTGTATGAACTTTTTAAGGACTAGTTTTATCAAAGCGAGTGTCTTTGATCCCACATGGTGGAGGAATTGTGTTTTATAGCACCGGAATTATCACAGGATGCCAATATGCCGCTCCCTGATGCAAAAGATCAGGATTGCCAGCGTTAAGCAAGGCAACCCAATAATATAACTACGGGTGACCCTGGGTAGATTTTAGTGGCATGCTTTTTTTTGGAGGGTCACCGCTTTTATGTGATCGGTACTCAATTGATTTATGTGGGCGCTTTTGCTATATTTTGGAGCAACGCCCTTCCATCCAGACTCTTATAACATGGGAGGCGTCAAGACAGCAATCAAACAGGCATTCAACAGGGGGTTGTCATTGAACGCAAGGCTCGAAAGTTAAAGTCCAAGGGACATTATATGGACATGATCAATCAACCACCACGGGATATTCTTTTGTGATCACAATGCAGTCACATTGAATGCAAAATGTTTGTATTTTTGCTCGTAGATGCCCGCCTTCAACCCCTAGATCAGATATAGTTACGGAGTACTCCGTACTTGTGAATGTTTTTTAACTTACGCTAAGAATCGTGTTTATGCCGGATTAGGAAAATAGTGGAACGTTGAACGTTAAAATCAACATTGCTAAATACTCCATACATCAATTAAAATGACCTGTTGACCAGTTGAACAAATTCAGGTCTGTCTTGATTCGCGTCCATAGCCCATTCTTACTTTGTTTTCAGATAAGTCAAAGACGCGGGCTTGAAAGGAAATGTCCCAGAGTCATGGCGCGCCCGCAGTCACGCTAAAACCTCGTCGCCTGCTTCGTGGCGAGATCACATATTCCGCTGCAAAAACTCAGGACGCCAATATTCTCCATGAGCTGGGCTACAGGAATCAGAAAATTCGATATTTTACTCATCTCTACCGGAATCGCAAGCTGATTGAAACAATTGTTGCGCACCACCTCGGCTTGGCTTCGGCAAATGCATGTCATCTTGTTGATGTGGAGGACTGGATAGATGGAAGCTTCAATGTTTGCATCGGAGTTGATATCGATGGCCAGGAACGAGATGGCGGAAATAAATTGATGATTCGATTTCCCTTGCCATACCGGGTTGGCGAGGACTCTTGCCCAGGAAACGCAGATGAGAAGATCCGTTGTGAAGTGGGCACATATGCATGGCTCCAAGAAAACTGTCCAGATGTGCCCATTCCGCGCCTGTACGGATTTGGACTATCTACTGGTCAGACCGTACGTGCTCCCCTGGGGTATCTGCTGAGAACATTCATTACTCACAAGTCCAGTTCACTCTTCTCGACAACCTGCCGTTTATAACCCGCGCTATTGAGTATGTGCGCCGTCGTTTGTTAAAATGGCTGGGGCATCCAGTTCCTTCTCGCTACGTTCAACATCAAAGCAAAGTGAATTCTACCCTAAGCACAGGGTATTTGTTGATTGAATATATCGATCCATCACGGGGCAAAATGCTTTCCGAAACATGGGAGGAAGGACGCCATGATGTTAACTTGAGAACAAATCTCTTCCATGGTATTTCACGCATTTTACTGGCTTCGGCACGCACACCGTTACCAAAAATCGGTTCCTTTGTTTTAGATAATAGAGGGTACTTGAGTTTAAGTAACAGACCTCTTACTGTTCAACATCAACTATTGGAAAATGAGCACATTCCAGTTGACATCCCGCGAAATGTGACTTATTCCACAGTTGACTCCTATATCAATGATATTCTTGCCTACCATGAGAGCCGCTTCCGCCACCAGCCTAATGCGCTCAGTGATCTTCAGGATGGCTTCTATCAGACATGTGCATTGATGGTTATGAGAAGTGTTTGGCCTTGTTTTTTTCGCCGTGATCTTTTTCGAGGTCCATTCTTTCTATGCCTCACCGATCTACATCAGAGCAACATTTTTGTGGATGATGATTGGAATGTCAAGTGCCTTATCGATCTCGAGTGGGCCTGCTCCCGCCCTGTGGAAATGATCCACCCTCCGTATTGGTTGGCAAACCAAACTATCGATATGGTTGACGTCGATGACTACGAGAGTCTTCGCAAAGAATTCATGGAGGCCCTTGAGGAGGAAGAAACGAAGAGCACGCCAGGATTGCAACAGTCGCCAGTCCAACTATACCCCATTTTGCAACAGGGATGGGAGAGAGGGACCTTTTGGTGCTCTCTTGCGCTTAATAGCCCAACAGCCTTGTTCAAGATCTTCTACGACTACATCCAACCGAAGTTCTCTAAGACTCATAAAGATGACGAAGCATTCTGGTTAATCACGATGCGTTACTGGGCGTTTGATGCATTTAATTTTCTTGAACGCAAATTGAAAGAGAAGGAGCAATACGATATATCTTTGCGGGAAGCATTTGAGGAATGTTCGGATGCTAAGACCAATACATCTTAGATGTTCACAGGGATACACTTCATGTTCTCCCACTTTGATTTTCACCTTCCTTCTTGTTCCCATTCCCGCCACTTACTTCTCGTTTCTCCTCTTCTTCTTTCGCCCTTCTCGCTGCGTTGGCAAGAGAAAGGATCACTTGTCTCCCCCTGTTTGCTTTTGCAGCTTCGGCCGAGGAGGAGAGCTGTTGAATGGTTTTGGCATCTGTTTTGATAGCGATCTCTGCTTCTTCGACTTTACCATCGTAACTTGAGTCAGAGTGTCAGTCACCCATTTTGTGAAAATGCGGATGGCTAATTTAGTGTCAGCATTTAGAGCAAATGATAAAAAAAGGAGGGAAAAGGGGACAGGAAGGAAGGAGAAGAAGGAAAGAGATATGTGATTAAAGCTCTTACTGGAGCGGTTCGTTTGCTGGGAATCCTGTTAGCAGAAATGCTCCTGAAATAGCGAGCTGTACAATATTTGTATTGAAAACACAGGGTGTGAAGCTTCTCGAGGAGAGTGCAGCGGTCTATCTGGTTTTTTGTACTCCGTACTGGATGTGGTAATTAGGCATGGGTGAGGTATACGGAATGGCCCTGGGTGCGGCTATTATCTTACACTAGCACAAAGCACAGAGACAGGTAATAAAATTTTTCCGGTTGACCGCTATTTCAGAAACGGAGGTTCAATACGCTGGCGCAGGGAGGAGGTGAAGCCAGTTGTTCGGATCTCATTGGCATTCTATGTGACGGTGCTTGGGCGGATGGAACGAATTGAAAGAGGGATAGAGCGGGGTGATCTTCCAATAGCCATCTGATAAAGAACTAGTCAAATCACTGTTGAAACCAGCCACGTCTGAATGAATTCATTGCGGGGTGCAGAGCATTTCTGCCGGGGATCCGAGCTACTGTATCCCTAGGCGATGAAACCTGGCGTGGAACAAGGGAAGGGCATGAGGGCGCGTTTGGTGAGTGGGTTTAGTCGGGTAGGGGTCGTTTGGCGTCGACGGTCTAGGCTTTTGCCGCCGCCCGTCACTAATTTTGGCAACGCGCCGGGGGAGGATGACGTAGACAGGTACAAGACATGCCCGGTACTTTGCAGTTACCCCTAGATGCAGACGGATCTCAGGTCTAGAATCCTCGACCATTTCTCAATTGACCTTGTGCCACCGGAGAGCATAGCTTTGGATAGCTCTGAGAAAAGGTCTTTGAGCGCTCCTTTATTTTAAGCACTCTACCTTCTGTGGCTTGAGTGGGAGGATGCCCCAAATCATTCTCCATTGCCACAGAAAATGGCCTCGGAAGAGCCGTCAGCGCGCTACACACTAAAGGTCACCGCCGGCCCTACATACGACCCCAAAACACATCAAATAGTGCCAGTCAACGCCGACGAGACGCTGACGATTGAGACCGAGCATACCACCGCGAAGCTCTGCGTGCGAATTAGAGATTACAACGGTGCGTCTGCAAGAACCTCTCCTCCCAACTCGTTCGATAGGCTTTTATCACTCTCTCACACTAACCTCCTCTTTATGTACAGGACTCCCTCCCAACACCCCTCGCACATGCAGATACTTCTCCCACCCAGACCACCAGGACGACCAATACTCCATCGCCGTTAGCTTCATTCCCAAACGGACTATCCCTGGCTGCGCGCTTGTCTTTGGCAATGATTTTGACCGGCCCATTCGCGATCGATTACCGCCGGGGACGAACTATGCGCTCAAGATCGTCAAGTGGATGATCGATCCTGGTCTAGAGGGGGATGCGTATGCCGATAAACCGTACCTGTACGGCGCTGCACTGTCGAGCTGGAATTATTTTAGAATTTGTGAGCGCGAAGGGGTGGCGTCTAGGCCTAACTCGGCTGGTGAAAAGCCAGCATCGCCGAATGGGAGTCAGGAGAGTATCACGAGTAGCGGAGGCAATAGTAAGGGCAGCGATTGGCAGGGATCAGTAACTTCGCTGGAGCTGCATGAAGAGGTCATTGAGGAGGGTGGTGAAGGAACTGGGAAGCAGATCCGTGAGAGCCTCAATATCCCCGGCGATGCGAGTTCTCGAAAGAAATACTTTCTGGATCAGAACAATCGCCGCATGTTCGAGTTTGAGGCTGGACGGCTGTACAAGGCCGATTTTGGGAATCCCTATCTAGGATTCAGTGGTACGCAAATACTTCCCCCCAAAACAAATCAAACTCTTTTTGATACGGTGTGGAGGGGACAGTGTTGACATGGTTCGAACAGATTTCTCGCTCAGACTACCGGGTTTTAGTCTCAATGTTGCCAAATACATAGACCGGAAAAATCACTCACTGCGCTATGTGCTGAAGAATAAGAATACTGGAGATGTGTTTTTCGTGGTTGTTTTTACTCTGCTGCTCAACAACGAGGACGAGAGTGAGGACCAGAGTAGTGGGGAGGAGGCGCAGCAAGAAGAACGAGAGGAATCGGAGGTAGACTAGACACGTACGACATGAGATCTGGTTGAACGATTTTAGATGATTTTGTTTTTAAAACTATCTGACAACAATGCCGAGAACCGGGAACAGTTCAAATGAGCCCCTAAGCTCTAGAATTCACACCTCTAATATACACCCGCTTTTTATCCCTTCTTTCTTTTTTTTTTTTTTTTTTTCTCCCTTTTCAGCGATTCGCACTTATCTAAAGGCGTCTGAGAACGTCCTGGAGGACTTCCTCGGTTGTAGCCTTGCCTCCGAGGTCGGGAGACAAGAATTTGCCCTCATCCAGGTTTGCGTCGACAGCAGCGTAGATCTTTGCAGCGGCCTCTTCCTCGCCCAAGAACTCAAGCATAAGACCTGCACTGCGGAGGGTAGCGATGGGGTTGGCGATTCCCTTGCCTTCGATATCGGGAGCGCTGCCGTGGCATGGTTCGCCAATAGCAAATCCATCGCCGACATTTGCGCTCGGAACCAAGCCCAAGCTGCCAACCAATGCAGCGGCTCCGTCAGAGAGGATGTCTCCGTACAGGTTGGGGGCGACGATCACGTCATAGTAAGATGGTTGGCGGAAGAGCTTGTAGACCATGGAGTCGACGATCTGCTCTTCGATCTCGACGCTGGAGAATTTCTCCGCGGCCAATGCCTTGCGGGCGGTTTCGCGGAACAATCCGTCGGTCTGACTCAAGACGTTACTCTTGTGGGTAATTGTGACCATGGGGCCTGATCGAGGGGCCGCCTGTCCCGTCTCACGAATCTTCTGGCGACGGAGGGCGATCTCTCCCGCAATTGTTGCAATGCGGGATGAAGCACGCTCAGATATTCTCTTGATTGCCTCGGCCACCTTGCCTTCAGGGGTGTCGTAGGACTTCTCGTCTTTAACGTAGAGGTCTTCGGTATTTTCACGGACGATGACAAGGTCAATTGGAGCAGGAACGTTTGCACCAGGGGTGGTCTTCACAGGCCGGACGTTGGCATAGAGATCCAGGCGCTTGCGGAGGGCAACAATGGGCGAGGAATATCCAGCAACCTTGGTAGTCGGGGAGCTAAATCAGAAATAATTGCACTGGTAAGTATCTTTTTTCTTTTTTTTTTTTCCTTCCCCCGTGTGCTTATATCAAATTGCAAAAAAATTTTCGGTGACTATTTACCTAACGGCACCAAAGAGGGCGCCATCACATTCCTTCTTCAAGGTGTCCACGGTCTTGTCTGGTAGGGCGGTTTTCGTCCGTTTGAAAGTCTCGAAGCCGGCATCCAAGTCGACAAAGGAGAATTTTAGCCCTAGAGAAGCCGGAAGCGCTTCGAGGATTCGACGGCCGGCCTAGATATAGCGTCGTTATTACTCAATCGGTCGATTTGCCAGTCCTCTGGAGCTCCAGAGAGCAGTTTGTGGTAGCATACCGGAATGACCTCTCTACCAATGCCATCGCCGGGGATGAGGCCTGCGATATTGCATGCACGTTAGCGGGTACCCGCTCGAGACAATAAGAAGAGCAATTTACCTATTCTGAGGGTTCTTGAGGCTGCCATGACTGCCGGTGCGTGCTGCAAGAGCAAGAAATAATGACTGTTTTCCTGCAGGCTCAGCGGAGTGCGATGTCGGCGAAAATGGCCGGAAGAGAGGCCGGGGCCCCGGGTTATCGTTGTTCCGCAAGCAAGGTCTCCCGGTCGCGGTTTGTTTCTCTTTTTCCTTTTCCGCTCTCAAAAAAAAGCTGCTTTTGCTTGCACTCGACAGTGTGTGTACGTATACAGCGGAAATGGGTGCTCTTTCGGATCACATTGCGATCTAGGGCTGTGCAAACTGCGCTGATGTACAGGATGGACGGCTGTGTCCAGCTACGTCCGTGTTGCAGATGTTATTCTTAGAACAATGGACACAAGTAAGGCTGAAGAGGGCATGTCATCTGTAGTTAGTCGTGTGTGTGAGAGAGTGTGTATAAGGCTCCCATTTGAAGCTGATAAACCAGCCCGATGGCCATCTTTCCGACGAGAACAGGGTCATCCTCTGCTCTCTGAGAGAGGCAAGCCATGCCATGCCATCCCATGCCCCGATGGGACGTCACAGGCCACGGTGGATGTTTCGAAGCCCCTTTTCCAGGGCCTGGGCTTTTTATTAGCTAATTAACTGCAGACCCGCCAAGGTTGGTGATAACTCCGGAACCTCCCTTAAAATCATTGCCTGCTGGCCTCCGACCTCAAGAATCCCTCTCCAATCTGCCCTGATACAATCCTTGGGCTCCAGGCAATCTGTTTCTTCGTATCCTGTTACCAAGTCCATCTCTTCAGCCCACGCCGTTTGTTTGTCCCTGGGACCCGCCTGGTGTCGTCCATTGGCTGCGTCTTCCGTCCCAAATTCAGTCACACAATCACGTTACCTCCCCGACGCGCGCTGCAATCCATCCTCAGGCTCCCTGGCAACCCGCCCACCGACCACTTCGCCTTCAAACTTCTTTGCGTGTTTCATAATAATCTCCCCTTCCTCACCTCAACTCACCCTTCTCTCGCTCTCTCTCTTTTCTTAAAACGACAACCGTCAACGTCTTCTTCGCCCAGCTCTCTATGCTTACTTTGCCCTAGCACAACGTCGTACCGGAATCCAGGACGCAATGTCGGACAAACCGACGCAGACAGGTGTCCGCGGCTTGTTGGCCAAGTTCGAAAACAACATCTCGACCTCCCCTCCGTCGCGTGGCCGCTCCCCAATTGGCGCAGATGGCTCAGGAACTGTTCGTCCGCTCTCCAAAGTTCGCGCAAGCTTCATCCCCGTCGAACGCAACGGTGGCTCCGGATCTCCCTTGGGATGGCTGAGAAGTACCGATTCCGGTGTCTCCCCGGTCAACACAAAGCCCATGCACGAGTTTGGAGGCCCAATCGAAAGATCTACCCCTCTGTCGCCCACGGGCTCGATACATAGAGCTTTTCCTGCCAAATCGAACCCCCCGACTCCGATGACCGAAAAGAGGGAATCAACTGGCGGTGCGAATACCACAACACGCGATGTTCCGGGCGAAGTGATACAGGGTCTGGGAGCTATCCTGAAGGGTTCAGCGTTTGAAGATTCGAAACTACAGCTGCAGAAGAACGGATCACCCCCGCGGGGATTGAGTTCAGCTGTTCCTGAACCAAACAAGACCGTGGTGCCAGAACCCAAAACACACAGTCCACCAAAGGAGACATTACAGCCTACCAAACCGAATGCGCCGGATACCAAGACAACGTCTTCTCGTCCCGCGAATATAGTGATCCCAAAGGAACCAAACCGCAAGGTTTCTAAAAGCACGCTCCCCAAGGGCCCAAAAACGCCACCTGCCCCCCGAACTCCGAAACTCCCGGCTACTCCTGACTCGCATATTAACAAAACAAATGCCGTCAACAGCCCTGCCGTTGCGAGGGAAGTAAACAAAACTCACTCGCGTGTCAATACCCCAAGAAGATCTGGTCGCTCGTCTTCGAGCCCAGTGACCCAAGACAAACGTGCCTTGTCCACAAGGGAAATTGTTTCCAGGCCTGGCTCGAAGCAAGCGTCTCCAAACCATCCAAAGATCCGACCAAAGTCTCCAACACGTCCAGTCCGTCTCCCCAGCTCAATGACCGCGCCAACTGCATCATCGGCGGCCAAAACCAACAGTACATCTTCACGCCCTCCCAGCCGCAATGGCGTCAACGCGAACAAGCTTACGCGAAAGGTCTCCTCACTACGCATGGATCGATCCACAGCTGCCCCGAAAACAAGTGTTCCTTCGACGACGGTGCGAAAACAGGTTTCTCATGCTTCGCTCGCGCCACCACCAAACTTGGGACTCGACAGGCCAAAGTCTCGCACAAGCAATGTCAGTGCACGGGCACCCGATGAATCCTTCTTGGCAAGGATGATGCGGCCAACCGCTAGTTCAGCAAACAAAGTGCACGATAAGATCGACGTAAAGAGTCCTCCAAGGCCATCCCGGACAACGCAAACTGGGCGAAAGGTATCGGATCAAAATCACACCAGCTCAAGAAAGCCGCCAAAGGCGAAATCCCCCGAGGCCGAGCGCCACGAAGTGAAATCTCCCGTAGCAACCTCTCCTGAAGCGAAATTACATGCGCAAACTGCTGCTAAAGAAGGACTTACTGGCGAGGACGTTACCTCGCAACAGCCTCAGGAGCCAGAGAGCAATGTTGAAATCACCGAGCCCCCGGTTCCTTATGAACCTGAAGTGTCCGTGGTAGAAGAAACTCCCGCAGCCCCAGCCGCTGAAATCAAGGAACCCGAAGCTCTACAAGCTTGATCGCCCCTACATTGTCTCACAATATTAAATTGCATCGCGAATACGCCTTTTTTTTTTATATGATTTCGAAATTGGGATCAATCTCGGCTTACCAATACTACTGTTTTCTTCAATTCTGCCCCGGCATTTTCTGGTCCACATTAAACCCAATTCCAAGACAAACCAATGCCGACAACTTCTCCATATGTATTCACCCCCTGGAACCATGTTCTATTTCACTTCTTATCTGTCTGATTCTATTTGGTTCCATATTTGGTTTTTTTTCTAAATGTCGGGATAATCCTACTGCTCTTGGTTTTTTGCTTCATATTTTTGTTCTGTTTTTTGTTGTCTTGTTTTTTTTTTTTTTTTTTGACTTACTACCCATAAGCAGAGCGGAGATGGAGCATTACATTTGATCATAACTATACATTGTATTGAGGCTTTATTCTCCTTCTTTTTTCCTTTTTGAACAAGGAAATGTAAGAGGAACTAAACTTTAAAGAATTATATAAATATTTATAATCCAGTTTTACTTCTTGACGATTGTGCGTTTTGCATTTTCTGTGCCGTTCTATGGGACCAGCTTGATTCTGGGAAGCACGGAGCAGCATGGCGGTTCAAAGCTCTTCCAATTAACTCCTCTGTATGAAAGATGGAGTTCCATAAGCAATGAGTATCTTTTTGTTTAGCAACCAGCTCATTGCCTCGGCCTTGGAAAAAAAAAAAGGAAAGAAAAGAAAAGAAAAGAGAAAATAATAATCCCCGACTGTATGGTGCCATGGCCCGGAAGATTGGAAAAGTGATGAAACGCGGGCTCCACTCAGGATCGCCGGGGCGTAAGGGGGTCATTTTGTGGGCTCTTTTACTAGTGTCAGCAGGGCACAGAGAACTGTTCTCTGAAGGCCCCTATAGTGATCAAACACAATTGGCACAAACCCCAGGGCATTTTTGACAGGGATGGACACATCAGCATCCTCAAGTGAGCTTCGAGGGACAGAGGAATTTCTCCCCATCACCTCTCCAGTGGGGTGCAGTAAAGCAAACACATCAACGCTCTGAGAGCCACTATAAGGAGGCCAACTCATCCAGCTCCAGAATTGCCAGCACCTCACAATCTGATTTTCTTGGTATCTGAACTGTACGGCACCTTTCACTCCACAATCTCACATATCGCGCTCCCAAGAGCAAACATGTCGCGGTTTATAGTCCCAACAATGTGGAGATGAGACCTAGGAGAACCAGGAGGGCAGTAGCGGGCTTCACAGACATACCAGTCATGAGGATAGTGCCTCTCAAGGTCAGAGTCAGCAAAGTCACCCAGCTTGATACGCCACCCATCACACAGAAAGACATTCCTAGTTGGCAGGTCTCCCCAGATAATCTCATGGTGGTACAAATATGCTGCACCCTCTGCAAACTGAACTGCCAGCTGGAGCCGGGTTTGCAGTCCAGGTGGATCTGCAGAGCTGCTCACAATGTTACCTTGTAGGCTGTCATGGGGAGCCCGCTCTAGGCGCAAAGCCTATGCTCTTAAAACCGAGTCTGGGCTGTCCAAAACATCAGTCTCAAGGCCATGGAACTGGAGGATGCGTTCATGCTTCCCCAGAATCTTATAGATGCTTGCCTCCTTTGGCAGCCTCTTGTCTGATTCTTCTGCATCCTTGCCAGGCCCAAGGGCCTCCCTGCCCTCATATCAAACCGTCCTGCCCTTTAAAACTGATGGTCTATCCTCGGCAAACCCAGTGCTGCTGTCGTTCGCAACAGCATACACAACATTGTTGGGCAGTGTGACCAAGGATTTGGATTTTGCCCTCTTTAATCAATTTTCGGTGCCATATCTGTCGGCAGGAACGAGATTTGTGGTTTCTGGCGTCGGCCGTCTATTCTGGATCCGCGAGAAGCGCGTTGTCAAGACTGTCGGAGGAGACAGTTACATACATTTCCTGAGGCCGAATAGATTTGTTTGCTTTAGCGCCTGCGTTTCTCCCTTCATCCATCGGTTTGAGACTTCCTAGCAAGAGGATACCATGTTGTTGGAGACATGTTGGATTACTAATTTACACAAATTTTTGCAAGGCACTATATAAAAAGAGCAACAGTACCAGCTACACCATCATCTGAAACCGGATAACACATATGCTAATATCGCTCACAATTAACACAAGCACACGCACTAAACACAGAAAATAGGAAATGTCTGCGCATTAAAAATTATAGGGGACTTTCACAGCTTCTTCTCCAGCTTTTTAAGGAACCTGTTGACCCCCTTCTCAACCCGCATTGCATTTTCTGTGATTTTGCCTGGCTTCTTGTCTCCGGAAGTCAGGCTTCCTGATCCGCGACGTTGATGGCACCTATGCTCGTTTTCAGTAGGCCTATATACCTGATTATGGATGTCGTACGCGTTTCCCATGGTTTGCTGAGGTTGACCATACGAATAGTCTGAATACCCACCAATGGGAACTTGCGGCTGTTGAGGATGGGGCTGAGATTGAGGCTGGTACGCCTGATGTTGGCCGTACATGGCGGGGGGCGTTTGCGGCTGACTGTAAGCGACAGCATGCTGTTGTTGGAATTGCTGGGCTTGGCTATAGGTTTCAGCGCCGGGAGGTGGCCCAAAACTCTGCTGTCGGTAAATTCCCATGTTGGGTTCCTGGGATGGGGGTTGCTGTGCATAATTCAGCGGTGCCGCTGGTCCGGAAGCGGGTGGCCCGGTGGTTACAGACCCACTCGTCGACCCAAACGAAAGCCCGCTGCTATGGGGAGGTGGCGATTGCGGTTGAGTCAGTCCTGCGGTTGGAGGTGGTGAAGTATACATTGCCGACCCGGGGGATCCGGGCAGGTGCGTGAAATGTGTGCCTTGCTCTCGAGCTGCTGCAGCTGCCAGTCCCGTCCCGGTTGCAGCATCTGGCGGCGGAGGTGTCTTTTCGCGGTGTTTGATCGGCTCCGGCGCAGCTGGTGCAGCAGGATTGTAAGCCAAGGGCGCATAGTTTTCGGCTTTTTGATCCTGTGGTTGCTTCTCGGGCTCTTCTGACGAGCTAACATGCGCTGTTGGAGGCTGAGCAATAGTCGAGGCCGATTTAACCGGTGGGGCACCTGGAGGGGGGGGCGGCAAATTCGTCGAGCTTGTTGGGGACGTTCTCCCTGGATGATTGTTTTGATATCCTGGGTCGGATATAGCGGCCTGTTCTAACTGCTGAACAACAGTACTCATAGACGACGTCTGCTGTGACGGTTGAGTTGCAATGATATCAATTTGAGACGGGTCCAAGATCCGCCGTACTGTTGCTAGGAAAAGCCCGGCGTCGTCCGCGGTCCAGAAGTATATATCCAGTGTATGGAGCCTATGGAGGGTTCCACTGATATCGTGAGGGTGACCACTTATGAGGGACCATTCATTGGTGGCAAGTTGGCCCGGCTGTTCCCCCGATACGCTTTGCCGTTGGGCATTAACCGTCAAGGTAAACAGAGTAGGAAACTTGTCCGAATTCCGTAAGAGCGTGGCCCCCAAAGCTACAGAGTGTTGCGTGAATATACACACTATCCCTAATACCAGGCGGTCACTCTGGGAGAGAACATACAGCCAGCAAAAGCATCTTGCTCAGGAAGGCCTGGATTATTGGCTATCTCAATCCTGGCCTTGTGCTGGGTCGCATCATGGTATAAGTAGAGGTATGACCCTTTATCGAATCGATGAAGCGGGGGCCGTGGAGAGGGCGGAGAGAAATAATAGTGCACATCCGCAAATCTGCAAGACGCTTAGAAACCGGCGTACTTCAGCTGCAGCGCTGTATCACTCACACTGTCAATAAGCGTTCTTCTCCCGGGAGGGGCGGCATTCGTGAATCGGTGGTACGGTGGTACCTTCGGAGCGGGTATGTAAGTTTAAAATTAACTTGCTGTAATATCAGCTTGAGGCAACCGAGGGGCACGGGGAGCGAAGAGAGATCCAGGCGCGAGAGAGAGGATGAGGACTCCGGCTTCTGTGCATCGTGGCTGGAGGCAAGCCCCGCGCTTAAGAGGTGCACCAGCGGGCTGCTGGGGGTCTCTCGGGCGGCATCGAAGCAAGCGACGATCCGACGAATGACCGGGCCGATCGACGTTCAGCGGGCGCTTAAACGGGATGGCAGATACGCGAACTGATTGGCCAACGCGATACCGGGGCAGTTACGATACCATACACCTAAATAGTAGATTTTGACCAATGGAGCTTAATAGTTTTGGATAGCGCGGTACAGTACCGCTTTCCCTCTTTCGGTCCGGAGTGGAAGATTATCCGGGGGATTTTTCGAAGCCGCTCGTTGGAAAGGTTGTTTCGATCGAATCTTCAGTTGGAGGCAGCGGAAGCAATTGTTCGGGTCACATTCAACAAGCCATTTCGAAGTCATATCCCATCCAAGAGAGGCAATTGGTCCCGTCGCAAGAAAAAAAAGGTATTGTGCGAAAATTCCAACGACGAAAATACCTGCTATTTCTAACGCGCTGGCCGTCTCACTAGATCCCATACCCTCGAGCAATCATCCCCAGTTTCGCCATCGTGAGCCGTTCAAAGACCCCACCGGGGCCTTTCACCTCTATATAACCACCGAAAATGTCCCTTGTCAACCTCGCCCATGTTTGCTCCCACATAACAAATGCCTCCAAAGCCCGCCTCTCAACAACCTCTGTTCCATACACCAAGCTCCACCAGAATGTCCTGCATGCGTTCCGCCATACCGGTCTCATTTCGTCCGTTGTTCTAGGGGGCGCAACTCCCCCACCCCCTCACTTCCTTCTGAACCAACCCTCTGCTGAGGAGCTGGCTGAGATTTTGGACCCCGTCACAAAAGAGAACATTGCATCTCGTCGGTTATGGGTGGGCCTAAAATACTGGCAGAGTGAACCGTTAATTACCAAAATATCCCTGATTAGCAAACCTACACGCCGTGTCACTCTTGATCTCCCATCTCTCCGCCAAATCGTCAGGGGTAACGAGGCTAGGCACGTTGATGGACTCCGATCTCCCGGAGAATGTATATTCCTCTCGACGTCGAAGGGTGTATTCGAAGCTAGAGAGTGCGTGGAGCGAAGTGTCGGAGGATATGCGCTGTGTAGAGTCGTCTAATGGGTATTTTGAAATTCTGTTGCATGATAATTGGAGTTCCTGGGCGGGTTTTCGCGTGCTACCTTGAGGGCAAAAACACGCTCCCTTTGGACCGGCACGCCATCTTGTATATTATTAGATATGTTCTGATCGTGTACTCCGTACTCTTATCGGTTCTTTTCAAGGCAAATAGAAACGATCTTCCCTTGACTGGAACCCCCACGGTCTCACTTTAGCACCTGAAAAGATGGTCGATAAAGGGCCTCTTGCAAGCAACGTTTTTTCTTAGCGTCCGATGGCGATCTATACGGCGATCCCCAGAGTATTGGACACTTGATAAAGCTCGGCAAAGCTCCTGGTCACTGATTCCAATTCTACCCAGGTCGATAGCCGATGTTGCGAGACATGCAGCGAAAGTTCCGATCTAGCCATTTGAAACTTCAAGCATCACGTACTTTTTCTATGCGTGGGTACTTTTCAATTTTAGTCAGTGAACATTTTCGTTCATACCCTTTCTAACTGTTGAGACTGGCAAAGTCCGCAGATCATTCCCTACTCTTCGTAATCGACTTTTCTGGCCCGCACGAAGGATGTAAGGCACCCTCAGTGTCCCCAGTTCGACCCCGTAGATTTGGAACCCAGTTTAGTCGATGGAGAATGTTTAATCCGATCGACCGACCACGGGCATCCTTGCAGCCTTCTCTCCGAATCGCCAGCTTTTCCAACGTCAACCTTCAAACAGCCAGCAATCGCCTCAAAGCAAATTATATCTCTCTCGCGGCAGAAATGCCTAGTTATACGTTGACGAGTAATAATGGCCTTAAAAGTCACTCACCTGTCTGTCGGAATGGGTTCTCGCCCACTGGCTTGCCAGCCACAAGCCCGTTACTTCTCCATCTTCCCGATATCAGGTAGCACCAGCCGGTTGGCCGTTATGTCACAATATTCAGTTACGTTAGACTAAGACCAGCTAAATTACAGTTCCTGCAGTTGACATGAACCGTCTGCAAATCAGCTGCGAATGGAGATAATCCCAGAGAAAGAGCCTAATGCCTTACGATTGCTGCCCAAAGGCTTGGTTTTCTTGCAGCAAAGTAGCGGCCTAAATGATCCTCGAGAAAGAGCCTATTATTGCCCTGTCATTGCTGCCCAATCCCTACGGTCCTTTTGCTTATCCTCATCTCAGCATGTCTGAAGCGCCCCTTAACACCTCGGGGCCCTTCTTTTTTGAGACTCCTGAATCACAATTGTGACAACACCCTTCTCCCTTTCGTTGAATTCCGTGGCCGCCACTTACAAGGGTTAGCGTCCGCCCCCCCTTTCCAGAAAACCCAGGATAGTGTGCCATGCTTCCGCGACTGAGTCGCTGGTGTCCTTTTCAAAATCTGTCACGCGCGCTGCCATCTGGTCAGAAAACTGGGCTTTTAGCGAATTACGACTTGTGAAAATGACGATATTGATCGCTTTCATCTAAGTTATTTCGAAGATCTTTCCTTGTCGATACTTCCCATTTCGATATCTATTGGGACGATTCATTTCCGCTTCCTCCTGATTAGCAGTTGTTGATGCCTGCTGGGGGCAGTTTTTTTATCTATCCTCGACCAGGCGAACTTCTTTTATTTCCGTTAAAAGATATACAGGGCAGACTCCCCCGCCTTTACTCGTGTGGAATTATATACCCATATTCCTTTTTTTTTATTTTTTTTATTTGATTGCCGCTGCAGCTTAACATGGCATATGCAAATTTCGTTCCGTTTGGAAAGCATGGCCAAACCAGAGACTCGCCGTTTAGTCCGGGATCTTGCGATCCACTATCGTTCTCTGCGCGAAGGTCGGTTGACTTTTATTTCCTTTCTCCCCCTCCCGGTATTGGATCGCGCTCACGAAACTGTGCAAGCCCGGGAACCGGCAGAGATCATGGGATTCAACCACCCTGGGACACTTCTGAGGCATCGAGAGCGTACAGCAACAGGTATATAATTGGTCTACAAATATACTGTTGGGAAAGAGGCGCTGAGTTGCAATCATTGAATCAGGATACCGTCCCCCAAAAAGGATCAATTTCATCAGAAGCATACGGAAGCGGCCCCTTACTCTGAGCGGTCCGATTTCTCTGAAACCTGGAGCATTTATGCCAATAGCAATAGATTGTCTTTATCTCCTTTGTCCTATGATCAATATTCTTATCCACCGCCATCTCTCATGCCACGGCCAATTGGAGAACAACTGGCGCAAGCACCAATTAATGGCGGTTTGGAGATGCCTGCTTCTACTTGCAGTGATATCCGCGCTCCAAAGACGCTCATTTCAGGAGAACCAAATTTATTTCCCGAACGGCTAAAACGGCGAGCAACGGATAGCGTAAGAGGAGCCGGACGATACCACTCACAACGGCGGCCAGGCAACAGGGATGAGTTTGATGGACCAACTCAGCTTCTAGACATGCCGTCTGCTATAACCGTGGAAATTCAGGAAGATGATCTCCCTCTCCTTCCTACAACTTTGGATGTGCAAGAACAAGATCAGATCCTTTCTGATGTTAATGATCGTTTGTCAAAATGTGCTTTCGATTTTGTGGCAAAATACCAGTTCCCTATCCCTCTAGAATCAGACAAAAAGCATGTTAGGAGCCCACAGGACCGCGAATGGACTGAATGGGTTTATCTTTTGAAAAGGCTTGCCACGAAGCGGCGAATTCCTGCCAGGGTCCTGTATAATGGGCAGATTAAGCAGTTTGTAACCGTGCTGGAAAATGCCCTGGAAACACGCCATGTGACCAAGAATCAAAATCGTCCGTTGAAAGACGACCGCAATATCCTTCAGTTTATTTCCGCGGGAACCCAAGTTGCTAAGATCCTCAAGGATGCTTCTGCCATGGAGTACTTTGATTGGTTGTATGTCCAAACAGAGAGATATATCCACGAACGGCGAATTCACCGAGAGGAACTTGCATTCCATAATGGCCTCTAGGACTGGGCCTGATCGTTTATGTATATCGCCCTCTTCAGCTGGCCGGGAATGTTTCAGTTTACGCCCGAGGAGTTTGTACCGTTATTGGAGCTGACAAGTTCTAATACCCCGCCATCATGAATAGCATCCAGGGAATTTCGAAGCAATATGAAACCTCGTGAGCCTTCCGCGCTCGATAGGAAGAGCTCAAATTAGTGGATACGAAGATGGATCGTGTGCGGAATCGCGGTAATTCCGTTGCCACATGCGAATGGGACCCTCTCTTTGGCCGGGATTAAAGTGATAAATGTCCATTTTTTGATCTCATCTGTCCCCCGGGCCTTGCGGGCAACACCAACGACCAATTTTCCGGGCTCTATTATTGGGCCATATTTTTCGCTGCCAGTTTTTTACCTGCATAATTTCCTGAACCCCCCGTACACGTCCACTCGTTTTTCTCTATCTCCACAAGGCTGCCATCTCATTCATTTAACTCCCAACCCGGACCTACCCTCACTTCACTTGGATTCCCCATTTTCTTTTTCTTTTTTTGGCCCTTGGAGCTCGATGACGAGTAATCGCCATAGTAAGAGACGATAATTCTAGCCTCCATTCCAATTGTCATCTGTATATGTTACTATAATAGACAGCCACTTTTTTAATTTCTTTTTGTTATCCTGGTTGGAAAGATAATGCGATTTTTTCGATACACCAATCAATGTTGCATTCTTTTTTACCTGGCAGAAGTTAAATTTGGCGCAAGGCCCGGAAATACTCATCCTAGCAAGAGGATACCATGGTCTAACATATGAAACAAGGCTGAAGAGTTCCCTTATTACTTTTGGGATACTCAAAACGTATCTATATCAAGATATATTTCGTGCGACCTCAGTCATTATATACGGAGAGGAGATTATCCAAACGCAACATTTTATACAAAAAATAAAAAGAAAGGCCTCCAAGTACATGGAGCCTCACACCTACTAATCCGCGTAATCTGCGTAATCTGTCGCTCTCTTCCTCTCGCTTATTTTCCAAGCATTCCCATCGCCCCATGGATGACGACGGTGGCCAACGACCTCATGCGACGCCACCTCCACATCCATATCCCTACCAGACCAACGGTCGAGAAAAGCATTGCGCCCAAGACGCGAATCAGCACTTTACTTTGCCGCGCGGTGGCCTCCTCGACTTCCGAATACCGCTGATTTCCAAAACTCACACGGGCATACTGCGTCGACCAGCCCAGACCAGGTGCGTATCGATATAGTGCCTCTTCAATGGCCTTGCGGATCCGATAGGTGGATGATTTGACGCCCCAGCGCATCTCAATGTAGTTGCGACGAGACAGATCGTTGATGGCATGCGCGTCGGGAACGCGCTGGCGGGTATACGCGTTTAATGCGGCTGCGCGTAGTTCTTTGATGCGAGCGGGGTCGTTGGCGTTTTCGGGGGAGTACACGCCGGATTCATCGAGAAGTTTGAAGAGGATTCGGACATCCTCGAGGCCTGCGTTCAGGCCCTGACCATAGAATGGAAGGACGGCATGAGATGCGTCGCCTAGGATGACGACGCTCGAATTGAAATGGTGGGGGGAGCATTTGATACTGATCAATGGGAGATGTGGATTGTTCATGAACTGCTCTTTCAGGGATTCCGGAGGGATAAGCTCCGGTGATACCCCCGGGAAATGAACATTGAAGAATTCGTACAGTTGGTCGGGAGATTTTTCAAGTGCGGAAAAATGGGCCGATGGGGCAAAGAGCGTGCAAACGAAGGTCTTGTCTGGAGATGGCAGTGCGATGAACATGAATTCGCGTCCAGGCCAGATATGAAGGTGATTGGGCGAGATACGGAAGTCATTGTCGTCCGATGGTTTGATCTGGAATTCGCACCACAGGGTATCGATATACTCCTGTTGGTAATCCATTCGCGCGAATTTCATCAAGTGGAATCTAGTAGCAGAATGTGCACCATCAGCACCGATCAACAAATCAAACGGGACCTCGAGCTCCGGAGCTCGTGTGACGTTGATAGATTTATCATCCTGGCTAGAATCCGCCTTGAATGTCCCCACGGTATCACCTGGGGTTCTCCGTTCGAACCAGGCTTTATTGTTTCTAAAATCGGCTCCTGTCAGCTTGTGGTTGAAGAAGAGCTTAACATTGGGCGTCTGCTCAAGCTCATTCAGAAGAATTGTATTCAAGGTGCCACGGTCTATCGCATTGATGTACTATCGCCCAGATAAGCAATTCAGCCCTGTAAGCAGCAGGGAAGGCTCTCAGGTATGACTGACTCGACCATGAACATCATATGCCTGTGCCTCTTCCCAGAGCTTTCCGCTGCTTGCACGCCCATGGATCATACGGCCATGCATGGGAATAGCCTCATGAAGAATTTGCTGAACAAATCCGGGGCGGTGCGACGACTCCATGGAATGGATCCCACGCTCTGATATTGCGAGGTTGATCGACTTGGTGAAGTTTAGAGGAATGGTCGATGGATCACGGAGATCTGCCCGAAGAAAAATGAATATGTATCCCCAAATTACAAGATTCAAAATAGGAAGACGATCAATGCCAAGAAGCAGCAAATAGTAGACCAATTACAGTGAATAACGCATTAAGCTGAATATCAGTCAGGGATCAGGACAACGATGGGGAATAACAGTGCAGCGTGTGACAAAAATCGAACCATTATTGTGATCCGGACCAGAGAGGCAAAAGGAGGCCCCATTGTGTTGGAGCAGAAAGCAGTTTGTGAACAAAACACTGGATATGAGAAAATGAAAAAGATATTCAGACCAGATCGGTCCGGGTATTAACCAAGAATCACTCTCATTGACAACTAGGGGATTTATCACCAAAAAGCATCTCAACAGGACAAAGTACTCCTGTCGCGTGACATACCTCCGCGAAGTTCATAGAGCTCGACATTGTCACCTCGGGCGGCGGCATAGAGGGCCGCTAAGGAGCCCACTGGGCCAGCGCCCACAATTACAACCTTGCGTTGCTTCAATCCGCCAGGCATATTGTAAGTAGTGATTTTTTTGAAGTTTTCAGACGTTGTTGAGTCAAAATATATTTTCTGGCGGGGCAATTCACAAAAGGTGCCTCCGGAAGTGAAATAGCCGCGAACAACGTCACACCTTTGAATGAGATTCACGTGATAGATGCGGCTAGAGCGTCTGTGGCGCCTAATGGTTCCCTTCTTTTGAGTCCCGCCAGCAGCAGAACTTGGAAGCCAGAACGCCCGCAACGCTGCCTGATCGACACGCTCAACGGCCAGGGGGCAGTCTCGGTTCTCCACGAAGGAAGATCTCAGGCATTTTTTTACGGCTGGTCAACTTTGTTGACACCATCACTCCCTCCTAGGCTCAAATTAAAGAGGAGCACAACGCGTTTTACTTTTACCTATTTTTACCTTTATTTTTTTTTATTTTTATTTTTATTTTTTTTTTTAAAAAAAAAAAACAAGGATCCAAGATAGGATCGATAGGAATTCCGCAACAATGGGTGAGGTTGATGCCAAAAACTGCATAGGACTGGACTGCAGAAATCCAGCAGGCAGTCTACGATGTCCGACATGCCTTAAACTTGGAATAGAAAGTTATTTCTGTTCCCAGGACTGCTTTAAGCGTAGTTGGGTACGCTTCCAGACAGGCTCGCAAGGTGCTGAGGCCGCTCACACGAGGCTTGGACGGAGCTGACTTCTCGATAGGCTGAACATAAAGCGATCCATAAAAGCAAATGTGATTACCCTATTCCTCATACTTAAAGTTCTCCTTCAAATCGATCTGACCGAATTCTTCCCTTAGCAACGTACGACCCTTTCCCGACATACCCTTATACTGGCAAGCTACGGCCAGTGTATCCTTTATCTCCACAAAACAAGGTCCCCCCCGATGTTGTCCAGCCTGATTACGCTATTGATGGAGTTCCACGCTCCGAGCAGAAACTTTTTGGCCGGAACAATATCAGAATTCTTACCGAAAAGGAACAAGATGGAATGAGGAAGGTATGCCGTATGGGAAGAGAGGTCCTGGATATCGCAGCCCGTGAGATTAAAGTGGGCGTGACAACCGATCATATTGATAAAGTCGTCTATCAAGCGTGTATGGAACGAAAGGTGAGTATTGTCCTCATGCGTCTGGACATCTCGGGAGTGGATGAAAACTGATTTGATACATCAGGCATATCCCTCGCCCCTGAATTATATGAACTTTCCTAAGTCAGTGTGTACCTCGGTCAACGAAGTCATTTGCCATGGCATTCCCGACCAACGGCCGCTCGAGGACGGAGATATCATCAATATCGACATTTCCATATACCATGGTGGTTTCCATGCAGATCTCAACGAAACATACTACGTAGGAGACAAATCACTTGCGGATCCTGACACAGTTCGCGTGGTCGAAACGGCGAGGGAATGCTTAGACAAGGCTATCGAAATTGTGAAACCGGGAATGTTATTCCGTGAGCCGGGTAATGTCATCGAGAAACACGCAAAGAGTCGGGACTGCAGTGTCGTGAGAACTTATTGCGGTCATGGTGTTAACCAGCTCTTCCACACGGCTCCAAGTATCCCACATTATGCGAAAAGTAAGACCGTCGGATCGGCAAAGCCCGGCATGTGCTTCACTATCGAGCCCATGATCAATTTGGGAAGCTATAGGGATAAGACGTGGCCGGACAATTGGACCAGTGTCACCATAGATGGAAAGAAATCGGCTCAGTTTGAGCACACTCTGCTGGTAACAGAGACAGGTGTTGAAATTCTTACCGCAAGGCAATCTGATTCACCAGGTGGACCAGTCTCAATGCCTTCTATATCCGGTGACTAAAGCATGAAGATCTATTGCATTATTTTCCGAAACTAGCGACTCCCGTCATTTTCACTCAAAGATGTATCTTGTACTCCGTAGCCCTGAAAGTGATTGACGATGATCCACTTAAAATTTCAATTTGTATGTACTCCATATTCGGATTCAATACCCCGCTCTTCCTGTCTTTCGGGATAATCTTCAAAGGGTATCTCTTCCATAATTCCAATGTCCTCCAGACGACTATGAGATTTTTTGCTGGTAGCTACGGAGTACTCCGTGCTCTGTTCACGGGCCGAGACCCCCAGCGCGCACGGGCCCAACTATGTTTTATCTCTCGTCCAATGAACAGAAAACGCACCTCTGAAGCAGCCACGATTGAAACAAAGCTTCCCGCCATGTGTGCGATCCGTTCATCGTCGACTTTGCTTGCTTGCTTCGATTACGTAGAATCGAGCTATCCATGGTGAATGCGGATACGGAGTAACTCCTCCGTACTCCGTTCTCGACGGAATTCTCGGGATTTGACGATCTTCTCCAAAGTCACGTGTCACCGTGGATTTTCCAAATCCGCTTCCTCGTATTATCCTGTATCGTGACACCTGGCATTTCAGTTGTCTTTGGGATAAGAGGTGATTAAGATGAGGGTAGAGACTGTGGCCGATAATGGTTGGAACTCGGCGGCCTCTGAGACTACTCCGCTGCTTATCTCCCAGGAAGATGGACGCCAGGATCACGCCGTCTTGAGCGGATCAGTGGCTAAGGCCAACGGCGACCCTGGCACAGATGAGGAGGAATTGAAAGCAAATGAGGTTGATGCAGCTAGAGCTGCTCAATTTGAGGGCCTACCTGATGCACAAACAAAATTGAAATACATTATCCCAAGCATATCGATCGGTGTATGCATATACTACATACTTATCTTTATCATAGCTTGACCGATGGGCTGACGCTGTGACTGTAGGTATTTCTTTCTGCTGCGGACCAGACAATTATTGTCGCAAGTTATGGCAAGATTGGAAGCGATCTAAATGCCCTCAACCTTACTAATTGGGTTGCTACGTCCTACTTCTTATCCCTGACTTCGTTTCAGCCGCTCTATGGACGCCTCAGTGATATTTTTGGGCGTAAAGCGTGTCTGCTATTTAGCTACACTGTATTCGGGCTCGGGTGTGTTTTTTGCGGTCTAGCCCGAGATATTAAGGAATTGATTGCTGCCAGAGTATGTTGTCTCCTGGCCTTTCCTGATTCGTAAGCGACTAACGAAGTCAAAAGATCTTTCAGGGTATTGGAGGCGGAGGAATGACCACGGTAGTAAGCATACTTTTAAGTGACATTGTCCCTCTTCGAGACCGCGGCGTTTGGCAGGGAATCATTAATATCATCTATGCGACCGGGTCCGGGTTGGGTGCACCACTAGGTATGTTCAGTTGTATTGTGACTTCGAAGTTATTAGGCTCTGACATTTTCTAGGGGGATTCTTAGCTGATTCTATCGGTTGGCGCTGGTGAGTGGCTAGACACTTGATCACGCTTTTTGAGTGAAAGGCTGACAGCTTTTTCCCTTTGTTTCCTGCAGGGCCTTTCTTGCTCAGGGTCCAATCTGTCTTGTGGCTTTTATTGCGGTTGCATTCCTGTTACATTTACCAGCAATCGACGAGTCACATTGGCGAGAAAAGTTAAAACGCGTTGACTTCCTAGGAGCGACAACCCTTGTCTTTGCTGTTTTCGGTTTCCTACTTGGATTGGATCGGGGTACCAATATTGCATGGAATCTTCCTATAACGATTGTATCGTTGACCGTATCAATTGCTCTATTTGCATTGTTTTTCTGCATTGAGATGTGGATCGCTTCCGATCCGTTTGCGCCCGGTCATATCATCTTCGAGCGAAGCTTACTTGCTTGTTACTTTGCCAATTTCTTTAGTTTTGGCTCCTGGCTTGCTGGTATCTTTTACCTCCCATTGTTTTTTCAAGCACGTGAAGGTGTTTCTGCCACAGGGGCTGGTCTTAGGCTCCTGCCTTCAATAATAGCGGGGGTAAGTGGTTCTCTAGTCGGTGGCTTTATCATGAGAAAAACCGGCAGATATTTTTGGGTGACAGTTTGGTCGTATGCCCTGCTCACTGCCGGTCTGCTTGTGATTTACTTGTTCTCAGGTGCAATTTTGGACAGCACCATTGCCATTATGATCGGAATGGTGATGTGTGGATTGGGAAATGGAGTGGGAGTAACAACAACTTTGATTGCTTTACGTACGTTCTCTCTTTCTTTCACAGGTGCCCGTTGAGTTGCTAATCATGTGCCTAAGTCGCGAACGCATCCCCAGAGGATCAAGCTGTTGCTACTGCATGCTCATACCTATTCCGGTCACTGGGCTCTGTAATTGGAGTTTCCCTTTCCTCTGGTATTGTCCAGCAAACACTTCGTTCTAGTCTACGCTCAGCTCTCCGGGATAGCAAGGATATCGACAAAATTGTCAACGGTGTTAGAGAGAGCCTTGATTATCTAAAGGCCCTTGACCCTCCTATTAGGCAGATCGTGCGGGAATGTTATGGCCATGCTACTAATAGTAGCTTTGGTTTCATGGCTGCGGTGGCTTTTTTTTCACTTTTGAGCTCTGCTTTTATACGCGAGCAGAAGCTTAGCGGCTGAGGGAGATGGATCGGATGAACGATACTTCGACAATCTCGAGTCGACGAAAACGGTATCGTGCCTCAAATCGGCAGGATGTTTTGTCCCTTTTCTTCATAAATATGGGGGACTAACCATTGACTAAAGTCCACGCCTAGAACCTTTACGGTTATGAGATTCTTACCGGGAGGTACATCAATTCCCTAGAGAGATAGCTCAGTTCATAACCTTTCCAAAATGGAATACCATCCTCTTCTGCCCTAAGTGTTGGACTGTTGGAATGGGATTTCCGTTCCTTTGCGGTAAAATTTGGGGTGGCATGATGTATATCCAAAGGAAGGGTTAGATGGATGCAAGTGTCCCGCCCACATATATCGAAACTCTAGGAAATTGCACAGTTCTTTAATAAAAGAGATTTTTCCCAGAGATTTTTTGATGGGATAAACAATTCAATTTTGAGGTTAGACCGGGCATGACATATCAACTGGACCCCAAATGGTCGGACGAGTTCAGTTACTACTATTTCTTAATGCTAGCAGAATTCAAACGGCCTTCTTTTCCCTGGGTTAAGCCCTCGTCTTTGATATTAATACCTCCTTATGGAATCTAATTGACTAGAGTTTCAAGGTGTTTTGTTAAGGAGTTTGGTTGGGCTTGCCTTGAGTCAAGATATCAATGTCGGAATTCACATGTCCATTTGGGAGCTCTCTCTCTTTTTTTTTTTTTTTTTTTTTCCTGGCTGGTATGAAAAATAAAGCTGTTTGATGTGTAGTTGTACTATTTTCTTCACTTTGGAATAAATATTGCTGTATATAAGTCCTGCTGTGCTTGCTCATTTTACTACAGATCCATTCGATAATGGGCTACTGTCCCTGGTCAAATGGTTGACTCTGCTTGACAAAGGTGTCGCATAGCTAGTTAGGTTACACCTACTTGGCAAAATAGTAACTTGTGAAGCTCAAGAGGCTGCACCAAGCCTTTAACATAAAGCTGTTCTAAACTATCACCAACTAGAAAGAAGATACGTAGTGTGAGTAATTTGAGCCGGAAAGTGATGAATGCAGCTAATTTTGATTGGCAGTCAAAATTGTCCCTTGGCCTTGTTAGAAACTGTACCTTGTAGCAGATGGTGAGCTGCTCCGCGGTTCCAAACTCGCCGTGTGGCCAGAAACTCTATTTGGGCCATACGGGTTGTTTGGTGGTTCTCTCTGGTTTATATATACTCGTAGTTCAACCAGGAACACACGTTCAAGAACCCGAATGCAGAGTATCACGTATCAGTTCCTTTTGAGCTGGTCATTATCTTCAGCCATCCAAGGCATCACCCTTGTGCGGTTCTCATATCTGTTGGAAGGAGTTAGGCGGGTTGGGTAACCGTCCTTTCACCTATTGCTGATCGACTGAGGTAGGTAGTTAGGTCGCCTCATCCACCCGACGCCATGAAGCCTTGCCGCAACCGTGAGAGTCCCGCTTGACACCCGTCGTGGAAACCATGTCGTTGAGCAGCTCGTCGACGCGCGCATCTCCCGGTCGCTATCGCCCCGTCCTATACATTGCTACAGGCCTTGCTGCGGCGTATGCCGTCCTCCTTATCCACCGGCATTTCTATCCTCCCTACCATACTGACCTTCGACGTCGAAATGCCATACGACGCCCTTCCAGAAGAAGAGGCGTGTCGTCGGAAGCCGGCGACAGTGTCGATATTTCGACCTCCATCGAGGCTATACGAAGGCTGCAACAGTTAATATCCGCCGACGAATCGTACGGAACGTTCAGAGTCGAAGTGGACACCGGTCGTTCATACCAATGTCTCCTTACACCGTCCGAGTTTCCGACAAGGGAGGAGTTACAGGCGATCCTCGACGTTGGCCAAAACCAGGCCACCTTGATACGTAGGATGATGGAGGATTCGTTTCTGGAGAACTTCTTTGCCTTCGAATACCCTCCTTCCCACGTTATTTCGCGCTCCACAGGCGAATACCAGTATTTACAGCACCATCTGTTGGACTGGGGCTTTACCGAACCATGCATTTTGCGGGCAATCAACATGTTCAATAACGATCCCAATTTTGGTGAAGTTCTACGCCGCAGGAGGAGCAATGGTGAAGCTACGAGCCTGGAAATAACTGGAAATACTGTGATCGACGCTTATCACCAAATGCCAGAGCCTTCTGCCGATACTCAAAGTTTGTTTTCGTGGCGGGATGGTAGCGATGACACGCCCCCTTCTAGGGAAGGACAGAATTTGTTGAATCTGTTGTATCATATTGCGGAAGACCAAGCCAGGCGAGATGGATATATTCACCGTGGCATTACCTGCAATCATTGTGGAGTTGTTCCGATACAAGGGATACGATATCGCTGTGTTAATTGCGTCGACTTTGACCTTTGTGAAGCTTGTGAGGCAATGCAGGGCCATGTTAAGACTCACGTGTTTTACAAAGTGAGGATTCCAGCGCCATTCCTAGGCAGTCCTCGGCACTCTCAGCCGGTGCTTTACCCAGGAAGACCAATGAGGCTTTCTCGTAGTCTACCCCGGGTCATTGCGAAGCGGCTCTCGAGAGAAACGAAGTTTGAAAATACCGAGTTAGATGCACTTTGGGAGCAGTTTCGATGCTTGGCCAGTGCAGAATGGCAGAGTGATCCAAACAAATTCTGTCTGGCCATTGATCGCAATACATTTGATAGGTGTTTTCTGCCAAATGTGGCCAGCCGCCCTCCGGGCCCTAACCTCATTTACGATCGAATTTTCTCCTTCTACGATACCAACGGCGATAACTTGATAGGATTCGAAGAATTCGTAAAAGGATTGGCTAGTTTTGGCAATAAGAGTACTCATGAACGCTTAAAACGGGCATTCAACGGATATGATATCGATGGGGATGGTTATGTGGAAAGGAAGGACTTTTTAAGGATATTTAGGGCTCATTATATTCTTACCAGAGAGACAACTCGAGATTTGCTTACAAGCATCGAAGAGGAGTACGTCGACACCGGTAACCGAGATATCATCCTTGGTAGTCAACCCATCAGTTCTGCATTTTCCGGGCTTCCACCTGTTGGTGACCCATCAAGAACTGGTGAAGGCAAACGACCAAATTTGCACGGCGATATGGAGATTGTCGATAACCAAGGGATTCTACAAGAGGAGGTAGAAGAGGAGCTTGACAGACATGTTGTAATTGGGGATGCTGCTGCGAGGAACACGTTTGGCAGGTCACGGCCTACATGGCTACGTCTCACTCCCCAGATTCAACAGCGAGACTTGTTTGGAAGTGATGGTCGTGATGAAGGTGGTGATAGAAACAACGATGAATCCTCAGACTTCTCCATAGATTTCGAGGAGTGGCCACCACCTGAAGATGTTCAGGCCGAGGATATAGTCCAGGCCTTGGGTGCCTATGTTCCATATGAAGAGGTCATGGATCGTGTTGATAGAGCCCGGATAGCATCATGTGTTGCCGAGCGTTTCAATCGCGAAGACCGAGAGCATATTGAACATGTGAGGCGCACAGGCATTGAAGAAAGGTGGAGGCGTAGACACTTTTATATTGACGAGGAGAATGGCGTTACGGCTCCTCCAGGGTTTCACGATGAAAATGAAGATGCTGTTGAGGATGCAGACGAGACGGAATCTCATATTCCATCACCCAGGTCAAGGTCATCATCAAAAGTTCGCTTCCAAGATGACATTACGGATAATGAATATGAAACGCGATCTAACCCCTCGACATCCTCGCGCAGTATTCCCATGGGCGAAAGATGGGGCGGTATTGAGATACCAGAAGTCGAACGAGACGTTGGAAAGGAAGTCCTGTTTCAAGTCACACAGCAAGGTCTGAATGAGATATTGGATATACTTTTCAAGACCAAAGAAGATCTGATCATGGAAGCTTATCGCACCCGAGCAGAGAGAAAGCGGTGGGCTAAAGAAATCGAAGACTTTGCAGACGCACATTATAGGCCTCCACGAGCAGACGGTAAAGAGCGGGACTTAGGACTTAGTGTAGAAGACATCGGACCGGAAACGGATGACATTCCTCCTGCGGACAAGCCCCTTCAACAGCTGCTAAACGAGGCGGGCTATTCCCTTGTTTCCGAGCCGGATAATGATCAGGAGACATCAGATCCTCTTGAGATTGCAGAGACTTCAAGTCATTCACCTGTGCCCGATAGAGATAACGAGCAGGTGGTCTCAGATCTTCCCGAGAACGACCATGCTCCATCGGCCTCTGAAAATATGGCGTTCGAAGTCGAGGAAGAGGATGACGAAAGTCACGTCGGCCATGCATTCCTACAAGATTCTGAAGATACGCCTGCTTTAGATGAAGCTTTGCAAATCAGCGAAGCCACAAACTTCAACACCCTCGTTAACCGCTCTATTGCCCATGCCGACTCTCCTGTTTATGAATCTGCGCCAACGTCCACCGCTGCGTCCGCTTCAAGCTCTAGCCAATCCAACCAGGCCTTACACCTCCCCAACGCTTCTCTCCCGCTCCGCCTCCGCTTCCAACAACCTCGCCACCGCAGACGATCATCCCACACCAGTCAAATAGCCAATCCATCATACTGCTCTACTATTTCCTCAGATCCCGCAAAGCATCACATCCCTCCACCTTCTCCGCCAATACCTCCGTCTCCGAAAACTCTGGCACGCTGGTACCGGTTGAGCCAGGTAGAGAAGGAAGCAAAAGAGCGAGGCGGAACGGGTGCAAAGCTAAATTTTGAGGAGTTTGCACAGCATATGCAAGGTGAAAGGGGTAAAAGTTTGTTATTCTTAACTAGTTGGCTTGATATGATCAGCTTTTAGACGGACCAGGCCTTTTTTTTTCTTTTTTTTTTTTGAACAGTATGGCGGTTGGTCCGATTTTGGTCTTCTTTTCTTACGGGCTTTGGAGAGATTGCGCTCCATTAAGAAAAGGTAATTAGGGTGGTATTAATCCTGGCAAGCATGTTATGACTTAGCCTGACATTTTCAACGACGACAACGTGTATCATTAGATTGCATTACAACCGTAACAACACGATCCCGAAACTACGTAAATAATGGAAAATATAACTCGAATTTCAAAATGATTGACTTAGAAGTCATTATTAGGTCCTTAAAAACCGAAAAGATTCTCTTCCTCTCTATATCCCCAATTCTTGAGGGCTGGTAACACAGCCTTTGCAATCATCGCTGGCGGACCACATATTAGAGCAACGTTTCCATCCCCAGGCGGATAGCAGTGCGTTTTCAGATAGTCTTCAGTCACAAACCCGGTATCACCTTTCCAAATCTTCCCGGGATCAGACAGGATATGATTGATTTTAAATTGGTCGGGATGTTCTTTCATGAGTTTCTCCATCTCGTCTCTCAATAAGATATCACCTTCCGTCTTATTCGCGTCGACAAGCACAATCTTAGTATTGTCATGCGGGTTTTCAGACTTGAGAATATCCTTGATCAATTGCCAGCCGGGGGTTATGGCAGAACCACCCAAGACCAGGGATATATTTTGAAATTGGAGGGTCTTGCCATCAACTCTCAATTTACCGTGGCCGAGATAGTGGATCTCTCCCATGGGACCTTTGATTTCGATTTCTTCGCCAGGACGAAGTTCGTGAAGAATATTGCTTATTGTTCCTCCCGGCATGTCTTTACTGGGAAAATAGGATTTTACGACTAGATCGAATGTGCCGTCCTTTTCTTCCTCGAGGATTGGTCGAACCGGTGTGTATGAACGGGTGACCATTCGGTCTAGGAAATGGAATCCAATTTGAATGTGTTCACCTGTGTGGAGACCTAAGCTTTTCGCCCCCTCGGGTAAGGCGAATTTGTAGCGCTGGGTGTCTTCTGATATATGCGTGGTTTTGATGAGCTTGACGGGGACCCATCTAGTGGATGCGAATCAGCTTTCAGTCCAGCTTTGGGAGAAAGGTAGATAGCGATATACCTTCTTCGATTCAATGCAATATCCCCAGCTTTTTCGGAGACAGCAGCAGCATCTTTAGCGGCCTGCTCCTTTTGCCTCTTGATGAAAGCTTTGGCCTTGTCTGTGACCACGCCTATGACGCATTCTACGACGAAGTTAGCAACGAACCTCAAACACCTAGGAACGAAACATACCACTGAGTTTCTGCTCGGCGTAATCGTCATGAATACTCTCAAATTCCTCCGTCGTATCTGCGTGGACCTTTCCGGCGTGTGCCATAATCGGAGCCTTTCCACCAGGATGCCAGCTAAGGACGCTGGTAGCGTCGTAAACTTTTCCGTTGACCACAATCCAGCAAACCCCTTCTTTGTTGTGCTTTTCTATTTCCTCACGAGTAAATTGTTTTTGTGGTGCGGATACCTCATGTTTGATGCTTTCCATTTGTACCTCAGCGGACGGCTTTAGCCACCCACCTTTACTGATCCCTGGCTCAACTGGATGTTGGAAATTCAAGCAAAGAGCACCGGAATTTTCGTCGTTTATGGTTTCTGTCCGAACAACATACCAGCAATTGTTCATCATCCTTTTCAATTAGCCTGTGCCTAAGGAAGCGATTCCTATAGAGACATACCCCATAAGATTCCAAACTGGCTTTTCTGGCTGGGTATTCTTGAAGACGTTGAAGCATCGGACCGCAATACTCTTTGCGCTGATGAGATGGGCAATTTCAACATCAACATGCCAGAACAACCACGTCCAAAATTTCTTCCCGTGTCGAACGGGTGCTTCAGGAAACTGCTTTTTGGTTAACGGCGCGGAATATCGAACATGTCATGCACATGAGCCCTTGGAGAAAAAGAATATGGGGCGGCTAGAATCCGTACCTTTCGAGTGCAATATAGCCAAGTTTTTCCATCATCTAAACTAACTTCAACTCTCTGAACTTCACACCCTCCGCCATCATAAGCATACCCTTGGATCCTATATGTCTGGCCAAACTTCGCGTTTTGCAGCTCGATCTTCTCGTTCTGACCTGGTCTGACAATCACAGAGTTCAGATTTTGCTCATTGCAAGCGGTGCTTGGATGGTGGAACATGGTCCTTGCAAATTCGGAATCCTTCTCGATCACGAAGCTTGGAAGCACCCTATTGTCATAGGTGTGGTAGTAGCTCGTATTCTCTTTGTCCGATATCCAGATTCTCGAGAGCCATTTAACACATCTGCCACCGACGTACCCTGGAATCATAATTCGAACCGGATATCCATGATCAGGGGGCAAAGGTCTGTTATTCATTTCATATGCAAGAATGACGTCGTTCGTGGGATCCATCGCATATTCCAATGGAATGCATGTGGAGTATTTGCCTTCGCTGGGATTGTCAGCTCCTTCAAAGTTTACCCATAGACGAGCATGGGAGTGTGCCGAGGGCATCAGCCTGACGCCCGCCGACATCAAGACATCCCTTAAGAGGGCGCCTTTCCAAAAAGCACAGCTAACACCTCCAGCACCCCAATCGAAACCTTTTGAGCGTCGGATCATATTAAGTTCTTTCCTCCTATTTCCGTCACAGGCCATTGCGATAGGGATGTTGATAGCGTTAAATTCGGCAAGCTCATCCATCGTAAGGATTTTCTTCCCATTGTTTATATCTACCGTATGAGTCTCCCATAAAATATGAGGTACAGCAGCATGGTTTCGAACGTAGTGTAAGCTGCTTGGGGTGATTAGACCAGCGTCAAACAGGGTTGTCAGATCCGGTTCGGCGTTTAATGGGTGTTTACCAGTCAGACGAACAAGAGCCTGATCTCGTGGGATCCAATTATCAGGAGTATATTGGTCAGCTTCGTCGATCGTCGTTATCAAGGGCTCGTCAGCCTTTGGAGAAACACGGGTTCCCGAATCAACTTCGAGACCATGCATATAATCATTTTCAACCTTCAAAGAGTGTAGAAAAGCGAGTTCCTGAGGCGAGTACTTCTGCTGTAGCCGCTTCCATTTAGGTTTCTTCTCCTCTTCGAGCTCTTGTTTATCCAGGCGGCCCTTTTCTTGCTCATTTTCTTGTGGTAAACCTTTTGTGCTGTAGGCCCCGTGATGCGTTGTCATTTGACCACGCTCCCTTCTCCATTCATGCTCCTGTTTGGGTCTCTCCTCTTCATTGCGGTTTTCTTGTTGTCTCTCCTTCTCCCGTTTCTGGATATTAACCGGCCATTCTTCCTCGTTTTTGATGAAGTTCTCCGTGGTGTGAAGCACATAGCGCCAACCAGAAGGGTGCTTTGCGGGCATCCTCAAGTGATAATCCTGCCATCCGTTACTACTAAAATTCAGAAAAGTGTAAGAGCAAAGAATCAAGCTCTGAACCAACGGGTATCATACTTCTTGGTCTCTCATGAAGTCTACCACGGTCAGCAGATCCCCTCTCTCCTTCCTCCGGCGTAGTTCATCCGCTAACTGTCTCGCATGCTCGAGGAATTCCTCATCTTTATCCAGATCATTTTCGAGGTGTGAGATGCCTGCAATTCGACCGTGCTGGTCTCGATACCCGACACGGTGGTGAGGGACCTCCTGCCAATTCGGCTCGCTCTCTATGTCCGCTTTTGAGGAACCAAGATGATAAATAGGAAGAGTCCGATGGGGTCTGTCGATCTCATTCATTTTTAAGAGATACAAGTCAACTTTGTATAGGTTGGATTGTTACCGATTTTGCCCTTGCCAAAGCCATCCAAAATGCGAAGTTGCACGTAGATATTCTCTACCCAGCAAGGTACTGTGTGATGCATCATCGAGGAGTGCCTGGTCAGCAAAATGTGAGCTGCGCTGTTGAGACTGTATTCCATTTATTGACTCTGTGCAAGGTTGCTGAGCCTAAAATTACATCATAGCTCACAGCTTGTCTCCAAGTAAATGCCAGGTTTAGGCGGAACAAGACCTCGCCCTAAATGCAGAAAATTTAATTCTTAGTGATAAGAAACGGAAGAGCGCAACACACTTCAAATACCTTTTCCTCGGGATATATAATTGTAAAAGTAGGACAGGTGGTTCGCTCCACTATTCTGCCATGTACGCTCCATACTCCGTATGGGAATTGCCATAGATTCACACTCCAAAACAATGATTTGCCAGCCAAAGACCATCAAAAAAGCCCAGGGACAACTTGAAAACATCTCGATATATGTATGCAATTATCGAAGATCTCTAATCCCAGTACTTGATAACTCCCTCCAATCCCGCCGTGGCAACCTTGCTGGTTTCCTGGGGATGCCAGTCCACGCATGTAACCGCAGAGCCTTCTTTCCCACCGGCTTGGATTTTATGCCACATTTTGCCCGTCTTCCAATCCCAGAAGCAAACATAGCCTCCGCTGTCTCCAGAAGTAACAAATTGGCCGTCAGGACTAATTGCGACGTCAATTGCGTATCCTGCATTATTATGACCGCGGAAATTCTTTTTCCGGTTTTGTCGAAACTTATCTGTTGATGCGTAGACAACAATCTGGTTATCTCCAGACTGGAAAGCGACATATTTCCCATTAGGATGAGGAGCAGCACGGACAAGGGCGTATAGGTAGGGCTCGGCAATGAATTTGATGGGAACAGGGATGTTGTACTCCCATGCGCGGAGGGATTTATCGTCGGAAGTAGAAATAAACCTGCGGTTATTATCGACAAAAGTAAGGGTATTTATCGCAGCGAGATGGTGGTCATATTCTTGAGTGATTTCTCCTGATCGTGTGTCGAACTGCACGATCTTCTTGTCTGACATTCCGGCAAGAAATTCATGCCAGTGGTTAGGATCCGGATTGAATCGAACGACATGAGGCGTCTTTCCAGTCGAGAATCGCCCGACGCATTTTCCGTACTCTGTATCCCAGAGTTTAATTTGTCGATCATATGACGCTGAAAGGAAAGTGGTTCCGGAGGGGTGGAAGGTGGTATCAGAGACGGAACTAGAATGGCCTGAATAAGTCCGCAACAGCTCTCGTGAATGGTAGACATCCCAGATTTTAATTTTCGAATCAGCAGAGGACGAGAGCAACAAGTGCCCGGAAGATGGGAAGAAACGTATGGACGTAATCGGCTTCGTATGTGATTTCCAGGTATGGATCAACTTCTTTGGTATATAATTCTTGATGCTTCCCACTTCCTTCTTGAGATCGACATCCAGATCTTGAGGAACATGCATATACGTTCGTCCTTGGTAGTCGAATTGTTCCGCACCATGAAATTCTGTCGTCTCTGATTGCGACATATCTTCCTGGTATTCGGTAGCCCGCTTGTCCATGGCTGGCATGTTCGAAGGCACAATCTCCTCTTCAACGTATTCCTCGTCACTCGCGAGCTCCTCCCCAGCCACCGCCAAATCTTCCTCGTAGACCTGTTCCTCGTTCTGATACTTCGCCCAGGGGCCTAAATATGCACCCTCTCCCTCCACAATACTCGAATCGCCTTTCTTCTGCCTCTTTCTCCTCAGTGCGGCGCTCGCTTCCTTCGAGGGCCGCATCTGCACCGCATCCCTTCCCCCGAATAATGCCACGTTCTCCATGTTCCCGACATATGCGCCAGCAACACTCGGGTCCTTGGTATATCCGAGGCTCTGAAACGTGCGATGTTGCGTTGTAAAAGTCGCATCGCTGATCATTACTTCCTCCGCGTTCCCGGTCAAGACGTTCTTCCTCTTTATCCCGTGCGCGGAACGAAAAGGATTTGCAGGGCCAGCCGCTGGCCGTGTTAGCTGGTCGAAGGTCGCGTTATATGTAAGAGCATTCTCCGTGGGCTTCGCAAGTGCAAGCTGTAAATCAACAGCATTCTATAATGCAAAGTTAGCGCGTAAACGAAGGCTTGACTCGTGGGCCATGGGCACGAACCTCTATTGGCACATCGGGGGCAGCCGTCACATGCGTATGAGCTGACCTTGACGCTACGCCCTTAACATCATCGTCACTCGAGTCGTAATTCGCATCTAGAAGCGACGCCATGTTCACGCCTGTTCGCCGTTGTGCTTCCTGGTCGGCTGGCTCCCGCTGAGATGGCGATCGATGGGAGCTCCAGCCACACACTGTCACGGGACTCGGGTCCTGCGCCACAGATTTTCGAATATGTTTGCTCTGTTTGCACATGGAGTTCGTTCACCCTAGGCAAAAGCGGCCAGGGCGCCTTACCTCATCAGGACGGAAAAAAAGGTGAGTGCCAACATATTGACCAGATGTATTAACGTGTTGCACACAAGCCGGCCCCAATCCCTTGCTGCCTTTATCCAGGCGGCGGCCAGGAGAAATCAAGAGTCCTTGGGACCATCCGGCTCTTAAATGAAGTACGAAGCATGGAGTACTCAGTAGGGCAGCCAGCAATTCGTGCACTAGCTCATGACACTACAGAATATTATTTGTGACCCTGGCTACTAGGGGCTTGTCGAAGTGCTAAGAACGCGAGAGGATTTCATTGGCCGCATTATTCCGTTCTATCAGTTATTTGTGTGCAATAACTAATAAAACAAATAACAATGCGGGCATCTGGTGATGTGTCAATTATCTCTTTGGTACTTCTTTAATCCCGCTTCAATGTCACAACGCATGGCGATGGCTCGCTCAATGAATATACCTAAGTTAGGTACTGATCATCATAGAAAATCCTTCCAAACTTCCCCCCTTTCAAAATCACCAGAATCTAAATTCACTACGGAGCACAAGTTCGCAGCTAACCATGATAGGGTTTGATGCGGGAAGCGAACCACTGTATTCATTAGCTCTTGGAATTGTATTCTAGGTCCCCAGTGAGAATAGCGGGCTGCTGGTGTTTCGACTCTTTGCTTGGTTCCAATCCCGCTTCGAACCCGAAGCTTAATTTGAAGTCCTTCTTCTTAACCCAGGCATACGAGACAAACAGCCTAATTCTACCTAGATATGGCTGCGGAATGGAGCCTGGGGTTACTGGTTTCGCTTTAATGACACCGCCCATGGCGAAGTCAGAGCCCGATAGCATGATACTTGCGCTTTCGATCTCTGTGGGGATGTTGTCGGGAATATCCTTGATTTCTTCCCCAGGGACGATCGAGGTCAGGTCGATGTACGGCGCCGGGTTTGGGGCAAGAGGCTTCATATCAATCCACTCTTCATAATAAGGGCTGACGTCAAGATGTTCGGACGAAGCGAGCCCTGATCTCATGTTAGCTTTCTGGCATGTTGAGTGAGTTGGGGCTGTTGAAGTATGAACTTACCGTTCCAGAACTGGCCCGATATAGAGCTTCCCCTTCGTTTTGTCCAGATGTATGTGAGGAGGAAGACCACGTTCTGTTCGGCGGTTTTCTTCCCGAATTTGGCGGAAACCTCAATGTCAATCTCAAATCGTGAGAGTTTTGGTTTCTTTACGCCGTCGAGTGTATCAAGGGTAACCGTCAGCCGCCGGAAATGCATAGACTGAAAAATATCCTCCTTTGTGAGGATGGACATCATCGACCCCAGATCTTGTGATAACAGCTTCGCAAGGCCGTCCAGGATGTCTCCCAAAGTGACAGACGTCTTCGGCTGGAAGGTCAGTTGAACAGCCGCTTCCTGGAATGCAATAGCAGCAACTATATCCACCGGTTTTGGTTTTGCTTCCACTGAACATTCGAATTTGAATGTAATCTGGCCTTGATGTACACCAACAGTGCCGGCCGCTGTTTTTCCTTCTGTTAGCGTTTTCTTGCAGACGACTTCTGCATTTTTGACCTGGATATCTTTTAGGACGACACTCCACCATTCCTCAAGGGATTTCCTTCCTGCTTCTTCTAATTGAAGCTGCATCCGAATCGTCGTTTGTGAAGCGAAGCATGGATTGAACCACAGGGCGTTGCGCTTCTCACTGGCTTTATTTTTATCCCAAAGAAGCTTCCAGCTTGTCATTTCTTGCGGAAGGAAAGGAATCAGTCCGGTTCGACCAGTATACTTCAAAGCCTCCCCCACTGTAAAGCCCACATCCGACTTTGAAGGGTCAAGTCCACAATAGAGCATCGTTCCTTCAGGGAACAGGCCAGGAACCGGTATTTTCGCTTGCTTGCCACTTGAATCAGCGCCGAAAGCAAATTTAAGAGCCCCTGCCGATGAGCTGAACGCCATCTTCGCGGGACTTGTAAGCTGAAACTCGAAACTTTGCACTTCCTTTTCAGTCGCGTCCAGCACTAGGGAAAATTGGCAGGACCCGTCCGGGTCTAGCTTTTTGAGCCATTTCCACCACTCGTCGGACTGGTCAAAATACCCAATGTGTTCGGCATTGGGCTTAGCATTCAAAATGATGAGTTTAGCTTTGAGGAGAGACACGAAATTGTCTGTGTTTGCGCTTGTTGCTCGATCAATTTGAATACCTGGCCCGGGGTGGCTAGGCGCCTTGCTGGAATAGATGTAATATTTTGCGGTTTGACTCATATTTGCTCCTTGCACCATAGATCCGTTTCCAGCGAAATCGTCAAAGATGCTGCGCCAACCTTCCACCAAGGGCAGCCTGAACCTCGAGAAGAAGCAGTTTCCAGTAAACTCTGTAGATGTAGAACACCTCTGGACGTCTGGATCCGATGTATCCCCATTTATTTTGTTATGAGGGGGCAAAAAAGGAGCGTCTGCCACGATAGAGTACTCCCTACGGATCTTTGAGGCCCGATTGGGTGATGCGGACGAATACTTGCAATTTACTTCGACGAGTGGCGTTTAACTCTGCACTTCGCTCGGTCGAGTGTTTCTGCGGCATCGACTCCGTAGCTGCGGGGCAGGGTTGGCACGATCGGCAATGCCGTGCAACATTTGGTGGTGCTGAGCAGTATCCTTTCGCCAAGCAGACGAGGAGGCTCCGGTGCAGCATTACAACTACATAACTAGCTAGCCGATGATATGCATCTCTACAAAGTATGTATGTATGTACGGAGTACTCCGTATGGAGTATCATGATGGTCCACACCCCATAACCTTTTTGAGTTGTCAAGAACCTCGCTGGTCTTGCTCTCACACCCCTCAACTTGCGAGCCATATGAGGCTAGACAGACAACCTTTAAACACAACGCTCCCATAATGATTCATATAGCAATCCAGCCTTCAGGCATCTCTACTGAATCCGGGTGTTGGTTGGCGGCGACAATGGCAATGATCAAAGCGTCCGGGCCATGTCAGCCACTTGATTGCCAATATATATTTACAATCTCTTTGCCTTGATAGTTTTTTTCATGCACAGCCATTGTTTGCAATACAGCTGGTGTGAGCTTTGACATATTTTCGTGTCCGTGCGGTGCATTGTCATGGGTCAGCTTTCGGTCAAGCATCCATCTGTTCGCCCAACGGAGTTTCTAATTTGACTGTCTATCCCGTCTCGCCAACTCTTGCCTCCTATATTATGGTCAAGGCGGTAGCTGGTTGGAATCGAAAGCTTCCCCCCCGTGCCTCTTCCCCTCCATAATCACTTCATGGGACTCCTTGCACATGTGTTCTTACTCCGTGGAGGAAAAAAAAAAATCCAGGGCCCCAGAAAGATTTCAGTATCAGGATAGCCAGATCCCACACTGGATGGAAGCATGCTCCTGGCAGGCTAGCGTACTGTAATTGAGTAACAGTCAATTTAATCACAGGAGAGCCCAACAAATCCTGCACAGTATGCAAAATCAACCCTGAAAATGAGTCAAGTATATACTCGCGATGATGGCCAGGGTACGCGGGCTGCTTTTTGTTTGCACTCAAGCTGGTGACATGGCTACCTGAAGGATCATCTCAAGAATGTCGACAACCACCCGTGTAGTCGTCATCGGGGACTCCACATTGAGTCCGACGATTTGACAACAAAGTATGTCTGACGTTGCAGTGCTGTGCAGTGGGATATAGTTCAGCTCAAAATACCCGCCTTCCGGGGAAAATTCTTCAGCGATGATGCTGTACAATCCCTTGACGGGTTGCAATTGCCGGCCGGATGTCCGTCCATGTCAAGGGACGAGAAAAGCAAACACGGTGCTTACAAGCTTATGGATTGCAGCATGCGACGCAGAGAGTAAACCCTGGATTAGAGCGGAAAGCGTCTGTCCGATAGGCGCTTGGAAACTCATGGGTTTGTTACGTATGTGCACAGTATATCCATAGCGAACTAGTTACGCAAGCAACGGACTCTCTCAAACACTTTAGCTTCCAACCGGGTCCAACTCCTTCATCTTCATGGTGCTGCCCGATTCCTTGGCCATCTCCACCAAAATATCCTGCAGATTCGTCGGGCTGACGATCTGCCAGACTGACTGCTCAATCTGGTTCCAGAGGTAGTATTTTCCCTCATACTCGAACATGTACATGGACTCGCCGGACACTTGGGAGCTGCATATGATTCCCTTGATCTTGGACACGTTTAGCCCGTATTCTTTAGCCATTGGCAGGCCTTCACCGGATGGCTGCTTCCAGTAGCGATCGTTGTCCATATTCACCGGGTTATCTGTCCAGTCTGGCGGAATCTGCGTCTTTCACCGCGGAGCACACGGTCAGCCAGGAATGATTGTGCAATTACACTGGGCAAAACATACCTTGAGAAGCCGAGATGAACTCTCCATTGGAGCGGCGGCCGGCAGGGCGTTAGCGTACTTATTGTAGGCTCAAAAACTTTTGGTTCAAAAATAACACTCAAGGCAGAAAGAGTAGAGCGTCTTCCGGCGGAGAGGACGAGATTATCTCTTCGGGCGAGCGTAGAGTTGAGGGGGTGTCTGACGGCTGGATAAGTATGTGGGTTGACGGTGGCTGCATGGCATATCAAGTCTTTTCCTGCTCCTCCAGATACGAGGGCAGTATGTACTCCGTATATAGTTACACTACGTCGCGGGGTTACATCATGTGCATGGATAGATATCTTGTTTTTGATCTTCACCTTGCAGAGCCAAAGACCAGCGCAGCGCCACCGATCTGTCATCCAGCTTTCCATGTATTGGGCACCAGCGACGAGGTCACTAAAGGCTTCATACATATGTAGAATGTTTCCATTTCTCTTCGTAGGATTAGCATTTTAGGATCCAATGTTATCGGACTCGGGCGTCATAGAAGTCAGTGAGATCCGCTTGCAGTTTTTGTTGAACATATTCACCTGTGTTTCATTCCGCTAGGCATGGCAAGCCCGGAGAATGTTGACCTGGCCTTCAATGGCAACCTGAACCTGCTGAAAGCCTGGAACTTCAAGAAGGATGATGTACTTCAGTTTTCATCCTCTTCCTTCTGTCTCCTGGCCCCAAACGCGCCTCTAACCAGCTGGACTTAGATATTCGACTTTCTTGATCGCGTCGTCAACGATCCTAAGGCGTATTTTGAATCTGAAGCGGACTTTCAAGACCGAAGCAGAAGGTTGGGCGAACTTAGTGCGCCTCTAAAAGACCTTAGGACCCATATTTTTGATCTTTGGTAAGGATCAAGGGAAAGCCCGTACCACTACCGCCGAGCGCTTAGGGAGAGCGTCTGACTTATGTTGAGTCTTTCCAAATCTATAGTGCACCTGATGGAGCCGACTTCAAGGGACGAGTGGCAAATATGAACCCGGACCAAAACACCTATCGCTCTCTCAACACTGATAAAGCAGACAAAAAGAATAGCAAATTCCTTGTGGAATACCACCAGCATGCTGATACCTCTTACTGGAACCCGCATGATCTCCTAGGGCTGTTTCTATGGGTCATTGGGTTTGCTCCCGCTACCGCGAGCGCAAGACGCTTCTACATTCCCATGACAGCGGTCTACGGCCGATGGTGTCGGGTCCTTTCGCCATTTGCGGGATCTGATATTAGCTTCCCCGCTGCCCTCCAGTGCACCTGGCGTACACGGGACGGGGGCGCCAGTGAATTCTTTCTGGGGGGCTCACTAGCTGGATGGGCCACCAAGGTTACCTCGGGTCCGCCCGTGGGCAAGAAATGGCCAGATAAGTTGAGGCTGGCGAGATATGAACGCATCGGGGGTGTGATCCCAGCGCCTTACAGTTTCGATGTCTCGGTTTTACGTACCCCGACGTATCCAGCGGGCACAAGATTTGGGAACTGTGCCGAGACGTATCCTTTCTTGGAACTGTTTAGGTATGTTTTCTTCTTGCCTTTGCGATGATTGGCCATTGTCAACTGAGGAGAGACTGCAAGTGATGCCGCAAGGGCAAAACAATGCCATGGGATTTCACTCGAAAGCAAAATAGCGTATGATGAAACGCTCACAGAATACAAAATGTACCGTGAACAAAAGGTGTTTTTGAGAGGTGAAGACAATCTTCCGGTCGCTTTCAAGCCACCTTGCGCCAACTGTCAGAAGCTGATAGGGATATTCCAAGGGGATGTCAACAACTTTTCAGTAGAGATTGGAAACATTACCGACCCAGACTAATCTTAGCTGATAGCAAAGATGTAGTTAGTTAGTCACGGAAGAGATTTCCTCCATCATAGTAGTGTATTTCGATTGGGCTTTGCCTACAGTAGTTGGAGGAGAAAATCAAGCAAATCAGGCTTGCTGTTATGAACAAGAATACAGGGTACACCAAACCACTTCGTACTGAGACATAAAGGCAACAATGGATTTGTGATGTGTTGAGAGGGATCATAAACTTGACACGGGACCATAAGGTGTCCTGAGATTCAACCATCTTGAAGTGGCTTTAACATGACAATGCATCCATTTCCCTTTCAAGAGTTGACCCATCGTTTATATCAATTTTTTTTTCTCATTCTTTAACCCTTCTTGTATCCCCCAGTGATCTGTTCCCCAGAAGTTCCACTTGGAAAATATGTCCTGGAATAGTGGGATGGAGACCATTAGGACCAGACTTTGTTGTTTCTCTGGCATTCACCCATACTGCCTTTTGGTCCTTCTCGTTCGGGGTGGTTGTGCTGGAATCTGGCTTTCCCGCTACTGCAAGCATGCTGAGTATTTTCCGAAGCAATTCGCTGTCTGGGACCTCCGGGACTGCTGGCTTCTCTTGAGTTGCCTTTCCAACTGCTTGAAGCTGTGCTTTTGCCGCGCGTTGCATCATCTTCAGGTCTGGTCGCCATAGCGCATCCTTGTACATCTCGCGTAGTATCTCAACAACCTGATCTCGCCAATCCTCTGGATACCGGGATAATTCATATAGAATATCCCAGTCATGCCTATGTGGCTGGCTCTCGGGTGTGAATCCAAGCCAATATAGATCCATTACATCCCAGATATCGGGGTGCAGGAAGTATTTTGGGAACATGTCCGTGATGGAAGGAGGCTCCGAACTCCCCAGCGGTCCAAGCTCGCTCCCCCTTTTCGCCCCGTGCGACCGCAAGAGGCTCAGGACTTTTGGGCAACCTGAATACGCCTCCTCAGCACGAGTTGGGCTCTCAGACGTTTTCCCATACACAATGCCAGCAGCCAGAGCTCGTTGGCGGGCTGCGGCCGAAGTGAACGATGCTAGCGACTCTAAATGCTCTTGCCTCCTTGATGAAGCTCGTAAGACAGCCTCATCCAATACGGTAAATGGCGGGTCTGTGTCGACGAATTTATTGATATCACGCTCGAGCCCTAGATCTAGAAGAAGTTTCACTGTTTGCACTCGACCCGCTCTCGCGGCTTCTGCTAAGGTTAGAATATTTCCCGGGGCCGGAAGGAAGTATTTCTGATAGGCCTGACTTGTGTCAGTCAAGCCGGCTTCAGCCTGTACAAGATGAGACAAAAGCTCGATAATTAGGTCATGACTCTGCTGATCGCTGAAAACAACATTATAAGTGATTGGGAAAAGGATGTTCTTCCCATCATAAGTACGAATAGTAAGGTCAGCCCCTTTCTTAATCAAATACCTTGCCCGTCGCGCAGGGTCTCGCTCTGTGAATAGCGCGTAATATAATGCAGTCCACTTCTTGCGATTTACTGCATTAATATCCGGTGGCGAGTCGCGAGCAAACATAATATCACATGCGCCTTCCACCTCATCCTCTTCGTGCATCGCCGCAACAACGTCATGAAGAGGGGTGTTTTCATCAAATTCACCCCGAGCGTCGATATCTTTCGATCTCTGAGTGACGCTTCGGAATATATCAAGGTAAGATTCAGGATAAGTGAGCTCCGCTCCCCGAATACTGGCCCATTTATGGACTGAAAAGACCTTTCATTAGCAAATATATGTTTTGAAGTATGAATGTGCACCCACCTGTACCGCTGCGTCCAGCATCAGCATCCGCTCCCACAGTTGCCAATGCATAGGCTACTCCGCCGTTCCACTCCTCTGATGCAATTCTAATCGGGGTCATTTGCCGGGGCACCTGGGACTCCGCATTGATGTCCGCTCCCGCCTCTACCAATAGCCTGGCGAGCTTTGTGGCTTGTGCCATGTGATCATCCCAGTTCCCATGGCGGACCCAATAGTGCCACGAATATGGCAGACTACCATGGTAATTTGGAACAAAATATGCCATATAATGGAGTATATTTCGACCTTTTGGGTCTTTCACAGTTGCCTTAGCACCTCTGGAAAGGAGAAAGCTTGCAACCTCCGCCTCGCCATACCATGCTGCTAAGAATAGCGGTGTCGAGCCTACATCGGAATCATGATATGTAGCATTGATATTGGCGCCCAAATCAAGAAGCGCTTCCATTGCGGGCTTGCTACGTGCAAACGCGGCCCAGTGTAATGGCGTGCCGAGGGGAAGTTCGAATGGGCTATTTAATTGGATTAATTTCGCTCAAGGCCACAGCCGCTGGTGGCGCAAGGGGTCATAGATGAATGACTTACAAATGAAGAATATGAATTCTGGGCGGAGTTCCTCCACTCACCTCGGCCACGGTAACTATTTGTGCATCGATCAAAGCCCCTGCTTCACGGACTAATCGAGTTGCAATTCTGCGGATACTGTCTTCTGGAAGAGTAAACAGCCAATGTAGGGTAGTTAGCTTTTCCTGTCTAGTCGAAGTCGATGCTTTTGCGCCTTTGTCAAGCAGATAATCAATAACTCGAACCTGTCCAGCTTGAAATGCCTTGTAAAGCGGTGTCTCAAGATTATCGTTTTGAATATCCACTGGAATCTTAGCTTCTTCGACGAGTTTCTGCAGAACATCTAGGGTACCTAGAGCAGCAGCGACATGTAGCATCGTATTGCCTTTCTTATCCACTACATTTTTGTTTTCTGCCACGAATGCCATCGCTTTGTGGGTATCTCGCGCAACCTCAAGCATATTCTTCTTTTTTAGGAATGGATCGGTCGCGTATCCACCCGCGTCCCTGAATTTCTGCTTTGCTGCCTCTAGGTCCTCCTGAGTTATCGTTGGCGATGCTTTAGCGAACAAATAGCCCTCCGCAACAGCCTGTAACGTCCACTTGTGCAAAATCTCATTTTTAAATTCCGGGGTTCGGCGGTGAGCATGCATCAGCTGAGCGTACACTGCTCTCGCTGGAGAGTAACCACCCCTGGCAGACTCGGTGACATATTCAAGTAGTTGATCAATATATGATGTCCTTGTCCTCGTAATTCTCTGCGCCAAACCAAAAAGAACATCACTATCAAACGAAGATTTAGAAGTACTGTATTGTTCTTCAAGCTCCGTAACGACGGCAGTATCAAGGCGGCGCCAGAAGTTAGGACCTCTGTTATGTATATTGCCTGAAGTACCAGCATGTTGGCCTCCGCTGCGCCCTGTTTGGGATACAGACAACCTGGCTCACATTAGAAAAGTGGTTCGAAGCGTTCGAGACCGAAACAATGTCCAACGTACCAAGTTGTATACGCGGGCGTGCCAGTATTAAGAAGATCCGGGTTTGGTAACACTCGCGACCAAGGATCTTCCGCCAACAATCCTTTCAAAGCCCTTCTGAGTTGCATTCGTAGGCCTGATGGGATTGATTCCTCTTCTCTGAGGAGACTGATGACCACATCAAAACGGCTTTCGTCATCCACATCCAAATCAACCAGCTCGCCCCGTTTGACGAATATGGACAAGATCGTAAGCCCAAGGCTATAGGAGTCGAATCGTGGCATAAGCTCAGGTTTGAAAGCGGCACCTGGCCATCGAGAAGGGTCTTGAATTTCCGGGGCAACCCAGCCGGGCGTTCCTCTGTAATCATCGATCGTGAATTCGCTCCCAGGAATCTCCATGTCTATGCAGACTCCAAAGTCGCTAATTTTGGCGCAAAATGGAACCTTTTCATTTTTGGTCTCTTTGAACACGAGGACATTATCGGGCTTTATATCACCGTGTATTATATTAAGGGAATGAAGCGCTTGTATTCCGGCGACAATATCCAGTGAAAGCTGATGTTTAATATCTGTTGGATTATTACCCATCAACTCCTCGTTCTCGGCTTTAAGAAGATCAGTAAGAGTAGTGAGAGCGGACTCCATGAATAACACTGGGACAGGAGTATCTGGCATAGGATAATCATAGCCCCAAGCAACCAAGTGCACCATATTTCGATGGTTTCGAAGGACAGGGTTGCAAAGTGAACGTACTTCGAGTTCCAATGTTCGCAGCTGGAGACGATAGTCTTCTCCCGCTGCGAAACTTACTCCATTCTCTCTCGACAATGGTACGTTGACACGCTTCACAACCAAACCCTCGGTGCCGCCAAAGTCGTCATGGTATTCCCGGAATACGGTGAACTGCGCCCCGGTGCCAATTTTAGCTGCCCGTGTTTTCAAATTGAATTGTTTCAAATGCCGTGGTCCATTTATCCGCGTCCTAGAAAGAATGCTGGTGAAATGGGACAGGGTACTCATATACTGATGCTCTCCATTCCGGATTGAGGTAACTCTCTCCTCGAGAGGGTCAACCAGGCCAGTATCGCACTCAGCATCCAGAGGACTTTCGCTGCCATCCCTCAGAACCTCTAAAGCGTCGTCCAAGGGGTTTTCACTCTCGCCAAGGTCGAGCTCCAATAGATCTGCTGTGGGGTCATCGTCTTCTAGAATGTTTAATGCGTCGTTGAGAAGGTCTTCACTCGCTTCGTTGAGTAAACTGGAGCCATCAATGAGCTCCTCAGATGCATACTAAAAAGTCAGGCATTACTTAAAAGCACGAGATATACTTTATATATGTGGGAGACTCCATACCTCACATGTCATTTTCCCAGATGCAGAGGCGGCTTTCACGTATTGGCTAGGAGGGAGAGCACACTTGCCGTGAAGCGATTAGTGGTTTTTCCCAGGGGTCAGATAGCCTGAAAAGGGACAATTATAGAGAGATCAACAACAGCTCCTACCGTAGAAAACGCTTTCTGAAGCAGTCTTTGTATCGATTGCCGATGCGCACCCGTGGGTAATTAAGAGCTTCTCGCTTTTCAACCACCCTTTGCCTTGGTGAGGGGGAGGGGGTTCCCAACGTGGTGACGGCGAGGGTAGGGTTAAGGCTATCTCCCGCCCCTCCATGGGTTCTTCGCGAGGCTGAGGGAAAACATAGCTCTCGGCTAAACAGGTAAGGCAGTTATGCAGCATCCCTCGCTTGGCAAATAAATCCATCACGCAAGAAATGGGGAGACGTTTAAGTAGCGTCTTCCCCCTCCAGACGGCCCGTTGGTGGGGCAAGGCTCTCCTCCTCCTTTCTCAACGGCTACAGCGATGGACTTCTACGGCACCGCCGCCACTGCGATTGACCATGTCATCAAGGTGACCATCTTTATAAAGGGGGTTATCTCTGATATCAAGGATTACGACGACGATCGGGCCAGCATCCAGCTTAAACTCGACCTCCAGCTTACCTCGTTGGAGTTTTTTCGTCGAAGGTTTCTAGACGAGAAAAATGGGCTAATGCTTCCCGGGCGACTTCCGGAATGGATAGCCGACACAATTTGTGACCTGCTGTTGAAGATGAGCCGGGTGCTCGCAGAGTATCGAGTGCTCGTTGGTCGATACGATGATTTTGACGAGAAAGTAAAAGTGAGCGAGGAGGGCGACAGCGTGAGCAAACGGGAAAAATGGAAACAGACCTTTCTGGAGCGGGCCAAGACCCAAGCCAAAGCCCTCAAGATGAAGGGCTACGACTGGTCCCTCTTTGATAAAAAGAAGCTACTTGGTATCATGGAGGAATACCAGGGGTGGACGAGCAACCTGAGGGACGTGATGCAACATTTTTCTCAGGAAATGGTTTACAATATCGCGGATTCCGCATCGACTGCAAACGACGAGAGCCTTAAAGGTACCGGTCTAGAGCAGGTTGTCCAAAGGCAGAAACTTATGTCCTCACAACCACCCGATGACTTTCAGGAGCTTGAAGGAGATATTGCGGAGGAAGGGAGCCCTTCAAACCGCTTTCAACCAGCCCGCTGGACATGTGGCGGAGAGTCACTGCAAGTCTTGGTTGAATACCGCGAGTATGACCGTCGTCTACGGCTGGACGACTTGGATCCCGAGGAGATCGCTGAGCTGAAGGAGCCAGTGAGAAATCTTGCGTGGCTTCTGCAGAATTCCACCTTTCACGATGGAGGCGAAAATACCAATGAACCACAGCAGCCCGCCATTTACTCACTCCAATGCCTTGGGTTCATGGACCAGGTGGAAAAGGAGCGGACAGCTTTTGTTTATAAACTGCCGTCCCTTCAGGCCGATGGTGAAACGGAAACAGGCATCAAGATCTGCACGTTGCACGATCTAATCACGAAGGTCGACGTTAAAACGAAACGACCCCTGAAACCGTCCCTTACCGATCGCTTCAGCATTGCTCACTGTCTGGCCCTAACCCTCTCCAATGTTCACGCTTCCCTGTGGCTGCACAAGAACATCTGGAGCCGCGGAATCCTCCTTTTCCAGCAGAATAAAGAGGGCGTCGCCTCTGTTGAAATACAGCGAGTTCTCGTCCCTCCCAACGGCGCCGAGCGCTCGCAAATAGTTGCCTTCCTAGGTGATTGGGGCTATGCAAGACACGTCGAAGGTGCTACCGACATGCGAAGCGATTTCGAGATTGAGCCGAATATTTACCGGCACCCAGAACGACAGGGCGCACCAACACGTCAATTCGCACGACCCCACGATATTTATGCTCTGGGCGTGGTGTTACTGGAGATTGGCCTTTGGAAAACCGTCTCCCAGCTATTCGACGCTCGCATCAAGGAGGGGCAGCGGACCGGGAAACTCCCCAAACCCAAAGACGTGCGAAACGCTTTGGTTGCTCTGTCGCAGACTGAGCTTCCCCGCGAAATGGGCATTGCATATGCAAGCGCTGTAGTGAGATGCCTGACGAGTGATTTCCGGAAGACTAGCGACACGGAACTTTCCTTGGATTTTAGAGAAAAAGTAGTTGATGCCATTGCGTTAGGCATGAAATTGTAGATAGTTAAGTACTCTGTACTCCGTAGTTAACGGCATATATTATCTTCCTTGTGGACTAAATCGACCTTTAAACATCGGGTTTTGCAGGTGTAAAAACCTTGACATTAAAAACATCTGTCCGCCGGCTGACGATGCTGGACGTTTAAATGAATACGTTGTGTGTGCGAGCAGTTGAAGACAGGGACACGAGAAGTCGCCACTTTCGCTGGCTGAACAACGAACGTCAAGCCAACGAGCCATCCTTGGCCCGCGGCTTTGCTCAAGCAGAGGCGTCGCGAATGGTCCGCCGGGAATCCACCTCGTATTGAATCGAGGAGCGAAGAAGTTCCTTTCCCCCCGGGCCATGATCGGCGGTAAACAGACAGCCGGAAGCATACTCAGCCAGCACTTTAATTGTACTCCGTCCACATAAGTTACTATGGTTCTTTCGGACTTAAAACAATTTCAAGTTCATCAAAATTCGGATCCATATAAATATTTTATGAACATCTCTCGTCGCCAATGAGTACAGTATATACATATACACCCGAGGAAAGATGCTCGGCTATTCAAGAGCCAGGGCAAAACCAGCGAAGTCGCTATCGGAACATCAAAGGCTCCCAACATCATTTTTCATTATCCACATCCCAGCGTAATATCATATAGACGAACAGAGCATAAGTAAATGAGAAATCCTGTACTACTACAGTAGATACAATTCCGGTCCGTGTAGAGCAAAGAGAAAGAGGGGGTGACAGGAATATACTGTTCAGAATCGTATGACGGACATTCCCGGTGCTTCGCTAAATTTGAGAGAGAGGAAACAGGCCACCCCTGGTGAGTATATAGCACATATTAAGTGATAATCATTCATGCTCGCGAGGACTATACTTGGACTTCCAGTTATAGAATGGTGCCCAGATTTAGGGCATGGTAGTAACTGGGCCATGCCTCCTCCACGAGCTTGAAGATAAAGTAAGCATTGCCCTGCAATGATAGGCGGGAACGGTGGAAAGATGCTTGGTTGACGATTAGAAAGACGCTCAATATCCGACCGGCCGACCGTGTTTCATCGCATAACTAGCTTTCTCGCGCAGTCAATGCGATTCGTCACGGATGAGGGCCACAATCATGCTGTACAGGTAGAAGAAGAACATGATTAAATGGAAACCGAGCTTGATGAATGATTCCTGAAGAGGGGGAAGTCAGTCCCGGACCAGTGAACGAATGAAGATATAGACGGTCCTTACCTTTTTGTGGACGTTGAGCTTTCGGAAGATCTCGGTAGCATCCAAAAGATGCTGGTTGTCGAAGATTCTGGAGTGCGCAAGAGGGTCAGCAACTAAGGTGTTCTATAACCACAACGATTAAAGGGAGTTGTTCGAAACGCACTTCTTCGCATTAAACGCCAATAGAGGAAGATTGAGTATGATGGCCAGCCAGTATCCATTAATGATGAAGAGGAACGTTAAGAATGCATGTACGGCGGCCTCGGGAACGATGTATGCGTTGAGTCGGTTGCAGAGATCGATGGGGTTAATGTAGTCACTGTGGAAGGAAAAGGTGTCAGTCCGGCCTTGTGTGCGGAAAAGAGCATGCGTGAAAAATCAAAGTTGGGGAGACAGCAGAGGCGTTGTCGGAAAAGCAGAGATAGCCCACAACATAGGATTGAAAGCATCGCACATACCATTCCAAATCACTGTACATAATAGTAAAGAAGACCTGTAGGAAGAGGTTGACGGCATTGATCAGGACCGCAAGCAGGTATAACCACGCTTCTCCAGACATCTTGAATATGGATCTGCTTTGCTACCCGCAAACCTTAGACAATCGAGGATATCCCACAGAACGAGTATATCGAGTTGTAGCAACACGTAGCGTTGTTGCACGTCGTCGGTGATTTCGGGCTAGAGCTATAGGGCGGCGGGTCTGTTTGCAGGTTGAGAAACTCGGAAAATCAGCAAAAGTGCGCGACAGCCGGAGCTCGTCGGGGGAAACGTGGCTGAGGACGGAGAGAAAGGATTTCTTGCCGATGCAGCAGCTTACCTAGGAGTCGCTCGAGCAGCTTTTTCTCAGAGCAAGGTTGAAAGGACAGGTAATTTTTGGGTGTGGTGATGCGATGATGGCAGCGGTGGTGGTCGTGGTGGGAAGCGATTAGTTCGAGAGTTTTGGTTAGCTCAGTTAGCTCCAGCCTCACAACGCACAACAACTCGCGCGCGGCCTGAATGCTCGGCTGCCCCCCTGAACTGCATTTCTGTCCTGCGATACCACCGTTTGCTTGGCCCAGGACAAGCCCCCTTGGATGAACGACGAAAACTTGCCATGATGAATCCGATAACACGACCAGTTACTCAATATTAACAAAGGGAGATGTTGCACCTATAACTAAATTACCCCATCTACCACTCCCAAAGCTAGCATCGAGGGCTCCCATATGCAGCAGAGCCATCCTCGATCCCAAGCGATATGGTCGGCCCTAAGAGCCGTCTATCTCTATCCGTTCATGATCATCATGTTGTAAACTAGTAAATGAGACCGTACAAAGGGGGTGCGGCTTTGTAGGTCCGAGTGTGCGGGAGGAATACTGCAAGGCATATGGGAATCTGATGCTCGGGAATGTTTGCTGGGAGATATAGAGCTGGGGGACGGGTTTGGATCTTTGGCCTGCAACGGATGGAGAGGAAGGACGGGGGAAAAGCAGATAGTCAGTTCCATATCCTCACAACGATCAACCAGCCCAACCGTTCAGATCAACGGCTGTTGTTGTCTATGTCTATTCACTTGGGCCTGGCTGGGGGGCATGATCCAATTCACCATGCTGCAGGTATTGGATGGAGAAAATATGCATGCGACATAGAGCTAAGTCGATTATGTTTGACGGTATGACCAAATCCCAGAATATTAGAAACACAAAGCACCCAATGACCGCCGTAGACCAATAAGTTAGACACGGAATAGTAGTAACCCATGGAGGCTCAGATATTCTGCTTCCAAATACTTTGGTCGGATGCATGGACGTGTGACTGTGTAAGCATCAGCTGCTACCTGGAGAGATCCCGCTCCTGCAGCCTAGGTAGGGGAGATCTGTGCTCTCTGGAGCTCTTTTCAGTGGGGCTAGGCTAGTTATTGGCCCGTCTCTCCGCGCCTTGAGCGCCAAAAACTATCAGCCAGGGCTTCTTCGACCATGGTCGCAAAGTACGGGCTCCGTTCTGCATCGTCGGCTCTTTCGCTCAGGCGCTTGTGGAAGCTCGAGACCGTAGCCTCGTGTGTAGCACAAAATGCAGCAGCCAGGAATGCCAAGGTGAAGGCCAGCCATATATGACTGATTAGGTACTTTTGAACAGCGTCGAAGCCAATTCACAGAGGATTGAATATCAGCGAAGATTGACTACGCCAAAAACGAGGAGACGTTTGGCTGTTGGAGCATTAGCGATGGAAGTAATCAGCTATGCCCTACCCTCAAGGCGAGCTATACAAAATAAGAAAGACGCGCACAAATATTTAGGCTTTCGTTTCAGCCAACTTCTCGGAGCTCATCTTTTAACACGTAATAGGTGCTCACGAACGACCAAACAAAGCTGCCGGGCCTGATGCAAACCACAATGCAAGGATCCGTGACTCTGCTTGTCGACTGTGACCAACGAGGTACAAGGGTCCAAAGTATCTAGAGAATGAGCTTTGGGGAGAGCTGAAGGTTCAGGATTTAAGCTTTTCCCGCGGGGAGTGCAAACAACAGCGTGCGGTGGAAGGATCCTGGATCGGGAGAGCCGGAAGCGAAGGGCCAACGCCGATGGAGGCTCCCACGGCCAGACGAAACTCTGGCAGCTTGGACGCGCGAGCTAATAATAGCCATGCTTTTTACTCTGTAGAGAGAAACATTAAATCTTGGTGCCTAAACCCAAAACCGGCCATCGGAACGGGGGATAATCACGCACAGGGCTAGCCGTCGGCCTGGTTCGTTCTTTAACTCTACAATCTCCAGCTTCGCGGGAGCGAGAACCATCAGCTGGTCAACGAACTGCCCCTCAGAAGGGAAGCCAGTTCGTTAGTCGGTCTCTACGAAAATAACTGCCTTCAATTGGACGTATTTTATCGTCCTCTACCGACAATGCCAGCCTCTTCGGCCAATTATCATGACGTCGACCAGGACGATTCCCTTCCCCTCCTTGTCGATGTGGAAGAAACCAGGAGCATCAAGGCTGACGAGCCTCCCGTTACGTATGTGAAGAAGACCTGGAGACACACTCCTTCGGTGTTTGTTCTGCTCATCGTGATCACGACTTTTGTAATCGACTTTGGCGTTTATCTGAACATAGCGCCTCAAACACGGATCCTTGAGAGCATCGCTTGCAGAAACTACTATGACAAACATGAACCTGGTCGATTTGGACCAGGAGAAATTCCCGAGGACCAATGCAAGATCAAGCCTATCCAGGGAGAAGTTGCCTTTGTTCAAGCCATGATGTCCAGCTTCGATGCGATTCCTAGTGCGTGGTCCCCGTCCCAATGGCATTGGATGCGTCGAGATCTTTGAATTAGTCGCTGACTTTTCTTTTAAAAAATAAAAGGCATCATACTCTTAATTCCATATGGCCGTCTAGCTGACAACCCTAGGTTTGGCCGCAAGCTGATATTGTTGCTGAGCGTCCTGGGCGTACTTCTGAGCTTCTACTGGGTCGCATTCGTCTTGACATTTCCTTCAGTCCTGCCTTTGCGTGCAGTGTGGTTTGGCTCGATCTTTAATTTTATCGGAGGTGGACTGGGAGTTATCAACGCCATGGTCATGACAATGATTACTGACGTCGTCGATCCTGACAATCGGTGCGTAAAGATGCCAACTCTCGGACATCGTGTTCTGTTAAAAAAACGTATCTGATGGCTAACAATTGCTCTAGAACCAATGCATTTTCCAAAACCACCTTGGCAGTCGTTGTCGCGCAACTCATTGCTCCTTCAGTGTCGTCGGGCTTGATGAACCTGAAAGGTCCATGGTTGCCATACCTGTCAGGAATTGCTCTCGA